GGATTGTGAATGAGAAGATATGTATAGGACTTCCCTCTTCCTCACCCAGCTAGAAAAAAGCTTCTTTAAGCATCCTGACAATTAGAGCCGGTATATGGCTTATATCCAGCCAGTAGAGTATAATTATCATAACTTTCAAAACATAAAAAGTAACATACAACAGCTGGGATTCGCTGGTGGTCACCCACCCAACTACTAACCAGCCGGCGTGTGGCTTAAGTACGGCTGAGCGGACGGGAAGCCCTGTTCTCCACACCCTATGGTCGTATGTATCAGTTTCTCAAAGACAGAAGATTATATACTTCTATTTAGATCTGGAAATAGGAAGATACCTAAATCAAGCACAAAGGAGGGCTTACATCAATGGAATGAAAACTATATGATATCGATTAGTATTATTCGCTTTAGCATTATATACAGCTATACTCCTGGAACTAGTTGCCACAGCGCCGTCTATTACCTCCAAAGATTATGCATTCTTTGAGCTGGAGAAATGGGCTGTGATCCCTCCATCCACTCAAAGGCCCTAAGGGACTTAGTCAACCACACATCAGCAGGGCCATAGCCGCCTTCAAGAGGCATCACTCGTGAATAGGGTCCCGCTGAGGAAAGTATGCGGGAAGCCTAGATCAAACGTGTACGCCGCCTCAATCAATCTTGTCAATTTCTTCCGTCGTCAAAAAGATTCCAACCGCGGGTATAACCCATTTGATATGATTAAGCTTCCTAGCACCGATAATAGGAAATACATATGGCGTTCTGTGGAGAACATATGCCAGGGCTACTTGAAGAAGCTCTACTCCTTTTAGCCTCCACGACAACTTCCAAGACGCGAGGAACCTTTTATCCCGGTCAGATAGTGGAATGGAATTCCGTCCATCATGGCTCTTCTCGTGCGCCTTGAATCCGGCCTCAGTCTGGAAGCGGTCTTGGTTCAGAACTCCGTCAGGACATAGGCCTATTCCTTCGTCACGGCACATAGGGATGATGTCTCTTTCGAAGTCACGCAGCGAAGCATTCCAGATTCCTTGTATTGGAGTGCGGGATTCCGTATTTCCTAGTAATCTACCGCTGAATTCTAATGGGTACAAATGATGAATTGATGAGGTCTAATTCCTGATCTAGTGGTAAAATGAGCTATATATATAGGCTTTAAGATGATCACTAAATCATGCGATATCATGATGATACAGGATGATGATATATGATGATCATGGCCTAGAATAGCAATCGAGGCGCTATTCTATATGGAGTAGGGTGGTGGCTGATGGTGGAGCTTTAGTGGTAATTTCGGTTGACACCTTGGTACACAGTAAACCGTCGCAGGTTATGGTCGCGAGTGTATTGATTGGCCTTAGCAGCCACCCATGCGAGAGTACCTAAGACACCTAAGTAAATGACCTTTCCCGGAGGTGACATGGTCCTTTAGGCTGTGCATCAACTCCGGAATGGAGACCGTATAGTCCCACGAGTGTATATAAAATAGATCAATGTAAGTCGTCTGGAGTTTGCGAAGTGATGCTTCCAACGAGACTCGCATGGACTTGGTTCCGTTTCCGCCGCAGTTGGCGTGGATTATGTCTTTGTGGAGACCCCGGTAACCCGCTGTGTATTTGGCGGCAATCACCATCGTATCCCGGTTATTTCTTGATGCGAGCTACTCGCGCAGCTAGGTCTCCGATTGCTCCTCTCGGTATGCGTTGGCGGTGTCGATGAAGTTCCCGCCCTGACTGACGAAGTAGTCAAGGATTTCAATGGCGTCGTCTTTGCTGCATACTCCGTATTGCTTTTTCCCGGCGGTTCCAAATGTCCTGGCTCCTAGGCACAGAGGGGGATCTCTGACTGATGCTGATGGCGCCAGCTGGCGGCACCGATTGAGATCAAGCCACGACCCGAATGATATAAACGAGAGCATCCATCTGCAACTACGGGTGACTCAAAACGAAATCCAAAAGCTGTACCGCCATGCTAATTTAATGAGTTCAAAGGTTTCCATGGTTTGAGCAAGGCTATATCATATGTCCGAGAGACTTTTCAGATTCGACAAGTTGTTTTCCCAAAGCCGAGGAGGAACGGAACCAGGTATAGACATCTGAGAAGTCGATAGCAAAAAAAGAATAGTGTAGCATAAACTCCGTATGTGACAACACCACTTGCTCCTTATTATATTAATCCCAACTGAATACCCAAAACCAAACTTAAACCTTCACCATATCATCCTTCCCCTCGCCCTGCGAATCCTCCAACCCAGTCTTAGCAGAGGCAAACTCCCTCGTCCTGACCCCTCTCTCAAACAACAGATCCAACTCAGCATACGACCGTCCTTTAGGCTCTGGCAGGCGGAAAAACGACCACGTCAAGCAGCAAACGCATAGCGCACCCCAGAAGAAACCAGATTTTCCACGCCAGTTCCAAGCGTCGACGTTCAGCATATATGGAATGATGATTCCAGTGATGAGGTTGAGGATATTGTAGACGTTTCGGGCGAGCACCACGGTCTTTGTACGTAGCCTGGAGGATGGGATTTCGGAGACGAGAGCGAAGCAGACGGGTCCGATGGAGGAGTCGTAGATAAAGGTGTATACGAGTAGCATGGAGCCGGTAGCCCAGGAGATGGCAGGTGTGGACGGGGCGATCGAGACGAAACCGATCGTGAATAGCACAATGGCTAGGATGGATAGACCGCCGACGTAGAGGGTGCGACGGCCGAAATACGACATCGCCGTCCAGGAGACGAATGTTCCCACCACGCCCAGAGCATATTGCACGAGTGACATGGTGAAGGACTGCGACACGGCGAGGCCCGCGCGCTGGTAGAAGACGGTGGAGTAGCCCATCAGGCCTGCGCCGCACAGACACTGCGCCGCCCATACACAGCAGGAGATTTCGGTTCGGCGCAAGTCGCTTTTCTTGAAGCAGTCAAGGTATGAAGTACCGGTTTCGGTGCGTCGCTCGAGCGCGTCGGTGTATACGATCATAGAGACGGTCTCTTCGGCGTTGAAGTCTGCGTTAGCGCTGGTCAGTCGTTTCAGAGCCTTGACGGCGTCTTCACGGCGGTCTCGTCGAACGAGCCACCAGGGGCTCTCGGGGGCTAGAAACACCCCGATGAAAATGGGGACAGGCCAGATCCATTGCAGAGCGAAGGGGATGCGGTATGCCCATTGATCACTGCGACCGGCGAGCCCCTTCAGCACACCAGAGGCGAGCAATTGGCCTAGCACCCAGCAGAGATTGACATAGGTGGTGAGGTATGCGCGCAACGCTACGGGGCACACCTCCGATGCGTATGTCACGACGAGGGTTTGATACACACCAAGGGGGATGCCCATAAAGAGCTCGCCGACAACTAGAGTTTGGATATTGGGTGCAAAGAACAGAATGAAAACGAAACCAACGGTGGCGGCAAGACATGCCATCAGGGTCTTTCGGTATCCAAAGCGCTCTGAGACAAGTCCGTTGAGGAAAAGTCCGATAATCTGGCCGCAGGCCATCGCGTTGTTTATACCTGCTTGCCACCTGGCTTCGAGCCCATATGTTCCGTCAGACATGAGACCTCCGTATTTTTCGTTGAATGCCGGAAATGCGAGGAAAGAACCGATGAGGACCACATCGTAGCCTTCCATGATAATGGCACAGGAGAACAGAAGAGACCACCCCACGGCCTTGGGATACAGCTTGAGCGCTTGCCATAGAGTCATCTCATGTTCTTTCGCGATGGCTGCCTGTGCCTCGCTACTGTTGGGGAGGTCGAGGGTATCATGGCTAGGCGGGTTGTCATTCTCAATATGTTCAGACATGGCGGCCTTCTCTGGGGCCATCTTGAGCAAGGAATGCAACAGATCAAGTAGGGGTTATCGCGAATGGAGTGTGGACAATTGTGTGCAAAGTGAAGGCACATACAGGGTTTTTATAGAAGCCGGCCACAGGAATCAGACCACGACCAATGGGGCAATATATGTACTTAACCTGGTCTATACGAGCATGAACATTCCCCTAGTCCGCATGATTCCCTGTTGCATCCTAGCCAGCATGCAGGTGCTGTGCAGGAGAGAAGGTTTTCCCCAGATTCTCTTGGGTGGATCCCCCCGGATTTTTGACGGCCAAAGTGGGAGATGTGATTGGCTGGATGTCGGGCCGGAAAGAATCAGAAGGTAATGGAAGAATTGACTTCAGTTCTAATTTAAGCTTGTTTTCCCACATAGAATCATTCTTAGCAAGGCTCAAGGAGAATTGTTCTATTCATGCAATGCTAACTCCAAGTCATATACATGCCACTGGAGTGTACTCTTTGCAGACGCCCACACATCCAGTACTGTAAATGGCAAATGATCAGACATGCTGTGGTACCATTAGTTAGGGGCAATCGAACAAGCGGCATAGGTGGGTCAGGCTCTTGATCTAGGGTCAACTCTGTCACAGTGTTGGCAGCAGGCCTTACGTTCCATTGGCTCAATGTCGGGCCGCATTCTCGGCGGCGCGTATTAATGCGGAGAACCCTAACTGCAGCCGGTTTAGTCTTGTCTCCTGGCCATGTTGGCTGATACGGGATGAGCTATATGCACATGTGCATAATATGTTTAGTGCCTCCATAGGAAAAATGCAGCATTTGAAATCAACTCAACAACGGTCAAGTGGGGGGGCGGGGGCATGGTGATGTGGGATTGAAGCTTGAGCCGGATGGACACCGCATGGGCCTCTGATGCAGGAGCTATATCTGCTCGGGCCGACATTGCGTCAATCAGGAGCATCTATCGTATGGGTGGATCGACATCGTGCATGCCAGCTGTTATCGGAGGGTGTGCGGGTGCCGTGGCTTCACCGCATACCAAGGTAGTTATATATCTTTCCTTTCCATCAAGTTTGTTCTCGCGAGAAAATTTCTCCTTCCTACCATCCTCTCTTCGTCTCCTATACACTACACCCCTTGAACATGTCTCCAGCTCCTGTCGGTGAGAAATGGTGGAAAAACTCCATTATCTACCAGATCTACCCTGCCAGTTTTAAAGACTCCAACAATGACGGCATCGGCGATATTCCTGGTATCATCTCCTCCCTCGACTACATCACCAGCCTCGGGGTAGATGTGATCTGGATCTCACCCATGTATGACAGTCCCCAATATGACATGGGATATGATGTTGCCGACTATGAGAGTGTCTACCCACCATACGGAACAGTCCAGGACATGGAAGATCTCATCGACGAGTGCCACCGGCGCGGGCTGCGCATCATCCTGGACCTGGTGGTCAACCACACCTCACACGAGCACAAGTGGTTCAAGGAATCGCGGTCATCAAAATCAAATCCCAAGCGGGATTGGTACATTTGGAAGCCTGCAAAATACGATGCCAGTGGAGCCCGCAAGCCCCCCAACAACTGGCGCAGTATCTTCGGCGGAAGTGCTTGGGAATGGGACGAAGCAACCCAAGAATATTATCTCCATTTGTTTTGCACGGAACAGCCAGATCTTAACTGGGAGAACCCAGAGACCCGCCGTGCGATCTATGATTCGGCTATGGAGTTCTGGCTGCAGAAGGGTGTCGACGGATTCCGGGTGGACACAGTGAACATGTACAGCAAGCACCCTGCGTACCCAGATGCGCCTGTCCTTGATCCCAAGTCTGACACACAGATGTCGCCATCGTTATTCTGCAATGGACCTCGTATTCACGAATACCTCGGTGAGATGAATGAGGTACTTGCAAAGTATGACGCTATGACGGTGGGAGAACTGCCAAATACGCACACCGTCGATGGCATTCTGCGGTATGTGTCAGCGGCGCAGAACCAGCTCAATATGGTCTTTCAATTTGATGTGGTGGACCTCGGACAAGGGAAAGACTACAAGTTCTTGACTACGCTGCCGGGCTGGACGCTGCGGGAACTCAAGGCCGCTATCAAGGGTACTCAAGATATCATGAAGGGGACAGACGGCTGGTCCACGGTGTTCATGGAGAACCACGACCAGGGTCGGTCCATCTCTCGCTTTGGTTCCGAGAAGACCCCAGAATTGAGAGTCACATCGGCGAAGATGCTTGCAATCATGCAGGGCACGTTGTCAGGCACTCAATTTATCTACCAAGGCCAGGAAATTGGCATGGTCAATGCGCCGGAGAGCTGGACCATCGACGAGTATAAAGATGTCGACAGCTCAAACTACTACCAAATGGTGCAGAAGGTATCAAATAATGACCCGGTGGAGCTGGAAACTGCTATGAAGTCACTCCAGCGTTTCGCAAGAGACCATGCCCGGCTTCCTATGCAGTGGAGCGCCGAGGCTAATGGTGGATTCTCTTCCTCGTCGGAAAAGACATGGATGCGTGTGCACGATAACTACCCCGAGATAAATGTGAAAGTGCAGGAGAACGATGAGACTTCTGTCTTGTCGTTCTGGAAACAGGTTATTCAGCTGCGTAAAGAATACGCCGACCTCTTAGTCTTCGGGGATTTTGAGATCCTGGACGAGCAAAATGAGAAGGTGTTCACCTATGTCAAGCGAGGGCTGAGGAATTCGGTTTTGGTAGTATTGAACTTCTCAGAGGATACGCTGAAATTCGAGAAGCCTGCCGCTGTGCAAGATCAGAAGGTGTTGCTGCGTAACGTTGAAGGGGATTTGGGCAATTTGCAGCCATTTGAGGGACGTGTGCTTTTGTTCTAGTTGATAGAGATAATGATTTTGGTAGAGGCCTCGGACTGAATACATGATTTTATTCCTTCCCTCCTTTGGAATATGAAAAGAAATTAAAAAATTGATCCAAGTAAAAGAGTGCCTCAGGCCATTGCCAAGGCGCCAAGGCACGAGATCAATCATAAACCTGGGGTAAAACAGGCGGGGGCTCACGATGTCTCTTCCCACCGACATCGCGCGCTTAGATTGATACATTTATCACTGTAAAGCCATGGAGGATCGCCGTCGGCCCCGAGTATCCAAGGCATGTGACGCTTGTGGGCGCAGGAAAGTCCGCTGTAATGGCCAGCAACGATGCCAGCAATGTGAGCACCTGGGCCTAGTTTGCACATACACCGATAATCGACTTGCGCGATCGAGGAAGCATGCGCTACGTCGAGGAGAAATCATCTCGAAGCATAGAATTAAGTCGTCGTCAAAGCCACTTCTCGCTCCAGCTTTATCCTCAGTTTCAACCTCATACTTTGAAAGCCTGGTCCCGGAATACATGCATTTCGTATATCCATTCAACCCCATCATGACCGACGACGAGTTACAAGATGCAATCAGCAAAATGGACTCGGACGGAGAGAATGCGGCATTCGTATACGCATTCGCTGCGGCGACCATTGACCTGACTCAATCCAATCACCCCACGTCAAGCGCCTCAACCCAAATCACCCAGCTCGTCAACCAATCTATCAAAACCCAGCCGCCAATGCTCCTTGGATTTCGGCCGTCCATCCTGCGCACAATGACCAACATCTTCATCCAGATGTGCTTTATGAGCCTTGGCCAATACGATCTAGGCTTTATATATTTGCGCGAAGCCATCGCCATGATCCACCTCCTGCGCATCGAGGACAAGACCGTCCTCGGACGTCTCCACCCCACAGAACGAGCCCGACGCCAACGTCTCTACTGGTTGTGCTTCATCCATGAACGATTCATGTCGGTCGTCCACTTCTCTCCCGCAACCCTGTCCCCCCATGCCTCCTTCCCAGAGGTTGACCCCAACCTACCCCCCGGTATCTCCCAGGGCTGGACCCAAGTCATCAAGACCTTCCTCCTCCTCGAACCAACCTTCATCAACCTCTGGATCGGCGATAGAAGCCAAGTATCTGCTAAATGGGTAGAGCAAAAACACCGCGAGCTAGACGACGCCCGCTGGGAACTCGAAGTCTCGATGTTATCCGAGACGCAGCAAGCAGATCTCGTCATCACCAGACAATGGATGCGTACTCTTCTCTGGCAAATGGCCATGTCCAACTGGCTTTTATCCTCTCGTGCTCCCTGTCCTTCACTGTCCCTTGAACTCCCGCTCCGACTATCCAGCCAGCTGAGACAATTCCTGACTAAGATCTCGCAGAACACGATCCGCGTGCACGGGTCTTCGATCCTCAACAAGCTACTGGAGATTATTAATACGATCGCTGATGTAGTTATTCATCTTCCGCAGGCAACGCTAGAGCAGACGACTAGTCGGATTGGGGATATTGTGTTTATGAAGAGCGTGGTGTTTTCGTTTCATAATTTGCAGCAGATGTCGAGGGATATTCTCGTTGAGAAGTTTTGTTTGATTAGGGATCGCTTTCCGGGGATTGAGGCTGCTTGTCAGTTGACTATTTAGTTGGCTTGATGGTTCATATCACTTAATGAATTGTTTTAGTAGCCTGATGGAGATTAACTGAAGTAGGTTTTGACTGTTGTGTAGAACGAGGGTGAAAACTGAATGAGTGATAAGAAGCGAAGGGGTAAAGAGAAATTGCGATGGAAGTGGTTAAAACCATCTCTCGATGCAGGAATCCTAGAAGGGAATTTTATTGAACGCTAAAAGGCTCCAACCCCAAATTATTGTGTGCTTTCTGAGTGGGCGGACATTCAAAACTAGGCAGCTTGCGAGAGATATAGCACAATAAAACCAAGAAGTGCTCGAGACCCGATCATACCGTTTAAGCCTTTGGATCTTCAATCTCCCCATCAATGATCTTTTCTGGAGTCTCCGTCTGTAAAACACCATCCGAGCTGATATACTCAGGCCTAGAATATATCTCAATAGCATCTTCTCCGACGCTGCTGATAGTATTCCAGAATGTCCAAGCCGACCGAAAAGGCACCCTCCACTTCCACCAAATCGTATCACCAGAAACCTCCGCAGGCCCCGGAATCGGATTCGGACCCCAGCTTGACCTTTCGTAGGAGTAGTGCAGGACCACTGTGTTCTGGGAACGGGATTCATCATCAAGCACCGCGATCCATGAGTCAGAGATGCTGGTTGTCTGGGAGTCAGTGTGTTTGTCTAAGCGGGCTTGGAAGAATTCGCGCAACTCGGTGTCGCGTTTGCCCTCGAAACCGGTGTCGAAGTCATGGATCAGAGGTTCCGTATTCCATTCGTCTAGGGTTTCCTGATCGGGGGTGCGGACTAGGCTGAAGAAGTTGAATGCACCGTCCGGTAGAGCACATTCTTGCATGAGCCTGTTGATTGTCTGGGTTCGTTTAGTAAGTGGCTTATGAGCGTTGTATGGGGTTACATACACTAGCGGGGACTTTTGAAGTGCAGAAGAGGAGAACAGCAGACATGGTGTACGCTGGCGCTTTGTCTAGTGACTGAAGTGGTAATTGAAGACGTCCTGGCGCATAAGATGGATAAATGTAGGAACATATAAGAAAGACTGGGGCTGAATGGATCAGCTGAAAAACGATAGTGCCTGATCGACCGGGCACCCCGCTTTCTACCCCACGGGTTTGGGTTTAGTAAGTGCATTGGCTCCCGCAGTAGCCCTAACCAGACGAAAGAAACGATAGGGAGCATCCCTAGCCCAGTGTGACCAGTTGGGGCTGTTCTTCAGCTGAGCATGCAGGAATAGCACTCAATCACACAACGCCTCGATTTAGTTGGTTCTATTCTGTATAATGTTGTTGCTTATTCTGTGTAACGCTCAATTCCACCACTCATATTACAAGACTCCTCATTCCCCGTCGCTTACTTGTGCCTCTTTCATTGGCACATAGCCTTGGCACTTGAATAAGCTGACAGTGCATGCATTTGCCTGAGGATCTATTCCGTTCACGATAATATCAGCGTTACATCCAGCCCCTGGGGGCATAGGTTGCCTCCTCGTGATTCCAGCCGTAATCTGTTATTGGTGGGTTCGATATGTGGAAATATGCAAGGCAATGCGGCCGGAGGAGGAGGAGTGTATGCCTCTTGAAGATAAAAGGCACAGAACCGCCGTCATTCAGGAGAAGAGAAACTGTTCATGCGATATCGCTTGAGTAGGATTGCTCAGACTTTGTTCCGAAAATGCAGATCATCAACTCCCTCCTGGTCTTGGCGCTTTATGCGGTTGGTATCCAACAAGCACTAGCTGTGCCTGTTAACCCTGAGCCCGAAGCTGCCGGTGAGAGTAATGCCGTCCTTGCAACTGGCAGCGGCGATAGTCAAAGCGACCCCATCAAGGCCAACCTGGAGATCAAGGGCCAGAGTGCCCTGCCATTTGACGTCGACTGCTGGGCTATTCTCTGCAAGGGCGCCCCAAATGTCTTGTAAGCCCCTATGTGCTATGCCTTTTGACTTCAATCGGCATCTCTTACATATAACCCGCCCTCCAGACAGCGAGTGAATGAAAAGACGAAGAATGGTAACCGCGACCGGAGCGGCGCGAACAAAGGACCGTTCAAAGATCCTGCGAAATGGGGCATCAAAGGCCTCCCAGCCAAGAATCCATCCTGGAGCACACAGGAATTCAAGTCGCCTGAGGAGTATGCGTTTGCGTCCTCTCTTCAGGGTGGAACTGGGTAAGCTAGACCTCTTACCATTGCAGCTCAATGTGATAGCTGACTCCATTGCTACAAAGCGCCGTCCTCGCGCCTGTCAACCTCGCCGCTCAGAACTCTCAGGGTGGTATTCTCAACGGATTCTACTCAGCGAACAAAGTCAAGCAGTTTGATCCCAGCAAGCCTAGCGAGACAAAAGGCACCTGGTTCCAGATCACCAAATTCACTGGCGCTGCGGGGTAAGAACACCCATTAATCGCAGTTGGCGGTATTTTACTAACAAGATGGTAGCCCTTATTGCAAAGCTCTTGGGAACAATGACAAAGCTGTTTGCGCTAAGAACCACAATGCTGCAGGGGACTGGGGCTACGACCCGGCCAACTGGGCATACACATATGACCAGAGCAACAACAAGTTTAAGTATGTTGGTAAGTAGGCAGGTAAGCTCCCGGCCAATCTTATCAGAGGATATGCACCTGCTCGGAAAATCTTTGTTAGTCTTTAGATGTTTAAAGAGTCCGATTCCATGTTCAATGCATGGTTGTATAGCGCAAAGTATAACAAATGCCACTTTCATCCTCCGCTGTCAACTTCCATATTTTATTTTCCAATATACTCTCTATCTCCTTATGCTCTAGTAGGACTAAATAAGTGAGGAAATCATGGAGGAAAAAAGACTCGTTTGATGCTTCTCTCATATTAGGCACTAAGACTCGAGCTCGGTTTCAGCTCCATGATCTACACAGGTCTTCCAAATTAGTATATGATGGCCTGCAACAAATTATGGGATCCTGTGCACGCTAGCATATGAGTCTATCAACGAAAAACTGGGATAACTGCCCTAAATGGACACACTTTAGCTCAATCTATGATATGATACCAAAGGTATGGCACAATACTTGCTCATGGGATAATCTATATCCAACCCCCAAAGTCAAGGTACACTTTTGCCCACTCTGCATAATGAGACTTAACACGAAAGCGTAATGGAATTTGCTATACATCAGTTAAAACAACAATAGTTTGCTATCCCGGCTACCAACGCGATATTCCCCAGCCAAATCCTCCCAGCTTCACCTCCCATTAACCTCTCGCCTAACTGTCCAGTGGCAAGCTAATACGTCCTATTTCCTTACCCTAGTCCATGTTCCAGCTACTTAACGAATGGTATATACGCATATACTATGAACACATCTTGCGCGAGGCGAGCATTGTCGACATCGTCGGCAATGCCTTTGGTACCCATTTTCGCTCACTTGCTCGAGAAGTTCGGGTACTCGCTCTGCCGAATTATCACGGCATATTAGCCTTTGATCAGTACAGAAGGTATGTCGTTCACCTCACTTTCATAATCGAGAGTGGGTACATCATTGGCCAGGTCCCCATCGGACCTTTTTACAAACAGGGGATAAGAGTCTGTGGGCACATCCTGCATCGGTGGCACATTTCTTCACGGTGGTGGAGGGGATACTGTGTGATTAACCTTTGTGAAGCTGCTCTGGATAATAGGACAAGGGGAACTTGCTCTTACTATCGCCGTTGCCAGTGTCTGGGATGGGTGCGAGGCACGCAACTTGGGTTGCACAGGAGAAGGGACAGAATGATGAACTTCATTTTGATGTAGGAGAGCTTCAGTGTCTGTGAGTGTTACATTGGGGAGTATCCGTTGGACGGTAGCTAAGATGAAGAGGGTTGAGGTTGTAGGGGGGTAAGATTCATCTGTATCTTAGTGGTCAATCATGACGTGAATCAATATACCCTCATTAGGATCCTAATATCCCAGAAATGTCTGATTCACAGCTCACAGTCGTTTAAATTCTAAGGTAGCCTCACTCCTGGTAACACAATATATTGATTCCATTTTGCTTATTCCTACTAAACGGGTGAAATATTGTCTTGTCTTCTTCAATCAACCACATGAGGGAGAGTAACTTGGCCGGAGGTAGTGACTTGCAGTAATCCATCCACCACACTATGTTGTGATTTTGTATTATCCAACAGATTCAGATCCTTGATTCTGAAAGACACTTATGCATAACGATGTGCTTATGAGTGGGTTACCAAACGCACTCCCATGGGGCCTTTACCTGGAAGGCTTCCACGTGGTCAGGGTCTATAGAATACGCGGATATCCACTGATTAGTCAATCTCGCGATACCTCATGCTCGGACTATCAACTGGTTCCGCTCCGAGATTCTGCTCAATACTGTAGGTACGGCGGACTGAATCGAGCAATTGGCCAAAATGAAATTTTACCAAGGTTACCAACGGCCACGCACACTGACAATTCCCCAAACTAGTATAGTGTTATTACACCACCAATATCACTGTCCCGGCCAATATCTCACCAGCTGCCTTAGTTCTTATCTTGATGCATTTTTTATGAGCATGTTCTTAGTGAAGTGTAAGAAGAAAAAGTAAGTCTGTTTTCTTCTAGCCAGAGAAAGTATTTTCAGTGTAAGAGTAAGAATATATATCAAGGGTATCTACTATTCAGGGTAGAAGTCCTGTCAACTAGGTAAGGATATGTGGGCTAGAAGGGAGAGAAAGATCAAAGACAGGCAGTAGATACTATTCAGACAGAAGACTAATTCTTGATCTTCTACTACTACTAACAATTCGCTAATTTATAGCTGAAGACTCTATATATAAAGAGTTCAGATTTCCCGTTAAAAACCAAACTGTTAATGGCCTGATGTTCCTTATTAGTGGCTGATTGCCCATGTACCTGCGTTAGGGTATCCTGTATGGCTATCAGACTAAATCACTATTCAATCAGTGATATTAGATTTAAGAAAGATTCTGAATTCTTTAGGTATAGAGTCTTTAGCTATAAATTAGTGAATTATTAGTAATAGTAGAAGATCAAGAATCAGTCTTCTGTCTAAATAGTATCTACTGCCTATCTTTAACCTCTCTCTTTCTTTTAGTCTATGTATCCTTATCTAGTTGACAGGTTCTCTACTCTAAATAGTAGATACCCGTAACAAGTATAGTACAATTATATTAGTTATAAACTAAAGATCAGTTAACTACAAAAAGCTAAATAACTATTTACTTAGTAGTAAATTGGTTATATAGAAAGAAAGATTTGTTTGGCGTGGCAATTAAGATTTCGCCAAGGTTCCGGTAAAAAATCCATTTTGGCCAATTGCTTGATTCAGTCCGCCGTAGTAGGCGGTAAAGGATCTACAAACTGGACTCCTCCGTATTGTGGATGGATAGTCAAATCTTCTGTGTATTATTGGCACAGATGCATAAGTCAAAGTCTAAAGACTCGCTCTGCCGAACAAAGTCACCGAAAAGCCTTGTTTTGTTCCTAAAGGCATCTTCTACCTTGGCAATGTAACCTGGACATTTACGGCCATTTATTTAGGTCCACAGCACGGAGTTCTCCGTGTTTGCATGGATCTGGCTGAATATTCAGACAATATTTAGGCGTATGGGACAACTCTATCTTTTCTGAAGGTACTCAATGTTACAGAAAATGTTGTTTACTATCTAACATATGTCTTTCTTTTTATATAAAGAAAGTACTTCGTTTAGTGTAATTATAAATATCTGATCACTTTGACACATGCATGGTGTGAATATATAGAGTCATGACAAGTCGTCCATATCCAAGCTCAACAACCTTAAACTAAAGACATAGGTATAAATGATGCATGGTCTCATCGCTAGAAGGAAAACAAACAATAACAACAACAATAATAAAAAAAAAAAAAAAAAAAAAACCTAATGTCTGAAACTGACCTTGGTTCCATTTCTCGAGCACAGCGTTAAGGTCAGGTTCTCTTCCCACGGGCCAGGATCCCGACTTTCGAGAACCGAAAATTGTTGTGCAAGACGCACGGTGACGTAGCCAGCCTCGGTGAGCGCATATTGCTGGCCCACACAGATACGCGGGCCTCCATTGAAGGGAAGGTACTCCCATCCCGGTCGCAGATCGACCCAGCGCTCTGGCCGATACTCATTCGAATCAGGCCCGTAGAAGTCTTCACGACGGTGCATTGAATATACGCTGTACGCGACGATGGAACCCTTAGGGACAAAGACGGGTGCTTGGCCATCCGGACCGCCGCCGACAGGGAGGACGGTATCGTTCACGGCGAAGCGGGCGTTCGAAGGGACAACCGGGTGAAGACGAAGAGCTGACCTGTTAGTTTGATAGATAGAGTAGAGATCCATATGGAAAGCTTACATTCGTTCATGCAGTATTTGAGATATGTGAGATTGCGCAATTGCTCATAGGTGGGAGCGCGCCCTTCCAGCGAGGCGACCTCTTCGCGCAGCTTTTTCCAGATACGGGGGTTCTTCGCTAGCATGAAGAACATGTTACTGAGCAAGGACGCCGTGGTATCCCGGCCGGCGAGGAGCACGTTCATCAACTCGTCACGAATCCGCGTGCGATCACCAGTCTGTTGCGCTAAGCCTTGGAGAAACAGATACCTCTGCTTTTTGTCGTCCGCCGCCGAGGCCTTCTCCTCGTCATAGATGGCACGGTATCTCAAGGCCTTTTCCACATACTGTTCGACCAGTCCATGGCACACCCGGTTGCACCGTTCCGCCTTGCGATCTCGGAAAAGGTGTCTCAGCGGGCCCAAACGGGTACTCGTCGCGATAGCGTCCTGCGCGTAATTGAAGGAGCTGGCGAAGTCATTTTCGTCCGTCTCGACGCCCGACAGACGCTTCCTAAGGGTCTGGACGCTATGGCCGAACAGGAATTCCGTCGCGGAGTCAATCGTATAACAGAAGAACAACTCCTGCATATCGACCGTGGCGCCATCGGTAGGGATTAAGGCCAACAGATCACCCATGAGCTCCTCGAAAATATCCAGATGGGCGACCTGATCCTTGACGAAGTTGGGACGAATCATGGCGCGCGAGTGCGCCCAGTGTTCCCCGTCCGTGGTGAAAATGCCATGGCCGAGCAGGGGGCCGAATGCATGAATGCGGTTTCCGAGCCCGTAGTCCTTGAATTTGAGGGACAAGATGGTCTTTACGTTCTGGGGTTCGCGAGTGACGATGATCGGGGTCCGCAGACGTCGGGCACGAAAGGTGTTTCCATACTTGTGGAAGCGGGACAGACCGCGCTCAAGTAAGATGTGTTTTTTGGCCGCGTCGATATTCTCCCGGATGTTGTCGAGTCCTAGGAAGGGGTCCTTGGAAACGATCACGTGGACCGGCTGACAGTGGTTGGCGCGGGCAATGCGATATTGTTTATACTTCCGCTGAAGGGCCGTGATGGTATATAGAAGGAAGACCACCGCGCTTGCAAGTAGCGCCACAGGGTAGCGAGAGGTATCCAGAAGCATGCTGATTTGTGGTTTTGGCTGGGGGTCAAGGAGAGGGACGGTGGTGGGGAAGGTCTATCCCAATATATAACTCAATGTAGACAAAGGGATCGAGGGGGGAGGGCCTGCACCTGATACTACTAGTAATACTACCTATTATATGTCGCGTGTGCCTATCAGGGAGACGAATATGACCCATTACGTCTCGAAACAATTGCCGAATTCCAACTATGGTCGGGGTACCCGCACGATGGAGAAAAACGACCGAGGCTAAAGATAGCCTACATTATATCATAATCATTTTCGCAAGGTTTACCGAATGGGAGTAAGTCCATTTTCCCATCTTGTGCCGTCTCTACGGTTCAGTGGCTAGAATGTTAGGTAACCTGAAAATCACTCCCCTACGACCCCATTGTTCCATTTAGAGGTGTTCTCGGGATTCCTTAGTATGTTTCTGGAATGTCACTTATTATATCTATTACCCTTTTCGGGCAATACCCTGTCAACCTTTTCAGGAGGCAAATACTACTACTACTACTACTACCACCACCACCACTACGAATAATGAAAATAGATGAAAATAGTTAAAAAAAAAGAAAAAGAGAAAATATGAAAGGCTAGTGTCATACCCAGCAACAACATAACGCTCACATTTGAAACTCTACTTCTAGTCTCCAACTCTCTAGTCATTCGGTCTAAGCAAAAATATAAGCTCCGTCCCCCACTTCGGTGTTCGGTTACTCGTCAAATCCTTTACCGTGACTTAAGTGAAGAAGAGATGCTGTGCCCCAGTCAGGTGCCCGTGTGGCGCGCAGCTCTCAAGCATTCCCCGATTGGGTTTAGTCCCGATAGTCGGCCTTGCCGACTCTCTTCCACCAAACCTTTCAGCACTTCTCCGAGCCACTCAAAGTCCTTTTTCTCTAAATAAACTTGGGCACTGAGACGGGTCCACAACCAATCTCCATGCTGGAAAATCGGTACAAAAGTTCTGAACTCATCTTTCAAAGTCATCTGTAAGAAATTCACGACCTTGCTGACATCATCGGCGGACACCGGAGGGTAAGGTGACGATGATGTTTCGTCTCCTTGGTGACCAATGGCAATCGGTAATCGGACAGTGGACATTCCGCAGCGACGGATTTCGCTCCTTTCCCCGGACCGAAGTCCAGGCTCCTGGAGAACATTGGTGCCTAAAGCAGCTGCAACAATATCGCCGCCCTCATTGGCGAGCTCTTCAAGATATTTAAAGATCGCGTCATCTCCGCCACACACGTCGGTACGGAAGCGGATAGCGTCTGGGACAGTCAAGTAAGCCGCATCATCACTCGTAGCCACAAACTGGAAGAGCTCTTCAAAAGCGCTCCGATTGCTGCCAACGGGGGTCAGGATATTGGGCTTGTCAGACGTGGACAGTTGGGGATCCGCTATAAATCCCCAGGAAGTCGGCAGAGTTGTGCGGATCAGATGTTGATTGCGCAAGGGAACGTAAAGGACTGCACAACCACGGGGGACGTAGAGCCATCTGCATAACCTCATTAGCTTGCGAGGTATCTCTCAAGAGGAGACGGGCCTGTACTTGTGCAAATTACTTGTAAAGAAATCCGGCTGTAACTCATTCAGGTCCAAGGGAATGTGTCCGATTCCATGCGCCCCATCGATGAGGCTGAAGATCCCTTCGTCCTTGCAGACTCTAGTCAACTCCTCAAAGGGAAATCGCATGCCCGGAAGACTCGTCACAGTGTCGAATACGGCCACTTTCACGTTCAACCCTTCCGACCGAGCTTGTTCAACGATACCTCTGAACTTCTGCACAAGGGTCTTGTGGCTGACGGGACAAGTATAATCGACCTTCCTTGCCCGAAGGGGTGTGGTTTCAGTCAACGAAGTAATTGTCTTCTCGACTGCTCCATATGTAGTTGCGAAGTAAATAAGGACATCTCCCTCCTTGTAGCTAAGATTCCGAAGGACCGTGTTAACCCCAGTGGTAGCGTTCTTCACCAAGACCACTTCTTGTACGGGGACATTCAGAACCTTGGCGGTTGCGACACGCGACTTATCAATCAATTCGCCTTGTGTGTGACGAATGAAAGGGTCAGGGGTTGCCTCAATTTCATCCTGATACTTCCGGAGCGCATATTTTACTTGCGCTGGATATGTACCAAAGGATCCTAGTATATATGGTATAAGCATCATGGATATTCTGCTGCAACGGGAGTGAAACGCAAGGATAGATAAATGAACAATAACAAAAACAAAAGTCTCTTTGTAACTCCATTTCAAGAGGGGAAATATTTGGAGGGTAAAAGGCATATAATATAATCCATGGGTGCGTAATAAACATGAGCATATATCGATTGACATACCGTGGTTCAGATTTTTATATTTGGGGTCAAATAAGAAATGCTTCAGCATAGGAGCTCCGAATGGAGTTGGATCATACGACGGAGATGTCATTGTAATGATTTTGTACCTCACTATCCAATTAATAGAGTGAGTTGAACGTACCAATATGAATTATATAGTAACTACCTCGTTGAATACTTAGTAAGTATCCGATGACTCGCATTTGAAGAAAACAGAATGCGTGAGTCACTCCACCAATTGGAGTGGAAAGGTCAAGCGTTAGACCCACTTCCCACGCCCTTTTGAAATGACACAAAGACACCATTCCTGAATAGGAAATGCTACTTGTTCGATGGTCTGTGCACATGACCTCCAATTGGAACTTCAACTTTGGACTTGTTCACCCATCTCACTGTGTGCGTCTTGTACAGACAAGTAGCAAGTATTACCAATCTAAGTGATGGTTAATATGGAATTGGAAACACGGCATCCTGCGATACAGGAGGATACGACCAGGTCAAATCTCCTAGCTGATAGTTCCTCATACCCGTCCGACGACCAACATAATGAGCTGCAACTGCCTCCGGTGGATGGTGGTAAAGATGCATGGCTGTTCTTGGCTGCGAGCTTCGTCATTGAAGCTCTTGTTTGGGGTTAGATTCCAAGATCCTACTCTAGATCGCTTTCTTATAGTTCGCCCAGGCTTCTCCTTCTCCTACGGAATTTTTCAGGACTACTACAGCACCCACGAGCCTTTCAAAAGTTCAGGAAATATTGCCATGATTGGTACATGCATGATGGTGTGCTAGTGTTCACATTCGCTGATGAAGTTGCCTAGCCTAACTTTATTCTAGGGCGTAAACTATATGATATCCCCTTTGACATTCGTCCTATTACAGGGATTTCCCACTCTGAAGCGGTGGTCATCTCCTTTCGGCTTTGTTGTTATGTGCCTAGCCCTCGCATTGAGCTCTTTTGCATCTAACACCACCCATCTTATCCTGACCCAGGGTATCGCCTACGGGATTGGAGGAAACTTTGCTTATTCACCTTTAATCATCTTCATGAACGAATGGTTTGTGCACAAAAGAGGTCTTGCTTTTGGAACCATGTGGGTAAGTAATCTCTGATTAAATTGCCATTTTGAGTGTAGATTATTTATCCTGACCGTGCGGCTCATTGACACTGACGCTTCCACATCTAGGCTGGCACCGGATTATCAGGAGTGGTGCTGCCTCTGGTACTCCAATGGCTCTTGAACGCTTATGGTCATAAGACCACCCTTCGCATCTGGGCTGTGGTTTTGTTTTTGATGGCTGCCCCGCTTCTCTACTATGTAAAGCCCAGGTTGCCCATTTCCCGTGCATCCAATGTCCGAGCATTCGACATGAGCTTCCTTTGGAAGCATACTTTCCTCATCTTCCAGATGGGTAATATCGTCGAAGCCCTGGGATACTTCCTGCCGACGATTTACCTGCCGACTATCGCACGCACCCTGGGCGCCAACAGTGTTCTAGCGTCTTTGACTGTCATTTTGTGCAATCTTGCATCAGTCTTTGGATGTATCGCCATGGGCCATCTCGTGGATCGATACCATGCGACGACCTGCATATTAGTATCTACAATAGGCAGTACTATTGCCGTATTCTTACTCTGGGGGTTTTCCGTGTCGTTGGCGCCCCTTTACGCGTTTTGTGTTGTTTACGGCCTTTTCGCCGGATCATTCACCTCTACCTGGCCGGCAATCATGAACGAGGTGGTGAAGAAAAGTCAACTAGCGGATCCCTCAATTGTCTTCGGTTTCTTAGCAACTGGCAGAGGGATTGGCAACGTTGTCAGTGGGCCTTTGAGTGACGCATTGATCAAAGGGTCATGGGGCTTTAACTCTTCTGCGTTTGCATATGGAACCACGTACGGCACTCTTATCATCTTTACGGGAATAACTGCCCTATTTGGTGGAATGAGCATAATAGGAAGGCCTCTGAAACTGACATAGGGTACCACGTCGGAGGCGCCTAGGGATATCTTATGTGGTGTGCGAGAGTAACCCAAAAGTAATGCTTGGTGGGTTCACTTACAGATTTTAAACAGCTAGAACTATGTATTGCCAATGGCCCGTGGAGAATTATATAACGTCCAATATATATATGTGCTGCCTACGAGCGAGTCTATTGCTGCCAACTGAAAGCAACGCTTGTACGACACCAACAACCACCATACAGTATATACGCTAGGCATAATGCAATTGCCATTTAAATCATATCCTGTGCGATTTGCTGCTCATCGGCGTCTTCAGGACTAGATATAGCGAAGCCGTGGATATGACAGTCTCTCAAAAGCACAAAGCTCAAATTGCGATATTCTAATATGGCAATTCGCCGACAACAATCGTGAATTAAAGTAAGTGACCGTAGTCTGCGATCGTGGTGCAACTTAGATACACACAGGCTAAAGATCGTGTTGTTCTTCAACGAAGTTATCTCATGCCTTTCCGCCACTGGCCACGCTTAATACAATCTTCCATTCAACCTCGTCCGGTGTATCGGCATGGATAGATAGCTTAACATCAAGGGCGTTCCTCAGCTGCTCTTTGGTGCTTGCATAAAGCATGCACAGCTGTAAGTTCTGCTTAGCATTTTGAACATGAAGTTGAAGTACACTCAAATAGGAATACCGGACATACTTTGAGAGGCGTGTTGCTCGGGACCCAACTGATAAACACTGTTCTGCACCTCTTGCCATCCTCTCCTAAGTCATATTCGACATCATAAACTGCATAGCGCGGGACTGGCTGGCCACGGACATCCACAGCGGAGCACAGTGTGTGACGGAAGATTTCAAAGTCCTTTTCCGTAGAAGATTCTTCCACTAAAACAGTTGTTTGGTCGTCAGAGATCCGGTAAATAACAAACTGAGGCTTCTTGGCACCTCTTCCGGAGTGGAGTTGTTTATAGGCGACGAGGCATTCATCCGCTATGGAGACACTATCGATAGCTTAGCTAGCAAAAACGCAAGGAAGATCTCATATGGGCAAGGGAGGAACTGAATTATCTCGCGGCATACCCCGACGGCGTCTAGCATACAGTTAAGTTAGATCGATAGAATTATGTACACGAATGCCCCCAAGATCAGGACGAGAGATACATACCGACATATTGAGCGTGGAAAATGGAGATGGAATGGAGACTAAGATAGAGCTTGACTTGCATTACTGAAGTCATCATATTTATTCATTTATATATCGACCTTTGTTAGGCTGCCCCATTTCATAGAAAATGAATGCCTAAGCTTGCCCGTCCGGATAGCCGGGGCCGCGCAATCTGGGATACCGAGTCGCTATAACCCTAGATCATCTGGAGAACGACGCGCAATCAAATTCAATAAGACTTGGTTGCCTGAGATGTCGTTGCGCATCCAAATTTGTCGTCGGTAAGTCACTGTTTTTTGTAGGATAAAAGCTTTGAGCTGCCTAAGATAAAGTACACCACTTAGGCAATGATGATATTTTATCTATAAGTATCGGAGACGCCTGTATCGGGTGCAATTATTTATCGCATCTCTACACAATATAAACTCTCAAAAGCAGCTGCGGTTCTCTCGATATTTGATCAATCATTGTGCTTGGACTGGCTCTATATTCTCAATCTTGATTTGCGTGTCTTTACTACGCTTAGGTTACGCAGTCATGGCCATCATGGAAGGTAAGCTATATCATATGTTCTTTTCTACGACTTACAATCCCTCAATATGACTCCATTTGTACCAGTTGGCTATTTACACATCGCTAACCTGACACATGATAATGTAGACGACGTTGCAGCCATCGTTATTGACAATGGGTATGAGGCGCACATCTCCTCAGTTGTCCAGCAGGAGAATTGTTGCTAAATGCTAATACACCCTCTACTTGCAGTTCGGGAATGTGCAAAGCCGGTTTCGCTGGCGATGATGCTCCCCGCGCCGTGTTTCGTCAGTAAATCCATAAGTCCTTTTCCATTCAAGGGGGGGGAAACTGACAATCTGGGCCAGCTTCGATTATTGGCCGTCCCCGTCATCAGGGGTAATACCTCCTTGTCTTTCGTCCAAACAAGCACAATCTTTAAAGCATGGCTAGCATGGCTTAATTAGTTCTTCTGTTGAAGATAAGAAGCAATAATCGGATGTCTAACACTTCTACAGGGTCATAATTGGCATGGGCCAAAAGGACTCCTACGTCGGTGACGAAGCCCAATCTAAACGTGGTGTTCTATCACTCAATTACCCCATTGATCACGGAATTGTTACCAACTGGGACGATATGGAGAAGATCTGGCATCATACCTATTTCAACGAGCTCCGTGTGGCGCCTGAGGAACACCCCGTCCTCCTGACAGAGGCCCCTATTAACCCTAAATCTAATAGGGAAAAGATGACCCAGATTGTGTTCGAGACTTTCAATGTGCCTGCCTTCTATGTCTCTATCCAAGCTGTGCTGTCTTTGTACGCTTCCGGCCGTACTACGGGCATTGTCCTCGATTCCGGCGACGGCGTTACGCATGTAGTGCCCATCTACGAAGGTTTCTCTATGCCTCACGCCATCGATCGCGTTGACATGGCTGGCCGTGACCTGACCGGCTACCTGATGAGAATCCTGGCCGAACGTGGCCACAGCTTCACTACATCCGCCGAGCACGAGATCGTCCGCGATATCAAAGAGAAGCTCTGCTACGTTGCTCTTGACTTTGAGCAGGAGATCCAGGCCGCAGCCCAGAGTTCCAGTATCGAAATATCATACGAGCTTCCCGATGGACAGGTTATCACGATTGGAAATGAGCGATTCCGAGCACCAGAGGCTTTGTTTAGACCTAGCCTACTCGGGCTCGAGAGAGGCGGTATCCACGAGACTACATTCAACTCGATCCAGAAATGCGACGTCGACGTTCGCAAGGACTTGTATGGTAATATTGTCATTGTATGTAATCTCTCTCTTGATTTTATGTTAATGAGTAACTGGCATTCAACTAATATTTCTTCTTCTTGTCTGCTAGTCTGGTGGTACTACGCTTTACCCTGGGATTGCAGATCGACTACAGAAAGAGCTCACTAATATGGCTCCTACGTCGATGAAAATCAAGGTGATCGCCCCGCCTGAGCGGAAGTACTCGGTCTGGATTGGAGGGTCGATTCTGGCTTCACTCTCTACGTTCCAGCAGATGTGGATTTCCAAACAGGAATATGATGAAAGCGGGCCTTCTATTGTGCATCGGAAAGCTTTTTAAATGCTTTCTTGCGACAGGTATAAGAGGTATAGGGGAGATATGGTAACAAGGCCAAAGGAATCCGATCGCACAGAGGACGGTGGAGTAAGTAACCGGGTAGAGTTGGTACTTCTACTGTGCACTTCTGGAAATGTACCAAGTTAATCGATTGTAGGAATTGTGAGAAGGACTAGTCATTCCTCAGAACTGTAGTTGCCTAGCTAACGAAGATAAACGTAAGAAGATTCACTCAAGAGTTAGGATAGTTACATACCAACTATGCCATTGTTATTATTCTCAATAATGTTAATATTAGTTAGGGCTGAGGACATCGGTTCAACCAATAGACAAAGGCTAGCGGAAGGCCGGATGCCGCGGGCCCGGGTGTCCGGCGGATTCATCTTCATCTTCTCTCATTCCCCCATTTCTCCATTGCCCCAAATCTATGGTGAAATATCTACGTATAGTGAGCCAATGACACGACCGGACAGAAGAGAGACAATCCAGGCTAGGCGGCACCGACTTTCGGTGACTCCTCGTGCAGTATGACCTATGCCGCCGACAAATTTGTCCGACCCGGGCCGTAGCTAACTGTATTTGCAGTGCGAAGGATGTAAGATACGGAAGGTAGTGGATTCCTGAATGCACTCCAACTCCCCGAATCTAATGGCGGTCATTTTAGATCCGCTGTGATCGCACCGATCCCTGTTCAAACTGTCAATCCTCTGGTATCACGTGCGAGAAGGCCAGCTCTCATACCAGGTCGGAAACTCGTCCCAGACCGGCGCGAGATCTGTACGCCTGCCTCGCATCACTGTCCAAATAGATCAGACCATATCTAAGACCTGACCACTTTCCAGGGAGGAACAGATTAAAGCTCTCGAAGAACGGCTCAGCTCACTCGAACACCAGCTGAGTACGCAGGGTGGTATATCAGAGCATCGGAGACATGCAGCGGTGCAGGATGAAGTTCGCGCCGGGAGTGAGAAAGTTGTACCGCAACTAACGGGCCCTGCTCCTCTATTCGAGGGTATCTCCTCATTCACCACTCAATCTATTATAGCAAGCGATGTGGCTCAGAACACAGCCAACTCGGAAGGCGCCGGAGAACGTTCAGACTTTAAGTCATCCTTGAACCACCTAAGACTATTGCTCCCGACACCCGCCCTATCGGCATCGCCAGAGGAGTATCGAATGTCTCGAGCTCCTGCGGCACAGTCTGTACCTTCGGTGGACCATTTGCTCCCGCTTGATCTGGTCATAGCTCTTTTGCAAGAGATAAAGAGTAAGCACTTGATATTAGAGTTTTATCCCTGATACTAACGTCTGTAGCTAATCGCCCCATCTTTCTTTGCTCTTATGCAATAAACAACCATGTCTTGGTTGAGCGACTCTGCCAGAGGGTCTATTTCCCGACAGAACCGATTTCAACGGGCCACCTGGCTAGCATGTACGGAATTCTCCTTCCTATCCTGAAGGAATTTACAATCCTTCAAAATCCTTTGTGTCAGAGATTTGATCTTAAAGCGTACGCTACCAGATGCGGGCAGGACTTCAATAACCTGGTAGAATCATACGATGTTATGGCAGTTCCTAGCTTGGAAAATATATTCGCGCTAACTATGGGCGTAAGTCGGCACCGCACCATGCCTACTAGGGAACGAATGGATTTAACTAACGTCTTTTCTTCTTTTGCTGTATCGGCTAGTTCATACAAGCACAAGACGCAACCAAACCCTTGCTATGCTGCACTTTCATATCTGCAGCTGCCAGTCATTGCCAGATGCTTGGATACCATCGCGAGGTAGTATATCGTAATGATCAAACTGGGAACTCAGAAAACATGCGGCGACTATTTTGGACTACATACGTCTTTGAAAAACATATGTCCCTGTCCTTTGGACGGGCGTCGAATATGCAGGACTTTGATATCGACGCACAGTACCCGGCTATTTCCAATGACCTTGCCATTCGACCGTGGGATGAGTCGTTTGTCATGGGCATTCGACTAGCCAAGATCCAGGGCGAGATATATGACAGCCTCTACTCCGCGAAAGCTTCCCAGGCATCTCATCCTGAGCGCATGAAACGAGTACACCAACTAGCAGCTGACATTCAGCAGTGGTACGTCGAGTTTAAAGAGGTAAAGAAATCCATTACCCTAACTGCAATCTATGGCAATAACGTTTGTGTCTAGATTGATGCTAGTAAAGTAAACAATCACCGCATATACAAATTCACCAGAGAGAGCTGGGACATAATGTATTACTCGACATTCACGTCTCTTTTGCGTGCACCGATTACATCTGGCGCTGCATGTGCAGAGATTAGCTCACAGTGCTTTCAAGTTGCGCGCCTCAGTTTACAGAGTCACTTACGCTGTTTTGGAAGCTTTCGGAGCTCCGACTGTCACTCAAATGCCGATTACGCTAATTGGTCTGCTCCCAATGATTCTTTGTATCTCAAGTGGTAGCTAATATCTCTAGGGTTCTACTCTTTTCCTCATTTACCCCATTCATCGTTATATTTCTGCACGCTATCGCAGCAACCAGCTCGGAAGATATCCAACTTCTTGAAGAGGTAGTAGGAAGCCTAGAGCACATTCGACGTGTATCACCTAGCTCAGAACGCCTCTATCAGGTCTGTTCCACCTTCCTGCAAATCGCAAGAGTACTGGTTGAAACAAGACATTCATGTGTTGGGACATACAATCAGCTAGAAGACAGCCTACAGTTCGCGGCCGATACAGGCCCGGCATCGATTTTCGAAGATGACTCATTGCAGGATCTGTTCGGAATGGAAACCTCAGATCACATACCGTACAAAGCGGGCCATGACGTGTCTGTGATTTTTGATTCCTGGGCAGCTGGATTGCCCGCGGGAATTAATTTATTTGGGGGTAGTGCTGGGGGTAGTGCTGGGGGTATCTAAAGTGATGGAAAATTTACTATTTATTGGCAGAAAATTAAACACGCCACAACCTACAATATTAACTCTTTGTTTCTGTGGCAGCCTCTATAAAATAGTACTAACTCTGACATGACTGTAATTGATCTTATGGTTGGATATTTATATGTGATTGCTCACGTTGTGTTATTTGACTGAAGTATATACTCCGCCGGATTAGAAGCTGCCACTTGATTAAGTTATTTGCATACTAACATGCAGTGTTCCTGAGCCGGAATTTCTTGTCTCAAAGCAAATATCGATCTGCATCGAGAATTTCCATGATATCAAGTTTGACAGGTCACCCTCTTCATGACCGTATCCGGTTTAGCGCAGCACATGGGTCCTAGTCTTGGAAGGCCAATCAGAAGCAATGGGAGGGAACCTCATTTCGCCCCTCCACCAATACACTGGTGTCAACATTTTGCCAAAATGGAGCTGAAGCATATTCTGATCCTTACAGCCATCTATATCGGTATGTTTTGGCCCAATGGCCCAATTTGAGGTTTCTGTTTCTGACCTATCTAGCTTTCCGCATCTTCAAGAGCCGTACCTCTGACCCAGCAGCCACCATGCCCCACGGAAAAGTCGTCGAGGTTGACAAGTATGAACTCGTACTCTCCAACCATATTGTTACATTGACTAACTCTCGATTCTTCTAGCCCCGTCATCTTCAAAGCCCTCACCTCCTCCGGCCCGGTCGTCGTCGACTTCTTCGCAACCTGGTGCGGTCCGTGCAAAGCTGTTGCCCCCGTCGTTGGAAAGTTCAGCGAAACCTTCACCGATGTGCGCTTCCTCCAGGTAGACGTCGATAAGAACCCCCAGATCGCGAAGGAACTGAATGTGAGAGCCATGCCGACATTTGTTTTGTTCAAGGATGGCAAGCCTGCGGGACAGCCGATTGTGGGTGGAAACATGCAGGCCTTGGAGAAGGGAATTAAGGAGCTCTTGGCTTAGATATTTCATGGGAGAAACACGCTGGTTACGTCTTATCTACATATGAGCATGTCAGGCACTGGGGGTGGATTATTGTGATTGTTGAGAGCGGTTGATACCCGGAGTATATCGAGCCATTGAAAATACTATACCTACCTGTCCGTAACATATAACCATTACTGATATATTTAATTCATCTTTACATGGGCATTTTGCCATGCTAACATCACTGTTTGTCCGGTGCATTACTGTGTATTAACGAGTCGGCGTCGCTCTTCCTAATGTTGAAGACTGCAGTAGGATATTCGATGTTGACTTTTTACTACCAGGTCGCCTTGGATCAGCTGCTCTAGCTGTAGATTTGAAACTGTCTTCAGGTTTGAACAGATACCTCCAGAAATGTTAGTTGGGCCCAGATAATCACGGTTGTTTGTCCTACCTGTGCTTTCGGATTCCACCTATTCACTTCTGGTTTTATATCTTAACCTAAGCTGGGTTCCCTAAAAGGTGCAGAACGTCATCACTACTGTCCAGGAAGAAAATCCTTCCACTTCCAGTACATTGGCACCTGTCCAGGTGCACATCGAATCAGACGATTCGATCGAGCAGGCCTTTACTGAGGTGCAGATAGAATATTTACTGAGGTAACCAGGCCCAGAGACAAAAATAGCTTATACAGGCCCTGGGGAAACGAAACTACAGGGCCGAACTGCGATATCAACCCCAGAAAGGATAGAAACTCGATCCAGTAGCAGGAGTAGCACCAAAACAGCCCACTCACTGATACTATTAGCTAAAGTTTAGGCATATAGCAATACAGACCTACCTTAGTCAGATAGGGATCCAAGACTCACCTAAGTATTAGAGCAACCAGGCTCTATAGAGAACAACAGGTCATTTACTAGTTAAATACAGACAATAGTACTACTAGAGACAGGCTCTATACAGAGCCCTAATTACGGCAGGAGTGCCACTGCCTAACAGGAAGAAACAGACCCAGAATACTGTCTCTTTAAGAACTAGAGAGCTACAAAGGCCCTAATAACCTTCTTTACCGTAATAAATATTGAATACTTCCGAAGGGAAGCAGCCAGGGAGATAGATAAGATTTATAGGGATAACCTTAGGGTCCTAGAGCTAGTAAATAAAGCAGAAAGTAAAGGGAAGGAATAGTAGAAAGGGCAATATAGATACGTCTAAGTGATACCTAGCAGGTAATAAACACTGAGAAGGGCATAGCCTAAAGGCTCTGGCGCAGATAGGCGGCTCGGGCGAGGAAAATGACTGGAATAAACATACAAAGTCAAGAGAGCTGGATCCAGCCTGGCTGTGAATATATCTATTTATATGCGCCAGATGCCTGGGATTCTTCGTACCCGCAATGTTGAACGATATTACTGGGCTTCAGCTGTACAGATAACTCGACGTGATTTTCAGGGGCAAAAAATACGGACAGCCAGCGGTAAACAGAATACATCCCCTAATCGATGCCGTCGCGGCGGAGGGATGACGATGGACGTTTGCAGATCTTATCTTGGCTGTTCGAAGGCACCCTGCCACATTGCATGCTTGGATCTGAGCCCATAACTTTCGAAGACAAGGATATGAGGTCTGCAAGTCGATTAACTCATCCGCCTGGGATTGTAAAAACTTCGCTTGGTTGCAGTGGATCCCAGGGGAGCTCCAGGAAAGACATGCCATGGGTCATCTCTAGTTATATCCGGTTATCCTGTCGTCCTGTTTCCAACGCCAGAAGAGCATCACTAACGTGCAGGAATTTCGAAGGCAGGGACATTCTTGTATCTGAAGTCACGAAGCTGGCTTTTACCGATAACTAAGCTGGAGTCGTTATACAAGCGAGGATAGTACAATCATGTCTTGGGCCTAGAAGGATAGGATCATCGCCTATAATAACACTGCTTGGGTTACGTTCAGCAGTACAGCTGTCCCATATAGCTGCGAAACATTTAGGCTTGTCAAAGATGGCCTAAAGCGTGAATGTGCTAGAAAGAGAAAGGAACTTCTGGCGCAGGTCTTCCCCCGTGCGGAACCACGTACGGAAAAAAGAGAAACTATGTTAGGAGAGTATGGTTGCGTAAAGGAGTTGCAGGAGAAGGCTCAAACGAGCATACAGAAGATATTCGACGTATTAAATAGAAAACTCAATCTCGTGCCTCTTTGGGATTTCGAACACTGCGCCGAGACGTATCCGATTATCTCCCTTCTCGATGATTCCATCCTTTCAATAGTAGCTAATAGCATCCGTGGTGTAGCTGTGGACACTACAAGGGCTTAAGAGTATCATAAAAGATCCTAAGAGGACATGTCCGCATACAACAGTTTTCGGGCGGCGCAAGGATCCAACAGCCAGCAACAATAACAAGGGATGAAATATTAAACTGCAAAATACCGTCCCATGCCGAGCCATTTGGAGAATTTAAAAGAGGAACGCCCTGCCCTGGGCCCGTAGATATCTTGCCAAGGTGATGGCTCATTCCTCATCCGGGGTGGTTACGGAGCAGGTCTCGACGTCTTGTCTAGGGATCGGTAGGCCGAATCTTGGGATAGCAAATTCTATTGGATCATCAATATCTATCTCTTCAATCAGGTTCTTTATTATTCCCCTTCCTTTTAAGCATTGATCCCAAATCCTCTTGTCACCTTCTATTGGTTAGTATCTTGTGCAAGGCGGACATACTTAAGGTTCTGACTCTCGGGTGGTTCGTCTCTAACATGGCATTAAGTATAAAGCTCTATACAGTATGCTTGTAGCGGGAGTTTACAATTTAACGTGATCACGCGACGGATTCTTGCGCTAAAGCCCTCCAACATAAGACGCTCCCGCGAACAAGTGCGTCTCTAGATACAGGGCAGGACCGTATAAGCCGGAAGTCCCCATCGACCGACACTGCTTGCCCGCGAAATGATGACACTAGTGATCGTTTTGATTCTCCCGATAGAGAGCTTATCATCCGGTCTGACTCGCTTGCACTCTCTAGAGCCCCCAATCCCTGCTGGCTGCGCAATTATCTGTACGCCGTAATGCCTTGGCCCCTGTCGTAATGCAAGCTACGATCGTGATCACAGAGACGCGGCGCATACTGGAATCTGGGATAGCAAGTATACAGTTATTTGGCATTGCTCCATCCTATACAGGTTGACTGCTTGAATTAAGTTGAAGTATGTCAGGAGTTGGCTAACTCACATGAAAGCTCTCATGAGTCAAAGACGGATCGCAGGCCTGATCGCACGACGCCGGTCCACTCATAAGAAAAAGGTGGTGGTGAAGCGAAACAGGCGCGATGACGGATCAGTAGAAAAAAATACCTCATTGTCAGAGGAGCCGACGGCTTGAGAAAGAGCGACGAGAATGAGGGGAACGTAGTAGTGAAGGGTCTCAACTTCAAGCAGCGCGTGAGTGGTGGTTTTACGGGACACGCACCTTGACAACCCTATACTGTTCCCGGTAACTCGCCGTCACCCAAGAATACGAACTATTTTGCGGTCATGAGGCAGAGATTCAAAGCATGAAAATTAGTTCGACAGGCTCTTACTTATCTCTTCATTGACTAAGTTATGCGTACATAACTAACTTGGGCTGGTGAGACAGAAAAGAACACGTCAGCCAGAAGATAGGAACGCGGGGTTACTGGATGAGATCTATGATCTATTGGGGTTCAATGTGGTGAGGGGAGTTTCCTAAATCTGGCTTTAGAGAACGATCATTCAATCTTGTACACGTCGAGTTTGATCAGTGACTCGCATGTACGTTATTATGCTCCAGATGGAGAGCTGAACGACCACAAGTGTAGACATACAAAAGTGAGATATTGGGCACCAAGGGATGGTCATGGTAAGAAAAGAGTTGACAGTTATTCGATAACGACAAATCAAAAGATGACTTTCATCCTGTCCACACTGCTAAGGGGGCTTCAAACCCAAGGTGTATGAAACGAACCACCAAAATCCCTGACCACAGGCTCGACTCAGGAAACTATGGGCACTATGTTTTATTACCCTGACACATTGCACTCGTCCCCAGAATCCTGCACCACAGCACCGCGTTCCTAACTTTCTGGGCTAAAGGTCGACCATTTCAATAATACCCTCCCCCCTCACCGAGCTTCAGAAACTGCTACATAGACGGCTTCTTTCTTGCAAGGATGTAGTAATGTTCCTCCACATCCACGTGCACTTCCGATGCCGAGACGATAGGGCGGAAGGGGATAATCTTCTCCGATTCAATCGCAAAGCCGTGGGTAGCAAGGACCTTGTGCCACCCTTCCCTGGAGAAATAGGTACCGCTGACTAGGTGTCCCATAAAAGGAAAACTCGCTTCAATATGTAGTGGTTGCGCTGCTGCCCCATTCGTGATATCGGGTGTCCGCACTGCAGAGGACAGGATCGTACACAGAAGAATAATGCCGTCGGGAGCAAGCCACTCGGAAAATTTAGCCAGCGCCGACGCAGTATCGTCGGGCCCTAACTGAAAGAGAGAGAGCAGAGCGCACACCGCGTCAAAAGGTAAGTTGGGCGGCGTATAAGTCATCATGTCCGCCTTTTCGAAGCTGGCTCCCGGCACCTGCTGCCTGGCAATGTTCACCATCTCCTGCGAGATGTCGATACCGACCACGCTGTGACCAGCCTCAGAGAGGGTCTCTGCGACAGGCCTGCCGGTGCCACAGCCAACATCGAGGACACGACTCTGAGGCGGAAGAAGAGGCAAAAGGACGCGTTTGATCACCTCACCTTGCCCAGTTGATGGGCCATAGGATTCCTCATACCGCTTGGCGACAGCGTCAAAGAGAGCCTCGGCTAAAATCGTCATCGTCAAGATTTCCTACCCAGTCCGCGTAAATTTCGCTGGTCCAGAAAAAAATTGGTAAATAATGGTTTATTCGTGCGGGTATATATCTATACATAAATTGAACTAAAAGACTCAGGCGCTACAGAGACAAATTTGAGCGAGTGGTAGCACGGAACGAGGGTCAGCCCGCATACCGACTCACGCGCCGATTATACACCTAGGTCCGGTCATGTGTGCCTTTGCATTCTCGCATTCTATGCATGTCCTCTCAGAGAATGTGCATTGTCAGCGCCACCCCAATAGGAAGTCAGCATCGTCAAGGTATTGTGATACCTGGAAGCGCTGGCCAAATGGAACGCGGTATTGTGTAACTACTCCTTGCCTGCCGCACACCACTTGGCCGAATTTGGCTACTGGGGCGAAATTGGAGATGTTGTGAGAGCTCCGCAGGATTCTAGGTGCATCTGTGCTTCGTACCACTTGGTGGCGAAAAATAAGACATCTAGGCATGGAACTACGTTGTCCTTAGGTGCTATTGTCTAGGTGCGCCGAAATGTAGATATCATTCCATGTAGCTTTATTATCGAAACAAATCCTAAAGGAAGCTGACGAAGCCAAATACGAAACAAATACCACTTATCTCGATCGATGTCGAGGTACCACTAGCTACAATGCTCACCCACCCCAGATGTAAGGCTTAATTGTGATGGTTGAGTCAATGCGTCACAATACTTGGCTATCCAGAACGACATCTACACTTTATGCCTGCCTGCCACAACACACTGGAGAAGAACCAAGTAGTGTCATGGAAGAGGGGCTTAAACGCATGCGAGCACTGCAGCTAGTTAGTAAATGTTTTACCCAGTCCGCATTGAAGAACGCGAAGGGAGGTTCGAGAAGAACATACATCTGCTGGATCGAAAGAGATTATAGTCCGTTCCACTGGCGTCTCGTACGAACCCGGAAAGTCGTTCCCTGGATGCCGCACAAGACAGAAGACATGGGATGCTCCCAGTCGCCCCAAAAGTTCCGCAAATTTGGCCATGAAGGCTACCTCAGTAGTGGTTGTTTGAGGAACTGAATCGCCCTCTGCATACCGGAACTCTGTTGGTCGAACTTTCCCATCAGGACTCACACCCCAAATAAGGGGGTAGATATCTTTGACGCCAAAAAGTGACTCGCTGTTCCAGGGTACCGAGCTTCCTTTATAGTCCACCAGCTTCTCGTGCTCAGCTAGTTCAAAGTGCCGGTGAAGGATGCCCAACCCAAAATGGTTCTCCATCTTGTGCTCATGGAAGAAGTTATAGAACACGTCCCTTACCAGCCTATCGCCGTCGATGGACTTGAAGTCCTCGATAGCTGACTCTAGCAGTGAGAGCTTCTGAAAGAACTCGGGACTATAGTCCTCTAGAATGGTTCCTAGTGTCATCTTTAATTTTGCAATATGTGAAGTGCGTTTCAATGACTCGAGTTGTTGTGGCTAGCTTTCTTATATATTCTAAGTCAGTTATATACTGGTTGGGCTACCTCCCCATATTTGGTCGTGTATCAGAGTCCCAGCTTTGAGACCACTGTCCCTTTTACCCCTACATTCTTAGGCTTGTGTTCATATTTCCCGTTGTGAGAAAATGTAGACAGAGTGAGCCACCCTTGCAGACATTTCACTTCCTGAGTGCTACACAACACAGCCTCTACGAACTCATCGAACGCAGCAAGACAGGGTGAGTAATTTCTGCAACAAATGCCTCAGATATGCATATAGGAATGTAGGGGTAGATAGGGGAGACTGTTGAATGGCCAAGCCCTTCTGTACATGACCGAGACGGATTGAAATATTGTATATGTAGCTTCCATTAACCATGCTTACCATGCTTCAATATCCCCCAAACATCCAAATCTGAAAGGTAAGTTTTCTCGGCGGTATGTGGCCCTTTGTCTATCAATGTTCTCTTCATCGCGCCTCTACAGCCTCTATTCCACCACGACGACCACATTGTTGTAGATTACCTTCCCTAAAGAGGCAGACATGCATGGAGCTGTCTATCCCAGAGGCATTTCTGGTGTATTAGTGGTATTCCAATACATTCTACACCGAGTGAGCTACTGAATAATGTAGTTACTGTCATGATTTTAAGGATCTGAGCTGGGGGGCATAGAATATTATATTGGAGATATAACCCGCATTGTTGACTAATATAGTAGTAACAGAAGAAGAAGAAAAAGAAGAAAAAGAAGAAAAGAGAAATAAAGTCATATGTAGGCAGATATTCAAACCCGAGAACGTGTAAAACCTGATTCCGTTGATAATGTCATCTTCGTCGATCCACTCAGCGTAAAATACCCCGTCCGCTTCAGAAAATGAAGGCTCTGCTGCAGCGCCACCACCAGCTGTTCCCGTCCGGCCCGGGGTGCCTCCCAGCCTGGTGGTCTTTTCCCTCCCAGGCAGCCACCATTGGATTCAAGTTCGTGAAGTACTGGTTGCAATGGGTGCATCGGTCCATCCCGCTCAAGCGCAGTATGAACCGCATCCAGCCAGCGTTGCCTGCCCATCGGAACAAGACTGATCTCCAGGGTTTGACTGACCGTGTCCCAGAAGTTCGAGACAAGCACTCCATCGTCCAAGTTGGCCACTTTAGGCTGGCCGCTTTGCTCTGTCTGCTTTCCCTCCGTCAGGCAGGGGGCAAGGACGGCGAAAGCAACTTGATCGACCCCGGCGAGCGGAATCCAACAGTCTTGCTCATCACCGTTAAAACCCCCAATCTGTAAGCTTGTGTAGACAACTCTCCATATGAAGTCATCGGTGTTGCAGATTCCTGCATAGGTAGATCCAATGATATACCCGGGCCTAATAATTGAAAAATGGCCATGGGAATCCGGCTGTCGTGCGACGTCCCTGATGAGAAGCTCTGAAACAAATTTAGTCTGGCTATATGCAAGCCCCTTGGCAAGCTGCGATGCTGTCGCCTCGTCACCATCCACCTCCCATCCACTATGCCCTTCCCCACCGGAGACATAAATGAAGGTGGGCGGCGGAGCAGAAGCGGCCCTAACGGTATTGAGTAATTGCAAGGTGCTCAGAATATTAACAGGCTCTAATGCAGCATAGTCCGCAGTCCAGTAGACTGCCGCTCCGTTGTGAATAATCACGTCCACACTCGTTTGAATAACCTCCCACTGCGATTCAGTCAGGCCTAGGTGTTGCATGGCCAAGTCGCCGACCCACGCTTCGATACGAACCCGATAGATCTCCTGCCACCATTTCGCTCGCTGCGCAGCCTGGACAATGCGCTGCATAGCGTGGGCCTCGTCCTTCGCACGCACGAGCACGTGTACCACAACAGCCTGCGTCCTCATCAACAGCTGATGAAGGATCTCGATTCCGAGAAAGCCACTTCCTCCTGTGAGGAAGACCCTATTGATGCGGCGTGCTGGTGCTTCTGCCTTACGAGATGGGGGACCATAAAGCTGCGGCCTCAAGCGGTCAATCTCTGCCAGGAGGTCTCGGAAATGGAACATCTCGGTTTTCTGCATGCCACCAGAGAGGATTTTGGAGGCTATAGTCCGGACCGTCGTCCCACTGTGCAACAGTTGCTGAAGGGACAAAGACAGGCCAAAATCATGCCTCAGAAAAGTGCTTAGCACGACAAGCTCGATGGAAGTTAGCCCAACACGCGCTAAGTGTACATTCATGCCCTTAACTCTCTGCACGAGGGTAGCTGACCGGCCACGCAGAAGCTCCTGGATCTGTTGATTAATCCGCAAGGCGATGGACTCGTCTGACCGGAGCGGTACTGAGTCTGCTCCCGTGGTGCTAGGTTGATAACGGTGGAGCTGTGAGTCAGATAACCGAGACACCGCCGCTTGGAGTAGCTTCAGGTTGATTTTGCCCGTAGTGGAGAGAGGCAGTCGATTGATGGGGAAGAAGAATGCGGGGATCATGTAAGATGGTAGAAACGCCATCAGGCGCTCCACAGCAGCTACTACCTCCGCCAGGAAGGATTCAGTTGGGGGAAGGATAATATCTGTATTCTGATCGCCGTATGCTGCGGGCACTGATTGCAAGTTGGGCCGAATAAAGGCCACAAGCAGAGGGTGTAGTCGACCAGAACCAGAGGGGAGAACATCAGCCACAGCATCCTCTGCACTATGAAAGCAAGAACGCACATGGTAAGCGACCTCAGAAAGCTCAACCCGTTGGCCATGGATCTTAACCTGAGTGTCCTTCCTCGCGATGAACGTCAGGCTACCATCGTTGTTGTATCGAGCCAAATCCCCGGACCTGTAAATGGGGCCGTAAGACGGACCTCCCAATTGTTCTAGCCAAGGGAGATGTGAGAGGAACGAGGCCCCAGTCTGTGTCTGATTGTTCAGATACCCTCGGGCAAGGATATGCCCTTCAATCAAGATCTCGCCAATTGCCCCTATCGGGACCAACATACAGGGATCGTCCGGGGCGACAAGCCAAATCCGACAGCCAACCGCTGCCCCAATGTTTCCGGCATCTTCCACGCTCCGAATATGCTTCACTGTGCATGTTACCGAACATTCAGCCGGTCCATAGACGCAGTTAAGCATCACGTGATCCTTCCATCTCTGGATATCCTCGGCAGTCACAGCCTCGCCACCAAGAGTTAGTGTCTTCAAGCCAGGCACGCTGCTTGGTTGCAGAAGCCTGGCAAAAGAAGGTGTTAGGTCCGCATAGTTTGCAGTATATCGAGCCACTGCACCCGCAAAGTCGCCGAGGCGCTCGGCTTCCGACGGGATACACACGCAGCCGCCGAGCATCAGTGTTGCCAGATGATCTGCGATGCTCACGTCGAAAGCATACGATGCGAACTGAAAGACACGTGAGTTCACCCCAACTCCTAACTTCGGACCGTGCGCCAGGACACTGGTACAGAAGGCGGCATGCTCGATGAGGATCCCCTTGGCCTTTCCCGTGGTACCGGAGGTGAAGACTATATATGCCACGTTGGAGGAGATGGGAAGACGCGGCATCCAACCTTCGGTGGCTGAGAGCTCAATACAATCCTGATCGTGACACGCAGGAAAGGAGTCCACAAGTATACAATTCTCCTCTAACTGGGACGCTTGCTCCCGATTCAAACGACAGGACAGCACAATTCGGACTGATGCGTCCTGGCAGATAGACCGTAGTTTTTGCATTGGTTGCGAGGTATCGAGGAGTATAAACGCACCTCCAGCCTGAAGCACCGCAAGCATGGAGACTGGCACCCACTTAGACTTTGCCATATAGATGGCGACCGGCTCTTCTGGCTGAATCGCCCATCGCTGAATCAGCTGATGAGCAAGACTGGCCGCTAATGCGCAAAGATGTGAGTACGTCATGCTACCATCCCAGGCACAAACTGCTGGAGACCGTGGTTGCGCTAGTCCCTGCTGGCAGATGAGCGTATGGATGCACGTCTGGGACTTCTTCGGTAGAATCTTATTCCAATTACTCAAATCAATAGCATCATGCGGATTTAGCGATTCGAGTCGCGAGATCAGTCCAGTTGGTCTCTGAATGACTTGCCAGAGAACGTGTTTTAGCTGTTGCAGGACCCTTTGCACCATGGGCTCAGCGATTATATCGGCATCAAAGATGGCCCGAACGCCAATCTGATCCCCTCTGGATTCGCAAATTAAAGTCAGCGGGTGACTGTTACGTTGTTCTTCCATGGAGGGGTTCTGCCATCGATCCCCCAACAACAACAACTTGTCTGGGTCCCGTTCCTCAGTCGGCTGGATAACCAGCAAGTTCTGGAAACGACTTGCCGTGGATGCGTGGTGCCCCAGGCCCCGGATACGTCTCAAGCCGTAGTGCTCGAATTGAAACAATGTGCTCGCACGCATTTGAAGGCCCTGCAACGCTTCCAGCGCCGTTTGATTTGGGCAGATCTTGACTCGTAGCGGGAAGATGTGAATCGTAGGGCCAATAATCTCCAATATTCCCGAGACTGGAGCTCCCCGGCCAGCAACGACAAGACCATATACAACGTCGGTGCACGAAGTGTACTGAGCGAGTGTCAATGCCCACGCAAAGCGGATTAATGTTGTTACAGTGAGACCTGCGAATGGTTCTGGCAGGGTGCCGATCCTGACACTAGTCTTCAACACATGCTGCGGGCTGGGAACTCGATGCGGAGTGCGAGCCTCAGGAAATGGAACAAGTTCTAGGTGCTCAAACTCGGCACGCCAGAAGCTTTCATAAGCTTCCTGGTTTTGGTTGAGCAAATAGTGAACAAACGAAGAGAAGAGTCTGGTCGGTCGGGGCTCCATTGTCCGATATGCCGCCTCTATTTCTTCTTCAAGAATGCGTAGTGACCACCAATCATATACACTGTGATGGAGGGTCAAAATGAGCCGACTGCCATTGTCCGGTGTTCGGGCAAGGTGAACTCGAGCCAAGGGGCCACCTGGGTTCATCGGACATTGCAACAACTCGCACAGGTAGGCTTTCAGAGACGCCGTGTCGACGAGGGGGGGCAATAGTGAATCCTCTCGCAGCACTACCTGCAGAGATTTCAGTCCGATCTGCACCAGCCGGGTTCGTAAGATTGATTGAGATTTCCACACTGCGGAAACCGCTTGCTGTAAACGGTTCAAGTCGGTCGTTGCAGGCAGTTTGTAGACATACTGGTCTATGTAAGATCCCGGCCGGCCTACCATCTCAACAAGCATAGAGGTCTGGAAAGGGGATGTGGGATATATGTCTTCGATTTGGGTGGGTGGGACTTTGCACGCTTGCGCTGCTTGGACTATAATGTGCTTCAGCTCTATGGCTGCTGGGGCCATAGAAAACGGCGGGACAATTTTGGGATCGACACTCTCCGAACACTTAGGCATCATGCAGGCCAGGTCAACAATTCTGGTAGCTCGTATAACGTTATCGAAGGTCAGTTGGAAGCCTTCTTCACGAACGTAGCTGATTAACTTCATTACAGCCAGCGAATCAGCACCGAGCCCAAAGATGCTCTTCTTCAGGTCGACCTCGGAGGGGTGAAGATGTAATATACGTCCAATATGTTTGCGTAATGCCTGTCTCTCCACACGAAAAGAATCTTGTAGCTCCCTTTCCTCTGCTTCTGGTAGTGACGTTGTCTCATAACCAGGGGAGAATGCAGAGTGCGGTAAAGCTGAGGCTGCATGGCGAAGTGCCTGGCGATCGATCTTACCCGATCTGCTGAGAGGGACATGCGATAGACGAATGAAGGTAAAAGGTACCATGAACCGTGGTAGCCGCCGACGAAGCTCGACCACTGCCGAGATCACCCGGTCATCAAATGATACGTCGCGCTTAACGAACAGGTCGTCAGTGTGCTTTGGGATGTTTCGTTTCCCCGCCTTTGGCATTCCTTCCTCCTCTAAATACAAAAAAGCAACTAAAGCAGACTGCTGTTCGTTGTGGTTCTGAGGCCGGATAACCATGTCCACGATGGTTGCGGTAAGGCCCTGAAAACATTGGAGTAGCTGACCCTCGATTTCCCGTAGATCGACACGTTGGCCATGAATCTTGATTTGTGAGTCGTTTCTACCTAAGTACAAGATAGAGCCATCGTCTTCATACCGAACAAGGTCCCCTGTTCGATAGAATCGGTTGCAGGTCGTAGAGGGGAACCAACTACACCAACTTGGAGCATCCTCCGCATTCAAGAAGGCATTCGAGGTATCTGCCTTGCTTTGGCTAAGGTAGCCCCGTGCCACTATCGGTCCCTCAATCAAGAGCTCTCCGATAGCTCCAATGGGGAGCAGACGATTGAAATTCTCTTTATCCACAATCCAGCATCGGCAACCACAACCATAACCAATATTTCCAGCCGAAATAACTCCCGACTGCACGGTCGAAAAGACAGAGCACTCTGCCGGGCCATATGCACACACAAGCTGCACAAAATCGCGCCACCTTTCCACATCATATGTAGTGTATGCCTCCCCAGTCAGAATAAGGGTCTCCAGACGTGGTAGGCTCCTTGGCTCGAGCAGCCGCGCCACCGAGGGAGTCAGTACGGCGCAGCTGACACCCATGTCCTGCATCATTGGGGCTAGTGCATTCATACGCTGAAACTCCGAAGGGACACACAAGCAACCCCCGGAGAGAAGTGTCATGAAAATCTCCGAGATGCTGACGTCAAATGTGTATGCCGCAAAATGTAACACTCGCGAGCTCGTGCTTAGGGCGAACCGTTTCGAGTGTGCAAGCACAGCAGTGACAAATGAGGACTGTTCAACAACAATACCCTTTGGCGTCCCCGTTGTTCCAGAGGTGAACACTGTATAAAGAATATCACTCCCTTTTACCGCGGGTGTATCGCCTACAAGCATGCTGGATGGCTCCTCAGGCATGTCGATAATGGTGGTGATGTTTCCACGATCTACCACCACAACCTTACCCGGAAACTCTGTGGACAAGTCGGCATTTTCACTGCTTGTTAGCACAGCTTTTGCCTTTATGCTACTTACCATGTGACGCAGACGGACTGGTGGGAGTGAGGCATCAATTAAGAGGAATCCCCCTCCGGCCCGGACTACGCCTAGAAGGTTGACAATGTCCCAGATAGAACGTTGCATGTAGATAGGTAGAATAATGTTTGGTCGTACAAGGAGGTTGTTTCGGAGTGCTACCGCTAAGGTCGAGGACAGATTGTCCAATTGGCTATACGAGAATTCTCCATCCCACGCTTGGATGCTTGTTTGACCACGGTAGCTTTGGAAGCAAGTGGCGAGAAGCTCCGGGAGGCACTGGCTAGAGCATGTGGGTGGCACTGAATTCCATTTCGCAATCTGTGTCCGGCCCTGAGTACATAAGATTGGAATATCCTTAAGACGCTTAGGACTACCGCCTCTCATGACAGCAATAATATGAGCAGCTGTAGAACCTATAATCTGAGCTTGTGTAGAAGTTATCTCAGACCGGCTGTATATGAGTTGAGATCCCATAGCCTTTCCATCTGCGTCGACCACTAAGCCAATTTTAACATCCTATAGACTACCAGTAAGCATGGGCGGGCTTAGGAGTGTTGTATCTAAATGCCTTGCCTCGTAAGAACTTTCTGGCCACGGCGTGCGCTGGCTTTTCATGAGCCACAATCCAATTATCACGCACCGGTCACACGGGGGATCAGCCCAGTACGAGGTTTGAAGAATTGTGTCAGTATTTTGCAACTGAGCAAGCAAGTCCCCAATGCTTGTCTCACCGGTCACACGAATTGTGAAAGAGTAGCTCTTATGGACATCCTTGGGTTGGAATTTGGATCCATTGAGCTGATCGCCCCAGCTGAGAGTCAGTCCACATTTGATCTCTTCTAAGTTCCACCACTGGTGAGCCACCGCCACCAGTGCGACCTTGGCAAGTTCATCTGGACTCAGTTGCCTTCTTCTCTCTGTTCCAGAAGCCTCCGACTTCCATTCAGTGCGGCCTATGTCGAACAGCCCGATCATATCACTATGTTGCACCTCTTTTTCTACGGTTGATTTATTCTATAACTCATGTCAGCCAAAGCCATAGAGCCTTGCTCTTCCCCGCATATCTGGTAAAGGACAAGTACATTGTTCTTTAGTAGTATGTTGGCCATTGTTGTGCTAGCCCGGCTAGGGCTAATGATGGAGCCCATCTACTCAAGGGACAGAGTAAAATATAACTAAGGCGCTGACCAAGGAGAAAATATATTTCTTAGAAACGGTGGCAGCAGTAATACCATGTAGGTGGGATCTTGCGTTGCCCATAAACACGATTAGTCGGTCCGTATGATTTATATTGTTTGATATGAATACGCATGCCCGCGGATACAGGGCTGACGCCATTAGTCCTTGCAATGGAATTCTTCTAGGGTCACGCGCAGAATGTATGGAAGACTTACTTGGGCTTACTCTGATTGACTCTTTCAAGTATATATCCCCCACGTTTTACCATAAAAGCTTCTTATCAGCTACGCTGCCTGCAAGGAATGCAGGCAAGGCGGAAAATTGGCTCATATTGAGGTCTTGTCCATAACGGGAACAAGAAGTCCAATTGGCCAACTTGTTCACCGCTGTTAGAAAATATGTTGCTGGCAATCCCAAAATCTATTTGATCCTACTGTACGAGTCTATGCATAAACAACTAGGGCATCTTTTTTACGGGTTTTATATTACGCTTTCGTGCTGACAGTGTAACAGTAGCATGTAAGTATGACCATATGACAACGGTACAGCTTTTACAGAATTGGGTGGACAAACCAGGTTTCCAGGATCTCGAGTTGCTCATGATATGGTATTGCAATGGAAGGGATTGAAGGCATTTGTCGGAGCCTTGCAATATGCTGCGGCTCTGGCAAGGTATCGGCGTGACCCGTGCAAATACTTAGTTCTCCTTGAACCCAGTGTTACATTGGCCAATTCCTCATCTACATATGTCCAGACCGGCCTGTTTAAGGAAGCTCTGGCGTGAAGGTTTACAATTCAAGGGGCTTGTGCTTCCTTCTGGGATGAGCATTGGTCCTTTTCACTCAACGGACTCGACCGATGAAAGCCCACTTTGTACGAGGAGGGTCAGCTGCGGGACACAGACCCCTTGGAATGCTGCCGTACATATATGATTATGTTAGGGGTAGATGTTTTTGCATGTGTTTGTTTCTGCTAAGTGCCGTTCAACTTCCTGTAATGTGGACCATATATCCGTACGTCGTCCCTACAACAGAAGAAAGGCGTATTCTTCCTAGTAACAAGAAAGCAAGAAGATAACAGGATAACGAAAACAAGGATAAGAACTGGAACATGGATAGCCCCACTAATCTCTCCGATTTAGCTTCTGAGGTGAGCCTACACGCACAAATCTTGGAGCGAGCCTTGAAAAAGCAGAGCCCTTGCGAAATCTTGCAAGACCCTAGAGGGCCAAAACCCTACCCACGTTGCCCTGCGTCTGAAACAATCCAACACAGCCGGGCGGCATTAATCAATGCTTCGATGGAGCTATACCGATTGGCCTTGGGGCCAGAGGATTGGCTGAAGATGAGTGTTACTTACGTGAGTTTGGTTGAGAATATCCTTTGTTTTGTGTTCCGTTTCTCTTCTTGTTGCGTTTCGATACTCGTAGCCGTGATGACTAACACAAATACAAAAGTCCAAGTATGATATCGTTTCTTTGCAGGTGATATGTCATTTTCAAATAGCCTCCGCGGTCCCTATTCCCGGCGAGATCTCGTACCACGAGCTCAGCTGTAAGGTCGATCTCCCCATCACCCGTCTGCAGCTGGTTCTAGGCTATGCGATAACCACGGGTGTATTCCGCGAGCCCCGCCCCGGCTACATCACCCATACTCCCGTTTCAATGATTTTGGCCCGTGATCCCGAGTTGGCATCGTGGGTTGAACATAACTGTGACGAAGCCTTTCCAGCAGCAGCTAAGTTGTTGGGTCTTCTTCAAGATAACCCAAAAGCCTCGGATCCTAGCCAGTCGGCCTTTAGCGCGGCATTTGACAACCGTGGCGGCCTCTTTGACCTGTACGCCCAGGAGCCTTGGCGTGGTGCTCGGTTTTCTCGAGCTATGAAAGGAGTCACAAGAGGGACTCTGGACGCGGAGCACCTGGTAATAGGTCACGACTGGGCGTTACTCAGAAATGGCGGGGTGGTGGTTGATGTAAGTACAACGAACTCCATTTCCTTCGCGGCTTATTTCTAGGAGGATTGAGGAGCTGCTTGTTATCTTAACTGGCGTATTCTTGATCTAAGGGTTTTTGTTCCTGCTAATGAAAGTCTGGGGAATTTGGGTTCTTCTTAGGTAGGGGGTTCTTTAGGCCATCAAAGCGTGGCGATCGCGAAACACTTCTCGCATCTCAAGTTTATCGTGCAAGACGTGGATGACTTTTCTGAACCTTGCCATCATCTGGCAAACGATCAGGGTGTTGGCTCCCAGATCGAGTTTCAGCAAGTGAGCTTCTTCGATGCCAACCCAGTCCTGGGCGCTGAGGTCTACCTCGTCCGCCATGTATGCCATGACTGGCCGGATCAGTATGTCGTAAAGATCCTTCGAAACCTTATGCGAGCGGCAAGTCCAACATCCAAAATCCTGATCGTGGATAGTGTAGTGCCTCCCAGGGTGGATGAACGGTGCTTTATGGAACGTTATCTAAGGTGTGTACTATCATCCCGTAGGGAAAGGGGAGGTTTTTCCTGAAATTTCTGTCCTTCACCCGGGACAATCACATTACTGTTACTCGTTGAGTAAATTTCTGGGCCCTTTCCACAACTGATAACAAGAACAGAAGTATTAGCCTGCAGATGAACGTCCTATTCAATGCCTTGGAACGGACCGCGGAGCAATGGGCAAGTGTCGTTCAGCAAGCAGACCCTCGTTGGAGCATTTACTGCATCACCACACCACCGGGTAGCATGTCATCCATCATTGATATCCGGCTTACAGAGAAACGATCGTGTAATGCCAGTGGAACAAAGGAAAGGTCTTGAAACTGTCGTTTTCAGATTACCGTGAGAGTGGTTGATCTAACCCCTAGTATACATTGAATGCAGTTAATTAGGGTTTAACTTAAATCGCGAAATAAGCCTCATACAGTCCCATACACCAACGTATTATTGTACAGTATACAGTATTCTAAATGATGGCTGCGATATTGATGCATCAGTCGTCGAAGTAGCAGCGTATAAACCCTCATTTACCTGGCCCCCGGCTGGCCTAAAGCATAGTGCCTTGCCTGCTGCAGGATGAAGATATGTAAGCCACGTATCCCCATTTCCTGCACCAGCAGTCAGAGGCCTACCAAATATTCTCTATGTAACCCTCTACATCCATTCCCAAGGCCTAGAACTATTTTGGTGGTTCTACGAGCCAATACCTCCATTGACCATGCAAGGCACGCAACCGCAAGGCTCGGTATTGAAAAAAGCCAGGAATGTTGCAAAGCTGAAGCAGGTATGCAGGATCGCCAATCTTTCGAGCGGGGAATACAAAAATGAGAATGCCTCAGGCTTTCCCCGCAGATCTCTTGAGCTATTTTCAATTATTGTTGGTTCGTACGGTTAAACATCTCTTAAAAAATCAATAAGACAAGCCCTCAGTTGGGGGCACATATCACACATCACATCCCCTCTTCGGACGACACAAGATGACTACTACCTCCACCTCAGATGGCTATCTGTACTCGGAAACAGGCCTGAAGGCCGGACTACCTTCCGAAAGTGTCATATCACCTCCACAGAAGATCGACCGGCAAGTTGACATATGGGATGTTGCTGTTATAGGTGCAGGTTACGCCGGGCTGGTGGCTGCTCGGGATCTCACTTTACGGGGATGTCGAGTTTTGCTCGTCGAAGCTAGAGATCGGATTGGAGGCCGGACCTGGACATCAACCATCGACGGGTACCAATATGAGATGGGAGGTACCTGGATTCACTGGTGCCAGCCGCATCTCTTCCATGAACTTTCTCGCTATGGGCTTACGAAGGAGATAATGTTCTCACAGCAGTACTCAGACAATGACGTACTGACCACAATGTTCAGCGGAACAAAAAAGGATATAAAATATTGCGAGTTAGTATGAGCCCCTATAAGCAACTCCTCTCCCCCGAACAGACACGACCCTTTCAGTTATTTGCACTTCGTTCCCAACATGACAAGGAAAAAAAAAAAAAAAAAAAAAAACCAACATAATCTGGCCACTAACCTTTTCTTTCCCTTTGATGAAGCGCGTAATGACGGCCAAGGTATTGAGCATCTACTGTGATATTGATGGGTGTCAGGCGCGCCGCGTTATTCCCCTACCGCATGACCCAGCAAGCCGAGGTGAAGTGGCAGAGAGATGGGATGCCTACTCTGCCAGTGATCGACTCAACCAAGTTAGGTCCCAATTATCAACAGAAGAGATTGCGCTCTTGCAAGCGATTATCATGCGCACTGGCGGAAGCGTTGACCTGGAGAAGATTGCCTTCTGGGACATCCTCCGCTGGTGGGCACTCTGTGGGTATGATGGGAATGGATTGGCAGGAAGTACAGCCTTGTGCCGGCTGAAGTGTGGCCAAACTGCTCTGGCTCAATCCATTTTTCGCGAGGCCTTAGACACTGGCTATTTATCGTACATGTTTCAAGACCCCGTAGTTCGAGTGGATCAGACCGACAAATCTGGCGCGACAGTCCACTGCCTCAGCGCAGAGGTTTTTCGAGCTAAACGTATCGTTTGTACTATTCCATTGAACGTCTTGTCTGATATATTGTTTCGGCCCTCCTTGTCAGCGTCCAAAATTAGGGCCTTAACCAGCGGCAGTATTGCGTTGGCTAGTAAAGTCAACTTTGAAGTGACGGGTTCTGGTCTGAGGCAATGGTCTGGCATCGCCCATCCAGCTTGTGGAGGGATCAGCTACGCATGCGCCGACGGAACAACTCCAAGTGGAACAACACATATTGCTGCCAACATATTTCCAATCTGCCCAGAGAAGGATATCGAAACAATCAAAGATGCCCTGCTTCGCATCAAGCCGCTAGGAATCAAGAAAATTGTTCGTTATGGCTAAGTTATGCCCTCTCTTGAACTCTTATCATTGCGGAGCACTGACTCAACCCTTTTGGTTAGGTCTTCCACAATTGGGCCACTGATGTTTATGCCAAGGGTGCTTGGACAACCTTCAAGCCGAACATGTCGCGGGAGTCCCTCGGCCCTCTTCAGGAACGTCACGGTTGGCTATTTTTTGCAAACTCGGATTGGGCGGATGGTTGGCGTGGATTCATCGATGGTGCGATTGAACAAGGGATGAAGGTTGCAAAACAGGTTGCAACTGAGCTCATATAACACGATTACAATGCAACCACATTTCACTTTTCTCGGATTTCCTCCGCACATTTGCCAGACATTATATTATAGTAGGTGGGAGGTAGGATCTATCTATTTCTTGAAAGATCCATCCAATATGGACTATTCGGATAACGAGGGTGACTGTTGGAGTTGAACGGAGAGCATAGATCGAGTTGGATTGAGTGTTTCGGGTTTGAGAGAAAGATCTCGTTGGCTCAGCAACTAGTGCCTTGCCATGATATGACTCTTTACCCCGCAAGAGAAGAACAATCGTCAAGCATGCTGGAAGTCCTGTACGAGAGACACAGTCAGATAGACAATAAAGCGTTCCTCCCGCACTTAGTAGGCTACATCTGTGTAGCCGAGATAGCCTTCGCTCTACCCTTCTTCCCCTGTAATCATTACATAGTTCAACCTGACCCGTTCGACCCGGTTGTATCAAGCGAGTGAGGTCCAAGCGGCCGAGTATTTTCAGTCATCAAATGTATATATATATATTCTATTTAACCCCTGAGGTTTGTTGATCGTTGGTGCCTTATTGAGAGTCCCAGTCCGCCTGAAGCCCTGTGGGACGCCTTTACCAAAGTCACACTGCGCCACTCCACCATGCTGCTCACCTGGCTGACTGATGGCGACATTACCCAAGCGAATATCGGCTTTCTTGCTAGGGAAACCCCCGCCAACACCTACCATCAGGACAAATCGTATGGAGGTGAATGTAGCTGTCATTCGAACAGCCATCGTAGCGGCGATGCTGGTTCCTATTTGACCAGTAGGAGAGCACACCATCACCACATTATGTTGATTAATGTGGCCAAAGGTATAGAGAGTATCCCCCCGAAGGGCTTTGTAGTCTGGCCCTGTCATGTTCCTCATCTAGCATTTCCTGCGCTGCGGCCAGCTCGATGGGTAGGACGCACACCCAACTTACACTGTAGTCCTCGCAGCGAAGACGGGCCCGTGCCATCCTAAAGGAATAAATTGGACAGAGCTCCCTTCGTGTTGAATAAATCGAAGATGGGTGACCAAAAGGCGCCTTTGCAGATGTCAATCGGTCATGCTGTCAGTCTTGCAATGCAGCACTAGCGACAAGATTGGGCAGCCGCCACGAGCCGACCGACCGACAGAGTGGCAATAAATTCTGGACTTTGAGAGTGTCGACTAAGTCCTGTGGCGCCAGCCTAATGCGATTTGCAGAAGAAGGGCTATGTGCAGACTGCTGTCAGAATAACAAACGTCGCCAGACAGGGATACGCGATGGTGCCTGAAGTGCCTGATAAGGAAAGTCGTCAGTGGCAATCACCGATATCTAATTCACGGCAAATATCAGACAAACAATGCTCAAACAATGGTTTTGCAGTACGAGGTATAGATCATATAGGAAGATATATCATCTTAGGGCTCTATGTGGGGATCATACTTCCTACTATCTACAGCTATCCTACCACTAACACCTAAACGCTTGTCGGCCGGATCACCCTACTGGCTGGTCCAATCAGGACCGCCAGCCGGAATCCCCAGCCAACATATCATTTCCTTCCTCAATATTCTTTTGAAACCCAGGTTAACCGTCACCACTGTCCAAAACTTATCTTTTTTTAAAATTATGCTATATAAACTTCATATCCTGTACTAGTATATACAAGACATATGAATAAAAAAAATAAAATCTACATCTATAATGTATAAGCTAGCCCGGGAGATACTTTCACAGAGTAGAATGAATTACTCAAAAAACAGTAGTGTTTACCAACCAGTCAACTATATCTGACTACTATATCTATAATAATATGAGACTATCCCTAACAACTCATCACTTTCTTCAATCTCTGCATCTACGTCCCACAGAATCTTCGAAACAAATTCCAGTTTAATATTTGACCCTCAGTGTCTGGTCAGCAACGCTCACCGCAGTGGTAAAGGGAGAGACAGATGTCTGACGCCTAGTCGGAGGCAGCCATTTGAGTAGCTGAGCTGTTAGCACAGGATCAATTGATCCGCATGCGGTACCAAAGCAACTAATAGCAGTAGCTTATATCTAGGCTTTATAATCATGGCGCCTAGGCCGAAGCTCTGAAATGCCTAGCATCGGGGATCATTAATACTGGCTTGACAGGATAGACGTGATGGTCGGTTAATATAGGTGCTTTATAAATGTATATTAGCTTAAGCTGTATCGCCATTAGCAGTAGCTTATATCTAGGTTTTATAATAGCGGCACCTAGGCCGAAGCTCTGAAAATGCAATGGGTCCCTACAATCCCTGTTCCGCTTAGCCGCTCTGGCCATTCCCCCTGTCTATAAATCAACATCTACCGCAGCACTGCTTCGTGAGGCAGATCTGCCTGATCCAGGAGCTCTACTTAACAGCACCCTCCAGAGAGCAACTGTCAGATACACAAGCTTGGACGCTGAGCACCCAATTATGCGCGTAGCGGATAAAAAGGATCCAAATTCAAAACAAGGCTTAACACTATGCTCTGACATATCTTTACACCTGTGCGGTAACACATGTAAATACAGGCACCTCTCCTGCCACTATACATGCTTCCAACATCCTGTAAAGACTATACTCCTGTTCCACTGCAGATATCAGACTACTCAGACAGCTCATAAACAGGCCATGGTGCTGGTTATAGATATATAGTATATTATGGCTCTATCCTTATTACCTAGGGCTTGGTTCTGCCGGTCCCAAAACGAGGTCTATAATACAGAACTTATGGGTACAGTAGAGAAACTCTAAGCTGCAATCCAGTAGCTATATATATAATTTACCATCTACTTAACTATCTTACTTAATAATCTAGCGGCAGCCAGTCTTCTGGCTGATAACAGACTGGCTTTCTATTGATATAGGCTTATGGATATCTTTTAATAGCTTTTAATACAATAGAAAGAAGGATTATCTCTGCTAAACTTAGTCTATATGTTCCTAGAGATATACTAGATTACAGGTCAATCTAGAATAGAGAGAATGAACTAGCAGACTAGCTTGCTAAGCAGGATATAATATTTAATAACTTCTATATCTCTCTCTGTCATATCTCAGGCAGAAGATAAAACAGTAACTCTATACAGATTTCTCAGTAATATATATAAAGACGGTACTACAGGCCTATTATAATCTGTATATTAGACCCTATACAAAGAGCAGTCACTCTAAGGAATATAATCTTCTCTACTAGCTACTAGACCGGCTTATAGCTACCTGTACAGATTATAGAGACTTTACAGTATATTATGAAAAATACTATTATTCAGATTATCTAGTAATCTACTTCTGCAGCAGGCTAAAGTCTCCTGCCTACTTCTTCTTCTATTCTTATACCAGGAAGTACTAGAAAGATAGATAGAAGTATCTTAATGCGGGTCTATTATAGACTATCAACTGATTCCTTAGTACAACTGCTGGAACTAAAGAATTTAACTATATTATATAATATTTATTCTTCTTCAAAGACATATACCTGAACTGGGCTGCTCAAGCACTGAATAGTGTAACAGTCTATATTTCTATCTGGGTAGAGATAGACAGCATCCCTTTCTAGTTATAGATAACCAAAGCAGGTTTCTACTACCAGAAGACAGGCCAGGATAGTGCCAGGCGCTTCTTCCACTCTTTTTTAATATATATTATTCAGATTTGTTACTGTAAGCATGTATTTAGCTAGTTCCTAGTGAGATTTCTGTTTAGGTAGCACGTCCAGTTGCCCCTATGGCGGCCGCGGATCACGTTGCCGCGTGATCCGCCGAATGACGTTAAATAGTAACCAAACCAAACCAAACCCCTGAAGGCTTGACCTATAAGTTAGAGATATGAATCTATACGATACTTCGTGGTCCTAGTGGCTTGGCCAGATCACCAACTCCAAGCCCTGAAGGCTTTACCCATTAGTTAGAGAGAAGCAAGCGGTTAAGATAGTCTATACAGTCGTCCATATAATTGAGTATCTATCTAAATGGCATCCGATCCTCAGTAGGCTACGTACGTGTAGTTGATACAGCCTCAATCACAAGAGAGGGAGCTGTAACTCATTTTAATATCATCCACCCCCTTATACTCCAACCTTCGTATCTCTTCGATTGGTACCTTCAATTATAGCGCTCCAAGTAGGTCATTTAGTTCGGCTACTACCAAATCTCCCAAGTAATGTACCGGGAGTACCGCTAACTTCTGCCCTCTCTTGTTCTAGTGACACCTGTGGCTAAGCTTCTCACTCTCAGCACGAACGAGAATGGCTAGTTGTCATTCTTGAGGCTTCAGCATGATTAAAAGCTCACCTTCCCATAACACGTCATCTGTGTCTCATTTCCGAGCTACTCCTCCATCTTCGCCTTCTCGCTCACCAAGGCTTCTGACACCGCCCTCTCCAACCCAACAGCAACACAACACGCCAGACTCTCCCATCCAACAACGACGAAGCATACTCATCACTATGGGCTCATGTACTTGGAAGGGCAAGAATGGGTTCCAGTGCACGTGCACTTCTGGATACAGTATCTCCGATTTGGATGTCACTCAGGCATCCTGTGATGACTGCATGCATCCAATGCTTCTGCACCTTAACTTTCGTTAGTCCTTTACGTCTTTTATGAATTGAAGACCGGCAGCTAATTCTTGTCACCAAACCCACAGCCATACATGATGTTACTGTGCCAACTTCCCCTCGATCCAGAATTGCCCGCCCTTTCGGTAAACAGTTCACTCTAAAATATATGTGACAGCATTCTAAGTGTTGATTCCTACAGAGATACCTTCTTATGTTATCTCGCGAGGGAAACTAGTGGATGAGCTTATCGCCCGAGTCAATCATTATCATATCGTTCGAGTGAACGGTACACCGGCATCAGGAAAAACTGTCTTGATGAATCTTGTGGTTCAATAAATTACTCGAGAGGTATGGTCAGGCGACGCCTATACACTCCCTTACAGGATGGGATCCGAAAATTAGTAAGATAGGCTGGGCCGCGCATTTGGAGCAGGAGACCGGCGTACACGGCCGCAGCTGGATCAACTACCGAGCTTATTTGCTTCTAGATGAAGCGCAGCAGTCATACTGGGACCATGAAATTTGGGCAGACTTTTTCAAACGTATTGAGCCTGGTACCAGCCCGTTCATAATTCTATTTATGTCATATGGCTCACCACATAGGGGCTTCTCGGGCTTTGGCAAGGAAGAGCATGTGCAAACTCTGATGGTCTTTGCTGCCGAGCAGCAAATCTCCTTACGACCAGCAGAAGGCGTTGAAACTCACAGTCTGGGCCTACTACCTTGGAGGCCTGTTGGTCTCCTGCTTGACGAGGATGAGGCTATGGAGGTGGTAGGCTGTTACGCATCCATCGTCATACGCCCATCTATAGCTCTAACACCAGACCTGAAACAAGGATTCTTTGCATGTAGTAATGGACATGTAGGGTTGCTAACGAGCCTCACACGTGTTCTGCAAGACGTACCGGTGAGCCTTACCCTAGAGTTAACAGTCAAGATATACCACTGATCAATCTATTGACATTTATATTTTGCATAATAGGCGCTTTATGAGCTCGTGCGAAATGATGTCGCTATCAGTTGGGCAATAGCAAGCAATATTCTTTTCCGCCAGCCCCTAAAATTTTTCGACTACATTAAAGGTTATCCGTTTACCCGAGGCTTACCTTCATCGAGAATATTACAAGAGCATTATACAGCTACAGTCCTCAAGGCAGCTATCACCTGTGATGGTATTTACGGATCTAAGTTTGAAACCAAGAACGAAGAATTGAAACAGGCTCTTAAAGGAATCTGGCGCAATGGATGGCTTCATGCTGAGAGGTCAGATAATGATATACGCTATATATTTGCGAGTCAGATTCACAGGTGGTAAGTGTGGGTTCTATAAAATATGGTGTATCACTAAATCATAGAATATTTAGGTACTGCCACTCCCTTTTCACCGCGCCTGTTCCCGACAACAACCTTAACTTTACTACACCTCTCCAACTAGCGATCGATACTATTACTCATTTCCAACCATATCAGCTGGCCAATGCCCCTCGTTCCATGGCGGTGGGGGGCAATTTATCGCCTCTTGAAGATCAGTACCAGAAGGAGTTCTACCGTTGTCTTTTTCCTATATTGGATGGCCACTTGATAATGTCACCCGAGTTTATAATCAAAACAGGGCCAAAGGGTGGCACAATTGACTTCCTTATTGCTGGGAAGAAGAAGTGGGGGTTAGAACTTCTCCGAGAACATGATCGGGTCGTGGAACATATGAGAAGGTTTGAAACAGGTGGTCAATATTATAGCATGATACAATCAGGGGAAATGGAACAATATATTGTTCTAGACTTCACAAATACAGCACCAAAGAAACCTCATCCAGGTAATACCTGCCTTGCATATATTTTTTTTGCTTAACTAATGTCTTCTCTAGAGTATAAGGGAAAACTTTACCACGTTGTGTTTTCTGAGAACTACCGAGAAGTTGATATATTTGATACCTCGGATCTAAGCGTCATCAAGTCTTTCGTGTTGACAGAACATACAACTCCAATTATTTAAGATAGGCTGACTGTCCACTAATTCATCCTGTGGTTGCATCTAGGTAGGTGATTTCCAGTATATCGGTACACCAGTTTGCACTGCTTTCCGGCAACGTTGCCTCCACTCATCGGCTTTAGATAGGCAGAAGAATATCATACACCCATCCTCTTCGTCGCTATCATAACACTTAATGTAAAACTGGTTACCAGAGGTGAAGCGAACCATATAAAGGCGCTAAAGCGTTGGGCTACTGGGATTGTAGGTCTTGAAATCCTCAAGCCATTATGTTTTGTTCCGTTTAATCTACATTGTTAGTATCAACCGTATGTGTTGAACCTAACTTCCTCAATCCCTCTTAAGGCTTCTGTCGAACGTAGGCAACTGGGGGGACAACTAGCTAGTCAGATCGCAGAAGGGGCCGCGAGCTTGGGTGAGTGCACAATAGATGGGGGTAAGCCACGGACAAGACTCACCTGAGAACGCGCTACTTCGAGCGCGCTGCTTCCCGTACAGCTGAGAACTGTTGATTTTTAAAGCAGATATAGCTAATAAGAGCCGCCCATCTTGCTCAGCTGAATTTTCCGGTTTTTTACGCGCTTCTGGTGGCATAGTAGGTCCTTGAATTAGTTCGATATAGGGAGGCGTGTAGTTTTACTGGGGCTGCGCAGCTCGTACGTGGATTACGTTAAGCGTACGCATAACTGTTTTGCCTCTTGACCATCTTACAGAATCGGAGCACATGCTATGGCAATTGCCTCCCTTTATATCATTCACTAACCGATACAAAGTAGCAGGGACCATACAGAAGGATTGAGCTAAACAAAGCGAAATTTGCTAAACATATCCGGCTCCAGATGGCATGACTAGTCTGAGCATGCTCTATCCTTAGTCCCTGAGCCGCTAGTGAAGATTATTCTAGGTTGTGGGGAAACTAGTGCATGGAGCATGTCCTGATGGTGCCGATGCGTCGGCAGCCTGCCGGAGGTTCGGGAGGCTGCCGACGCATCGGCACCATCCAAGTATGCGCCCGATTAGGCTCGCTCGACGAATTTCGGTCTCAGCAATGTAACGTAACCCCGCAAATTGAAATTAGTCCAGTTTAAGTGCTAGTCTAGTGGTAGTAAGGGAGCCCGGTAGAAAGCGGTGAGCGATAATTTGTCTAGAGTCTTGTTTCAGTTGCCAACAGAGCCTTTCTCCGTAATAAACACTATCTCTAAGACAATATACATGCTTGTAATTGTAATCAAAAAAGTAAGGATCAGGCCCTTGAACCGTGGCTTCTAGAAGCGCATTTGATCAGAGAGATAAGTAAGGGTAAGTATATTAGCATTCTACAGTGTGGTATAAATCCCAACCCTAATATAGTAAAAACCTATTTAAGAAGGCAACAACACTTCTATTCTCTCTGTAAATCCTGAGGATCATATCTGAACTTGATATTTCTGAAGACCACATAGGATGCGAAGCGCAAAAGCGGCCGCACTAACGCAATTTGAAATTCTTCGGAATCTAGTACTTATCAGGATGATAACCATACACTACTACTGCAGTAAAACTTAATAGAACTATTATTCTGAATAAATATTAGATCACCAAAGAAACAGATAGATTCTAATTGCCTTTATCGCTATTTCAGGATGGAACACATCCAACATACTGGACTGATAAAAGTAAAGATAGATGAGAGTCTGCGAATTCTTCTTTCTTTCCATCTCTCCTCCCTGCAACAATTCACAATACCACTATACTTCTAGGGTACAGTTAGCTTCTCTTCAATCATCGTGACATAAGGGCTTACCTGGTTGAATTCCTAAACTTATCAACCAGCGTACGAAGCAACCGCATTCGCAGATGCACCGTTGAAAGTATTGCAGTCTCCAAGTGTGAAGTCGTTTGTTGTGGAATCCACATAGCCATTGCGAATGGCCCCAGGAAGGCTCCCGCAGCCACCTTCCGCGAAGAAGTACCCCTTCTGATGAGTGCCCCCCCAGGTCTTGATCTTGAAAGACTTGAAACCTTTAGGCCAAGTCGCACAGGTGTTGTCCCAGATATTGACGCCTGTTTCGACGACACTACCGCAGTTATTGTCACTGTAGGTGTCAATGACAAAGGCGGATCCGCTGGCAGTGAGACCAGCCATGACGGCGACGGCGGTGATGGAGAAACGCATCTTGGAAGGGGGAGAGATTCTTGAAGTTGGAATGATAGAGAACAAGGTAAAAGACGAGGCTTGATGAGCTGGAGTATCTTGAGCTGATGAGCTGTGCAGATGTAGAGCGGAGGAAGAAGGGTTTATATACTTGAGCTGCTGTGGCATTCATCAATGTTCGCTTTACTCGTGCCATAAACAAAGGTGTATAGCCCCGTCGTAACGTAACTGTGGCCTATCAGATACACACAGAGACACTAGTATACTCCCAAATCCATTCCTAAAGATAGGAGAGCGAATATAGCCAACCACGCAGACGGTTTCTCATGTAGTAGTCTGTCGAACTGTTACTGCGGGGGGGGGGGGGGGCTAGACTTCCGCAGAACCTATCATGAACCTCGTATAACCCAACCCAACCCAAAACATGAACCTCGTATAACCCAGCTCAACCCGAAACCTATCATGAACCTCATATAACCCAACCCAACCCAAAACCTATGTAGGTAACCTATAGTCTATAGATTACCTATCTAAATCTATTTCTATATAAACATAGTCTTGGCATTTATAACATGGTCTTGGCATTTATAAAACCGTTTACTAAGTATATCTTTCTATATAAATCCCTGTATTTACCCTGTTAATATATAAATGGGTACCCAATGGATTACCTATACAGATTATAGGTTATAGTCAGGAACCTAAAACCCATAATAAGTAAGTTAAGAAATTGGTTGGGTTCGGGTTTGAATGGGTTCTGCAGAAGTCTAGGGGGGCCTTGGACGCCTTACTGGTCGATCACTATCCTGGTAAGCTCCAAAAAGCATAATAAAAAAGTTCAGCTTTGTCAGGGCGGCTAACCCCAAAAGGGGTTAGCTTGTTGTGCGTCCTAGTTCAAGTTCTCTGGAGTAGGTTCTTGTTCGATTGCTGCTTTCACACTAGGCTTAAGGATAAGGCTTCCCGCCGACGGGCCGTCTGATACTAATACTACAATCATATGTTTTACCACTTTGCGAGAATTTGTAATATACATTATATCCAACTATAGTACTACAACAGCCATTAGTTCCCACCTACATTTCTGTTACCTCTATGGATTAACAATCCGGGTTGCCATTGATGGTCAGACCCAGCGTTCATTAAAACGATGTAACCCAATATACTGAATGTTACATCCGGTTATATATTTTGCTCCGAGTGCGAATGAAGCTTCGTATCTATACAGATTCGTTACGTGATGGAATATTGTGGTAGTCACTAGTCGGCAGCCATACATGAACTTTACGGGTTTGATGTTTGATCATGTGCGGTCTAATGTTATGCTCATTTCAGCAACGCTGCGGCGTATTAATAATACGTTTCGAGGGCAGGGCCGTTTCTCATTCTGATTCAACCTCAATCTCCGCGAAGGGTCCCTATACCCTAGTACGTGCTAGCCGTAGGCTGTCGTGATAGCACTTCGCGCTGACTGGCCGAAAGCACCCGACATCCGTCTTGGATCCAGACTGAATGAAAGTATTCACTGATTCAATGATAATTAATTTATATATCCTGTATTATTTATTTCTTTATTATAATGATATTTGTATATTTTGCTTCTTTGCAGCCTCATATTTTCCTGGTCTTCAGTGTTTGATGACCTCACAATAAGCTAGCGTATGTCACACGTGAACGTGGAGACTCTACAAAGACGTAGGGCGTAGTCTTGTCATAGGATTAGGCGCAGGTTACAGGTCAGCAGACCACCGTATTAGTACTGGTGACGCGCGCTGCCGCACGCCGTAAGCCCTGAAACGATAAAGACATTAGTAGAAGCAAAGAGTCGCATCCGAGTTTGCAGTTTAAATTTATTGACAGATGAGGACTGCACAAGAAAAGGTGGCCCAGTCATACAAGGTACAATCGATTGGTTCTGTAAAGTAGAAAGAAAGGAGAAGAATGAGTATTTGTATTAGATAACTAAAAAGAAGAGATAGACAAGCTTCTGGAGAGCAGTATTTTGAAAAGATAAATATACTTCCATGTTTAGTTGGGGGGTAAGCAGTTGTAGAGATCCTAAGAGCAGGAAGTTATATTGCCAGCTATTTTTCCTGAAAGGCCAGCACAATACTTAACCCTTATTTATAAGATTCATGGCGGCCTTGACATTCTCAAGGACACTTTCAAGGAAGTAGATAAGATTATCAAGATTATCATAGCCAGTGTGAAGGGCTGAGTGCTTCTCGGTAGAAGAGAGGCGGGTGCCAGGATTATTCTGAAGGGGACTCTTAAGGTATAGAGTGTTCTTTACAGTTTGGAGTTGTGTACGGGCTAGATCAAGATCGTTACTGATACCATTGATAAGGCTTTTAACATAGCCTAAAAGGCCAAGGAAGGAGTTAAATATAAACTAAGATAATAAACAACCGATTGTACTTACTGTTGACAAGACAGCCAGGGGCAGAAACATGAGGAGTGATACTGGCCATTAGAAGCGCTAAAGAATCAGCTAAATTAGAAAATAGAGTACTTAGAATATGTTATATAGAGAGATACTTACAAGAAGAACTGTACAGCAGCAAGTAGTGAATTCTGAGATAAAAGTGGATAGTAGACAAGATAGATGTTGATAGATGATAAGATAAAGATTAGGAAATATAAGAAAGGCTGTATAAGGTAACTGGAATAAAAACACTAAAAAGTAAAGTAATAGTAGAAGTAAAATAACAGATTCACTATATTTTACTTGACTAGCTAGATAACATAATCTTTATCTTAATATAGCAAGTATAGCTCAGCATATATTTATTAAATATATCAGAATTATATAATAAATAAAAGAAACAAGTGATAAACTCACTGTACTAGAAACAGAAATATAAATAGCTAAAAATACTGGGCAGTTACTAGTTACAATAATCTTTTTGATATAGCAAGTATATTAGTATAAGAAGTTTTTTGTAGTCTCTGAGAACAGCACTCAGGTATAGATAAGCTTAACTAGAGAAATAATTCAGGTTTAACTACTATCTCAGTTAATGTGATTTAAGTGTCCTTATTATTGTCCGGCTCTGTAAGGTCAATTCCTTTATAGTATTCTTAAGTAGAAAGAGAAGAGTTGTTATAATAAAATAGAATTGAATTTATATCATGTAGACTAATAGACTTTAATAGAGTTACAGTAGTAACTTGCTGTGTCTACTGGTCCGGTTATTTTTGCTTGCCTATTGCGGAAGATGGAGTTAATGGCAAAGATTAGGCCAGTATTAATAGAAAGTGTATATTATCTATTACTATTATAAGTTATGGATTTTCTTTAGTCACTCTAAAGATATGTCCAGTAATGAATACTTAAGTATTGGAAGTTAGTGGTAAAAAGTTGATCTAGCGCTGGCTATTCTTGAAATAGATAGTAACTGAAAATATATGCTAGGTCCGGCTAGAACTATTATAAACTATTAATTAGAGATAGTAATATAGGAGTTTTAAGCCATTATTCAGCTATTCTCCACACTTACTTACTATAGCAAGGAGTATTACAGTTAGTTAGACTGTCTCTAAACAGTGTATAAAGTATAAATCTGTATCTTCATGATTTTCTGGATAACTGGACTACTTGAGAAGGAATATTATTCAAGTTTAAGAAGCTTCTTACTAGTCTACTGTGTGAGTATATAGAAGAATATAAAAGTCTTGATTTTATATAGTAGCTATTAAAAAAGAGTCCCAGGTGTAAATAAATATATTAGATAAATAATACTCAGACTGGTTCAGTTTACTGAAAAATTAAACTAGGATTAGGATATCTTTTTACTCAATATTATCTGAAAATATATCTTTTTCAGGGATATTAAGTGAAATATATAGCTGTAGAGCAAGACTCTTACTAGACCGGGTTAGATCCGGTTCAACATAGTCAATAAAGTCTTGAATATAGAATGTAGAAGGGAAGTTTATATTTAGAGATATTCTCAGAAATTATATTTAACAGTTTTTCAAGGAGGAAATCTATAAAAAGCTAAAGAAGATTACTATATAGAAACGCTTAGGAAACCCGGGAAATATAGAAGTAAGAGCTTTAAATAGGAATAAGAAAATACAGTATTAAATAGTAATTCAGCCTGATAATAGTATAGTATACCCTGCCTGTAATGTAGCTACACCCTGCCCGCATTGCATAAACAAATCAGTTTTAAGTAAGAATATATTCTATTTTATCATTATAAGATTAGAATTATAAGTTAGAATAAAGGATACAGATAGAGAGCAGTTTATTTTATAGATTTTACAGTTTTTCTATTTCTTTTAATACTGAGGATCAGGTATAAAGAGAAGATCTTCAAGATTAGTACTCTACAGAATATAGAGTATATTGAATAAATATACTCTAGAGAGTTATATATATTAAGAGTAATATTTTAGTAAGAATATTTAATATTATCCAGTTAGAAGATTCTTCAAGCCTAGAATTGGTATAGAAAGAGTTAAACTTTTAGATTAAAATAGAGCTACTAATCTAAGAATCTAGATACTATACTATAATAATTTCTTTTTTAAGATCTTGGAGCTATTTCATTTTAGTCTATAGTTATAGATCTAGTTTAAAGCTGATATCTTTTATATTAATCTACTGTAATAGATAGAATTTCTTCAAGGATTGAAGTCTAGACAACTAAATATATATTAAGTAATACTTTCTATAGCTATCTTAACCTTATCTGGTTAAATTATCTTTAAGATCAAGGATTACAGCTTTAAGTGTTAAGCCTTAGACTTTATAGTCTGTAAAACAGAATGCCGGATATATTATAACTTATTTTCTTCACATGGAGTAGCCTTTCAAGGAGATAGATCTCTCTAATAGAAATACCAGTATAATAAACAGTTCTAATTCTTTAAAGCCAGAGGCTTTTAATTTATTCTGTCAGAATAGAATACAAGCAGGCGATTTAGTGTAAAGTATATAGAGATTATTAATTTTAAAGAATTTAGCTAGTGATATATCAAGTTAGATATAGTCAGCTTTCTTATAGAAAGACAAACTTGCCAGTTAAATCTATTACAATACTGACAGCAGTTCCCGCTACTTTATTAACTAGTTCCAGCGCGGTGCAGCTATTAGTGAGTATTATAGCAGATATATTGATAATATATAAAAAAAGCCTGGAAAAAGAGATTTTAGTGTCTTAGTCTGGCTGCTGGAGTAGGTCATTAACACAGAGTCTTAAATAAACTGGATTAGTAGACTTAGTTTGCTTATGGACAGCTGGAAAGATATAGATTATTTAGTATCAGGTTTATACAAAGTGTTCCATTTGAATGCAGTTAATCTGATACTGAAGTAAGTTTAATTTTACTATAGCAGTCACATCACCTAGTTAAGATATAATAAGAGAGATAATAGCTTTTGAGTTAAGTAAAGATAGATCATTATCTATTAATATTCCTGCCCTTACTCAGGATAGCAGGTCTTAGAAGAAAGTATCTTATACCTGTCTTATCTATTTATCTAAAATAATCATATTTTAAAAACAGTGCCAAATCAGCTAACTATTCTTATCTTTTTTATTATTCTTTTATAGTTTCTTCCACAGTGCTGGGCCGTGAACAGGTAGAAATTAGAAAAAATTACCTATCAAGATAACTACTGGAAGTCCTCTAAAAAGATTAGTTAAATTTCTATTCAAGGACCGTATGACCTTGTAGTAATTATCTATCATGCTAAGTATACTCAGATCTACTATACTAACTTTATCAATAATCATGATTGTCTTTTAGGACCAGAGTCTTCTCACACAGGATTTCACTACTGAGCCTTGTGAGCAATCAATAGAGATACCAAGCAATATATAGTATATATTTCCTCCAATATTATCAGCTACAATACCGGTTAGGGCTATGAGTATAACCTTATACTTATGCTAGATAAAGTCTATACCAGCCACAATTCCTTTAATAACCTGACTCTTACCCACGCCATCTTCTCCTCCAATATAAAGAAGGATTTGCAGATATTTTATAGAATTATAAGTATAATCTTTCTAGTGTAAAGTCTCTAATAATACTTTTTCCATAACTAGCCACTATTTTACATTAAGAGAGATATCTTCACTGATAAGAGAGTAAAGAGCCGCACTAGTAGAAAGATCACTGATTTAAGATTAGTGTGCTATAATAGTGATGGCATTTATGTCTAACAAGGTTAGTATTGGTTCTAGAATACTATCTTTAATCTCTAAATTAGAGTCAGGAAATCTAAAGCTAGAGATAAATAAATCATAACTTGTAGTGTCTTCTTTACTAGACTTGGCAAGTTATTTCAGCCAAACCTCCCAATACTGGAGTATTAATAAAGGGAAGAACCTAAGGCCGGATGTCTTATATACTAGAGTATTATAGATATTAAGGGATTAAAGGTTTTTAAGCTACAGACTATAAAAGTAGATTATTGGCTAGTCTATTATAGGAATATGCTTTCCGGTGACGTGTATCTCTCAATCCTATAATCTGGCAATGAAGTGGAAAGCAGTAATCAATATCTTAGCATTAAATATTTTATCTTGAAGAGAAATAAGTTCTTCACTATCTTTACTATATAAATAAAAATCTGCTAGTTCAAACTCATTAATATTATAGATATATAAGTCAGAAGTATAGTTTACTAATTTCTATAACTTTATATCTACTTAACAGTCTTTCTTGGACTTTTGGAGAAGCTTGATATTTTACATAAAGACTTAGTTATACTGCAGTAGTATCAGCTCTATAGCCTTCTATACATAAGTATATATATCCAGTTTTATAGTATATTGAAGAGAGTGGACAAAGAGATCCTCCCAGGAAATAAATAAGCCCAGCATTATCTTACTTATATCATTCAGAATTAACTCTGTTTTCAGGTGGCCTCCTGGAACAGCATCCTCAGCAGATTAGCACTTAGTGAGCTGCCCATGAAATGTGACCATAGCCACCTGGAATAGAGTACAGGCTAAGTATTGTACATGTGTGGCATACCAGGGATATTTCGGATCAAACTCCATATCATCTACTGATGTGTCACATATATTTTTGGTCTATATAAGCATGCAGTATTCAAACAAGGACAGGGAAGCCAAATACAGGCCATGCTATTTATAGTTATTAAAAACACTTACAGGAGCTAAATTACCAACTTTAAAAATATAGGGTTTCTCTGCCATCTTACTCATGGAGCTATTATTATTGAAGTTGGTTAGTTAAACAGCCGCGCGCATATATTATCTCAGTCACCAGAGATTAATCTGGATAAAGTTATAGCTAATAATATAGTAGATCAGTAGTTAGAGTAAAGTACTTACAACTTAGACTCCACTAATCTTATAGTTATAAGAGAGAGAGTTAAAGTAGTGTAAAGTAAAGTTATCTATATCTTTTTCTTTTAGATATAGGTCAGTTACTGTTAGAGAATTGGCTACTTTTGCTTTATTAATAAAGTGCTTTAACAAAGCCGCCTTGACTATTATTTACCAGGGAGATATATTATCTTTAGTTATATAATTAATAATATAGTGGATTAGAGACAATAATTTAGAGACTGTTAGGATTCAAGAGATATCTTAGTTTGAATGGATATAGCTAGCTATGGCTGGATTCCACAGGTTTATCCAGGTATAATTTTAAGTGAGGTGAATTAATCCAAACTTATCCACCTTAGAAGTAGAAACCAAATCTTGTAATATACTAAAGTAGCAAGTATTTTTGCTGGATCCTATTTACTAATATTTAAAGCAGGTTAAGAGATAATTCCGTGAATGGATTTGCTTTTTATATATAATAGAGTTGCTGTTATAGGATAATCTAAGATAAAAATCATTATCGGATTCATGCTCCTTTCTGGAAGGCAGTATTATAGAAAGGTTCACTTTAGAGTCCTGCAGGATACTCTGATCTATACCTTGTATAATAATTAATTCCAGATAATGAATCATGTAAGCAGCAAATAGCTCATCCTTTAGAAGCTAATCATATAAAGTAGTAAAACCAAGATTACTCTTAATCTATACTAATATATACAGGTACAGCATGCCTTGACCATTGGTCTCTATAACAGCAAAATAATTGGAAAGATCTCCAAGGATTCCAATATAGCCTGTATTAGTGGCAAGAAGGCCATCCAGGACAGTATTATATATATAATGAAAGAACTATGCAACTGTAACAGGATTGGATATTATTATTACCTCACAGATAGCAGCATTTGCTAACATGAAGGTATCCTCAGAAAGCTCTATACTAGCCAAGATTAGAACAAGGAGATTACACAAGTCTAAGGAATTAATTATCATCCAAAAGACAGGTATCCTATAGTATATAATCAATCTACAGATCTCAGAGCATATCCTTAGCTTGTAGACAAAAGATCCTGAAATATATATCTCAATTGCCTCAATATTCTGTAGAAGTCATTATATAGTGAGATTCTCAATTTATTAACTAACTATAACTGCCTTCACTGTATCTTATAGCTGATTTACAGTAAGAGAGGCAATATCCTGTATGGTTAATTTCCAGTGCTGCTATTTAATAAGGAATATATTTCCTAGTGAAGACTTTTAGAGCTGCAGCATGTCATATAATAAATATATAAAGATTCTGTGACAGGCAAATCTATAACTATAAGTACAGCTAAGCATAGTTCCTTGGAGGGCAACTTATCTTCTACTATAGTGACTGAGAGCCCACTGAGCAAACATAGCTAATGATATAGGAATATCACACTGATCTAGATATCCTTCAATGCCTGTCAGAAAAAGGATTAGGAAGGCAGCAGTGAAGTAACACAGATTAGCCTAGTAATTAACTAAGGTGGTTTAACCTTGAATAGTATATAAGATAGCAGGTATCCTTTAATAATGAAGAGAATAAATATCTGTAACCTTGGTTCTATTTTAGAAACATTCACTGGCTGGAGCTGATAGATTTATGATCATGCTAAACAAACTGTCTAATATATAAATATTAGGATCTTGTTATTCTCCATTAATATCTGTAGAGACAGATCCGGTAATCAGAAGTTCAGCTGAATTAAAGCCTTAATCCTAGGCAGTCTACAGATTATTCTTATAGTTCCCGGGTTACAAATTTACTGTATAACCTTCTCATTCATGGTAATCTCCCTTATTGAGACAAATGATGCTATTGCAAAGTTCTGTAGAAATAAAGTTATTACTCCAGTCCTCTATTATTTATTGATTTAAAGTCAGTTCTCGATATAGATAGTTATATTATATCAGGTATTATAAAGCTACCAGAACCTTGGCCTTTCAAATAAATAGAAATAGATTTAGATCAGTGTCTGCTAGACACTGTCATTCTAACCAGAATACCTTGATCAGGCTCTGCAGTCTCACTTCTGGGCTTGGAAGAATCTGGAGCAGCGGTTCGGGATTCTATAGAATAATAATAAAATGGTCTCAGAGCGCATAATAGCTGACTGGAGAAGCATAGCCGCCCGATCGTAATTTCAGGATAATACCAAGAGAATGGTATTTTGCAATAAGACATTCCTCTACAGGGGTGAGGTCTTCAAGAATAGATAAGTAGTCTTGGCAGAGTATCACATTAACAAGATTCTTTATAGAGAACTTAGGGATTGTTTCCCGAAGAAGTACATTATAATATAGGGAACAAAGTATCCAGGTATTCCTACAGTGGCTATAAGTATCAAGGTACTCTTTTAATGGTAGTAATATACTGTCCTTGCTTTGAACCCGGTAAATATCTATAATAGAGACAAGTTTACCGCAAGAATAATACAGGTCTCTATTAGCAGCAGCAGAAACCGCGTCTTCATATCTGATAATAGATTCCTGTATATAGAAATGTAAGATACTGAGAGAAAAGCAGTCAGAAGTAATAGCCCGCATGTCTAACTTATTATATAAAAAACCCAGTGCCTGATCTAAACACTGTTATATTCTGTCTGGAACTATAGTCCGTGGCCACTTTTCTTTTAGGCATAAAGGTGGTGGACTATACCTTCTCTTTATAGAGCCTTGTAACTGTATTAGATTAACTAGGCGGTCAGGTCTGAGAGTTTGTTATTCAATGGAAGATAATAGCGCCAATATGCTTAAGGATATTGTCATGGAATTTTAAGTAGAAGATTGAGTCCTTGGATTCAGGCAGTGACTTGAGGGCCACGGTATTAAGTGATGGCGGCAAGCATCACAAGTCTTATATCGAGATTGATCCCACGGTCTCAGGCATCCAGAACAGACTGAAGCCATATCAATAAACACTCATCATTGGGGAAAGGTCAGACTGCAGGGCGGGCCATAAGTGCGGGGTATTTTAAATAGTGAAAAAAGCAAGCATAGATACAGTTGCCATTTTATATATAGAGATTGCAGAGAGAGATTTTTTCACCTACATGATCCTTATATTCTTCCTAATGGTTGCAAAGGGTTGTTGGGGGGGGGGGGAAGGGGCAGACAGTTCATATATACAAGGATAATCAATAAATAAACAACATGAAAGAGTTTAGGTTCCAAAATCAGTTACATTGAAAATACTAAGCCAAGATATGGGTATAGAAGCAGCAGAATCTCCTTGTACATTGAAAAAAAGTGCAATGAATGCCTAGATACAAAATGAAACCCTAGACAAAACAGCAAATCATAGAGAAGAAAATCACGTTACCGTGAAATATGTCAACCAATGAGGGAACGTCTTGGCACGAAAGCACAGCCAATCAGAGCGAAGGCTTTGGCAGTGCGATCACAGCGTCATTTTGCGGACAGCTCGCGGGTGGTAGTAACCCTTTCACTCAGTTCCTTCGTTTCAGGGCAATGTCATCTCAGTCAAAAACACAACATTTTATTTCATATCAACTCCAGAAACCAAACATCTGAGTCGTTATAATGTGTCCACCGCTTGCAGCTATCGAGAAAGACAACTCGACCAGTCCAGACATTCCCAAATGCATTCCGGATGATGAGCTCTCCCAAGGCGCCTACACGCTGGCCCGATCTCACCTACCCCCTCCTATCCTGAATCACAGTGTCCGCGTCTTTCTTCTTGCAGATTGGGTAGCCCAACGCGAACAGTCAGAATGGGCTAGTGCCGACAGGCGGAGTCTGCTCTGTGTTGCCTGCATTCTGCATGACATTGGATGCGCAAGGGAGTTTGACGGCCCACAGCGTTTCGAGGTCGAAGGCGCCGATGCTGCTGCTGATTATCTTCGTCAACATAAAACACCCGATGCAGACGTACGCGAAATCTGGCAGGCAATAGCCCTGCATACCAGTCCTGGAATCGCAGAGCGTATTAGTTCTCTTGCCCGTCTGGTGCGTCAAGCTGTCCTCACCGATTTCGGTAAGGAGTTGGATAAAGAAAGACACGGTGCTCGATGCACTGCCGAGGAGCTATTCCCAAGACTTGGTATTGAGAAGCTCCTGGGGGATACTGTCGTTGATCAAGCACTGAGACAGCCTGAAAAAGCACCAGCGGCATCCTGGCCGGGAATCCTCCTGCGAGCAAAGAGGGAATTTCCAGAATGGGATGGAGTCAACAAGGCATTTTGAGAGAGATCGATTTATCTTCAAATCACAATAAGCTTCAGATAGGAAGATAGCCACATGTGAATTCTAGGCTAGTCTTATCATCCAGTGGGAGATATCTTGATATCATATGATATCTAACTACTGCAGAAAGGAAGGGATTATGATCTCAGATACATTTTGTCTACTATTCATCAAGATATTAATATTATGGGATGTGTGTTATGTTCGCAATGGGTCTTTTAAATAGTAATAATATTCCTTGTGGTTATCCATATCATTGTCTCCAAAGCTCTAAAGAGTATGAGATATATATAACCCACAATCGACAACCAAATGAATTATCTACAACCACAAACTATTTTAATACAATTAGAGGGATATCTCAAATAGGCAAGATAATGTGCCAATATAATTAGAAAGATATATAAATAGGGCCACTATGAATGAAAGGCACAACAGTGGTATTAGCGGTTTCCGTCTATGCCTGTCCCATGAGTTAGGTTCAGCCTTGCCTGTGTTAAGCAGCATCTTAACAATGGCCTCATTACCGTTCTCAGCGGCATATGACAGTAGCATCCGTGCATCACTTTCTTTTAAATCAGGTTCAACTTTATCTATATCAAGTAGTATCTTGACAATGGCCTCACGACCGACCATTCTCAGCGGCGTTCATACCATCCCCACATGCCCTCCGCCTGCCCCACTTTTTTCTATCTCTGTGAGCTTAGACTCATATTCTCTAATGTTGTTTCTTGTTTTTGGTATGGGAAGCCGTGGTGGTGGGATATATATCATTTGAAGAGGATAAGGACTGTTAAACACACTTAAAGGAGTAGAGTAACAACCATTAAGGTAAATAGTAGAAAGGTTAAAGGTACTCAAAGAAGTAGAGCAGAAGCTATTAAGGTAAGTAGTAAGGAGGTTGAAGAAATATTGGCACGTAGATAAGGAGTATTCCTGAAACTGAGGAGGTGGGCCCGGACCGCATTACCGAGCTCATATGCGGCAAAAGCTCCGTGATAAAAAAAAAGGGTTGACGCTGGACCCACTGCGCTGATCAACTTATCTGCCAGTGGATTCATAGGCCGGGTTCGCCTTCGGTTCAAATGCTGAAACATTGGTAGACTCCGTTCTGTAAGCGAGATGGCACTACGACTGCTTTATATATTGTAAAGGATTGGGCCTATCAGAGGCTATATCTAAGCAGCTGCGTACAATTACGCATATGATAAATAGGGACCTATTGAACCTACGCTCCTAACGAGTACATTCTAATGAGGTAGTTGAATATATCGTTGTTCTATAAGCTCTTCCGATCTATATGATGGATGGTGTGTAGTCAATACTTCAACATTGCAGTCCTCCTATACCGAAGACCCCTATCAAACTCTTCCCCCGAGCTCTTTACATATATTAATTAATCAATAACTCACATATCGTCTGATCAGAAAGGTGCACGTTTTTGTACTACTTTTTCATATAAGTCTGACAATCTGTAGAATTTAAACCCGGGGCACCCCTATCAGCGATCAGTAATCCAAAACCTGTCTCTGTCTCTCGCGTAGTGAATACATGAAGGATAAATAGTGAGACGTTGTCATTACACACGGCGGCTACCATCTATAACTTACGTAGGATTAAAAACGCAACTGTGCTTACCATGAAGCCTTTTCTACTTCTGGCGTCACTGCTCTCCAGCAGTACCCTGGGATCCAACTTGTCAACCAAGGTGTAGGGAAAGCCAGCTGGGTTCGCCTGCAGTGTTACAGGAGGCGGAAATGCGACTCCAGCTATTTCAGCGAACGTGACTAAACTGCTCGACTGGCTTACATATAACAAGACTCGCGTCATTGTACTTGACAAGGAGTATAATTTCATAGGTAATGAGAGCTACTGTGAGAACTGCGCTTGCTGCGTATTTAACACCGATACTTGTGGTGACGGCGGCCAGGATGTGATCGAAACGGATTTTGGTTGGTGTGGAGATAGGATTCCAGTCGACTGCACCTATCCCAACATGACGACGATTGACGTGGCATCGAATAAGACTCTCGTGGGGCTTGGATTTAAAGGTGTTATCCGTGGCAGAGGACTGCGCTTCGTTTACGGCTCCTCGAACGTTATCATCCAGGACATTCATATCACAGACATTAATCCAGGATACGCCTGGGGTGGAGATGCGATAAACATGGACGGATGTGATTTGATTTGGATTGACCATGTGAAGATTTCATTGGTTGGCCGGCAGATGACATCTATGGGATATGAATTCAGTGAGTTCCCTTGTACTGTGTGAAAGTGTTTATATTCTCCATGAATGCTTACCAAGTACTAATAGATGGACGTGTCACCATCTCGAACACCGAGTTTGACGGAAGAACCAATCATTCTGCTACGTGTGACGGACATCATTACTGGACCATCCTTGGACTTGGAGAAAATGATAAAGTGTCATTCTTCAACAACTGGATCCATCATACCTCTGGGCGCTCTCCAGACTTGGGTTCCGTGAGCACCTGGCACATTTTCAACAACTACTGGTCCAACAACACAGGGCATGCATGCTCTGTCACCCCGAGCCTGCTATTCTAGTGGAGGGAAATGTATTCTATGATGTAGTGAGACTGACCGAGCCTGGCAATGGATATGGAATGTTTATCACGAACTCCAGCACGGCATCTACGTGCAACTCAACCATGAAACGCCCATATCAGGAAAACGTGCTCACCGACAACGGAGACCTATCGCCTTATACAACCAATAATGTAACATCCTTACAGACAATCGCTGATGGAGATGAACAGAACATCAACATTATGCCGTCGGCCAGGTTTTACTCGTTACATGACGATCCTTTGCAATACAGTCGGTAATTAAACACATTTAATGGCATGATGAGGACTATAAAAGGGTCTTCACAGGCTATAAATTATAAATTAGATACACAGTCAGGCAGCACCTCAAAAATCAATAGGCTTGATCTGTGAGTTGATGTGGATCGGTCATTCTAAGCCAGAAAAGTAACGTCGTGGCCAAGCTTGGCCTGGAAACAGGCACCCGTTGCTCAACTCCTGACTCTTGTGCGGTTTATTTTCCACTCCACAAGATGGGTAGGAGAATGACAAGGCCCGTCTGGCGTCGATTAGCTCGGGGGAACCAAGCCGGCTCCCGGTATGACATTACAATCCTTAGCCATAGATTAGACCCCAATTTACAAATCTAGTTTGTGCGTGTTGGAGGGATTTATTTCCTCTCAGAAAGCTGGGCCTACACAAGAGCTGAATCTATAAGGCTGCAAAGTAGGGTTGACGCCAAGGCTCTACCAACAGAAGCGTTTCAGAAGTTCTTATCCGAGAGTCGCCATATAATTTTATACTACTGATTCTACTCTTCAAGAGCCATCAGATAGCATTGTTTCCATTCTGAGCTATGGGCTAAGGACTGGGATTAAGTCAGAACTAAAACGAGCGTATCGAGGGCCGGATCGATCGCTGACCCGTGTTACAATCCTGGTTTATAGCATAGTTTAGTCAGGGGACGAGAATGGGGACGTTGTCTTGTGCAGGTGGGCCATTGTTGGTTTCTGATGAGTCGTTCCTTTTTCTCTTCATTTTTATTTTCCTTTCACTTCTGTTTTGTGGATTGGTATGGGGCTCCCGGTTGTGAGATCACAATGGGATTGGCTCTACTAGAAGATCAAAGTGAGACGGAATCGAGGTCCTCGATAAGCACTAGACTCAACAATAGCGCCAGCTCTAGCACCAGAGTTGGAAAATAATGAGAGAGCAAGTGCTTCCTGGAATCTATAGGGCTCATGGATATAATCATGACCATCGTTCTGGAAGAGGTGCCTAAGGAGTAGGTCAAGATCCCTAGCGGTCACGAGGAATTTCTCTCGATGTTCTGTCCCCAATCCATATTTTTTTTTTGTTAGTTCAGTGCGAATATACTTTGAATATCAATTAGTCAGTTCCAAGCCATTTGAAGAATGTAGAGGAGCACAGACATTATAGACATCGTCCTTGACATTATTCGGCAGTTTTCGACAGGTCTTTTTCTCCCATTCGCCAATACAGCAGGAAAGATTATGACACACTGAATGTTGCGATGGGAAAGTTTGCGTTGAGCAATATAACTCTCCGAGAAAAGCTTTAAACTCTGGTTAGGAGGGTCAGGCTCCTCCTTTGTAAAGTATCTCTCTTCGGGTTCATTTCGGGGCGACATCTACGTATGCTGATTAGTTATTCATGCAAGGAACGGAGAACGGAGGTTAAATGTAAATGTATCTTACGTCTTCCACCTTTCGACGGCCAGATCATATCTTTGATCAGTAGCTGGAGCCCTTTGCTTATGGCAAACCTTGTTTTCTTTATTTCCCTGCTCCTGTTGGTACTCTGCAGGAAAGCCGCGTAACTCGCCGAGCTTGCGGGGCTCCTCTACCTTTTGTCGTCGTTGCTCTTCTTTAAATAAATCTGACATGTTGTCACGTGGTATTGGCAGATGTAGATGACAACACCAGGGCAAAGTCACGAAAAGGTTTGAAGAGAGAAGAAATTTTGGCGAAGCCCAAAAAGTTCCCTCCCTATTTGTTTCGTATGATGGAGACACTAGGCTGCTCAATGTGCGATTGAGCCTGCACTAAACCATCTAGCTCATCCAGCTCACCCTACAACTTAGCGTCGCTCACCCGTAAAGCAGCAAGCCCCAGAGGGCTCCCCTGTCCTTTGGCCGAGCTTACACAGTTGGCTTAAGTACGGCTGAGCGGACGGGAAGACCTGTTCTCCACACCCTATGGTCGTATGTGTCAGTTTCTCAAAGACAGAGGATTATATAGAGCTCTTTTCTCCTGGTCTTGGCTGAGAAATGTAATTTTGACTGATTTCGAAGCCTACATCCAGTGCGAGACAACCTACCAGGTTCAGTCATAGAAATCCTTTACTTATAACGATCTTGCGTCGTATTTACCTAGTTATAATGGAAATGTTAGGGCACCTGAACATGTCGTCTGACAGCCTCAACATCCGGTTCAGCAATGACGCTTCCTGATAACGGTACAATTCTTGGATCTCCGTTTGGGGCCGTCAACAAAAATAAATTTAAGTAGTTCCTTTTCTACATGCGGGTAAGATGCGATTTCCATCTACAAAGTGGTCGGAAAATTGCTATTTTCGGTTATCAGCCAAGGCGAGGTTGGCGGCGTCGGACATATCACCAACCCGCCAGTGCTGAGGGCCAAAGACCTTTGTAGACGCGCGGTCTGAAGAGCAGCCGCTAGAGGAACAAAAGACATAAGGTCATTGAGATGCCCATAACCGCGTTGGACTGTAGGAATGATTTGATCCGAGCAGTGACTGAAGGAGTAAAATATCTTCTCTACTATATGTCTCTCTATTCTCTTTTTAGCTTACTTAATCCCTCTTTCGATGAAACATCCCTAGACCGTTACATATAGCTCTCAAAGCCTGAGGTTGGTTTTGAGCATGTTGCTGTGACAGTTATGAACAAATAGATCCACACCTGTTCTCCACACTCCGTTGTCGTAGGTCCAGATTGAAGATTATATATAGGTTCGGTTCGCTAGTCTTGGTGGAGATACAAAACGTTGACCGATCTGGAAATCTGTATTCAGTACTAAACGTAAGAGACCTGATCTAAATAGTGATGGAAACTTTATTAATAATGAAATTGTCTCTGCTTGTATTTCTAAGCAGTACTTGGCTAGATGCAAGTACTGTACGATTTTATGTTTTAGATTGGCTTTAGATTTTTAAAAAGAAATAGCTCTAGTTCTACTATGTATCTCTAGTATAACTAATATTTAAATTAATACATCACTAATGGGGCTGCTATAATAATGTTAAAATCTAACTATTAAGCGTTGTTGTGGGAGATTTCACCAATATGTGCCTCTGATCGGAACTTGATTCAGTCCGTGTAGTTCCATGTCTAGAACTATCCCAGGCTGCGGGATCCGCGGAGCCCTCGGATCCCCATATTTCGGGTCCCGGCGGCTCCGGCGGTTCCACGGCTCGGAGGTAACGGCATGCAACATCCGGTTCTGGGTGGCAATGACTAACCCTACTTCTGGCCTTGATTGCATGGACTATCCCCATAAAGTGAGCAAATGTGGGTATGAGGACTGTGCGCAAGACCTTCGTGTCCAGACTCTCCTGATTACATTTAGTCAGGGGCAAGTGCCGGGGAAACCTTCAGTGGACTAGGTAACCAGTCGCGTCATAGATTCACGTCTGTATGGAGGATATCTCAGTGTTCTCATGTTGATTTGGTACTAATACGGGGTAGGAGATCTCAACCACATTTCATCGCCCAATAATTAGTGGGTCTAGATGTTGATCATTGCGGGCACCAATGGCGTTCAGCATCCGGTTAGACGCACCACGACTCCACGCAGAGCTTCTGTTCAGCATTCTGCAAACAGGGTTTCTCATGAGCCCCTCGTTTATAAACAATTGCTTAGGCACTTAAGTGACACACCGGAGAAGTACTAGGAAAGCATTTCTGTTCCACTGCAGCAGATAAACTTGTTTCTTTTTCACTTACCTTCGTCTTCTCCATGGAGTCAATAACAACTTATAATAGGCATCATGCAGGTTGGCCACCGGATAACCAAGGCGATGATTGTAATATTGATCTACTAGCCGAATCGGCGGGTCCGTTCTCGACAGAAATTGCGCACATTCTCGGGAGCCTTGAATTCAACTGGGAAAACACAGGGGGAGCATCAAGCGATGCTAGCTATCAAGGTAGTGCGGATCCACACTTCATTTTCGATCTGTGTTTTCCGGTCTTAAAAGCTTCCCCGGCCGATCAAATAGGCCAGAAGGAACACTTGCGGGAAGCAGAAGAGGTGTCCTGGCCTGGGGAATGGCTTTCGCCCCAGTCCCAGTTGCTCTCTCCCCCAAACCTCATGGATAACCAGGATCTCTCGACTGCCTTTTTGACGTGCAGTCCTAACGTTCAAGATTCAAGCCTGAAGGCCCAACGCCCCACAGTTAGACGACGTCGACGACGGCAAAACCACGCATGCGATCCCTGCCGCTCATCTAAAAAGGCCTGCGACTTGCCTCGGGGGGTTTGTACCTCTGATGATAGGGCCACCAAGCCATGTTCAGGTTGCAAAATGCGGGGCATCGACTGCACTGTCTCCTGGCTGGCCAGTAGGCAGCTGGTACGTCAAACCGATCGGGATTGCGGAAAACCGAATTCAGTCATGGAGAACGACGCTGGCGACAGGGAAGGAACCGATGCTGCCGAGATTGGCCACGATGCCCTGGCTTCCCTATCAACTTTAGAGACCGACTTATCAAGGAGCGCGATGGCTGGCAGTATATGTTCACAATATTTCAACCTCTTCATCGATATCTCGGACTCGTTTCTGTCACAATGCCTCGTTCAAGGAAGCATGCCTCCCCCGTACAAATTCGGTGTGGCAGCGTATGACACGCTAAGCGCAAGCGCCCAGCTATCTGCATGCATTGAGAGAGCCGAGAGGTGGGTTTCTACCTGCTGGCATGGCTCTCTCAGCCGCGCAGCACTTACTGCATCACCTAGCCCATGCATATTTAGGGCCGTTAGTGTGCTTGACGCTCTTCTGTCTCCCACTCCTGGGGCATCACGAGATGCATCCATCACAGAGGCGTATAAATGGGTCGCGATCGCTACAGCAGCTCAGTTGGCAATTCATAAGGAGGGGGAGGCTGGGAATGTAGACGGCGTCGGAGCCCAGTCGCAACTCCGGGGTGTCGCTTTGGTTTCATGGCAAAAAGCCAAGGAGCTAGTATTCAGAAACATTGCAGCCACGGGATCATTCCGACTAGCCCTATCGCTTGTTTTCTTCGGTGATATTATTCCTCCAAATAGCAGCACTATTGAAGAAGACAAGGAGGACAGGGCTTTTGCTTTTTGCGAAGGAATCAAGCGTTTGAGGGCGCTCTGTTTACAAACACGCAGCGATATCGAAGCTCAAAAAGAAATGGGCTCCACCCCACGCTCGACGTCTTTCAACACTACCAGCGGAGGAAAACGGTATCATATACCGAACCTACCGCCTGAGGCAAACCAATTAATTTTAGAGCTTGTCGGCGCACTCGAATGGTTGGTTTCTCTATACAATACTATCGCTATTGGCACGTCATATGGGAAGATCTGTCCGTTCCCTCTTGAGGCGGAGGATGATGAACCAACTATTTCTTCTGGTATGGAATCACCGGCGTCTAGCCATATCATAGACGATGACACCCTATCGCCTTTGTTAGCATGGCGGTGTCCGCAAGAGATCGAGAACTCCATCGTGGCGCGTGTACAGCAGGGAGGAAGCTCATTTATTGAATTCTGGAAGAATAATGTCCATGAGAGCGAAGCGGTACTTTATGCTGGAAGACTTTTCGTATCGCTTTCCATTCTTCTATGGAGATCTCTGGCTCGATTTACAATAGGTGCAGCAGCAGTCGACACAGGGAATGCTAAGTATAGCGACATCGATCGGGACTACACCGCGATGATTGACCTCATTGAGCTCTGGAGAACGCATTTTGGAAAGGTCGACCTACATACTAAATTGTGTCTTCAGCAATCAGATCGCGAAGTCTGGCGAATGTCTGCTTTTTGTTCTGTCGATACTGATTTCGCTATACTGCTCTTTTACAACGTGGCTCAGAGGCTCGAGAAGCGTCTTGTACAACTACCATCGATACCGGCTAAAGAACGGCTGTCCAGTTCTATTCGATCCACACGAGCACGCCGCTCCACGCAAAGGCTTGTGAGTGCCATACAAATAGCCACAATCTCTTCCACATGTCAGGGATCAGCTCCAGCGCCACTGTGCCAGCCGATACCAACGTATGGCCGATACATGTGCGCACATCCGGTAAACATCCTATCCTCTTGCACATTTCTCTGCTTTAGGGGTGCTAACTGCTGGTAAAAGTCGCCTTGGGCGGTGATTCAGTTACACACCCTTGCTGCACAGGCCTTTTCCGATGAGATCAACAACCCGAGCACTCCTCCCGATGCCAAGCACGCTTCGGAGATGACACTGGGCTTGAACACATGTCTTCGAGGTTTATTAGGGCTCCGAGACAATCTATTCATGGCCCCTGGCCCAGCTCAGGTTAATAATTGACCTGTGCAAAGGATCGAGTTTTGCGGAACGTGGAGCAGGCTTAATTATTGCATGGATGCAAACGAATTCTCTTGTAGGCATGTTAGTAGAGTTTCTGCCTCCAAATCTTGCTCAGTCGCCGGGCTATATGAAAACAGTGCTACATACGTAGCCCCAACCTTGAGTATTCTAGATATGTTCATGCAATTGCTGGCCCGATTGACGAGACGGCAACTCTTGAGTTCTTCATGTTAGCACCTTGGCCACCCACAGGCGCTATAACCCCCGTAAGAGCTGGGCATTTCACTGCCTTGCAGCATGTGCTGGGTGGCCTTAATTCACATTCAACAACTTCAAGAATGCTTCTCAAATGTATATATATATATAGGCATAGATTCCTTGCGATGCCCGACATCGGAGCCGCTCGGAGCCGAGGTTCGTGTAGCCCACATACTTATGCTTATGTAGATTGAAGTCTCCAACCCGAGCTCCGACGCCAAAGTGAACCGCTTCGAATATATAGTCTCTAGCACGTCCCTAGTAGCGTGGGAGGATCCACTCCAAAAATAACATACGCAAAAGCATCTAGGTTAACCAAAATGAGCTCACCTCAGCCCTTCACCCGAGTCCTCTCCCCACCTCTCAATTTTCTCCCCCCAAATACCCCCCCGCACCTTTTCTCAGCGACAGTGGAGCACTTCACCTCCATCCCGTGGTGCGCGAAACTCCTATCCGTAGACCCAGCAGCACCCAACAACCACAGCCAACCGATCCCCTTCATCTCACAAAGCTTCAACCCCGAGAGCCCAGAGCACGACCAGTTCGTCGGCACAACACTCACATCTCCCCAGGCCCTGCGCCGCGGTCTAGGCGTCTTCCGTCCAGAGGACCCAGAACACACACGAGACCCAACTCGACCCATTACGAAGGTTATATCGCTGTATACAGTTGGAAATGGTCTGTGTGGATTTAAGGGGATCCTGCACGGCGGGATGATCATGACGTTGTTTGACGAGGTAACGGGGTCTGTGGTGGAGATTAACATGGCCTTAGGCAAGAAATGGATTCAGTCCGGTTTGATGATGGTGACGGGGTCTCTGAGCGTGAAGTTCTTGCGGCCGGTTCCGGTTAATAGTGAGGTGTGTGCGACTGCGTGGTTGGAGAAGATCGAGGGTCGTAAGGCGATGATACGAGCGGAGATTACGGGGTCTGAGGGTGAGAGGATGGCGACAGCAGAAAGTGTTTGGGTTGTGATTGCGCCGAAGGTATAGATACTAGATTAAAATCGAGGTATAGTCTGTCGGTATTTAGTAGGGGGAGTGTCTGGGACGTTCCACTACGGCAGAGAGCGGTGCGTTCAGGGAAGTACTGGGGTACAGCTCTGCTGTTGATGAATGTAATGATACTGCAAGCTTAATCCAGCCGACACTTAAAGAAGTCCTTTCATAAACAAGGAGCGGATACATTGCTATTCAAATCAAATATCGGCATATTCAGGCCGCTAGTGGATGCTAGATCCCCACTATCATCTGGTGAAGAAGGACGCCAGAGCTGCTTCTGGACCCATAGTTGCCTCATTCGTTAGACGCTTTGCAGTACTCAAGTACACATCTGGTAGCCACGCAGGCTTCGACTCTCCCAATGCCATGCGAGCAATAGCCTGGCCGCATAGCCAGCACTGTGACATGCCGTATCCGTTGAAGCCAGCCGCTATCCACTCGCCCCCCTCTACATTCCTGTCACTCACACTTGTTGGCACACTTCCCACAATCGGGATTTGATCAGGCGTCATGCTGAGTATTCCAGACCAAATTCGGTGAAGGGCAGTAGCAGAGGAGAGCGGGGTATTAGTGATCGGGTTGGTCCACCCCTTGTTAAACAATCTCTTGGGGAGCAAGGTTGTAAGATTACCAATGGTGTCGGCACTGATAACTGAGTCGTCAGATGACAAGAAATCGTCTAATCTCTGTAGGTCTCCTCCAACGAAAAGATCACCAGTTTCTGCATTTTGCTGCATCCAGTACAGACCTTGTTCCACACACGTGGTGCTAGGATCATACGATTGCTTTGCGTGGAAGAGCCATGAGTTTGCTCGATTCCCCCACTGGGGTCCTGGCTTTTGGGTTGACATGGACAGTCGGCATGGGAAGATAGGCCCCCTGAGTTTAGGCAAAAGGTGGCCCGTGAAGCCACTCACACAGTGGAAGATCTTTGCAGCTCTCACTATTCCTCGGGGGGTGGACAGAACATATGGGTATTCGTAGTCGGAATCATCGGAGAGCGTGATTGAAGTTACCGGTGTCTGGGTTTCAATGGAGAACCGTTCTGGATAGTGTTCAAGAAGGCGCTGAAAAAGGTTTGTCACCAGTCTGTATGGCCAGAAAACACGAGACTTGACCACAATAGCACCGGTGGTCTTCTTGAAACTATATTCCTATTCACAGGGTTAGCGTGCTGCTTAAACCTTGTGGCTTGTATGGCCGTTTCATGGCATATATTACCTCCTCAGCTTCTTCCTTACTTAAAACTGTATGTATTCCCTTGGCCTTGGAAACAGCTTCTTCATACATGTGGATAGACTCGGTGGCCTCGGCGAAGCGTTCTGCGTCTTCGAAAGTCGTGACCGTTGTGACGTCCCTGATCTGGCTCTCCTTATCAAGGTTCTCTGCCTTGGCCAGCCCGACGATCCTCTCCAGCGTAAGGTCACAGAACAGGGCAATCTGCTTTGCAGCCTCGGGTCCAAATGCATCGGCATAACGATTGAAAAGCAATGGGGCCTGGCTCAACAAAAAGCCCCCATTGCGACTCGTTGCTCCAGTTGTCAGAGAGCGAGCTTCGAAAACGGTAACTTTCTTATTGCCTGCGAGATCGCTTTGAAGAAGCGTTTTGGCAACGCTACAACCGGTGATGCCGGATCCAATGATGGCAAAATCAGTACGCTGAGGCAAGCTTTCCGATCGGATGGTTGCGAGAGGATGTGCTGGCTCTTGCCAGGCTGAAACGGTAGGCCCTTCCACTGGAACCCCGGGATCTTGCATGATCTGCCCTGCTAGCTTAGCTAGGAGCTCCGGTGGAATTTCTGGGGCTGATGTTTTCGTCATTTTCGTGTTGGGGTTTGGTTGGAGGTGAGGTTGAATTGTGCTTCTGATAGTCTGTCTGCGTCGCCAAACTTCAATCTTTCTCTTCGATTGTTTGTATATATAGATGTCCTATAGCTGCATACGTCCAAGTCCCCGCATGATTACAAACCAATGAGAGTCGCGAAGTCCGCGAGCTGCTAGATCGTTCGGTTGACAAATATATAGGCCATGTTCGCGGCTCCGTGCGGGCCCGCGCGGGGCCGAAGCTTTCAGGTCATGGACTACTCGAAGATCTTCGCTTGATGCGTCTTCATGAGGCGGACCTCGGAGCCGCTGGATAACTTTCGTGTCATTGTCAATTCGATGTCGGTCCGTCACATGGAATGATGAGAATTGAGCGGCTTACTGTACAGTCATGATTCAAGTTAAAAAGGAAACCTTAGGGCCGACCTGTTTTCTTGCATCTTTAGTCCATCGAGTGACAGCGTGATCAGCAAAAACCTAGGGATCGATACCTTCGAGAACAAGGGAAACGAGTGATCGAGACACATTGCTACTTCAATATGCTCAATACTTCCGGAGGCTCTAAGCCAGTTGTCTTTATCGGTGCAGCAGACGCAATATGTGGTGAAGCTATCAGGCTTTTTGCGAATGCAAGTGACATCCCCATCGTCCTTGCAGATAGCAATGAAGATGCACTCCGCGACGTCGCTGCCAGGCTATCAGGTAGGCAGGTCGCTACAAGAAAGGTGGACCTCTTTAGTCCTGATGAGCTACGCAATGCTATCGCCGACGCTGCGCTTGTGGTTCAGGGCGCGCAGCCATACTATCGCACTTCGACACCTGTAATCACAGCATGTATCGACGCAAAGGTACCGTATCTGGACTATTCCGATGATGTCCACAGTACACAGGAGTCGTTAGACCTACACGAGCGTGCAAAGAAGGAGGGTGTTCCCTGCTATATCAATTGTGGCTCCTCGCCTGGTATGTCAAACCTTCTGGTTCTTGACATTGCCAAAGAGCTTGATACCATTGAAACTATCGACATCTGCTGGCTTGTCAGTGAGGAAGGCGGTCAATTGGGTAGAGAGGTTTTGGAGCATCTCATGCATATAACTGCTGGGCCTTGCTTGACCTGGGCCAATGGAAAGGCAGCAGTCCATGAGAACTGGGTTGAAACATTATATGCCCCTGTGATGAATGGCTCAGACAACCTTTTTTACGAGAGTGTTCATCCTGAGCCGGTGACCTTGCCTCGTAGATTTCCAAATGTCAATCGAATTCGAACTCTAGGTGCTCTTAATCCAGCGCCTTTTAACGGCTTCGCAAGAGGCCTTGGCGCAGCTGTCCACTCCGGCGCCCTGACCATGGATTCTGCTATCGACTTCCTCGAGAACATGCAGAAAAAACCGTCTGCAAGCTGGAGCGAAACACTTAGTGCAATTACTGCCCAATTCCGCGGCGGCGAAATTTCACTCAACCAGCTCTACCAACTAGCATCGGGCAGTATTTCCTCGCTGAAGCCATGGAACTTGGCTCTTTGGGGTATGGTGAACCAGGTGCGTAAGGGCGAGTGCACATCGGCCGAGGCTTTGGGATTTCTGATAAATTCCGCAAGGGGCAAGCAAGCACCACATCGCTCTGGTATTCTTGTTCGAGGAGTTGGCACCCGCAATGGGCACCCTGCTGTGGTCATCAGACGCACACCCGAGGTTCGCGAGGACTCATTCCTAGGCAAAAGCATGGCTACTTCAATCGGGGCGTCCTGTGCCGCTTTTGCGCTAATGGTATTAGATCTGGGGACAAAGACGCGTCCTGGTGTCTACTGCCCGGAGGACTGGGCTGAGCCTGAGGTATTTTTGCGGTCTATGGAGAAGCTTGGATGTCCGCGTGATCAGATCATTGAGTCGGTTTCCGCATAGGGTCAAGTTAACCACGCTGTTAATTTACGATGACAAGGCCATGAGGAACCCGGGGCTTTCATGCTTTCTTGCCGCGCTGTCGATACGCATCTGTAGCCAGGTCTTATCTTGCTCTGTGAGAGTACCCTGGGGTTGTATGATAGCCCGGAACTTGGATTTTAAAGTTAGATGCTCCTCCGCGTGTATATATGCCTATCTAGATAGTGTAAAAGGCGGAATCACATCTGAAGTCTCCTATGTCAAGCAAATGGCTGATAGATAGCAAAAAACATGACACTCTACAGGGGTATATTCCCCTAGCTGAACCTGAAAATTACGGATCTTACTTCAAACTCTTCAGTACCCGATAGGCCATCCTCCGGCCTATCTTCTAGAGTATGCAAATAAACATTACTACGTGAAATTCAAAATACTTCCAAATAACACAAACGGCATATCATGTGTTTCCAGAGAGATTACAAGTTGCCTTGAAGCTTGTCGAGTTTGATGTAGGTCTTGATGGTCTCACACTGAAATGTCTATAAGAGCATCCTACAACTGGATGCCCCACTACTGATGTATCCCGGGACCCAAAGGGAGTGTCGGAATTTATAAGCATTTCGGAGATAAAGTGCAAGATCCAGATGCTCGTGACGCTGGTCAGGCTTACAAGATAGAAGATACAGAGCCCTAACCCGGAAGCTAAAGCAAAGAAAGGTGCTGAATCTTGTGAAAGTTCGCGTATTTCAAGAATCGGTTCATAACTATATAAATGTCCAAGGTGAACATATTACAGCTTGCTTGTAATGTTCAGCTTCTTGCCCAGGAGCCAGCCAGTCGTCGACATGATGGTTCGTCCGAGGGTGGCCAAAATCATTACAGGTGTCTTGGTGATGGTTAACCTCAAACTCTTTGCTCTGGCAGCGATCCTGGCCAGTACAGTGGCCCGCATTGATGGGAAGAGTCTAGCTAGAGGCAGCCAGGGCCTTATTATTCTCCCTTCACAGTTTACTAGTATACCTGTTTGGATAATGTTCGGTGTTTTTGTGAACATATGAGTATTTCAGCTCCTGTGCACTTACAAAGGCCGTGTGTTGTCTACTGAAGCTATCGATATATGGAGCAGAGACGGGTTCGGAGTTCAGATATTCATCCGGCGTGTGCCGCGTAACTCCTGTTATTTATCCTTTTCCCTTCATCCCCACCTCAAGCCGGGGGCCTTACATATACCACCCACCGCCATATACATTGTAACATCATCTGATAGATGGAGGGTACCGTGTCCGCCCCCGTAGAGATCTATACATTAAGTATGCCGCTCATCACTTCCATTAGGGTCGATGTGCATGCTCGGTCGATATCCAAGTGTTGCCCTCGTGTTGCAGAATAGGCGTACGTCAGTGCCATGGGATCAATTTTCCAGGATGTTAATCCTCCTGACCAACCGCCGCGGTGTAGCAAAGGCACAACTTTACCATTTGTGCCAGCTTTGTTCGGGATTCTCCGTGTCGGAGTAGCTCAAGCCTTCCTGTAGACTAGTTTACAGCAAGGCTCTATGCTGTTGATGTGTAATAGACCTTTAACTGTATTATGTCCAGATTTTGGACAAGATGAAATAGGGGTATCATACTAATACTATACCAGATCTTCGAGCGCGGTGATATCTTCCCCCTTATTACGGCTTATGATGTTTGAGCTCGACATGCATCGAAAGGATGATGCCCTAGGGGCGAGCAGTACAAATCACGAAAGGCCCAAGCCACTCGAAGGTATCTCTGAAGGTATTAGGGCAAAAAGGTTACACTTACACCACTAGTTATTTTGTAGTCATCAACCTATCTTGTTGTGACTATGTCCTAGCGTGACTGGTGTTAAAGCAAGTTGGGACACACCGAGTAAATAAAAATACATTGGCCAACGTCCGCTGCACATACTCATTCGGTACCTGAAAGAATAATGCTTTGACTGGTTCAACGACGCTCATCTCACTTGTATGCATGACCGCACACGAAACACCCGAAAGATACAGATGATGTGAAGTTCATCTAGCAATAAATCCCCGGCATAACGTACGCCTGAATTGAAATGCTAGATGCATATCTAAAGCTTGCTGATGACAATGTAGTTACCTATAATTGCCAGGTGGTTGCGAGAAGTTTCTTTGATGTTCTTACACCTATCTCAAATGTTAGCTTTAGCTTCTGAAATCAGGAGGACATTTACCCAGCCAAAGCCATCGTTATCTTAAACTCGTTCAAGAAGATCCTGATAGCGAGCTCCACACTTCCTGCGCATTGTACTGAATTACAACGAGCATTGCACACTAATGACGGTTAAATAAACGCACTGCTAAGCCCCAAAGGGGGACGTGACCCACAAAAAAGTGTTGTGCACAGAGGGCTATGGCTTTGAAGATATCGGATCCTCGCTGAATACCACCATAAATTGCTATTGGAACCTTTCCGGCTGCAATGAGTGCGCATTCCTCGAGGGCGTCGAGAGTAGCAGGCACGTCGTCCAGATGTCGGCCACCGTGGTTCGAGATGATAATTCCGTCAACATTGTAGTTGATGGCAAGGATGACGCCTTCCGGGGTGTATATCCCCTTTAACCAGATCTCCAACTTCTTGATTGAGCGACGCCACGTTATTGCCTCGTTCCATGAGTCATTATTGTTTGCCGGCCTGCCAAATCACACCCGCAAACTTCAAAGACCATATTCGACGTCTGGATATTCTTCTCCTAGACCAAACGGATTCCAAAGGTCTGAGGATAGGTTGGGGTACCATATTCCATTCGCTTCGCACCGCTTCTGCCGTTCATCTGCATCACTGTTATGGTTCCTACTCTGAGTATCATGAACACGGTATCGTTTATCGACAACTTGCCTTGCAGTCCTTATAACTAGTTCTAGAAAAACGAAATATAAATGCTTGGCTATAAGACGCTGAAGGTAGCACTTCTTTCCTTGATTACAATTGAAGTACGTTATCTACCTGCATCTCTCGCTACACATCAGAGTTAATGAACGTTTGTTAGGCAATGGAGGGGAATATCATTGACTTCCACGGCATACTTCAGTTCCAACGTCCCTGTAAAAAATGGCAATAGAGCTCCGAGACTCGTCAGCTAAATACGCAGAGTGTCTCCTTGAGCCTTCTTGCCCGCACTACCTTTTCAAGTATATCACTGTCGCCTTGGATATTAACAGGAGGTTTCCAGGCTGACGGATATATTATCCTTGCTGCCACCGACGATAACTCCTCTTGTCATGAGTGCATCATATGGCGTCACAGCGGATATTGCCGCCGCCATATGCGGAACAGTCGACTGGTATGAACGCTTGGAATCCTACCGACAGTCTCAAGCACCTACGCCAGAAGAGCTCCTCCAAGCCTGTGAAAGTCTCGGTGATTGACTTCTTTCCTGAGCTCTTGACTCTTACAAAGTTCTCGCATCCGACGGTGGGTATACGGATGAGCTTGACATCTTCAAACATCATGCACAGGTTTGGCACGGCGCCGCCCTCATCTTCTATCTACACTGTATTCAAGGAGTTAGGCCTCACGACCTAGTAGAGGAAGACACGGGAGTTGCTTCACGTGTTCACGCTGTAGAAAAAGTTGAATTGATGTATGTGGTCAATCAGATGGCTCCAATCACTTGGCCAGCTTTCGTTTCCTCGTGCTGTGCATTAGATCGTTAGCCCTGGGAAGCATGGTGGTTGAAAGTGCAAAGGTACGGTATTGGCAGCCTTAAGAGGCAGCATGTTATTTGCGGGAAAGATGGTCTCAAACGGACAGCAATCCGACTGAGGGCTGGCTACAGGTTATCCACCGGCGGAATTTGCATGCCTTAACTGCGTGAAGGTTGGAGTTGCCTAGATTCATACTCCATGCACCTTTCTATCTCTCACAAGAGAATGACGTTGCTTTAACGACCTTCAGTTCCTGCATATGGCAGATCAAGCGCCTTCGAGCTTTTATATACAGGTATAAACGGCACATCCAGTCAAAATACCAGGAAAATCCGTCAACAAACTGCCATCATCAGTATGCAACATCATATAACCGAGAACCTGAGGAACCCTGGATGACTTACTGCTAATAACACCAATGACAGGAATATCAACGAAGGTTGTATAGCTAGCCGCATCGCTCAGAAAGTAAACGTATGCCCCACCGAGCTCCTGCACCTCGCCAAATCTCCAGATTTCACCATAGTACTTTAGCTGCTGCTCCCAGTCCGGCTGTTGCGGCACACAGTATGTCATAGCGGTTTTAACAAGACTAGGGGAAACGCTGTTCACACGTATGCTATGCTGAGCCCATTCCATGGCCAGCGTAAGGGCCACATTCCGGATACCCGCTTTGGAAGCGCCGTACGGGGTGGAAGGAACTCGCTATTGGGGTCCACGCTAATGATCTCATCACAACACAGCGAACGCCGAATCCATTTGCCTTGATAGGACGATAAGAAGCCATTGACGCCGTAAAGACGATAGAGCCTTTGACCTCCAGTTTAATAAAGGCACTTACGGCGGCTCTTGCGGTATACAAAGCTCCAAAGAGATTAACATTGAATAAGTTCTCAACTTCCTCTTTAGTAAAATCTAATGCCGCCTTGTGATGCGTCCGTCCCGCATTCACCACCATGCCGTGTAAGACCCCTGCCTCTGAAATAACTTATCAACAGCTGCTGTAATAGTCTCTTCCTCAGTTGCATCTGCACTTAATGCATGGAGCTTCCCTGGGTAGCGCTTGGTGAGTGCAGCAAACTCTTCACCTGGCTTGCGAATATCAATGGAGTAGACCTTTCTGCGCCGTTGAAGCGACAACATTCTGCGATTCCTAGACCGATCCCGCGGTTCGCACCGGTAACTGTATGGATCGCAATTTGTCAGCCATTCGAATCACTATATCTACATCTGGAATACACATACTTGCGACCACCTTTGATCCATGAGTGACCTGAGTCTGCGGTGTAGCGGAGGCCTGGGCGGCATCGGAGGCTTCAGTAGTCGCTGAGGCAGTCATGACGATATCCAAAGCTCTTAATGTCAATGAGATATGTCGTCAAGAACGATAACCTCCATTTTACCAGGCATGATTGCTCTCGCTTATAAGTACCTGGTTCTTGATCAGGACAAATAGCCATGTTTCAATGTATTTTACACCACACCAGGTTACAATGAGGGTACATTCGCTCCCAAGACGAGACACATAGATTTACCAAGAACGTGCATCGAAACGGGGTAACATTGAATCACCGAACTTCACGACAAATTATGAACTGATTTACGCCCTAAAATGCGGGGAAAACTAGCCCAACTTGTCTTGCGATCCGTCTTTCTGTAAACCCGCATCTCATACTTTTTTCGCGGTGATTCTTCTAGTCTATAATCTACAGAGTCGTCACACGCGGCAGTAGGGGTCGTGCTGCCGAGCCCGAGCTAGAGGTGCGTCAAATTATATAGGCAAGGACTAGTGCGCGGACCGAGAGAAGGGCCCGCCACCTTCTGTTGCTCGAAGAGAAAGTAGTGGCTCCGAGTACTACATCGGGGTCCAGTAATATCCACTTTATGAGAAACGCGCGTGTGAAAGTATAGGCGTACTCGATCTATTCAAAAAGCACGCTACAATCCTCTTTTACCCATTCTTAGGAGCAGGGACCGACCTATTCGAGTCTCGGTGACCCCGCCATATGCGGGGGTTATATTAGACGGAAGACCTAACCAACCGCCCGTTCGCTAGCAAATTGATACTTCAGCAGAAGTATACAACCCACCATGATAAACCCATTCGAATTTCGCGTCCACGACGACCACTTTAAGACCATTCTCGCCATCCCCAGCCCTAGAATTACTCGCAGTAAATGAGTCATACCCGTTCGCCCACGAAGCAGGCATTTACATCCCCGCCACCAACAACCTCTTCGTAACAAGCAACCGCATCGTGGATGCTAAGGGCCAACAAAGAGTCTAGATTACCCGCGTGGATCTTAACGAGAACCCAGTTAAATGCGAGGAAATCTCGAATGTCTTCGAGATGGCTAACGCGCGGGTTCAACTACCCTGGTGGTGCGGCTGGCGAAGGGCTCCTTATTTGCGGGCAGGGGTCACCTAACTCAGGCTAGCGGGCTGAATCTGATGAATGTGGCGGAGCCGTTGGTTACCAAGCCCATGATAGATAATTTCTATGGTCTTCCGTTCAAATTCAGTCAACGATGTTGTGTTCCACTGTGATGGATCGTTCTGGTTTACCAATCCTACTTATGGCTTTGAGCAGGGGTCTCAGCAAACGCCTTCTTTGCTGAGCTAGGTATACCGGTGGAATCTAGGGACTGGGAATATTCAGGCTATGGCTGATGGTTTCGGAAAACCGAATGGAATCTGCTTCTCGCCGGATGGAGTAGACCATTTATGTGACTGATACCCACTGGATGCATGGTGACGGAAGTGTAGACAATCAACGGGTTCCGTCCCATGTATGGCCCTATGCATAGCCTGGACATTCTGTGGAAAGTTGGCTGACTGATAGGCATTGAGTTACGCGTTTGATGTGTCAAATTACCATGGAGAGCCCTTCCTTACTGATATGAATCTATACGAGACCGCGTGATCCTAGTGGCTTGGCCGGTCACCGAACTCCATCTCCTGAAGGCTGGACCCATTAGTTGTAAGGAGAAGCGGTTGACATAGTCGATAGAGTCGTCCATAGAATCAAGCATCTATCGAAATGGCATCCGATCCTCTGTAGGCTACGTACGTGTACCTGATACAGCATCATTCTGCCCTTCTTTCCCCTGAGATCACAACACTTACAAACCGGAGACTCTTTGCCATGGCCGACACAGGTATCCCAGATGGGATCAACTGCGACTTAGACGGGAATGTGTAGAGCGGGTGTGGCGACGGGATTGACGTCTGGTCGGCCGGGGGTGTCCTGCTCGGACGTATCTTGATTAGAGGTGGAGTCGCGAATTTCTGCTTCGGAAGAAACAGGGAGATATTTTCACTGAATGAACATCGGTTGTGGAGGGTCCATCCAGCTGGGAGCGCATGTCAAAGGTACATTTTTAGGTCTTTAAATTGAATCAGTTACAATCATATTCTTTGCCAAATACCTCGTCTCGGGGCAAAGGGCTCCGCGTGACATCACATTAATACCATCTGGGAAACATCTCTCATTTGTGAGGGAAGTGTCCTCCATCGTATCCATAAAAAGAGTAATGTAGCCAATTGGCATAACAAAAAAATATTTTAGGTCTTCACTCAAAATCTAATTAGTAGCTTGCCCGATGCTAGATTAAATATCGAGCAATAAAACGCTGGCCAATATGTAGACTGTTGATCGCAGTATCACATACCGGTAGCATATATACCTCAAGGTCAAAGAAATCCGCACTCTACTGGCGCCGGCGTGGCCAACTTGGAGTAACAAAAAGTCTCTATGTTTTCTAGCACATATCTTCGGCCAAACCAACCAAACTTCCCACGTAGAGTAAGTATACGATGTGTCATGCGCCCTAAGCGGCTCTTCACAGTAGGGAATTATTGAATATAACCATGTAACTGTGGATATCCGTTGGCATGTAACCATACTGAGTGAATAGGCACTATAGCTGAATTAAACAGAGCGTTACATTCCTTTGTCGTGATATCTATGTAGAAACTCATACTTTCCCTAGATAGGCCTTGCTCATAATTACTTTGGGAATTTATCTCTGCAAATAATTTGACCGTCATTTTTGACTAGGTTACGCAGATTTCTTGAAGGTTAGGTTGTCCGAATCGCTTGCTCATCTGCATCTAGGTGCGAGGCTATGGTTAGCCAACACGAATGGCCGGACATAATCTGTCCTTCTGGTTAAAATTGATAACAACCAGAAGATCATTGCACCTTTGTGCGACGGCAGCGGGTACGGCTACCGAAGCAAGAAATTTGGAAGTACCATGGAATCGAGATTTAAAGGATAGATGCGTCCCAATGCTACGAGAAAGAATAGGTGATACTATCAACAACGCGCCCAGGCGATGAAGGCAGCTCGTAAGCCGAGAACATACCAATCTCTATATAAACGGTCACACTGAGCTCTGTAGATCTAAACCAGGTCACAGCCAACGGCACCCCGTTGATACTTCCTATCCCGCTCCTTTTCGACGCTATACCACCTCCGCCCAATGGTGGGGTTTGATCATCGATAGGGGAACAAGTCTTGGTAAGGCATTTCAGATAAGTGTCTAAGTCTTCCACAACTTCGGGGGGTTTCTTAGTGAATTGATGGGCTAGCATGCGAGGGAGGGGTTCTGAGCGAGTAGTAGCCGCCAAACCAGTCCAAGATATGTCCAAAGGTTACGCCGCTCCTCGAAGAACTAGCAAAGCACGACGATATCAACAAAATTCTCCAACGCTGGAACTCAGAGTTACCCGAAAACAAGTCAGCCTTCTTGGCCTCCTTATATATTAAATTTACTGCATTGAGCTTGTTTGGTACGACTGCCGGGGTGATCTATCGATACTTACGGAGCTGCCAGGCGTCGGAGGATTTCAATTTCGTTCCAAAGGAAGATAAGTGACTCAGGGGGTCTGAGTATTCAGCCTACGAGGGTTCTTCAACTATGCGTAAATGGAAAGCCACGCGTTACTCTTCCCTGACCGATCAAAGGGGTGCTGGAATTCCACACCACTAATGGCTGAACAAATAAACATATCATATCATTCTTAAACCAATGTACTACTATTAGATATGCATATATGGAACCACTGGTTTCCTATTCCAACCACGTCTCCACAGCCTGTCTAAACGAATCCCGTAACCACTCCTTCTCCTCCCACCGAAAAGCGTAATCAAGACCGTGATCCCCTTCTGTCGGGGTAAACACCACCTTATCCCCACCCGGCAAACCCTTCGTAACCTCCTGTAACCGCATAGCAAACTTCTCCGCATCCTCCAAAAAGACCACGGTATCCTGACACCCATGCACAATGGCAATACCACCGCGCGGGATACTCAACCCAGGCTGTTCAATCTTCTCCATAGGATAGAACAACTCCCGGTCAGATGACCCCTCCACGCGACGCGCATACCATTCGCTCAAACGACCGTGTTGAATAGCCGCAAAAACGAACTGCAGTCGATCTTGCGTGGCAACCGATGAAACAATATCCCCTGGCGCCATTGCAGCCAGAGTATCTATGATAACGGACTCTGGGGTATCCAGGCCGATGGGGAGAATCGTGCGCGGAGCACCGAAGCTTGCCGCGCCCGGGTCAATCCAGGGGTACATGGCTGTGGTAGCGCGGATCTGAGTTGGATAAGTCAAGCCAAGGTAGACGCTGAGGAGACCACCGCCAGAGTCACCGGTCGTGAGGAGGCGGGATAGGTCGACCTCAGTAGGTGTGGAGTGTTTGGTCAGAAGATTTGTCAGGGTTGATGAGTGCAGCCATTTCCAGAAGTCGTCCATGTCGTCGTAGATTTCCGGGCTGGTGGTCTCGGGCATGAGTCTGTAATTGGGTGACACAATCACCGCGCCATGTTTGAGCGCTAAGTCTGAGAGCCAGTGGGGCCAAAAGAACAGGTCTAGTGAATCGCCTGTTACCTGTATATTTGGTTAGCGTCTGTAGAATAGTAAAAGCGCTTTGGGGTCGGGGCCAATTTACCAAAGCGCCGCAGTGGGTGCGGACGATGACTGGGCGTTTGCCCGTGAATGGTGCTCGAGGTATCAAAATGTCTGCTCGAATACCATGGTCGCCAATTTGCTTGTACGTAGCCTGGAGAACATCGAATCCCTCAAGCTTCGGATCGGAGGGGATGGACATGGTTGTTGAGTTGGAGCCGCTGGCCAAGATCTGAAGGCTATATGAAGTGGGGACTTGTATTATATCTCAGGAGTATGTACTCTTAAGATATCGTATCGAGATGATTTGTGATCTGGCCAAAAACAATCCTGGGTAGTTCTTCCAATTTATACTGTTCATGGTATGGGACGCGGTGCTAGGTCTGATCTCGGGGACCTGCGTACTAATCCAAATCAAGTATCGCATAGAAATAAGTATCGGGAGCTCTCTCTCCGGATTGCGTAGAGTTAGCAATCTTAGGGCACAGGTTAGATGAGAAGACCAGTAAAAGTCTCCGACAAGCCCTCATGATCCCTCACTCATCAGCAGCCCCACTAGAAACGAGATAGTAAACAGGAATGACAAACAAACCCCATGAATAGGAAAGCGAATATAACGCTGAGAATGACGGAACGCCCTCGAAGAATACCGAGTGGTACCATTGCTTTGTCTCCAATCCGTAGTTCCCATAGTATGAACACCAACAGTGACGCTGCGAATCCAACAAAAATGCCAATGATAGTTGCTGAGCTCCACGGATACTCACCCCCTCCCCATTTCAAGACTCGCAATACCATGACAATGGACAGAACGAACAGTCCACATCCAATTAGATCTAGCTGACCTAGCCTCTGCAGCATCGTTTAATTTGTTAGGGCCGTTGTCTGTGGCGGATGGAAGAATACCAGTAGGACAATTACTGTTAATGCGCCGAAAGGGAGGTTGATCAGAAAGCACCATCTCCAAGTGACGTCCTTCGTAAAAGCACCCCCAATTATAGGCCACAGTACCGAGGGCATAAAGTGAGGTGATAAGCCCAGTGAACAGTGGACGTTGTTCTATCGGCGTCACGATAGCAATGATAGATAGGCCACCCGAAATAACTCCAGCATCTCCAGCACCAGCCACCGCTCTGCCAACGATGAACATCATCGAACTATTTGCCACACCACAGATAAGTGATCCGATAAGGAATATACTTAAGAAGGTTAGGTAGGATCACCGCAAGGAGAATATTGTGGACAATTTGCCGCTTAGTGGCTGGATGGGGCACATGGTGAGAGGATGGACTGCCCCAGGCCAGCCTATATCTGTCGTTACGGAATATTGGCTAGTCATAGGTGGGGTTGCCTTTAGCCAAAAAGTAGAGGCGTAAGTATTTCATCTGTTTCTCACTTAATAACGAGGTACTACGTGACTTACGGTGGCAATGACAGAAACATCCCGTGAGATTGGGAATGCTGCCTCCTTGATTCCAAACAGAATGCTATTAAAGACTCATACCCCTGAGAGAGGCAGAAGCTGGATTTCTCTGTGACTTCGAGGTCTGGGTGTTTTGCCCCCTGTTTCGAGTCCTTTTTGACAGCTTTTTTATCGGATATAGTTGAATTCACAAATAATGCGGTTTTATATCTCATTTAACGCAGGAGCTAGGTGTTGCTCAGAGTAACAAGACCATTCTTTGAACAGTCCTACAGCATACCACGGGTTGGCTCTTCTGCCTGTCCTCTGATGCTCGCCGTCACCGACTCCGTGTCCGTTTCGTGATTCGCTTCCGACTTCGACTCCGACTCTGGGTAGCTGTTGTCATAAGGTTTGCTATACTCCACACTATCATCTTAGGCAGAATTTGGGTTCTTGAAGAAACTTCTCATTAGTTGTCTGCAATTCTTCCGTCTTAAGTAGTTACCCGACTATTCACAACGCAGGCAGCTTCCAGTGGGTGACATTCCGAAACTCAAGGTGACATGCGCCTATGGAATAGATCCAGGGAGTTAATTCACAATGTGCGGATATCCTTTGAGGAAGAAGCTTACACTTTACTAAGTGAGATAGTAGGGAATTAGCTTCGTGGTGCATCTCTAGCTTTGATATTTATTTACTCGCACTAAAAACAGCGGGCGCCTGGGATATCGAACAAAGCAAAAAGAGGTATACAATGAGATAAAATAGCCTCATATTGTTTTACATCACAAGGTCAAATATCCCGGCAAATCTGAGCTCTTTACTATAGCATACCATGGAGTACATCCCCATTGTATTACGTGGGTAGAGCTTATCGGGGATAAAATCCGCTTATTTCCACTATATTTCCATCACACTATGTAGTGATTTTCTTGCCGTCGGTACGGAGACACTACTTATTTCATTCGCTCCTCAATCCCCTTCCGCAATATTAGGAGAATTCCATCCCTCTACGCTCGAATGTGCTAGAATATAATAAAATTTATAGGATACGTGGAAATAAATACAATAAGCGAGGTGGAAATACCACTCCTGGGAACCTCCTCCTCTGGTGTTGACTTGCCAGTCTGCTATTGGCAAAGAATAATTGCCAAGGAGTGATTGGGAGCCTGTTATCGTGCTTTTCGTAGCTGGGTGATACTCTGTTGAGGGAATGAAAGGGATACATGGATATATTCGGGTTGAATATCCTGAGTGAAACTATCAGGGAATTCATCACTGAAAATAGGCGGAAGCAATTCTTCCGTGATAATGGCATATTGATACATAGTAATAAATGGAAAGTACGAAGTCAGAAATATTAAACAAGGCTTGCAGAAATGATGTAGCTGTGGATGGATGGGGCGATGATGGTTGCTTATATCAAATGGCATTTCAATAAAGGAAGCTGGACCAACTTATAGACTTCCTATCCACGCTTTATCAAACTGTTGTCGGAGAACCCCTCCTAGTCTCTATCATCTTAAACGTAGGCATTCGCCTTGGGCTTGATACCCTGGCCATGTCGGGGACCAACGAACGTCTGCTACGGGGTGTCGTGCATGAATTTAAAAACGTCTAAATTCATATCCACAGGATCAAATACATATTCTAATAATAGGTGGTAGAGCCTTGGGTGAGACCCGGAAGGGGGACACATGATTTCGATGACGATGTTGTGGAAAGAGTCAAGACCAGATCGGAACTGCCCAGTGTATGGTATGTGGTACATTTGAGCAGAATCTCTTGTGTTACTGGCGAGGTAATTGGGCACAGATCAGCCACCACGGTGCGGCTACCCTATTGCTCAGGGGTGAAGGTCAGAACGGATCATTAATATCCTTGACAATGACCGTTGGTGGTTCTCTTAGATAATGAGATTATTAAACCAAATATTTAGCTTCTATACTCCGAAGAGACCTAGTTGGTGAATGCAATGCTATGAAAACTCATGCTAAAAATATCGTTTTGACTCCATTTAGAATGGCTATACAAACCTTCCCGTGCAAAAGTCTTAATGCATTACGTTTAAACACCAAATAGCAAAGTGCAGCACTAGTAGCGAGCCTTGCATCCTGCCATCATCCTCCAGAAGGGTGCACGAACGACTAATATCAGGTCTGCCTACTAGCTCCAATCTAGACACTACAGCGTGGGAGCCAGTTTATCATGAGATACGACAACGGGATTACAAAATAGGCCAGCCCCCGTGACACAAAGGCTAACAGCAGAGAAAGTCAACACGTTCGCCCAATGCTACATGCTAGACGAAACATGCTTATGAAAAGGTGACGATGCATTGAGTCTGCAACGCTCCCGATCAGAGGAAGGCAGTCGGGGTGGTTGAGGCGGTATTTCGACGGGGAAAATCCGTTACTTTCAGGCGCACCTGGACGGATCAACTGAATATGTTTGCCTTTTAGACACTAGGCCCAGCTGGAGAGGGACGGCCCAATGAGCAGTTGCCTGAACCCTTATATCTGTGTCGAGATGGCTGGTCTGCTAGTCGACGGCCTAGTAGATCAATGCGCGCCGGTAAAGTCGAGTTAGCTCGGGGGAAAATGTTGACGCCTCCATTTTTGTTTCTCCTTTTCTTTCCCTTTCGTTGATTTTGTCTCCTTTCTCTTATTTCTTTCTATCTTTCTTTCTTTCTTTCTTTTTTTTTTTTTTTTTTTTTTTTTTTTTTTTTTTTTTTTTTTTTTTTTTTCTTTTGTCTGCTCTTTATAAAGTAAGTATTGGATATGTAGAGTATTGTAATTTCGAGGAAATTTTGAAGGTCCCAATGCACGAAATACCCTCTAAAGATAGACCTGTAGATATACTGAGTGACTGGAATATGCATTTATGGAAGAACGATGAGCACGCAGATTGATAACAATAGATACCCGGCTTAAATGGGAAAAAAATATATATATATCAAGATTTTTCCATGCATAATCTGCTCCATTTTCAGGTGACCAGAAAACCTCTGTACTACCATGGCTAACACTTCGTACGTTGAAATTTCAGCGCCCCACTCCATTTAACCAACATACTTGACAGTAACCTTACTCTCGGAAGCAGAAGAAGAGGTCAGGACCTTGCCATTTTGTCTGATATCGATGAGGGTAGCGCCAGAAGCACCAGAAGAAGAACCACCGCTAGTGACACTGATATCGGTGAAAGTAACAGTGCCGAAGTTCGCAAAAGGAACGAGGGAAGAACCAGAAGAGAAGTCCTCAAGAATCCACTCGGCGTTCGTCTCGCAAAGGGCGTTACCGCTCTGGCCGGAGAAGTTGTGCGTGACCTTCTTGCCAGTAGACAGGTTCTCCACGGTGGCAGTTCCGCCGGTCTTGCTGGACGCGTCCACAGTAACCTTCACCTCGTTACCGGCCGAGAAGCTAATACCACTGAAGTCATAGGCATAGTCAGGGTACCATTCGTACCAGGCACTGAAAGATGGGCCGTTTGAATCGACGCAGAAGTCCAGGCCAGTCTGCAGAATAGCAGACTCGCAGGTGTCGCCGTCGATTCCGACCCAGGCGGAGGCACAGTACTGCTCGCCGCTAGAGCTGCCAGAAGGAAGGGAGGGAGTTGGGACGGTGAAGGTTCCGGTCACAGCGCTGTATCCAGAGCCGATCAGAACCGCACCAGCCCAGTTGGAGCTGTATTGCTCGTGGGTGGTCTCATTAAGGTGGAGGATTTCATGGGTGTCCTCCTTGAAGGGGAAGTTGCTGTGACGTTGCGCAGAACGGGCCTGGAGGCGAGCAGCGTTGCGAGCGCGACGTTGCGACGTAAGAGGGGAGGCCAGGGCAGCGCTGGCCAACACAGTGGACGAGAGAATAGCAGAGACCTTCATCGTGATATCTCGACAGAGAATAGGAGGTTCCAATAGAAGAGTGATTAGGGAGATAAAGATCTGATGTCCTTGCTCTGGAGGATGAATCTGTGACAGAAAGAGGGAAATCAGGCTGTCTTTATACTGATGCCCGACACTATGAAGAGGTATATTTGACTTAGTAAAGACGCATCCATTGCCGATAGCTTTAGGTTTTAGCAGAACCGATGCCGCTTCAAGGATCTAGATCTCTACTGCCATCCCAAGTGCCTCACCCCACTTTCCTTCTAAGCATAGTGGTTATGAAGTGATTCTATTGGGCTAACGATCCCCCCTGCTAGTCAGGAACTTAGAATATTTGCTCTTACCCTACATGTACCTGGCGAGAGGCTCCTCATTGATAGCAGTTGTTGGTACAGCTTTCCGTCTAGCACATATCCATGGCATACTCTTATTGAACGAACAACCACAGACTCTTCGTAAACTCTCTACCACGACACAAGATATACATAATTCTAATCTATAGATCTCGACCATATTCCTTACAGTCCCCACGTTGCTGAGATAAGCGGAATCATATCCGCATTTAATCTAGGCTTAGATAAATGTTCATATTGTGGCGTTATCCTCAGTAAGGTCGATCGACGGAGCTCCGACGGGCCAGGGGAGTTGCTGCAGCAGTACCCCTCAATTTATATTAACAATGTCTAGCGCTCGCGCACTACCCGTGCATAATGGCTAATCCATACTTGATAACAATAATTCGCTCGGACAATCGCTAGCACTATAAGGTCAAGCTTTAAACAAGCCTCGTAGCCGAATGATAGGCGAGCCTTGGTATCTTGGTGCCATGCTAGCCAATCAAGGTAGCCTGTAAGAGAACTTCTTGTCAATTCTCCGAGGACTATATATACGTCTGCCAACAAGTGGCTCCACGTTCTGTGCAACGTTGCAGGAGTACTCGGCTGTGGTTTTATGCTCGGAGATGGCCATCCCTTGTCTCGAGGCGTTATAGAATATACCCAACACTCTATTGTTCCCCTGACTCCAGATTTGGACACATTCGCTGGCTGTATAGGCTTCCCAAGGCAGAGGTATGCTTTCTTTGTGTTTGACGTAACGCTAAGTACCCACTGACAACAAGGCCAAATGCAGCAACAAGATCCAGCGGTCAAAGGCGTGAATAATATCGCATGGGAGTAAGACATGGCGAAGCTTATCACTCAGGAAACGCTTACATTGTTGCACGATAACTTTAGAATATTTCTCGTCCTGAGACCTGTGTAAACTGCTGAAATGAATATTCTGTTAGCCCTAACTACTTCAGTCAATTCTCGCGGGGACCACCGGTCGGCCTCTCGACAAAATCGATTAATTCAGATTAATCCACCTGCACTGGTGAGCACGTTATCTATGTCTCCAATTAGGTCATAGAGCCCTCCTCGATACCCTCGGGTCTTATTTTTTCATCGCTTCTGTCAGATTTTTAAAACATATTCCCTTTATGAACAACCAACATTCTATGTTCACGTGATGCAGCCCAACCCTGCACTCAGAAGCAAATTCCAGGTATTGTTCAAGCTCTGTAGACCTGAATTTTTAATGGTCAAATACTATTCATAAACAGGGATACTGGCTTTAAAGACTCCTAACTCGCTCTCAGGCTTGATGTCCGAGACTAGCGGACGGAAGTAGTACTTCAGACGTCGATCATTTGTCGATTCGGGGATAGCAACCGGCGAGATACGAGATTGCATGAGGCAACAAGTTCCGTCTCTACCGATAGTTCAGCGCAAAATAACTATGCAAATAGTCTTCTGATTTGTTAACTACGTGTGAAGCTGGACTCAAGAGACTATTAGCGAGCGCCGTCCTCCGGGGATTAATTAACATCAGAACAACAGGAAATTACTAGACACAAGAAGAAAAGATAACATCGTGAACTTGATTTTGTTTCTATCGTGTAATGTAACCTAATATATCAAACTTTTATCCCCAAAGTACGTGACTTAACCACTGTAGTCGATAGTGACAGCAAGACGGACCGGGCCGTCGCCAGAGAGGTTACCACCGATACCACCGATGTCAGTCTCAGCAGTGGTATAGGCGTTGTCGACCGATGCGGCACCGGTAGTGATAGTAGAGCAGGTACCACCAAGAACATCACACATCTTCATACCCTGGACAGTAAGGCCAGCATTCTGAGCCATGATAGCAGAGACATCGAAGCCGGACCAGCCCGAGTTACCGTTGCTGCCGAAGTCGAACTCACCCCAGGTGCAGGCATATCCGCCGTTGGAGTCGGTGGGGAGGCTACCGGGGGCAGCGCCGAAACCACCGTTGGTGTCGTCGGCGAAAGCAACGTACTTGGTCTCACCGGCGTTGAGGGTGAAGCTCACGGCAGAGTAGCCGTACCAGCCGTTCATTTGGCCGTCGGGGCCATACTTGTTCCAGAAGACGACCGTCCAAGGCTCGGTGTTGTGGCCCGAGATGGCGGCGACATATTTGTAGTTTGAGGCGTCGCTCTCTGACACCTCGATCATGTTGCTACCCCAAGGGCTGCCGACGTTGCCGGCGTAGGTGATATCGCTGCCGCTGTTGGCGGTGGAGGAGCCAAAACCGGCAGTCGAGTAGGATCCACTGGCAGGGGTAGCGGTCCAAGACCCGCCGGAAGAACTGGTGGAGGAGCCAGATGAAGAGGGTGTGGAGGAGACAGTGGCGGAGGATGCCTGGCGTCTTGCGTGGCCTTGCGGGAGGGCAAGGGAGCCGGTGGTGAGAGCTGCCAGCAGCAGGAGGGACTTGGTGAACTGCATTTTGATTGAAGGAATGGACTTCGCGTCAAGCGATTGGCAAGGATCAAAGACGTCACGAAGTGAATCTTGTTACAACGGGTGTAAATGAGTGTCCTGGATAAGGAATGTGGGTAGTTGGAGGCAAACAACAAATGCAGATGAGGATGAAACAAAGATCAAGTCCAGCCCCTCGACATGGGCATTGGCCCCCTCTATATAGCCTTCGGGGATAAAATCTTTTACTATGCTCTCTACCAAACCCCCACATCTCAAGCACGGTTTCGAACATCCATGGTCCTCTAATGGATCTTCCACATGCTGACGACGGCAGATGGAGACACAAACGGTGTGTCAGCATGGTGCCTTTGACGGGTTTGCCATGGATATATTGTCAATGGATCTTGGAGGTCAAGGGACGAAAGGCAGGTGAGTGGACAGAAGGGTGGAATCACAAGAAGACAGTCCTTAGCCTGGAACAAAAGCACCGCAATTGGTTGCTGCAACATTTTAGGGTACCCACTGTGGCTTCTATATTGATGGAACGGTGTACTGTTCCTGGATGTTAGAACGGATCAATACCATTGGCCACACTGTATTGAGTGTCAAGAATAGTGGCTCTGGTGGGACCCTAAGAACAGAATTTAGGGGCAACGTACAGGCGTTGCAATCTCTGCACGAGAGCACTTGCTACCTTCGTCTATATCATCGCTCGCTTAATTATTGTCTGCTATCACAGTTCTGCATTTCTATAAACACCCACAAGTGGCCACGCCGTGGTAGCGGGCTGGCTGTAAAGCTGACCAACTACCCATCAACTAAACAACATAAAGAAAACCGAAAGTGACGGGCACAGACAAAGAGCGACAAATTCATTGACAATTCTCGGCCAGGCCCGCAAAAGCGGGTCAAGCAGGGGAATTCAGTCAGTCAGAGCTGGTCCTCGGCAAGCTGAGACAGCAAATTCTTGTGAAAGACTATTCATTACCCATCACCCAAGACTTGTGGAGCTATCTCCACAACTAGTGGTATCTGTTTTGTTAACGATTGAGCTAGTCATTTAGGTCATTCCACCGTCGAGTTTCCGATTAGATTTTGTTGTAACCCTAGTGCATACATATCTTCTACATCATGATACCATCTACATCTAAAACTTTCCTCTCTAGGATATTTTCCCTTCTCGACTCTCGTTTGGATATCGCAGAGAAAATGTGAAACCCCTTACCATGACCTAAATTTACTATCAGTTTCGAACCATGGAATTTCAAGTATGGGCCAGGGGCAGGGCATCCAGTGGCCAGTGGTTTTTAATGACTAATCCAGGTGGTTCTCTGGAACAGCCAATAGTATTACAATCCATTACAATTGCAACACTGGGTGGCATTCGTAGTAGCAAGTTAGTGTCAGCCAAACCATGGATAATTCAGCTGTTTGCCCTGTAAATGGTAAGCCAAAGTGTTGTGTGTTACGTCTTCATTAGGGTTTGTGTTGACTAGTCTCGGGCCACCTTTCCAGCACATTTCTCACAGCAACCCCAGAGGAAATGTTGACCGGCGGAAACGTTACAGATAAGACCAAATTTGTAGTTCATAGATATGAGTTGTTTCAAGTCAAAAAAGAAACATATTTGCCAGCGCACCTTCATGAACTCTCCAGAAAAGACTCAGAGTGCCAAGCGCCACATTCATCCAGACAATGGTCTTTCATGCCATGATCGCGCTAAAATACTAGGGTCACTAACCACACAATTCTAGACACTCAGGCATTAGGTCAACACACTATACTTGCCGAATCAGACCTCAATTCCCTATGGGGAGGTCCACTCGCAGTCAACGTCCCACCCATTCGGTCTTCCTTCACTCCAACCTCCACGCGTGCTTTCTGGCACCCATTCAGTTTCTCTAAGCGGATTCTCGGCGAAAAATTCAAACCGGGAAATCACGCGACAATGGCGAGGAGGCTATTAAACTCAATGTAGTTGGAGACGCTGAGACTTCAACTTACCCGAAAACCCGGAACCAACTTAACCCTCGCGTGCTGACATCTCAGACAACCGCCTATGAGCATTCGTACCGCAACTGACTGTAGGAAAGGAAACTCTTCGGTATGTATCTAGGTTCAAAGAATCGCCATCCCGTTGCACAGCCCTGGTTGACTGCCGATATGCGGGAAACACTGTTCTCGAAGGATTGGAGGACCAAATCGTAATAATCGCCATCACTGGTAAATCTTCCTTACGGCGACAACATATCATCCGTATATGCGTATCGTACACGTCGATAAACGCAATCACAGCATGGCATCGTCGCCACTTTGATGTCTGTAGTAAGTCAGCCCTAACAATCCCTATCTGACGTGCTCACAGTAAAGAAAAAAGCCCTTGCCCACAATGCAAGCTTGGACTTGGCTATGGGCGTTCTGGCCAGACAGTGCGGATCCTGCTAGTGGATAGCCTACGATAGCCGCCGCGTTCTAACGATCCGCCTATTTTTCCCTTGGCCCACGGCGCCGCGTATTTCCTGATATTCATGACATCACACATTTGCTTCGTGAAGATTTTTGTACACCAAAGTCTATATTTTGAAAGGCAATATCTCCATAAAATTCCCACAAGAATTATAATCAGTATCCACAAGCTATATGCACTATCCGTTAGGCTTTAGACCCTCCGTAGAAGAAAGTCGCGCAGATGCTCAGACCTCAGAATTCCATCGTCTACTATTCTCTTTAAAAGGGTGAGGCGTATTGTAAATCGGCGGTTCCCCATACCAATGGCAGTGATTGGCCTATAAGCATCTTCGTGATTATTTCAATCTGTCGTCAAGTTATTCAGCATATTCCCATCGGGCTCTCCTAAGAAGAGGTGACAGAAAGGATCTTGCAAAAACACCGGTTACACTAGGCTCTTGGATTGCCATGCCGGCGAAACCCGGCTCATAACTGACCTTGCTTGTTGCTAGATTCCCAGATATGGAAAGAGGCTATCCAAAGGATAAGTAAGCTTTCATTCAGTGACTTTTGTCATCCCTTTATCTTTCTCATGACACATCATGCGAAGCGCAATCAGACAGCCTGAGGCCCAAATGGAAATAAAAGACAATCCGGATCATGCTTCTCCGGAAGCCAAGGCCCTGAAGCAATTCTTTTGTAGTATTTCATTCTTCTAGACGCCGTTGAATTTTCTATTCGCGAATTTAATAGACATTGCCTAGTCCCCGCTGCTGATGTTGCTCAGCAAGCTTTCATATTTGAACTTTGTTAGCATATCTATGGGGTTACTGAGCCCCCCTACTTAACTGGAAAATCTAATACATAGGGAAAAGGTAATACTCCCTGTGCCGTCTGATGTACAAAATATCCTGTTGTTTCCTGTTTGTTCAAGAGATTGTCAGGGGGGAAAGAGAGAGCCCTGGGGCAAAATATGTCAACACAAGTGGATGTATCAGCTGTACAATGTATTATAGTAATCAAGCGAGCTAGAACTAAGTAGTCAGAATAGAGTAGGAATTGGATGTCAATATCTAGAGTTCGATATACCGAGTATACAAAAGCGAGGTTAAAATATGCTAAACGTAGATGGAGAAACAGGTAGTGTATAGCTCAACACAGGCGTGAACCTAACTACTCAGCGTATTTACAAGAAAGGGTAGAGGTATATACTATAAATGAGTAGAAAGAACACCAAAAAAAAAAATTATAATCCATACAACTGGCTACATGCAGCCATGAAGACAGAATTTGACCTCCGCTGTTCTGCCAGGTCAATTAAAGGGCGGTGTACACTTTCTGGCCTGAGGTATCAGGCATAGACGGAATATCTCTCTTGCCGATACCGAGGCTGGCTGCACATCATTCCTGGACGAATAATTTCACCGTCTTGACAGCTATGTTGAGTCCTACATATTCTATCATGTGACACAGTAATCATAATTCACTGCGTCCTCTCCCTTTCTTTCTTTTCAAGTCTCAGCTCGTTCTCGGTCGACATGGCGCGCGCTACTTTCTTCGGCTTGGACTTTGACCCACCTACTATACTGTTGCGGGAAGGTCAAATCGCTTCTTAATCAGTCCCCATCAGTTCCGGCATCCTCTCAAGCCACGGAGAGTATTGGGGAAACCTTATTGTCTCTGGAGAGCTACTCGACCTGGACGGTTTCATCGGAGGATGAAGTGTTGAGCCCTGTTTGCGAGCTACCTCCTATCAAGAAGACATTAGTGCGAAAAGTTGATATCGGAGAGTCCTGCCCGAGGGCTTTCAATCTATCGGGATGATTACTTTTCCGAATGGCCTAGATTTCAACCACTCGCAAACCAGTTGCAACTATCTCTCCCTGTTCGTGCTTAGCTGGTCTTACATTCTTTCAGCACGATTGATAGAACTTCGTGGCACAACAAAAAAGATAAGATTATTTATACTGGTAATACAGCGCTGGAGTACATACTACGAAACCATTACCGACGAGTTCTTTGAGTTAGATATCGAATGCAATGAACTAGCTGAGGTGAGATGATGGGACGCAGTTCTCGCAGGTGGGCGTGGCTGGCAAGCCACTCTTGCTCGCGAACATAAAACTTACTTTCCACCGTGGGAATGCCATTTATATAATAGCCCTGTCAGGGTATACCACCATGCAAGATTGTCATCTTCACTTGCTGTTTTTGATCCCCCATCGTCAGCACAAGCACAAATGTACCTTCTTAACTTGCCCCTGACGATATGATGCTTTGGACCAATCGATTTGTGCACTGGCAACTACCATGGCATTGCCAATGCATAATCGGTTCGGTGCTTCTATTACTTTACCTCAGCCCACCAAAGGACATGGCTTTGCACCAAAACGCGAGTTAATATACTCCAATCAGGTACCAACCTTTGCTGAGATTCCCCAGTATATGGCCCTCTCCAGTACGTCGGGCCTTTTGTCTCGTGCCTGTTTGGAGGCTTCTGGGAGCAGGGTATCCCTTGCAATTTGGCCAGTGAGTGGCTAGATCCTGCAATGGAAGAAATGACTTCTGTTCTTTTTGAGCTGAAGCAGCCATCGCCTGTCATTTGGGCTATGTCTGAACGACGGCCAACCCTCGCTTCGCTATGGCTAGGTGCAACAATTACAGGCCTTTTACCACGAATAATTCAAGTATGTCGATCCTTTTCACCAACTGTGTACCTAGAAGTGATAATTTGGACTACATCATCTTAATCGTTTATGGATCCTCCAATCATCATTATATCAAAACACAACGAATCGGTGACCAGAACACAATATCACGGGAATGTGAATTCCATTTCTTGTTTTTGACAGACACTTTATCAGACACGTATAGGAACCCTCTGCTCGAGGCTGTACCGTTGTCTGTCTTCTTCCGAGATCTGTTAAATCGTTGCCCACAAGCAACTCTTGACTATTTGCGCCCGGATAAAAAGGACCAGTACAACTGCCACGTCGATGGTATGGCCGAGTTCGTAATGAACGGCTTTCTGAGCTTACTACACGAAATCTATTCTCGTGGACATTTTTCACGGAAGCTATCGGGACAGAAGAAAACGCACTTTGAAGTCATGAATGGCTGGAGACCGTGGTAAGTAGGGAGGACCTGGGGACCGATTCGAGCGAACCTATCCCATCTGAGATGGATGGCGAAGCAAATGAACAAAAGCTCGAGTATATCAGGTGATGGCAGGAAGATGTATCATCTGTACAGGCGATATCAGACTGTGACTGCTAGTCTTCCACATCATTCCTTGACTTTAATCAATGAGAAGGGTGTCTATATAGCTGCTCGAGGCGATTCTCCAAGTACCACTTAGGACTTGACTTACCTTGGGCGACCGGGAAATCTAGTGACCTTTGAGGTAGCTTCCCAGGTCTGTTCCAGTCTATTCGACAGTGGAGACTGATATCGTTACATCCAAGTGTGCAAGGTGGGGTATACATCCATTTAGCAGCTAGGACAATGGCATTGAATTTAAGCGAGGCATCAACTTCTGCCTGGAGTGGAGTCACGGGAAGCCCGAAGCCCCAAGTCCCAGATCAAGGATCAATCGCACGATCGGCTTCAGCACCTAGCAGACCCACCCAGAGGACATGCTAAACTCCGACAAGCATCTATGATCCGGGCCTTCCGGACAATTTCTCCACCAACACAAAGATTTGAAGGTTTGCTGCTCTCCCATAGGCACGCGATCGACTGTTCTGCACGCCCAACATGCACTATATTCCTCTACTAGTGCATTACGGGGATACGTCGTTCACAACCACCCTACATAAACAATGAGTGCCCCATAGTCATCCGAATATTCTTTTCATCCTCACCACCTCCCGCTCTCCACACCATGATCTCCCCCGCCCGCCTCCTCCCTCTTGTTGGGAGTCTACTCTCACTCGTCTCTGGGCTGCCTACCACCAGCCCAACTTCCGTGGTTCGCCCTCCTAGCGAAGACCCTTTCTATAGCGCTCCCCATGGCTACGAGACTACACCACCAGGGACTATCCTTCGTCTACGTCCCGCGCCGGGTAATCTCACAGCGCTGGTCGGCAATGCTTCTGTAGTCTATAACATTGTATACCGCACCACGGACAGCCAGTATCACCCCTCCTGGGCTGTGACCACCCTCTTCATCCCCTCCAAGCCTCACCATGGCAACATGTCCTCCCTGCTGTCCTACCAAATAGCATATGATTCTCATGACATCAACGCCAGCCCAAGCTACGCCATGTACTCCTCTCCTCCCATAGACATCTCCCTCGCGCTGAGTCAGGGTTGGCACGTCAATGTCCCCGACTATGAAGGCCCTCTCGCCTCCTTCACAGCAGGTGTGCAATCTGGCCACAGCACCCTTGACTCCATCCGGAGCATCCTATACTCCAACGTCACCGCCTTCAACATCAAAGCTTCATCTTCCCGCACAGCATTATGGGGCTACTCTGGCGGTGCACTCGCCAGCGAATGGGCCACTGAGTTACAGGGCCAATACGCCCCCGAACTCAGGCTCGCGGGTGCCGCCCTCGGCGGTCTCACCCCCAATATCACAAACGTCATGGACAGCGTGACCGGCACGCTCAGCGCAGGGCTCATCCCCGAAGCGGTCCTAGGCCTGGCGAGCCAATATCCAGCCACGTACAAGTTCCTGGTTAGCCAATTAAACCCACAGGGAAACTACAATCGCTCTGCCTTCCTCTCGGCACAAAACATGACTCTCTCCCAAGCGGAGGTCTTTTTCGCCGGCCAAGATGTGTACAAATACTTTGTCAACGGCAGCGATACCTTCAAGGCTCCTGTTGTGCAGCACGCTCTGAATAGGGACGGGTACATGGGGTATCATGGTGTGCCTCAGCTCCCGATCTATGCGTATAAGGCTATTCATGATCAGGTTAGTCCGGTCGGTGATACGGATGCGTTGTTAAAGAGGTATTGTGGTGTCGGGGTGAATATTCTGTATGAGCGGAATACTGTCGGCGGGCATTCGGCGGAGAGTATTAATGGGCATGCTAGGTCGTTGCAGTTTGTTGCTTCTGTCTTGGATGGGTCGTATGCTCGTCTGTATCCGACGAAGGGATGTACGTTTAGGGATGTTACCCTTAACGTCACTGACTCGGCTCTGTAAAACGTTGCCGCGTTGGGTGATAGAGAGTTGGGTTAATAGGGATGTATATTATTGTCATCTCTGGACGATGTCCGGAACATATATATAATGATATAGATTATGAGATGGATTGTCAGTTAATTATGTCTGTCTCTAATACGCACGGAATCTGGTAATTTAGTATCATGCTTTGCCGAAATAGTATAAATATTCAATGAGTCCGATTTATACTGAATAGATATTTGACCCTGAATTAAAATATTCGATAAGGTAATGTGATCTTCCATTCGCACTCGACCAACTCACAATACGCCTGCGGGAGCTATGGCGGTTGAAAAGCCCAAGCAGTGACAGCATTTGCGTCTCGCCTTTATTATGGCCAGCTTGTACCGACCCGACTCGTGGAGTACTAATAATGTCCTCATCGTGATGAAGATCGATCAAAATTACTCCGTAATTCGGTATTCAGCTAATAGATTCATCGGTAGCACTAAAGAAGGCTGCCAACATACCATCCTGAGAGATATTACCCTGTCTGACAGAGAGAATCTCAAACAACCATATTAGGCCTGTGCTTTACCCGGTTACAGGATAAGATCAGCTGTCTTCTACCCTACGAGGTATGGGGTATTCCTGAAGGATGTGGTGTTGACTCATTATTCCAGAACAGATTATCCTGGTACCCTCATAAAAAAATTTCCTAATCCCAAAACTCTAACTACACCTACTATACTTTCTTATTATTTCCATGCTCCTCCTAATCAATGGGCCATGTACGGCGGAGCAGTGGGATGTCTATCGGTCTGTGCCATCCATAGGCATGTCTTTAGGTTTGTAACAGCTACTCTACTCCTCGCCCTGATCCTTGTAAATGTGGTATTGACCAACAATAGGATTGCTGCACATATCGCAGACAACATTATGGCCGCAATGAATAAGCCTGAATGAACGCCTTTAGCCTTCAACTAGAGGACTCGATGACAATGGGGTCGGAAGTATTTGGTGGTGACTAGGAGCTAGACGAAGCGGTCTAGAGTACTTGGCTTCTGGATGATCGCCCCCGAAAACAGGATCGTACAATTAATCGATATTGCTATAATGCTTTATAACTCCTTATCAACTTTGTCATGATTTTCTTGGGGATGAATGGCTCAAGCTGAATACTATAAGTTGTCACAATCAATTAGAAAAGTTGGCGTATACATTTACGAAACTTGGCGTCAATGACGCCTTAGCTCTTTAAGAAGCCAAAAAGAAAATTTAAATATACGTCGCCGACCTGAACTAGTCATAGTCTGATAAACAGATATGCGGAAGTTGATTAGGGTTATTCTTATTGAAATAGCAATTCTCCTTTTATAATCAAACTGGAAATAAATCAAGAATGAAGTAATAGGCATGTAACCGTCTATATATTCAATCTAGGGTTATTTATATCTCCCTCGCTCTGGGGACCGGGCTCCAGAGAAGGACTCCGGTACATAAGTTCCGACTCAATTAACCGTAAGCTTGCTTGTTTCATGTTAAAACAAGCTTAACCCTAAAGGTAAAGAACCACGTAAAACCTTTCTATCGGTAAGACATCCTCCACCATGACCCTGGGTTGTTGAGAGGTGATCTTGAAGGCAACGGATAAGGATAAGAGAGCCTTTGCTCATATGACATTGATTACACTTCCAGAAGTCATCTCTCATGGTATTAGAGTTCAGTATAGTAATTTCTTGTGTTTTTAGAGGAGCTTAGAATTACACGTTAGGGTTGAATGCTGGATAATTTCTTTATGAATCGTATACAGAAATATCTAGCATCTAGACATTACACCAAGGGGAATCCTTAGCGTCGAATCCCTCCTTGAGCTATTCCTTGAGCAACGACATTCTATTAACTTTGAAGTGCATTGGGGCCAGAAATAATTAATCGTACAACAAAGTATCCAACATATGCGTCCAAATATATATTTATATATAAAAGAAAGAAAGAAATTAAATCTTGCCCGCGCCCGCGTTCTTGGGGACATTAGTCTGCGCCTCAGCAGCCGAAGTAGCAGGCGCAATCTTGAGACCCTTGAAATCCGAGAAGAACGAGGTATCCGTGAGAGGAGAAAGCTTGCCGGAGTTGGGGAAAACATTGACTTCACACGCACGACCTAGGGCCGCGCTGCACTTCTTGTTGGTTGAGGCATCAGGGGAGGTGAAAGCCTTGCCCTTGTAGTCTGCGACGATGCTGTTGACGTCGACCCAAGCGTTGCCCTCGAAGATGCCCTTGGCAGTTGCCTCTCCTCCCTCGAGTGCGTGGCCGTTGTTGCCCTCCCAGACATTGTTCACGGCGTGCAAGAGGGTACCTCCACTGAGAGCAGGACTGCGGCCAGCAGTGCGGTAGATGTAGTTGTTCTGCAAGGTAATCTGGTCGCCTTCGCCGACCATTTCAAATGTCCAATAGTGGTATCCGTTGCAGCCGGTGGAGTAGGGGCTTTCACCGTTGATAAAGTTGTTGGAAAGAGTCACGCGGGTGCTAGTGTTGAAGCCAAATACGTAGTGCTGGCGTCCAGTGCGGGCAGTCTATATCCTATCAGCAGTTGTCTCCGAAGAGGGACACTTAATCGAACATACCGTAACATGATCAATCCAAACCAGATCAGCACCATCGAAAGAGATGGCATCGCCACCCCACACATACTCAGGGTTCAAATCAGTGATCTGGATGTTTTGCACGATGATGTTGGAAGCACCGCCACGGAACCTCAGACCCTTGCCCTTGATGATACCCTTATTACCCACACCAAGGATCGTCTTGTGGGAGGCGACATCAATGGGGGTTTTGGCCGCCTTGTACCAGGTTCCAGTGGATGAAGGAGAGCTGCCACAGTCCTTTTGGATAATCTTCTGACATTTGGGGCCTGTACCCCAGCTAGCACAAACATTTCCACTATCCGTGCCCTCGGTTTTCGTATAGTCGTATTCCTTGGAAAGAACAATCACACGCGGGGTGTCGTCAGTAAGCCACGCCTTGAGCTCGTTGATATCTCTCGGAGTCTGGGGTTCAGCGCTACCTCCACCAGTTACGCCAGAAGCAAAACCTTGCGCAGCGCCAACGATTTTCTGGGAGGCGCCTAGCTGTGCAAGTGCCAAGAGAGCACCAATGCTAGCGGATAAGAGCTTCATGAAGGGCAAAGAGATTGTCAATTGAAAAGATATGATAAGGAAAACGGATGAGTTTGACAATATGCTTTTAAAACCTAACAGCCGAAAGCGTCAGGAAACCCTGACTGGATATAAATACTCGTCCATAGCGGCTAAACCTCAACCAGTCCAGAGCGTAACGGAGAGACTACCGGGAGAGAAATTAGGGAGCGGGTGGGTCCAGATGAAGCTCGAAACCGTTCTTACGTTGCCCAATAATACCCACAAATCTAAGACAAGGTGGGGTCTGAAGAAGAAAGAGCATTCCCAATTCTCCGGGATATCTCCTAGTCTACCCTACGCTGCTGTTTAGACTGTTTCTCCACCGAATGACTCGTTCGAGAACTGACTTTGCTCCATTTGCAACGTTTTGGGAGTGGGGGAGGGGGGGGGGGGGGGTGTGCAAGCTTCTTCCCAGATAAGGAGGTCCGTGCGGGACTGAAAAACACACTGGAGTGAATATTTGGCATTAGGTCTAAGAACAAGACCAGGAATGAACAAAAGAAGGCGAGGGAACCACTAAGACATGGTGGACGTTCAAATCGGCTCTGGAGAAACCGGCGCATCCGGATATTTGTTGTGGCTATACTTTGTATCAACCCAAAACACCGGAATAGTCGATAATGGCTGTGATCTGCACTACGCTAAGCTATCAAAACGGTGCAAATTAGCCGGCCCTGCCCAGTAATACACAGCGCAGATAACGGACCAGGGGGCTACAGTGAGCCTTGTAGAGAGAATCTTTAATACGGCATGAAATTGACAGATTCCATCTCACTGACTCCTAAGTTGTTTTAGAACCAGAATCGGCCAAGCTGGGGTAACCCACGCTTTTGATGTACACATCCATAATCTATGCATATTCTTGAAGTTCGAATGGTACATAGCGCTGCCTGATCATGGATATGAGCTCCTGCTTTAGAACATCGGTTATTACACAGTATTGACTTACGTGTTCCCCCAAATGACATCTGTGAAGGACGGAAAAGACACATTGGGCTCCCCAGCTCAATTCTCATCAAAGTCTGCCGAAAGCCAAGGGACTTGGAGCTTTTAGGTTCCATTTAATTAGCTTTTTTGACAAATCTCATGAGCGTCACCTTGTCCTCTCCGTATATATTGCTGATTAAATTCTCAAATTTGAAGTCTGCGATGCTTCCTACTAAATTCAGTAACCGATCTCTACGAGGACAAGGTAATAGAGCTCTTACCGTCCGATTTCTAGAAAAGTCCAGTTCTTTCTCTCCTATCCAAAAGATCTTTGGTAGGAGGACCTAGCAGGACAGTAATGTGTGCGAGATGGCTCTGCTCAATATACTCTTGGACTGTGACTTAATGAAAAGGCACCGGAACGTGCCACGACCCCCATACTCCAGATATCGGCGCTGTATGAATACTCCGCGTCCAGGACGACCTCCGGGGCGCGATAGATCTCGGCTTGACTCTATCGCCGTAGACAGAAAGGTCAAACTCGTAATTCTGATGACTCTAGTTGTCTTCTAGGGGAGCCCATAATTATTTCGAGACAGGTAAATCGTGCAGCCATAAGAGCAAATCTTCTGCGAGAGAAGGCTCTCATATTCATCTTTGGCAGATTTGTGTAGGATCAACTGGTCCTCGTTTTCACCATTCCATTGTCTGGTTTGAGGTCTGGGGATTATTAATGTGGTCTGCTCCTACTGCAAGAAACTCTTGGGGTGACAACATGCATGTATGAATGATATGGCATTCGGATTGAAGATAATCTAGATCATCAAGGATTATCTTAGCAAGTATCTTTAGTACGCTAGAAGGTATGACGTCTCCAATAAATCTTTCTTTATATAGCCAGAGAGGTCCACGCGAAGGTTTAAAGGTAAGAGCAAGATATTCTCTTGAACCACGTTTCCCGCCCACGATGATGGCTAGGATATGTGGGTTATTGGGGACCATTATCCGACTATGAGAAGCAGCCATAGTCAGGATGAGATAGAGAGACGCATATTAATGTGGTGTATCGCATATCGTCAAAGGGCGTGTCACGTGGGGAGAACCTTGGCTTATAACTTATGTACACACATTTTGCCTATATATCTAACAATCCATCTCTTTAGTTCCAAAAGTAAGATTGTAATTATGAAAGCAAGGTCGGGGGTGCCTCATTGTCTGACATATATAGCCAGAAGTTGTATCGCAGATCATCAGGAAGATATAGATCTCTTGGCACAGAAACCACAGCCCCTCAACCCCTCCATAAAAACACCACAACATCAACCATCTATCAAAAAACCCTAACCAACAACCCCCCCCCAAATAAACCAAGTAAAATAAACCACAATGCCTCAATCAAGCACTCCATACCCCTTCACATTCACCAATTCATCGTCCCCACCTCAATCAATAGATGGAACAATCCGCAGCATTTCCCTCACCATCCCCAATGTCCGAGGCTGCATCCCCTCCACCCAAGCATCCCGTCTCCGCACAATGATGTTAGAGTCGCATCGCGATCCCTCCAAGATTCTCGCGTTTCCATGTAGCTATGACGGGCTATCATCACGACTCATTGAAGAAGCGGGGTTCCCGATGCTATTTCTATCGGGGTTCGCAGTCTCCAGCTCCTACGGACTACCTGATACGGGGTATATTGCGATGGAAGAGATGTGCTCCAAGGTCCAAGAAACAGTCCGAGTAACCACTCTTCCAGTGATGGTCGATGGGGATACGGGGTACGGAAGTCCGATGAATGTACGGAGGACGGTAGAGTCATTTGCAGCAGCAGGAGCAGCGGGGGTGATGATTGAGGATCAGACTTGGCCTAAACGTGAGGCTTATCCTTACTATCTATTATATTATGAGTACTGATGATAGACAGGATGCGGGCATACAAAGGGGAAGTCTGTGGTTTCGCGTGGTGAGGCCTACGCTCGGATCCGGGCTGCCTGTGATGCGAGGAATGAGGGACGGGATATCTTTATCCTGGCTAGGACTGACGCCTTGATACATGGATGGGAGGAAGCAATGGCGCGGGCGAGAGAGTTCAAGCGTTTAGGCGCTGATGCGGTGTTTGTGGAAGCTTTGCCTGATCGAGAGTCCATGAGACGATGCGTGGAGGAGTTGGATATGCCCATGCTGGCTAATATTATTGAAGAGGGCAAGACAGAGAATCTCTCTGCCAAGGAGCTTGCGCAACTGGGTTTCGCAGCGGTAGCATATCCGTGGACCTTGGTCGCGGCCAGGCTGAACAGTATTCGGGATGCGCTGGAAGGGCTGAAACGGAGCATGGTTGAGGACACGGCACCGCCTGTTATTCTCGGGTATTCGGATGTGTGTGAGGGAGTTGGGTTTAATCAGTATTGGGTAAGTTTAGTTATTTATTGGCAATTTTCCTCACTGACTGTGCTATAGGATCTGGAGGCACGGTACGAATACGACCAAGATGGACTGGTGAACCGTTGATTGGGGCCGGGTAGAGTACTATATTCGGCTATCTCGCTCCGTTGATGCAAACTAAGTATGACAGTAGCGTCTTAGGCCTTTATCAAATGATCGGGACATGTCAATTACAATCTGAAAGGGCAGGAGTGCTGTGCGGAAAGGATGTAGATTCGGCACGCTCCGGGGGTGGTTGCTATATAACTTTCTTCCTGCATGCCTACACAGTCGTCTATATATTTGCAGGAACTATCTTCTAACACATCATTAGTGTATAATCGAATATAGAACCATGAAGATGTCAAGTAGAGCAATTGTAATAGGGTAAAGAGGACCCCGTGACCAAAGGAGTAATTTGATCCGGTGGAAACGAAGACCCACCCCGCTCTATATTTGGAATGCTGTCCCACCAGGCCAATGTCCATATAAAAAGCGTCAAAATCATCCTTCACTCTCCTGCGAGAAACTCCAAGCTGAGATAAAGAAAAGTAAACTTTATAAGAAACCAACAAGGACCGCTCTTTTCAGTTACCAAGATATGCTATCACAAGCAAATACAGCTCAAGATATCAATATCTTGGCCGAATATCTTAGCGACCAGGAGGTGCAAGACCTAGCATCATCTCCCTCGGTCGACTGCCTTGTCATCTGCGCGTCGGCGATCCTTTACCAAGCCGAACATTTGTTTCAGGTACTACAAGAGCGACCATCCTTGAGCAAATGTCTCGTTCTCTGTGGTGGTGTCGGTCACTCCACCACATTCATGTACGATGCTGTCGCACAACACCCTCGCTTTTCCCGGATAGCAAAAGATGTCTACCGTCTTCCCGAAGCTCGTATCTTGGAGAAGATCTTGGATACTTTTTTCGATCGATCGACGATTACCGAGGGAGGTTGTAAGATATTGGTCGAGGATCAATCTACCAACTGTGGTCTAAATGCCTCGCTGAGTCGAAAAGTCCTTGCTGAAGCGGGATTCCAAGCGCTTAAGACCTGCATTATTATTCAAGATCCTACTATGATGTTGCGCACGAAAGCTTCTTTTCAAAAGGCCTATGGGGATATGCTGCCACCTCCATCTTTCATAAGTTATCCGGCATTCGTCCCGCACTTGCACAAGTCAGAGGATGGCAAGTTGGAATATCAGGATTCATTACTAGGAGTGGCTTTGTGGCCGCAGGAGCGATTCTTGGAACTAATATTGGGGGAGATCCCCAGACTGAGGGATGATGAGAATGGATATGGGCCGAGGGGAAAAGGTTTTATCCCTCATGTAGAGGTTCCAGTCCAGGTTGAAGAAGCATGGTCACGACTACGGATGGTTTCAAACACGTCTCGATGAAGATAGAAATTCATATTGCTGAGAAGATAGTGCCCGGCCACATTGGCAACCACAGTAGTAAATGAATGAATTCGACAGCCCCGCAATCTCTAGGTTAACTATGGACAGAATACCGAGATCTTCAAATAGCGATCGACGGTCCAGCGCTGCAAGTGATGCCAGATGGCAGAGGAAAAGAAAGCAAACAATCGTCGCCTTTCGTTTCCGGGCTAATTGGAATTTTTTTTTCTTTGAAGCTCCCGCCGTCAGCTTAGCCACGATGCTGGAGCCAATAATCATGCTTAATGACCCGTCAATGGCCGCCTATCTGGATCGATCTGCAGGCATTTAGCATATTGACTCCCGAACCTCTCCAGATCTGATATTTGACGAGCTCCCCTTAACACGTCAGTTTCCGTGCGCACTGTCCAAGGGCACAATTTCTGTTTGCTTTGAAGACATTGGAGTGTTGATCCAAGACATTGTCTGCACTTCCGGAAACTTCACACGATTATATCACACCGCGTGAACATTCAAACATGGTGACAACGGTCTTCACCGAGACTTCAAGTTTTGTACCGCAAGGGCTCGACCCCGCAACGAACAGGAAACTGTCACAAATATGGGCTCGTGTTCAAAGTCGAGTGCTAGAGCTAGCCCAGTGGGGACTGCCGCAGGATTAAACCACTCGACGTGAACGGCGTGCTGTCGCACCCGGGGGAGGCATAGCGAACCGACAAGGTGTTTTCATGGACGTTGCAAGCCATTAAGGACACATTCAACCGAACACTGCAGTTCATTCAAACGGTGGGTAGCATCGCCGCGGGCGCTGCCTCCAAGGTAAGATCCCTCCCATCCGAAGAGTGGTCAAGAAGAAGACAATTTAACGGTTGGAAAGGCATTTGGGCCGTCAGAGCTATGCTTAAATGCGCTCAACTTTGTCACTCAAGCATGGCAGGGGTATCAAGGAATTTTCTAAGGGGTTGGCGGGGCTGTTGGAGAGATGCACCGAATAATACTTGAGCCACTTAGAATACCACATTCATAGGGGATGGACGCAAAATTAAGTAAAGTCGTGTGCCAGCATCTGCTTCTATTTGTGGAGATTTGCGATCAAACAGTCAGGCTGCGCTCAAAAAGGAAAAATCTACTTGCAGGGGGTTAAGGTATTGTTCCTGCAGGATAACGGCGTGACAGACCAGCTGGCTAAGATGGAGAGCCTTGTAGATAAAGAGAACCGTCTCGTAGTTCTACAGACCTTTATGCGGGCTTTGGACGCCGCAAACAATTCGAAAGCAAATCTCGCTCTGATGCAGGGTCTTGTGGACTCTTTTGCAGAGAACAGGACGGAGCAAAGGAAAAGGATAAACAATTCAGGACACAGGTGGTCTTGCAGGCTCTAGCATTTGATGAGGCTAAGATGAATCAAGAAAAGGGGGGAGCCAGACCCTTTCTGGCAGACAAGCTATCGGAACTATCTTAGGCAACGTATAAGGGGGCAGGTGAATGGATTTTCGACGAGCGAAGACATGCTGCACTCTGAGAAGGGACAATATAGTGTGCCCGTCCTCACATTCGCAGGTGGTGAAGGCTCCGGAAAGACCTTGCTTCCTTGCGTCCACAATCATCAACCATCTCAACCAGCAGGAAGCCACCAAGAGAAAAGATCACAGGATCCTAACAGGATTTTACTTTCTCGAAGGATGTTCACGGGAAGAGCTGAGGAATGCTACCAACCTTTAGACTGCTGGCGAAGTCACTCGTCTGGCAGTTCGCTCAATCCGAGAGAATTTATCTGAAGTGCGTCGCCCAGGTATGTCAGAATCGCGGAGAGATCGACCCGGCAGGTATCTCAAAACACTTGATTTTGGAAAATAAGGATCTGACAACCATGGATCTCACCTTTTACATTGTCATTGATGGACTGGGTGACACAGTTGGAATGGTACGATTTTATGAACCTCCACGCCCATGCCTGGTCACGATATTCTTGTTCTTTTAACGGGTGGCTCAAAGTGTTTTGAGCAGTTGGCCAAAAGAGAACGGTCGTCTTGAATGCATTCCCCGTCAGCACAAACAATCGATCAGATGTGGAGAGGTTTATAAAAGCTCGGATGGATAGGATGCTCACATTGACTGATCGTGTCCGCTTGGGCATACCAGAGCTAAGAGTCAAGAAGACAACTGTCCAAATCTACCGGTTCCATTCTGTACAAGGGGAATGGAACTTGACGCTACGAATTACGACCGAGTCACCATGGTCTTGAGCACTTATTCCAAGGCGATCGCTCAGTGAAAAGAGGCTTTGAAACAAGTTTCGCATGTGTATGGTAAGCTGCCATCTTTGGTTGGAAAACTAGGCCCCCTGTACCTCCACAAGGCTCGCACATCATTGAATCGTGGACATCCAAGTGATACATACGCGCATGATCATGTTATTTGAACAGCAATTGACTAGGAGGGTATATAGCGTATTAAACTCTCTATTATATACAGTCTTCATGATATCATTATACATTACTTGAGAACCCATGCATATGCCCGGTCACGTGGCCTTCGCAACCGGATCCTCCTCTATGGCCCATTTCTGCGCCCCGGATGGTGCAGTGATCTGCCGGAAAATGTATCTTTTATCGAGTGTCAGCAGGTAATCCCGACGTTGAGCATTGCTCCAGTGGTAGGTGCCGTAGAACGTTGGAAGAATCGGGCTGTCTGCGAGCCAGGCTAACATTGAGCCAAGGGATCGTGGTATTCGAGGGCCTTTGAACTGGCCCTGTCGTACTATGAATACAAGAACAAGTGCAATGGCCATCAGTGTGACCATCACGAGGGCGATTATGAATGGTGGGAGACACCGGACGATACTCCACGTGGCTCGCAGGACCTTAGCATCGCTGACGAGTATCGGCTTGGGTAGTGGTTTGAGGTGCATATCTCTGCAGAAAGAAAAGTATGTCGCAAAGAGCCATTTGTAGACCCGCGTCGTTGCATCTATAAGAAGATCCGGGTCGACGTATGTCAGCTCCGGATTCGTCTGTTGGTAGACAAGTTTGATGAGCGTGCCGGGCCATTCGGAGGGGAACAGTTTAGCACCATCTGCAGTTGTGCTATTTTCCGAAGCGTCCTGGAGCGACGAGACAAATTGTCGTTGGTATTTCGCCAGGTTTGATGTCACGTTGTTAAATAATTGCCCGCTCGTGATTGTACTTTCCATTGGGACATAATATTGCATTATGCCATTGGCACTGAATCCAACCGTGAACCTGTCTATACTAGCAACCGGCTGACATTGCAAAGCGAAAATTTCCTTCTGACTGCTTTGTAGGCCTCCCTTGGACCTCGAATTCCCGGTTGAAAAGACAAAGAATTCGTTATTGTCATTGTCTCCCTTGTTTTCAGATAACGCTAATGCCTGGATGGAATACGGGTCTCTTCCGTCCTCGCTCCGGTGTGATCGAATAGAAGACATATGCTCTGTATCCCTTGCGCTGGCGAAGGGGTGGCTACTCGAGACTCCACGTTTCCTTTCCTCAGAAACGTTGTGCATAAGTGGGATTTTCTGACAGTCTAGATTGGCCCCGATTCCTAGGGTCACCGCTTGGTAAGTACGATCCAAACTATTCGTAGCAGCTGAGAACGGGATGAATGAGTAGTCAGGAGCAGTCCACGGAAGCCATTGCACCTCATTTAATATAGCTGATTCGATAGGGCCGTATTGAAAGACGTTAGGAACCATACTAGATTCAAGAATGACCGAATCGTCATAGCGTAGCTTAACATCTTGGGTGGGCCAAGGAGATTCCATGCGGCTTTGCGTAAACAGAGTACCTAGGACGGCTGGAAGGCCGATGTTGATGATGCAACATAGTGAGACAAGGCTCAAAACAAAGTGGCGCGAACGAATAGATCGATAAAAGACAGTTATGGGGTTTTGACACGATATATTTAGGAGTAAGGACCTCCTCGCATCTGATCCCCCCCTTTGGAGGTGAATCCATGGCTCCAGGACACTGAGATTCAAGTAAATCGAATTGAACAGGGCTCGCATCATAGACGCAATAATAGATGGTACAATCCCCAAAGCGAAACTTAAACGATCAGATGCAGCATCAGAGAGGTGCCCTAGCCTGCCATCGTTGGAAGCCATGGCGAATAATATTGTCATGCTACAGATGACCGTCAGCAGTCCCAGAAGCTCGGCAACAAATATCGGGGTTGATAAAAAATGAAGTCGTGCATTTGGACGTGGTCCGTTACGGCGCATCTGCTTTTTAAACCAAACCCTCCCATTCCGTTTGCGCGACGAGATTTCCCCGGGTATGAATCCAAGCTTTCGACCCGATGGTTCACAATACCAGTAGCATTGCCAAGCACGTAGCTTGCGGTTGAGCTCTCGTGCGGTGAATTGGTCTGTGTACTGGGCAAAAGCCTGAACCCCAGCGGGGTTGAAAAGATCGGCCACGATGCTGTACATAGCTGCAATCGAGCCCGGGTCCGCCGTTAGCATATTTTCGCGGGACTGATAGAAAAAAGCCAGGAATATACAAGTGGCTCCCCCGAGAAGAAGGATTATCTCTGATATGAACGCGAGTGAGTCGATGACAACGATAGCCACTTGATCTGTCGTCCTAACACCCTGCACGGTAGTATACGCAGCATTTGTGTCGAAAAGGCGGCTCAGCAGGCGAGCAAATCCTCTCTTCACATCCCTGCGGATTTTAAACATGAACCTATCTATTGAGATAGGGGCCTGCGAGAACTGCTGAGAGCCAAGGCTCGAAGGTATAGAATTTCCCATTTCCGAGGCACATCGGTCAAGAGAATGCTTTATCAAAGTTCCATTATCAAAAGGGCTTATATTCCCTTTAGGACAGACCTCGTGGTTTAGGTATGTTTTGATTCCAGGAATATTTAACCGTGAGGTATCCAGACTTGATACCGAGCCTTCATCAACGTTGATCGCAACAACCGAACCATTTGGCCGCATGGAAATCTCTGCGTTCGCCATGTAAAATCTCATGCCACAAGTGAAGAACTCAGCTTTAGGCGTGAACGTAGAATTTTGGGTGGGAAAGATATTTGTCTGCCGGGCTAATTGACTAATATCCGTCGAGTTAATGTCGAGAAGAAAGCCATAGAGATCTCCTGTAGCACATGGCAGGGCGTCGAGCTCCCAGCGTCGAGCCTGGATTGAAGTAGCTTTCAGGTCGAAGATGCCGCTGTAGTTCGCACTTAAGGTGCAGTTCTGCGACGATCCCGAAAGGAACGCCAACTGCAGACCGTCAAGTTCGTAGGATACCTTAGAGTGTTCACCCGGTGGTTCCCCCATGCTAACAATAATATTTCCCGTAGATGGGCTGTGAACTCGCGAATCGGAACATGAGAGCTCGGTCCAGTAAACTGTATGGTTTAGTTCCCACAAGGCTGTTGTCACCTCGTCGTCGAAGGGAAGCTCGACTGGTGGTATCGCAAATTCCGCGAGGCGTGACGGTAGCTCTCCATAGTATGTCCGCGTAAAGGAATCGAGGCTCATATTGCGTTGTGACGAGATCCATTCGGCTTGGTTCTCAACCTCCAATAGTTCCGGCCAGCTTCTCAAGGTCTCGGTATTGAAGACCGAAACTTCATCTACATCCATCAAAGCGCTCAGCATGGCGGGCAGCAATAGCTGCACTGAGATGTTCACAAGGGAAACAAGCAGCACCACCCAGTGTTTTCTTCTCGCCGAGAAGATGGGCGTCGTTACGAAAGGCCCAAAATTGTAATTCGCAGAAAGCACATCAGCAGGGCACGCTTGTTCTTTGGATAGCTGAAAATATGGCTCCAGACGGAACACATCGTATACGGTAAATGACCAGAGGGTCAGAAGAGACAACCCTAGGATGACCGGGACGTAATTATAAGCAAACGAAACATGGTCCGGTATATCATCTGTGTCGTCGTAGAACACGAGCCCGCCTCTGATATTGCTAGACCGCCGCAATAGCTCCACAGCTCCCATCATTAAGAACATGATGGAGGCTAGAAAAAGCAAATAAAACGGACGTAGCGTCCTTGGACGCCATCCTTTCCCTGTCACCGCATCCCCATCGTATTTCCTCCACATCGCATTCACCCAATTTTCGGTTTCCGCGGTATATAGGCCGGCGATTGGGAAGCTCGAATCCCTTGTTTATGCTTTTCACTTCCTGTTGTGGCGGGAAACATTCGTTGTGGTTCAATTACTGCTCCGACGGGTTGGAAATGGAACGGAAGGCATTGGCGTTGGTCAGGGGTCCCCCATGTTAGGTGACAGCGCCGTCAAATCCAACAGACATGAGGAAAGTTGTGGAAGTTGGTGTTATGTAGTAATGTCTCAAAAGCACATCAGATTCGTCGTCAGCATTTTGCGAGACGGAATACGAGCTGAGATAAAGTTTAGTGGTCACCGATCGTACCTGCACGTGATGTCGGAGTCCCGCGGCAAGTGGGGCCGTTTGTTGATTGGTCAGCTCCGATTCTCAGGGGTTTTCTCTGTCTGAGCACGTGGGGGTCAGGTGAGTAGCAAATACTCCTGACTAGTAGTAGAATGGAATGATTATTCACTTTGGATCTTAACTACAAGGACAGTACCCACGCACTCCACTTGCGAAGACCCAGCCAAGATATATATAAATCCGTATGGCTTATAGAATCCCATATCCGAGTTATACCCAGCAATAATATAGACCTGAGAATGTGGGTGACCTTTGACGCACTGACTACAACTGATCCGTTATGGGTATTTTTACTCTCTGCCGATTGATTTATATTGAAACCCGACTGTCAATATGCTCATGTTAGACATAGGAAAAGGATGTACTACTTCTCAATGCAGGTTCAATTTCCTGAATGAAGAAGTGGGTTGACTCGACGTAGCTCATGTACGCGGGCCCGCCTGGCCTAATAGCCTTAATTTAGTGCTGGTCTTCAGGACTGGCAGAAGGCAGGGGGGAAAATCTGCACCAAATAGGTCTTGACGCTAACAGACGGTGTGACCCACCTTGGGTAAGGTACGACACTCAAGGACATAACAATCTTGCAATACCTCTTACCTTGTTTGAACGATTATCTCACGGGCCCTTGGTCCCAGATACTCCTCGATGGTGGAGTCCCTAATTTCCTCCCACTTCCCCCATAGACCTGTGTAGGATACCATGCCATATGTCAAAGAGTCCGATTGAATCGAAATTAACCTGCCTTATCGTAAAGCGCATATGGCCATGCATTCCTTCGATAGGGCTATTTGCTTATGCTAACGTTAATGAACTTCTTGTTTCCGAAAGTCTTCCCAATGGTCCTCCCTATCCGCAAAACAGGGTTCTGGGCTGTAGGTAACGGGGAGCGGTACTGCGAGTCACAGACGCGATATATAACGTTCCTATGCTGTACAAGATTTTCAGCCCTTTGATTACCTGTTTCCTCCCACTGATCAGTAGCTCTCATTCTCAGTAATATGCGCGAGTGCTGTCTTCTTGGCGACCAGGGCCCAGTTTATTCAATCTGGCTCCTGGAGGGCTACCGCAAGACCCATTCTTGGACAGAAGCAGCACTGTACGTGGAGCCATAGGCGTCAAGAAGGGTTGACTATCGGGAGATTGTAGATGGTATGCTAACGTGATCAGGTAAATATAGACCGGTAGTTCTAGGCACGGCACCCGAATCCAGGGTTGTCGGACTCCTTGACCTGTTGTACTTTATGATCGAGTAATCTATGCATCCCGCTCAACAAAATTCTCAACGGTGCCACGAGATCAAGCCCGGTATGCCGAGTTCCCTCCTACCGTCTTGATTGCCGGTTACTATGCCCCAAACTTCGGTAATCTCTTCCCAGAAACAGTTGCTATGCGGCAGTATTTTAATGCGATCTGGAATTTCGCCTATTTCCATGCCTTTTTTGCATACTCCATTCGTCCTTTTGGAGAATTTTGCTACTCTGCCCGCCCGACAGCCACATCAGGAAGAAGGGTCGACGCGAAACTCCAAGAGATATCTGCGCTACTTTCGCTGTATGTATCTGTCGCATGCTCTAGTATCCCAATCGACATATATCTACACTCAGCACACACTTCAAGAGCGTTCATCTGTGAACAACCTGTTCTTTCTCGGCTTGCCGGAGTACAACTTGTCGATCTCTTCATTTCCCGAAGGCGTTGCGACTTTCCTCAAATATGATGAAACGATGGCGATAGCGAACGGGCTTGTTTGGCTTGGAACCAAATTCTACCAATTGAAATAATTTGGCTATACCATTGCGCGGTAGAAGGTGGTCATGGGTTTAGCGGGCACGATGGCGACTTTGGGTCCTGGCGCCGTGGTTTCGCTGGGTTGGGACTGGACGGAAGAGATCTGGGCGAAAATATCAAAGGTGAATGCGGATTGATTTTGTTGTTAAATGTGTGAATAAGGCCCGTGTTCGATTAACCAACCTTTCGCGGTCGAGGGTTTGATTGATCTGCAAGGATTCCATAATTCCCCTTATGCCTTCCTGGTCTCGAAGATGTTCGGCCTCATTCTTGTCAACGCTCTCGGCACTCTTCATATAACCCTGACTTTGGGTGACTGCGGCACAATTGAGACTGAGTTCGGTTCACGCGACCAGAGCGACCCGCTTCCCAGTTCTTATTTTGTTATCCGATATCATTCCCCGCATCCTGACGAGAATGTGGTGTCGCGCATCGTCAATGACGATCTCATAACCGGGTAAATGGCCTTTTAGGGCTGGCTGGGCCATGGCTTGGCAGCAGACACTTGCCTGTTAAGTTAAAAAGGGCAATTCTCCGCCGGCTACATACCAAACTTGCCCTAAAAAGCAGCCATGGAGAAAGAGTGGGGAGGAAGATTCGCCGCAGAATTGCCCGATTCAAAAAAGTCCTCTCTTGCAATAGCTCAACTTCCAATTGTGAGCTGGAACTGCGCCAAAGAGCAAGCATCCCTCATGAATGGCTATATACCCCGCCTCCAACAAATGTGGGAGAAACATAAAGGGGCCGCAGAGCCCTCCATCAGAGCAAGAATCATCAATCAATTCTCAATCATACCCCAACATACACAATGTCTCCTCCCACACTTAAAGTCGCAATCGCTGGCCTCGGCCGCATGGGCGCTCGCCACGCACATCACTTTTATGCCCTCACTCCCCGGGCTGAAGTAGTCGCAGCGTCTTCCCCGAAGCAAGACGAGTTAGACTGGGCAAAGGCTAACCTCGGTGATGCCCGGACCTATCTCGACTACGATGAGATGCTTGAAAAGGAGCAGGCGAATGGTCTGCAGGCCATTGTGATCGCATCGGCTACCAGTGTACACGCCGAGCAGGCAATTAAGGCCATCCGTCGTGGACTGCACGTTCTGTGTGAAAAGCCCTTGAGTATTAACGTCGACGAGGTATGTCTTCATCTCCCCTTCCCACCCGATAGAAAAAGCGGAAAGGAACAAGGGACGAACTTACCAACAGTATATCAAAACAGTCTCAATCCGTCGTCGACGCCTACAGAGAATCTGTCAAGACCTACCCCTCCCAAAAAGTCCTGTGCGGTTTCTCCCGCCGCTTCGACGCCTCCTACCGGGATGCCTTCAACAAGATGAACGACGGCCTGATCGGTACACCCAGTGTTTTCCGCTCCCAGACCTGTGACAAGCTCGACCCCTCCGGCTTCTTCGTAGAATATGCCCAGTTTTCAGGCGGTATCTTCGTCGACTGCTCCATCCACGATATCGATCTTGCGTTGTGGTTCTTCGGCAAAGACTCTGTGGTCAAGTCCGTCACTGCTATCGGTATCACGGCTGTTTCGCCAGAGTTGAGGAAGTATAATGATCGCGACAATGCGCTGGGTATCGTCGAGTTCTACGGCGGCAGAATCGCGCAATTGTACTGCAGTCGGATGATGGCTGCTGGACAGGAAGATAGTAAGTCCTTCTCGCTTTCTCATGAACTAATACTAAGAGACGCTAACACGACTTAGGCACCGAAATCATTGGCACACAAGGTAAACTGGCCGTCAATACTCAGCCCATCTCGAACCTTGTCAACATCTATGAGCCGACGGGTATCCGTCGAGAGATCCCACCACACTACTACGGACGGTTCCGGGAGGCCTTTATCACCGAGGCGAACGAGTTTACCGCTGCCTGCCTTGATAACACGGAGCTTCCAGTGCAGTTGGAGGGAGCTGTGGCTGCTGTCCGTATTGGCGCAGCATTGCAGGAGAGTCTTATCACAGGGAAGAAGATTGAGTTCGATGAATCGGGACAGAGGATTGGGTCGGATGTGGAGGTGCGCCTTAAGAATTAATCTATTCTGATCATCGATACGCTATGTGAGATGGAATTTTAAATGGACTACTGCGCTTAAAGCAAATAATATTCCTTCTCATTGCTACTAGCTTGGTATTTGCATTACTGTGAATGTTCCAACTGTCAGATTGTATTGTTGGTCTTGGTTAATCTACGACATAGCCCAATAGTAGAAATGTGATACATAATAATCGACATGGAATTCCATCCAGAACTATTTCCCACAGGCTTGAACGTGGTGTTTATTTAGGCCGTACCCAGAGGAGTCGATTCGCCCTGGGGTCACTGAACGTAGGAGAAGACACAGGTTGGATGCCAGAGAGGGGAACTATATAACCGGTGCTTTGCCGCCCCCTCACAACGACTCGGCTTGTATAACGCATGAGTAGCATCATGACTGCCTATTCGGGTATGTAACGTATTCACTTCAACCTCCTAGCGGGGTCACTCTTGAGGGCATCCAATAGCTAGATTCATCCCACACATGTATTCACTGTTCCTTTATAGGTTGGTAAGTTGGGCTGAAACCTTACAAGACAAAGGGGTCATTGTTCTTGTGGGTTAACCTACTTTTTGCTCATATCTGCTCAGGTAGTCCCATAACCCATATCGCTTCAATGGATATTCAAGACCGATGACCTTGCACCGTGATTAACGTAAGGCTCCAGACATTGTCGTTAGATTATAGAAAGAGACTGCAGGGCAAGAGTTGGGATTGCAATGGAGTATTCGAGCTTTAGTTAAGATTGACTTACAAATGGACCGATAACCATGTAATGCTTTCATTTGATGGCCGACTATGAGGTTCTAATTGAATATGACTCATGACAATAGCGAAGAGAACCAAGCATAGTAAGAGGACGCAGGTATTATTAACTCGAGAAGGTTCATTAACAGTATGACACATCCCGAAAGCTATACATATATGCTGTGTGAATCGTGTGGTCCTACATCGGATAAAAATATCTTAAAATCCTCATGGTCAGATATACTAACATTTCTTTGTATGATTACGGAGTTGTTTCCATGTCAAGAATGTTGCAGCAGAGTGTTCAAAACTTATTGTGTTAACTGATATTAATTAATAGTGAAATCTAACCTGGGGATATTCAGTGATCCCAGAGCCGGCGCAAACCCGGGCAAGCCGCAGGCATGATAGCAAGCTCACTTAAACTACCATCTAGCAGCCTACCTTGCAGGCCTAGTCGGCCATGTCTCAACAAATTCCGTACTCAAGCCGACCCCCACGCTTCCAGCAACATCTTCTCTATCTTTCCCGTCGGAAAAGCATGCTCCTGATGCATCGTCCTTAAAACTCCCAACAGAGCTTCCTGTTCTCTGCGATCATCAAAGTACTCCCCACACAAGGTGATCCCCATCAAAGCCTCAATAAAAGTCGATGGAGATTGACGATTACACAAAGCAATTCCACACAGTCGTCGAACAATCGCTTTCAGCGTGTCTGCCATCTTTCTCCGGCTGGCGACCGATCCTGGACCTAAGCTAGGTCGACTTTGATCAAAAGCAACAAGGAGAATGCGCGCAAGTTCCAAATGTGTCGTCCCCGTCACATGACAGCTCTCAAGGTGCCAGATCTCGGGGAAGATTTGTGCCGACTCATTATCTGGTTCACGATAGCACATTGGCTCGAAAGACTTGGGTAGCGCCAGGGTCAAAGCACGTTCATAATTACGCAGCTCATGCCAGCGAGAGGGGTCATGGCGGTGATACGACGATTGATCTGCGTTGTGGATATAACTGCTTCCGTAGCAGTATTCGAGAAGGTCTGCACAGAAAATCACTAGTCTGTCTGCCCAGATTACATCCTCGGCGGGGGTTAGATTGCGGAATGCATCGCAGTGGTTCATAGGGAAGTTGAGGGGGCGTTGTTTCATGAATGAGGTCAAGAGTTCTTGGCGTAAGGCGACCCAAAAAGCGGCCTGCCGAAGACCATCCGGACTAGGGACTCGGGGAATTGTGTTTGGCCAGAGGATGTTCGTCTGCGGAGAAGGGGAGGATATGGTCTGAGACGGGGAATTTAAGGTTTGAGGTGCATGGACCAGTTGGACACCGTGGCCATAGACCTCTTCCTGTGATGGGTAGGTGGGAGGGGACCTGTGTCGCAATGTTGCGACTGGAGGCACCTGTGCATTGATAAACATGTTCAACATGCCCAAGAAGACTTCGGTATCCTCCTCGCCCTCATGAAGCGGGCCGTCCATTTCTTCGTCTGTGCGGAGGATGATTGCTGCTGCCAGAAGAGCTTCGTTATGGATCTGTTCAGGGTCCATGCTAAGGCGGAGGAGGTCTTTGATACATTCGTTGTGGTAGTAGACGGCTGACTCTTCGCTTAGATTGTGCAATAGATGGCCTTGCCACTCCACTACACCAGCGGAGTTGCGATACCTCTGTAAGCGAGTGAGATGGCGGGCTGAGGTGGTCAAGATAGCATTCAGCAGGGTTGGCGAGGAGCGTGCCCGTTGCGGAACTAGGCGACTGAAGTGGCGTTCGTTGTCGCATAAATCAAATCGAGGGCCAATGACCTCGGCAAAGTATCGCAGGAGAATGGCTTGCAGGCGGATGTCAGTATTTCCAATAAGGTTGACGGGTTTATCATTTTGTTTAGGGCCGTCTACCGGGACTACGCCTGGGTTTCGATTTAGAGTGGCAGTGGCCGAGCTTCCGCACGTAGTCATTGCCGACGCCGTTGTCACAGCCATTTGGGGTTGGCGTTGAGTGTCATTTCTGGTGGAGATATCCGAGTCCAAGTCATGGAATCGGCCAATACCCGATTCAACTCCCCCCGCAGCGGCAGTCCGGAATGACAACTCGTCGTCGTTGAACTCGTTCTCAGTATCACTCGCTGCATCATAACCCGCGATGACGTCTGCGGTTTCGTCGACAAATCTCAGCCGGGCTAAGAGCCTATCAGATTCTACTTGATGGTTGCCGTTCGGCTTGGCCGGTGATGAACATACCCGACCTGCGGCCCAGCTTTACCCAGACTTGGTCTGGAGAAAAGGCTTGGTCGTACTTTGCCCGGCTCCCCGGGCAAAATTGAATCGGTTTCTTTGCTGAGTTACGGCGGACGCATGTCCATCCATATCGTTTACAAGGCTCACATCGGTCGGCGTTATATGTACCTGAGAGCGTTAGATGAATTTAGCCGTCTTGCAGGGACTAAACCTACATCGCAGATGCTTGGATCGGCAATTGGTGCAAGGTGTTTGCACTGACAGTGGCCGACTCCGTGGGGAGGATGGGGGCAGTGGGGGTACGGGGAGAGCCATTCTTCCATTGGCATTTTGTGGGAGAGGATGAAGAAAGGGATGATCAAATTCCCTTGTTTGTCCAGGGAGGGAAATTGGGATTGTTAGAGAGGAGCCTTGCAGTCGAATGGGGGGAAAGAAGGACACGATTCTCGGGAGTGAACTGCCTCACGAAAAGTTACCGGGCAATTTGGGACCGAAGCAAGAGGCCAACCAGACTCGCCAATTGAGGGTCCACAGATAATCATATCTTTTTCCCGCGTTTTCATGGCCTCGGGAGCTATAATGCATGTCCTGGCCAATCACCATCCTGCCAATACGTCGGTTTAGATCCTAGATCTTGGACATACACCGGCAGGAACACATACCGAGACATATTATGATCGCGCTTATAAAAGCCTCATATCCTGTCACATTGGCACACCTGTTAAAAGTAGGTCTGCCATTTCCTCTACAACTATACATACGGCCGACCTATTGGGGCTGAAAAGCAACTTATTTCATATAATACATTTCTCAATGGTGACAGACAAGGATACAGAAAAGTTCCAATGTCCAACACCAATAATGGTCGACACCAAAGGGGCGAAGCTGTCAGAAAATGCGCACATAAAAGTGGCCGGCACCAATCTGGCCACGGAAAGTGGCATTGACGACCTTCCAGTTAGTATGTTCGTATGGCTCGTGGCATTCACGCATCCATTGCTGGGATGTTGTTCGGATACGATACCGGCATCATCAGTGCTGTTCTCGTCTATATCCATGAAGGGTTGAACACTCAGTACGCTCACCAGCAACGAGAAGGAATTGATTACGTTGCTCTGCTCGAGAGGTGCATTCTTTGGGGGCCATTATGGCTGGACTGACTGCAGATAAGGTGCGTATGCTCCGCCCGGTAAGGCAAACAGCCCACTGGTCTTATTACTTCCTGGTGTTCAGCATGGACGCAAAGCAGCAATATATTTCGGCTGTGTCCTATTTATCGTTGGAGCCGTACTTCAAGGAGCCGCATACACGACTGTCCAAATGGCTGTGGGTCGGGTTATAGTTGGTTTCGGCGTGGGATCAGCTGCGATGGTGGTCCCGTTGTACATTGCCAAGGTAGCCCCAGCAAAGGCCCGAGGACGTCTTATCGGCTTGAATAACATGTCCATCACCGGTGGTCAGGTTATCTCTTATGCTATTGGGGCTGCCTTTGCTAATGTCAACCACGGCTGGCGCTTTATGGTAGGGCTAGGGGCATTACCGGCAAGAATTCTGGCAGCTCTCATGCCATTCTGCCCTGAATCCCCACGCCACCTGGTATATAATAATCGAAAGGAAGAGACTGAAGCTGTTCTTCGAAGGATCAATGGGCACCCATCCGATAACCAGCTGGCCTCAATTTTAGCCTCAATTTCTGCCGCATGCGATGAAGCTCGGGAGATCAATGAAGGAGCGACACGCTGGACGAAGATCAAGCAGCTCCACTCTGTACCCAGCAATCTTCGTGCACTGATCAGCGCATGTGGCCTAATGGTCATCTCCCAGCTCTCCGGCTTCAATACCCTGATGTATTACTCCTCAACACTGTTCGCTTTAGTAGGTTTTGATAACCCAACGGGCGGTTGGAATCGTCGTCGCCGGAACGAACCTCATTATGAATTGGGTCAACATGATGATTGTTGACAAACTCGGTCGTCGGCGTTTACTCTTATCCACCGTTTGGGGTATGTCCGTTGGTCTGATCGCAGTAGCGGTGGCATTCCAATTTATCCCAGTGGACATAGATACACTGGAGTTGAAGGGAAATGGTGTGTCTCCCCCAGCAATTGTCGTACTGGTTTTTATAATCTGGTTTGCGGTCTTCTATGGTGTGTCGGTTGGCAATACAGCGTGGATGAATACGGATTTCTTCCCATTGGAGGTCCGCGCCATGGGGACAATGTGGCTCACCTGCTCTAACTGTGGAAGTAATGTTATCGTATCGAGTACGTTCCTGTCCATGATGAAGGCAATGATTCCGTCCGAGGCATTTAGGTTCTACGCTGCCATCTGCGAGATCGGATACATTTAGTTGTACCCTTGATAACCGATCGACCTAAATGGACCACTTACGCACCGACTTTAAAAGATGTGATGCAACTTACAGCGGACATTAACCAGCGCGTAACGTCGGCCCTTGGCCCTCGGCGTTGTTTTGGTTCTCGTCTTACGAGCTTCCTACAGGCAGTTCAGCAGCTTGCTGCTCTGGGAGTAGGTCGCTTCTTTCTTCAGAGTGGGATTCTTATAATGACATAATAATCTCTGGATATTTGTACATCATCTACATACTTCGAGAAGTTCACATAATGTCCATGACAGTTGGTCGGTCAGCACCACCGTATCAAGCAATGGGCCTGTTATATCCACAGTCTAAGGAGCTCCAGTCATGCCTCACCGAGTACTTTATAGTTAGATCATGAAAACAGACTTAGCTCAATATTGGTACCACGCTCTCCTCGATAAGGAAACTTCCTATCCCAAGTCCTGCATTGGTTATCCTTTTTATAGCTACGCACAATCACACCGGGCCAATTACAATCCGTCTATACTAGAGAATGACGAAAGTCTGTACAGGTTATTATTGAGGTTATTGAACAAGGCTATGTCACTACATTTACCATTGACCTGGTCTCGCCGCTGGTATTCGCTATCGAGATTGGACATGCAGCCTTAGCAAAGGCCCTCGTAGAATCCGGGAAGCTTGGTCCAAATGCAAGGGACGGGCTCGGACGTGTCCAATTATAGGTTGCTATCAGGAAAGCTCTGCTTTCTACTGGAAAATAACTAGCCAACAAAGTGTACATGAACTTCACAGCACTTATGCAACCTAGCGAGGATTTCACTGGCTGGTTAAATTGGTCCTTGAAACGGAGACAATAAATCCCAGTATCACGAGCTATGGCGGAAGAAACCCACTTTATTTTGCAGTCAATTCTAGTGACCAAAACTTAGTGAAACTGTTTCTTGATTCTAGGAAGGTCGACCCGACATTAGCAAATGATGACAGTAGGACGCCTCTATGGATTGCGACCTTCCAAGTTGGTCAGGATATTGTGGAGATGTTGCTCGACACAGGCAAGGTTGACATTAAATCAACGACGTTATAGACATAGCTACCAGTCTTCGTCATGAAAGTATTACCAGCCTGCTAGCTGTTCATGTTGAAGAGAGAATGGAGGTCTCACCTCATGAACACAGCCGTCTTTAGTAAGGACATAATACGAACAAATTTGATTGTTATAGCCTGGCTATACCCGCCTCTCCAATAGGCTTAGACCAACAACAGTCATTTATTATGCTGAAGACCGTTCTCAAACCCCTGATGAGCTTTGATAGGTATTGGAATCACGAGTCTGCGGTACCCTCCCTTGCCACTGGCATGCGTGAGTCAAGTGTATATGCCATTGGTAAAACCCTCCATAAAAGGAACTCTTCGGTTCATTTATGAATATTGGAGCATTTTCATGATCACTAGCGGCATAATCTCCCCATCCTAGTCTTGAAGTTGATGGAGAATGTACCCTTCCCTGGCTACCTGTTGAAAGATTCACTTTGGCTGTGTCAGCCACCAAGCCAATTGATTGGACTATCGAAAATACATTGGCAGCGCTGAATGAAAACTCATAGGGCACTCAAACTAGCACAATATAACTCATAGTCTCAGCTGGAACTCTTGGCCATGTAGCAATGGTCTGAGTCTATAGTCTCGACTTCATCACAGGACAGAGGAAGCCCAACTAGCAATGAAAAATCATCTACAACCTTTCATATTTAGACCCCGTTGTCTAGTTTTACTACTTGAAGTTGACTGAAGATGCTTACCCTCCGATACATACTTTAGCGGCGGCCATCTCTCACGCTTCTTGGAAGCATTATACCTTTATGTTCCTTTCAAGAACAATTATTATGAATTCATTATGAATGTTTTCCAAAACCTCACTATTAACCGCTAATTGGCTCACCAGCCTGCCATTTGAACCCTGAAGTACTAGATTCGCGAAGTTTGATGCGATATGACCCCACAACGTCAGTTTAACTCCACGATGAGGGTGAGGAGTAGTAAGGAAGATAACCAATCGCCTGCTGCCGGTGTATTCGTCGGGTCTTTGCAAGGCCTGTTGTTCTTTTGGTACGTATAACACAAAACCGCTATTACGGGGCTACAAACGTGTGTGACAACAATGTCACGCATGTTATGCGCAACAAAGATGAACGGTGCCTGGAACCTACTAAGCCGAGCTTTTCTTTTACACAACCAACCGCGGGATTTCTGAAGGCTCATCTAGTTTTCAATCTCCCTCCTTATTCTGGCCGACAAGTCTCGGCCATGTTGTCAAGTACCGGTTTATTCCACTGCGGAAAAATGTCCCGAACATGTTAGCCAATCCCGTGATATCAAACCTAGCATCGCCCTAGCGGTGATCCAACAAGAGTAACTCCATATCTACTGTCACCTTCCATTAATTGCATCACTAGATACGATATTTATGGCATCACGGGAGCGTAGCAGTCGCATGGGCCATTCTCCAACATATAATAGTACGATACCAACTACACCTCCAATAGAAGGTAGCTGGATGGATTCTGTGCCGATAACGATATGGCACGAGGCTATGCTGAAGCCGCTCGACGTAATTTCTATCAATCGCGCCTTTAGCATTGGTGGAGTGACTTACCGCTCTTTTAATCGTTCCCTGGGCTGTTTATTTTAACAGAGTCATTTCAGGTTCATTCGGTGTTGTCCGAATCGGTAAAACATCATGAGTGAAGTCGGGAAGGTAACACAGGGTCAGGTCTATAATTACCCCAAAGAAGGTCACTACAGAGCAGCAGGAAAAGGATCGAAGGAGCATCAAGTGCTGTATGGACTAGTGAGACATAAGACAGTAACGACATCGATCCAAATGACAAAGCGGCTATCCGCACATTGCTGGATATATGTTCTACTCTACAAACAACTTACCAAGTGTGAAGGATAAGCAAAAGAGCTCTGCATGCCTTGACTCCCAGAATGCATTATTAAATGTGACAAGAATACTCAACAGCGGCTAGCGTGATGCGAGACCAGGTGATATATATTCACGATGGATACATGGAAGTGCAAAGAACCATCGTCAGGCTGAATCAACGATGGTACTCAATAAAGACAAATCTCGTTGTAGATAAGCTCAGGACATTCTAATGGCAGCAAATGTTTCACACTCGCACAGGTCTTTAACGAACTCACAACTCCATTTTCTGCGAGAAACCGACGGACTTCAGTATCCACCCGGTCTTGGGGCTCGACGACGTCCAATTCCCCGGCCAGAATGCTAGCCCGAACGCCAGCGTTCCTGATAGAGGCGAGCGCATTCCGCACGCCACCAGAGACGTCTTCCGACATGCCATAAGTAGGCCAGGCTCTTTTCGCGAGCTGGTTTCCACTCAAGCTGTCGTGAATCACCAACTCGATGTCCGCCTCACTCAGCCTCTCTGGGTTAGAAAGCACGTTCTCAACCGTCCACCGCACAGACTCCTTCGTCTCGTATGCAACTTTTTGTTGCTCCTTCATTTCTGGAGGAAGGCTGAGAGCCGTTGGTGGCGCTGGGGCTACCAGCACCAGGCCCTTTAGTTCTTGCAGCAGATGCGTGGGGAGCGCAGATAGTGTCGTGAGGGCTACCTTTGCTCCCATTGAATGACCGACGAATATGAGTCCGTGCTGGAGGAGGTCATTCGTTCCGTCGTCTGCTTTCAGCTTCTCTAAAGTAAGCGCCACGTCTGACGCCAAGGCCGAGATCGAATAGGAATTTCCACTCTCCTGACACGGACCAGTTGACTTGCCCCAGCCCCGGAGGTCAACAGCAAGAATCGGATATATTGAGCTCAGTGAGGTGGGTGAATCAGGCGATGTGAGCTTGTGCCATGTCGAAGAGGAACCACCCCAGTAGTGGAGGAAAATCAGAAGTGGTTTCTGGCTGCCGGCAGCAGGTCGAGAGATACGCGCATGAAGGGTTATATCAGAAGTGAGGTTCAGGAAAATAGAATCCATCGTGTGGCTTGTTAGATTTGTGTCTGGCGTTTCTGATACCTTTTTCTGGTGTGTGCCCGATAATAGCTATTTGGACAGTTCTTCAATCCAGATATACTTGCCATATCCGCAATGGAAGTCAGTTCGAACTGATTCCTCATGACTCTTATGCTGACAAAAATGACTGTTGGGACAAGATTCCAAATCATATCCCCAACCGTCTTTTAAGTATAACTATGTCAGCGAGTGCGGAATGTTACCGCTGGGGGCGTAAGCAGACCAGCCACACTAATCTAACGATGATGAGATTTGATTAGGCTTAGGTAATGTTTTAGTACCAGTGAAATGTCTGCGCTTATTGGTGGCTAGAACATTTATAGTGGATCTTAATATGTCCTAACAAAGATCGAGTTTGGTGAGACTATAGAAAAATTGACACATCAGGAAAGTAGAACATTCAACTGTAGGGAACTACTATTCGACCATGTCCATAAATGTACTGAAAGAGTTCATTGCGTTCCATGGGCTGCGGACGAAGCTTACCCAGCATAGGTGCTATGTTGTGCCGTCGTTGATGTTGATCATACATAAAAAAGTTAAAATACTTTGCTCAGGGTCAATCGCCACCTGTCATTCCTCATGAGACATCAGCACCCTCCAGCAGCCTACACATTGACCGCTTCAATTCAAGCTCAGGTGTTCGGAGGATTGAAAAGTGCCGGGAATGGGAGGTAATAGCAGGGATAAAGACAAGCCGAGAGCGATTGAGCGTGCGACATGGATCAATTGGAGTGTGGCCTTGACGAAGGGATCAAATGCCTCTTAATGACATCCAATGCCCTAAAAAGTAGGATTACAGTTATGATATCGCGGGGTGTGGAAGTCATGGTTGTAGGATAGAACCACGCCACGAGTCAAGTTGTTGTATCCTAGTATGTTATGCGTATTTGGGATCGCACTTACTGTCCACACGATTAGTGCCCGCCTCTGCCATCTGGGACCATACTATGGAAGTAGTACGTATCCGTGGACTGAAGGGAACACCTACACCAAGTTTTAATGGCTTTGTCCGATACGGGTGCAGGGCATATGTGCTACGATTGCTCGACGCCAAGCAGGTATTCAGAATAGAAGTCCGGAGTGACGCGGAAACAGCACTACTCACCTCGCAAGTGTAATTCAATGTATGACAAACCTCTTTCTTTTGGACCCGTTCGTCACGGCTAGCAGTTCAAATGGTGAGTTGCTGTCAGTCAAATTTGAAACTCCCGTAGCCTTGATCCACTCCCAAAGCCCTCCCAACGGCTTACGATCTTTTGCCGCCTGTATGATTCACTAATATTCAACATTAGATTTACCCAATGTAAAATCAAATGGATAGGGCTAGGTACACTGCAGAGACATATATTATATGGATGTGGTGAGCAACCCCTGGAAACTGACAATCTCCGGAGACGTCCCTTTTTTTCGCCATGGACCGAGTTTTATTGCATATTACGGCTACTCTATATGTGAGTAAATATATGTGGCTCACCTTTAGCGGTGCACATCGCTCTAATGCCATTGTTGCACAGTTACGCTTCTATAAAAAATACTCCGAATTATTGATCCGTAGTTAGGATAGCTCTCCCTGGAACTTAGGCAAAAAGCTACCCGCATATAGCAATACACGTAAGCGTTAAAAAAGATAGTAGCAATTAGCTCTAGCGTTAGAGTGGTTGCGAAAAGACTGCCCTTTCAACGACGGACACTCAATAACCTAGAGGCGAAACTTCATGATTAAGTTCCACGCGTTATGGTTTTGAAAGATGAAAAAACATGAGACTTCCAAGGTTGGCAATAAGACAATGGTGTGATCTCTTATCAGCGTGTTTCTGTTGACAGAATATGATACTGATTAAAGGACCTCGGAGATTAAAGAATATACAGTCTTGGGAATTCATAGTTCTGGTGGTGGGAGTATGCAGCAAATACACGATGAGTCCAGTTTGCAGTAACGGATATGGCTACAGCTCCAGACCCAAGCCTCGCTGTTGATTGATAGTCCTACGCCAGTCTTGTGGACCTATACTCCACGGTGCCGCTACTAAATACAGAGTTAGGCCATTCAGCTCCCTCTTCAGTTTGCCTAGATTACAACGACTGGAAAGGCTAGTTCGGTCTACGGGTACCGCGGGAGCCCGCATAGTGAAGTCCGTACTGATAGTATGATGCAGATTGGCGGAGCTATATGAAAGAAGCAGCATTATGAACAAGGTTAAATGCCAGAGCACTAAAGATTCGAGGGGTATATTGGAGTGGGTTTTAGGCTCTACGGTCTGATAGCGCGAAGTACACGATTAGTCAATTAGGGAAGTAGAACTACGAGGTGAAAAACTACTCATCATCGTCTTGGCTTGAGCTACCTTGTTGCGATATTTATTCATCAGGTATGGTCGCTGAACAGGTAATGTGTAACAGAGAATATGCCACTTCTAATTAGCGCTGTACAAGGCCACTATGCTAAGGATCGTACTATACTGTCACTATGCCCTCACCGTAATGGAAGCAAGTTGATCACAAAAGTAGGTGAGATAATATTGAAGAAGGAAGAAAAGAACGTGGGCGATGGCCATCTTTTATAGAAGCAGAGCAGTGTATTCTTGTTCGGGCCTTCTTCGCCTTATCCTCCAAAATCAAATATTAGACTTTTATTCCTGAAAGGTTCCTCAAAGATTTTCATGAGCCCTACAGATTTCCTTCGGCTGGTTCATGCCTGTCTCATCTAGAGGTCACACTCACTCCCACACTGTCCTGTTTAGCTTGCATATACATCACAAATACATGGGCACTCTTGTATAATGTTGGAATCAGAAAGCGACAGCAGTGAGAATTGTCTATTCCCATGCATATTTCCCACTCTTCGTGATTATGAAAGCGTTAACAAAGATATCCATCATGTGGACTTGAAACAAACCACGAGTTCTGGCTCACTCAACACGTGGCATGATATATCGAACATCTCTCAGCTTACCCTAGCTGCATGGTCCATTCTGCTTGCGGAGTACACGGACTCTACTAATGTTAGCTATGGGGTTCTCCCATCTGAAGATGGTCATGCTTCTATGCAGCAGTGGGGAGCGATGATAGACCCCCAGTTGCCCATTTCACAGGCCGTCACTCTCTACCGCACCCGGAGATGGCCACTGGAGGATTGCGCTTGGTTTGGGATATTTAACACATCGGTCATACTGAGCCAGGATGGTGTGGACGAAGTGTCCCTGTTTAGGCCAGGGCTGGACATTGCAAAGGTGACATCTATCATATCATTTGCCAGCATCTAAGTTGACGTTTTGCATAACCTTCAGTTCGGAGACATCATTCTCCTCGTGGAATGTCTTACAACTACGCCACAAACTTCGTTTCACTACTCTACTTCGATTCTTGACGATGATCAAGCTCTAAATATAGTTACAACTTTTCAGAGAATCATCCATTGTTTAATCCAGAACCCTAATCGTCCACTCATGGAGTCAAGTCTTCTGAGTAAACACCACCACCAGCAGATATACAAGTGGAATAGCCTTGCTCCTACTGGTCCCCTAGATACCTCCATACAGACGGTCTTTCACTTGCAATGCATGTTGCAGCCGGACGCCCAGGCAATTTGTGCTTGGGACGGAACTCTCACTTACCGGGAATTACATAAGGTATCTTCGGATGTACAATCACTGCTAAGGAAATATAATCTAAATCCGGATTCTGTGGTGCCGATACTGTCCCAGAAGTCTATATGGGTGGTTGTCTCAATGCTCGGAGTACTCAAGGCAGGGGCGGCCTTCGTCCTGCTGGATCCGTCTTACCCAACCAAACGGCTGCAGGATATATGTCAGGACTGCGGCGCAAAAGTTATAATTTGCTCCGACGAAACACGTGCCACGGGCCTGGCTGAAAGGATATTGGTGGTGGGTGCTTCGAATGTACTAAAAGCAACGACTCGTGCAGTCGAGCCCGCGAAGACAACTTCTCATCATGCAGCTTATGTGGTTTACACATCTGGTTCTACAGGCATACCCAAGGGAATCGTCATTGAGCATGGTTCATTCTGCACCAATGCCATTACAACTAGTCAAGCCCAAAATCTTGATCGGTCGTCTCGAGTTTTACAGTTTGCATCATACGCCTTTGATGTTAGTGTTTATGAATGCCTTGCACCACTGCTCCTTGGCGGATGTGTTTGTATTCCATCCGAATCACAACGCATGAACAGTTTGAAAGAGGCTGTCGCGAACTTAAGGGTCAATTGGGCCGAGCTCACACCATCCGTGGCTAGACTCTGGTACCCGGAGGATGTCCCCACAATAAAAACGCTCGTACTCGGCGGAGAACCTATGTTGCCATCTGATATTTGTCGATGGAAGGACAATGTTCGACTGGTATGCGCATACGGACCGGCAGAGTGCACTGTTGTGTCTACAGTTCAACCTCACGTTCACAAACCTGCAGATATCGGGATGTCGCCGGGTGGTACCTGTTGGATTGCAGCAAAGGATAACCATCATAAGCTCGCGCCAATCGGCTCCATAGGGGAGTTAATAGTGGGTGGCCCTATTGTAGGACGAGGATACTTGAACCGACCTTCCCTGACAGCAAGCGTCTTCATCACAAATCCACGCTGGGCGCCATTGTTCCAAGTAAACGACACCTATCGGTTCTACAAGACCGGTGATCTCGTTAGATACATGTCAGATGGCTCAATCACCTACGTCGCGCGGAAGGACACTCAAGTCAAGTTGAATGGGCAGAGAGTTGAACTCGGTGAGGTTGAACATCAGGCGCGCCAATGCTTTGAGCATGCTGTCGTTGTCGCCGAGGTTGCTGCACCTGCAGGGCGAAAGCCTAGTTTAGTATTGTTCATTGCCCCTACACAAAGCTCCTCAATGGATACAGATTGTACTACGCTTCTGTCCTCGCCGAGCGGTGGATTCCAGTGCAGAGTTCAGGCAGCAAAACCTCGTCTCCAAAGTGTCCTTCCCAGCCACATGATACCAACAGCATACATTGAGCTCATTGCTATACCGATTTCGCGGACAGGCAAAGTAGATCGGAAAATGCTACGGGAGGCAGTCGAAAGAATAACCGATCAGGAGTTCAGAGCTTACCATCCCGCAGTTCACAACAATATGACCAACTCGATAAATCCATTGACTGTGGAGCAGCTGCAGCGCCTCTTTTCAGCAACACTTGGGATCCCAGAAGAGGATATTGCACCCAATGACAGTTTCTTCCAGCTAGGGGGTGATTCTGTCAGTGCCATTAGCTTCGTCGGGGAAGCTCAAGATCAGGGCCTGGAGGTGACAGTGGAATTATTGCTCAAACATCAGACTATTCGGGAACTGGCTCATGTTGCTCACCGTACTTCGAACAGTGGCAATTCGTCAATACCTGCCTTGTCTCTGCTCGGTTCTCTAGACAAATTTCTACTTATCAATACTGTAACGGAGCAATGTTCCGTATGTCCAGATCAGATCGAGGATATTTACCCATGCACTTTCTTACAGGAAGCCTTGGTCGCATATACAGCAAAAAGGCCTGCAGCGTTCCAAGCCCAATTTCGCTTCCAACTTCAAGGGAAAATAGATCTGCGTCGCTTCAAACAGGCATGGGCTACAGTGATTGATGCGAACCCTATCTTGCGAACGAGGATTATCTACTTTAACACGGAAGCCCTGCAAGTAGTACTGCGCCCCAAAGACCACGTGCAGTGGGATACTACAGAAGACTCTTTTGATCATATTGAGCTTTTCATGTCTTATGGGACACCGCTTCTTCGCCTAGCCATTACCGGTAAACCGGATGGCGAATCGCCTCTCTATTTTAGACTTTCGATGCACCATGCTATATTCGATGGATGGTCATACGCTCTGATCCTTGATGCTATTGAAGCTGCATATAGACACACTCATCTGCCTTTACAGTCTTTCACGCCGTTTATCAAGCATGTGCTAGACTTAGATTATGATTCTGCCAAAGAGTTTTGGTGTTCAGAGTTCAAGGAACTGTCAATAACAACGTTTCCCGCTCTGCCCTTATCACCCAGATATGCACCAAAGTCGATAACAACGATACATCGCGATATAGACGTAGCAGAGTGGCTCGCGGGCCGTCACACACCATCGATTATTGCTCAGCTCGCTTTTTCTATGCTTATTGCCTGGTACACTGAGTCACTCGATGTCGTGTATGGTCTTACCGTTACGGGCCGCAATGCTCCAGTGCCCGGAATACATAGACTGACTGGCCCAACAATCGCCACTTTCCCCCTCCGCACAATACTTCATGGGAGCCTTAGAGTGAGGGAAGCCCTACTCAGCGTGCAAGATCACATGTCCAGGATCATCCCCTTTGAACAGACGGGACTCCAGCGGATAAAATCATTTAGCGTTGAGGCGGCTACTGCCTGTAACTTCCAGACCTTGTTAATTATACAGCCTGCCAGAAAGTCAAGGCCATCTGAGATATTCTCAGAGTTCCCAGAGAATGCCAAAGAACAGCTGAAATTTGCTACATGTCCGCTAACTTTGGTATGCGAGCTTGGGGCTCACGGTCTATCGGCGAAAGCCCTGTTCGACACCACAGTGATTACCCCTAATGATATAGAAAGAATACTTGATCAATTAGAGTACTTAATTGGCAAGATAAACCATTTTCCAGAGTGCAGGATTTACAGCATTATCCACTCTCCATCAAACGAGCCCATCGATCCAGGTCAGGAACAACCATGGAGTTCATACGTCGAGAAGAAGGCAAAAGACTATATCGGAGAGGGATTCGTTACCATTGTGGATACTATAGCGCCAAAGGGGGTTCCCAACCAGACCATTGCTCTTTTCATCTGTGATAATACGATGAAGAACAAGTCTACGGAGCTGTCTGACCTATTCAGTCGGCCTACTGAAAAGCTTAGAAAGCGGCTCGAGGAATTAATGTGCATCCTGCGCCAATCTCTGCCTTGGTCAGTAGTTCCGTCACTCTGTCTTCCAATTAATTACATACCATCAACTCCATACGGGCAGCCAAATAGGGCCTCTCTATGCGAGCAGGCGTCACTCATGGGCCTCGGCGCTTTACGTTCCTTGATGGACCCTGTGCACAGGTCCACCGACTACCAAATACTTCCTGAGGAGGCTCGCCTCCGAGGGATTGTTGCACATGTTTTGGGTATAGATGCACAGAGTGTCAACCTTAAAGACGACTTCTTTACTCTGGGTGGTGATTCAATATCTGCAATGCAGGTTGTCTCGCTCTGTAGAAAGCATCACCTCTCATTGACGGCACTAGATATATTTGACGGGAAAACAATCGAACTCATAGCATCCAGTGTCAAGCCACTTACGGTGTTAACGCCTCCATCAACCCCCAGAACTGAACGCAGTCTTGATATGCGATTTTCCCTTCTTCCTCTAACTTCTGATCAGGATATGGAGGAACTTGAGTCTGTGATTATGGCTACATTCGGCATTGAAACCCTTGATAAAATCGAGGATGCATATCCCTGCACCCAAGTCCACCAAGGACTCCTGAAAACTCAGCTGCTAGAGCCCTTTGATTATCAGTCATACACCATATGGGAAGTCACCACAGGGAGCAACGTCTCTCCAGCGTGTCCGATCCGACTTCGTGATGCTTGGCTCAGCCTTGTGCGCCGTCACGCTGCGTTAAGGACATTTCTCATCGATATCACACTAGGTGACAACACCAATTGTAAGGTTCACGTTGTACAGAAGGACTCTGTAACAGATGTCTCGATACTATCTGCAGCAGAGGAGGCCGTGCTACCTGCGCTGCGGCGGTCATTTCTCCGAATCGACAGTAGCATATGTCTACCACAAGCATTCACCATCTGCCAAACAATTTCCGGTCGTGTGTTCTGCAAACTCGAAGGGAGCCATGCTTTCCTCGATGCCGCATCCGTTTTAATCATCTTACGAGATCTCTCTCTCGCATACGATGGACTGCTACACCGTATCCCTGGCCAATTATACAGCTCAGCAGTTTCTTGGCTTCAAAAACAACCAGATGCGGAAGACCAGATGAGGTACTGGAAAAGACAATTAGAAGATGCCAGTCCGTGCATATTTCCAGGACTTAGACGCCAGGTTGCACATAGCGAAACTCTCGTGGTCAATGTGCCGCTCGCTGACACCGCCACATTGATGCCATTCTGCACTATCCACGGTCTCACCATAAGCAACGTTTTGCAAGTAGCCTGGGGACTAACATTGCGGTGGTATACTGCATCCGACAACGTGTGCTTTGGCACCCTTATATCTGGGAGAGATTCTCCAATTCCTGACATTGACAACATAGTAGGCTCCTTCTTCAATGTTCTAGTATGCCAACTTCACTTCGGTAGGGAGGACTCACTACTGGATATTTTACGGAGGAACCAGGTGGAAACCGGCAATCGGCTGTTGAACCAGCACTGCTCTCTGCTTGAGATACTCCGTTTCTCAAAATATTTCGGTCAACCCTTGTTTAATACATGCATCTCTGTGGAGCAGCCGTTGTCGATAGATAGCTCAGAGGCCAGTCTCTGTTTTAAAGATGTGGAGACGCACGAGCCCACAGAAGTAAGTTGCCAGTATTTCTACTGCCCTTTGATGCAATGGAGCTCAAATATTAACCCTGGATAGTATGATCTTATCGCTACAATTACAATCGGAAAAGCGGATGTTAGGCTGGCGCTCACCTATAAATCCTCCTTGTTAACCGAGGAGCAAGCTTCCGATGTAGCGACTAGGTTTAGGCTCTCTATCTCTGATATTTTAACACTTTGTGATGCTTGAGGGAGTGAAATACTTACAAAATTGATTGTTGACGACAGGCCTAATCTAGTTCAACTCAAAGTTCAGCACGTTGGTTTACAGCAGTGTATGTAAGGCTTATAGAAAAGTTGTGAAGCTATTGTACGAGCCAAGCCCTACCTAAATGAGTAAATTGATATATATATCAAAGCCTAATGGCGTAGTCACGCGGGTTTGTGAGCGCTACGTGGCATCAGCCGGAAACCAAAAACAAAAGAGCCCATTGTAGCGTTAAACACATCTATTGAGCAGGATGATCAGAGACAACACTCGCTAGAATCAGATCAGGATATACCAACAGTGTTATCACAGCCGGAAGCGTTTACAGGGTGAGAACTATTATTGGGCTTACAAAGAAAAGGAGATGAAGACAATCTTTGGGTATATTTACTAAATAAATCGCTTTTAAAATTCCGTACAACCGGTTACATATACCTTGATGTTAAACAAAGAGTAGGTACTCAAATATAGCCAGTGAACCTTGACCGAGCCTGCCGAAAAATGGCTTGAACTCGCTCAGCTCGAATGACATGTCCCATCTGAATATACCGACACTCAAACAACCATGAGAAGACCATAAGACGATGAAGAAATGGTCACCTGAGCTGCAGCTCGCCCCCCTCAACCACAAGGCGCAGAACCTCCTTGTTGAGACCCGGCCAATGTTTTCTACCACGGAGGAACCAATAGGTGAAGGCGAACAGCGTCGACGCAGCGAAGATGGGTAAAGCATAGTTCATATTCTCGCCAGTCACAGGTCGATATGAAGGGAAGGTCAGCCAGACGGTGACGTAGGCCGTATAAATCAGAGCGAATATATTGACGGGGAGCCCCCATCTGCCCATGGTCCAGTTTCCCATTGGGACCGGGTCCTTGCGAAAACGGTTGTGGACCATGCAGCTGATGGCGATGAAGTAGGATACGAAGAGTCCGATAGAGGAGAGAGCGGTGAAAGCGTTGAAGGCGGCTGTGCTTGGTATGTTGAGACAGGAGAGGACCATAACGATGAATATTGGGAGCCATACAGCGCGGATGGGTACATTGTGTCTTCGATCAATCTGTATAATTGGAGGTCAGCTACGTATGCTGGAGGTTCGGGATCCGTGCTGGGGGGCAGTTGCTTACATGTGAGAACCATTTGGGTAGTGCGCCGTCGCGAGCCCATGCCCATGTGAGGCGGGAGGTTGATGCTATGCTGGCTAGGGTTACGGACAACCCTACAATCAGAAGCCCGCACACCATAGCGGTGGCTGCTTTAGTCGAACCAGTGGCATGTTGACAAATTGCGATTATAGGGAAACCGGCATTGAGCGCATCCTCGATCGAGCCCATTGTGAATAGCATGCATATCACAATGGCATATGCCAGCACGGCGTTGGTGGCAACGGACCAGAACATCGACCGTGGCACTGCCTCTCTGGCGCGACGGACCTCTTCACTCATGTGGACCGCGCCGTCAAATCCTACGTAGATTAGTGGATGCCGTATTTAGAGACCATCAGGGTGGAACTATACTCACCTACAAACCCCCAGCTGGGGGTTAGGAGTCCAATGTTCCACGAAACGAAAGTGTTGTTCCAGCCGGACTCAGATTGGGTGGTTAAAAACACGTAGTCGGCCGTATGACGAGGGGCTAATGCAACGAAAACCACTAGAAAAATAATGAACAGCAATATGTGGAGAATACCAGCCAAAAGCTCGATCCATGGGATCAGCCAGAAGGTGTACATATTCATTAACCCCTGGACAATGAGAATTGCAAATATGATTAGCGTCAAGTGCCACCTTTCTGCAACGTAATCAGGGTAGTTTGCGATTGCCAGCCCTTGAATCGTATTTGCGGTGGTATTGGCCACACCTAAGAGGAGCGACACCCAAGCAAACCAAGTGACCCATCCTATACGACACTAGATGTTAGCATTTACTCCTATATCGCCCGATCGCCGAGATGGTAAGTACCCTGCATCCAGGTGATGAACCTCTTTTGAGCAGCGGGTGCCAGATAATGCGTCCAATGATATTGTGCCCCGGCAATGGGCTGCATTGATGCCAACTCGGCCAATGATGCACACTGTGCCAAAGCTCCAAATATAACGATCACAATGCCCCAAGCAAAGGCTTCAGGGCCCCCATTTGTGAGTACTGCAGTAATATTTCTAGCGTCAGCGTATTAGTATTGGTAGAGGATGTAGGGGGCGAGTCAGGCGCATACATCGCCTGAACTTCCCAGCTCGACATAAACGTGAGCGAGAAGAAGAACATTTGCGTGAAGTTGAAAAGACGCTGGTAAGATTTCCCGTCAATTGACATAGCTCGGTGGTTGGCATATATTGGAGAATCGCACCTTTATTTGAGTCGGACTAGCGGCAACATGATGGCTGTGATGATTAGTATCCGACGCCGTAGAACTTATCTCTCTACCTGCAGGGGTCTCGGTACTCGTCTCGGCGACCGTCTTCGGTTCATGTTGCTCCATACTACAATTGGGGCTGGCCAACTAGTTCGGTTATTTCGAGGAGAGGAATAACGTAACGCGTAAATTCCAGGAAAGAGGAAGCAGGGAGTAAGAGAAACTACGAAGAGAGAGAGAGAAGAGAAAATTGCTGAGGGGAAGAGGTGCAACATTCATTAAGGGCGTTATCTGTCTGACTAAAGCCCTAACTAACCCCCTGCACCAACCACTCAACATCCTTGTATAGTCGTACCTCAACACCACCCATTAGTGCTGCAACCCTACCAGGATAATCCAAGAGCCAAGAAACGTCTCCGTCGGTACATCCCGACTGTTCCCTGTCGTATTTTAAGGGGTAAAAGGAAGGGCTGAGTCTGGAGGTATGTTGCATAGATAGTTGCTGCTGCACTCCCCCTCCTTGGGATCTCCACATATCCACACTTTGTGAAGAGCCTCAAACAGCGAATTGTGATGCGCACGGATGGTGCGGAGGTTTTGCCACCGCTTCTTTCTATCACACAAGATAATCATGGAGCGATAGTGATCACAGCCAGTAGCATACTACTCATCGTCGCGGCATTAGCGACTATCGTGACGCTGATCTCGCGGGTACGCATTCTTGGTGCCCTTACCTGGGGTGATACATTCCTTGTTGCGGCAATGGTAAATTGGCCAATTATTTCAACCCCCCTATTCAATAGCTATTGACGAATCCCAACAAGATTATGTTCATTCCTCAAACCACGTGTATCATCGTTGCCGGCTCAGACGGCATTGGTAAACACAGAGACTCTCTAAGTGACACAGCATTTAAATCGTACAGCCAAGTAAGCCTTTCATGCTTTCACGAGCCACAACTAATAAACTAACCTAGTTGCAGCTTCTTTATGCCAGCCAAATACTCTCAGCTCCGGTGCTGGGATGCTCCAAAGCCGCCGTTGCACTTCTTCTGATATCCATAAAACCATTTAACATAGTGCTGCAGGCCTGTAGAATCCTACTCGGGCTTATTGGAGCCTGGACAGTCGTTGCTGTGGTCGCTCTAGCGCTACAATGCACTCAGCCGCAGGCGTGGAATTTCAGCTCCGGCAGGTGTCTCAACCAGCAAGCTCTATACTCGAGTCTGGCCGCGTGTCACATAATCCTAGACGCAGCTCTCATCATATTGCCCATTGTCCTGGTGTGGAAAGTTCAAATGCCCGAATGGAAGCGTTTCCAGATTTGCGCTCTCTTTGGACTGCGTATCCTGTGAGAAACCCTCGCTCCTCTTTGCAGATTGATCTAAAGCTTTGGCTAATACCCAACTAAATCATAGTGTCCCAGCTTTGACTGTTCCTTACATTGCGTCACTCGATCCCTTTTTCCACTCTAAGCCGAAAGACCAGCCATGGCATGCTCTCATGCCTACCATATGGCTGCAACTGATGCAGAGCACGTCCATTATCTGCACGTGCATCCCGAGTCTCAAGCGAGCTCTTGCAGAGCTACAAACGGGAATGATGGCAGGCACCATCCCGGAGTTTCTTGAACTTTCTCTTTCTGGGAGGCATGATAACACGACCGATGCATCCACGTCGAAGCCGGGGAATCGAAGCTTACATCCAATTGGCGGATCCGAACTTTACTCGGATAAAGATACCAAGAGGAGGTTGAAAGAACAACGACATCACGGGTTCAGAAATACAACGGTAGAACCACAGGAGAGCATGTTAAATCTGAGGAACGGTGCTATAATCCAAACCATGGAGTACGAGGTTCAATATGAGTGGTCGAGTGAGCATAGTAGGGCTTCTTCTACCCTCCCAGGGCATGTCAACGTACCATGGCGATGGCTTGCCAGCCCAACAGACTAGTAGGTCTGCATTCTAATGAAGGCCACAACTTCATAGAACATTATTCGATTAATTTGGTCTCATCAACATTTGCAAACCTTCGGTCCAAGATATGCCTAGAGCGAACAGCATGAGAAAGTAGTCAATGCGGGTCGCTGTGACACCGCCAGCCGACATAAGCTATGCATATCGTGAATAAGCACTACGGGTGGACGGCTTTGTGTGGAGACATACATCTTTTAAGGCCAATCATGGCTAAAGCTAATTATATCCAAAGAGATTATAGGAAGCAAAAGAATTGCTATTTAACCCTTGCTTACCCCGAAGCTGATGTTAGATGTCAATTTCTTTTTGTTTTCTCTCCTTTGGCCCGACGCACAATCCCAAATTCTACTATCATGGCAAACAGTTCATCCTCTCCAGAAAAGCGTGCAGACAACAATGTCCCTGGCGGTCTCATCCCTTTGGTCCCTGATCCGAATTTGGTGACCTGGGAGGGGCCAGATGATCCCCAAAACCCTAAGAACTGGCCTGCGACCCGCAAATGGATGACATTTGTCCCAATGTCGTTCTATAATCTACTGAGCTCCATGTCCTCTGCCACGGTCGCTCCAGCATTAAGTGCTATCAGTGAAGATCTTGGCTTCCCTTCAAAAACGCTACTTATCCTGAGTTTATCGATCTTCTATCTCGGGAGTGCAATCGTGCCACTATTCACAGCGCCAATCTCGGAAATGGCTGGAAGAGTACCAGTTCTGCTGGCGATGAACGTGATCTATATCGTGTTCAACACTGCATGCGGTGCTGCCAAATCGCCAACGCAATTGATTATCTTCCGCTTCCTTGCCGGCTTAGGTGCCGCAGGCCCTTATGGTGTGAGTAGCCTCCATGTCCAGTCAGACTTACTATTGATATCCACCACTCATCACATAGAAACATAGATTGGCAGCGGAATGAACAGCGACCTCTTCCAGGCCCATGAACGAGGCAAAGCAATCGCAGTATTTACCCTAGCCCCTCTAGTCGGAACAGCCGTCGGCCCCATCACCGGCGGCTTCCTCGTCCAATACGTTTCATGGCGGTGGTGCTTCTACGTCATATCTATCGCCATCGCAGCCGTCCAAGTTGCCGGTCTCCTCCTCCTTCGCGAGACATACGGCCCCGTCCTCCTCAAACGTAAAGCCGCCCGACTCCGCAAGACCACAGGAAACCAGAACCTCCACACCGAGCACGATCGCGCCTCCACCCTCCTCATGAAGAACCTCATCCGCCCCTTCCGTCTCCTCATCACCCAACCCATCGTCCAAGTCCTCAGTCTCTATCTCGCCTATCTCAACGGAATTCTCTATCTAATGGTCGCCACCTTCCCCGACGTCTGGACAGGCATATACCACGAATCTATCTCTATCGGCTCCCTGAACTACCTCTCAATGACAGTCGGACTGGCAATCGCAACGCAACTCGGTGTCCGCTACGCCGACAAAGTCTACCAGCGCCTCCGGGCCGAAAATAACGGGCACGCAAAACCGGAATTCCGGCTCCCGACGCTCTGCGTCGTCGCGCTCGTCGTCCCAGTCGGTCTCTTCTGGTACGGTTGGAGTGCAAGAATAAACATTCACTGGATTATGCCGTGCGTTTCTTCTCCATCCTGACATATCCCTACCCCCTCCCAGTGTGGCCACTCTGATTAACATGCCCACCCACCCAGAAATATCGGCGCAGCAATCTACTCCGGCGCCACCGTCGTGCAACTCGTTTGTGTACAGGGCTACCTAATCGACACGTATCAACTATACGCTGCCAGCGCAATGGCCAGCGTCATGGTCTTGAGGAATTTGCTAGGTTTTGCGCTTCCACTGGTCGCGCCGAGCTTGTATGTTACTTTCTTTTGCTCCTTGGCCCGGTGTGTGTTAGGTACGGCTTGACTGACTACGTACAGGTATGGGAATTTGGGCTTTGCGTGGGGAAATACGCTTCTTGCATGTGTGGCTGTTGTTATTGGGATTCCGGCGCCAGTGTTGCTTTGGTATTATGGGGAGGCTTTGAGGGGGTTGAGTACTTATGCTAGGAGTTAGAGGGTTACTTTGGTGGGATGCCGGCTGGTTAGGTGGAATAGATGGTGGGACTGTGCGGACGATGCATTGTGGTATAGAACAGGGATATTGCTTGCGGGCTGCCATTCTAAGGTCAATCTCCGTGATATTCATGGAGATATAGTTTACATAGTGGCATAATAACGGAATTGCAAAGGCTCAATCAAGAAACTATCTTAAGTAATGACAGGCTACATCACATCAGCAGCAACATCAAGAGCCACAGTTCAACCCCAATCGCTATCCCGCAAGCCTAAGCCCATCACCTATCGCCCGAGTAGCGTACCCATCTTCACCAAGTCTCACAACCCACACATCATGTCCCACACAACGAACCAACTAACCCTTAGGAAACAGTAATCGACGAAGACCCACTACTCTGATATCCCTCCGTCGCCACAATCTGATAATTATGCTTCCCCAGTGTCAATCCATATTGCTTCCATGCATTAAAATGGTTCCCCGTAGTAACGGTCCCACCGACTCGCTTCGAGGTCCTCACAGACCAAAACTGCGTGAACGTCGCCGTCCCAATAATAGAGGGCGCATTGTACCGGACAGAGGTGTAAATATTATATGTTCCTCCGTCGGAGGTCACTTGGCCCTTGTAGGTGGCGCCGCTGCCGGGGTTGTACGTACCATAGGACTCGACGATGTAGTATTCGATCAGGGGGTCCGTAGTCCAGCCGTAGACGGCGAGGTAGCCGTTTCCGCTGGGGTTGAAGCTGCCGGAGTAGGTTATCGCTCTGATTGAGGTATTATTAGTCTGAGCTCAGATCGGGATAGAGAAAAGGAACTAGAAGCTGTCAATGAGGAAGTGAGATCACATACCGAGAGCTTCCAGGGTTCCATCCCTTGCCGCCAACGAAGTTGCCGACGTTCGACCATCGCACGCTGTAGGAGCCGCCGTTACCGTTTGTGTAGGTTACGTCGCCACCGCCATCGGTCCAGAAGGAGTAGTAGTAGCCGTTGTTGTAGCCCGTGCCGCTGGGGGTGGAGCGGCCGACCAGCTCGTGGAGGGAGGTTTCGTTGAACTCGCCCGGCCGTTCTTCAAGTGGCTCAATCGGAGTTGCCAAGGCTCTCACTGCCATAGAGCAGATTAGGAAAAGAGAGGAGAAAGAGACCATTTTGGTGTCTCCCTGATAGATGGCCTTGGTTTAGAGTGGGTGAGATGCGATGCGATGGTACATTCTCGAGGGGCCTGATCGTCACTTATATACTTTTCCCTGCAGGTTTCAGCATCTTGCTATTCAACATGAACAGCAACCAGTGACGCCAAGTGTGGAGAAGCCCTGGATGGGTTATCTCAGTTTAGGCATATCGGTGATCATCTCCGACGAAGGCCTGACGAGCGTTGAGGTCAATTTGGCGAAATACCAAGCGGGCCAGAGCAATAATCGAAGCTAACCCGGCTGAATAGTGGCAAATGTGATGGAGTATGGAGAAAGATCCCACGGTTAGGTATCTCGACCAGCTTGAAAGGCATCTTCCAGGCCCTCCACCAAGAATCGCTTCTCGTCAAGGTCCGGAAAACGCTCCTGTGCAACGTTGTACAGCTGAAACCACTAGGGCACATAGGCTAAATCGACACATAATAGCCCGGTATAAGTTTCTTCAGCCGGCTAATTCTCCAGGGTCTCGGCGGAGCTTACTCTGCGGCTATAACCCTATTCCACTTCCAATCAACTCATGCGGGGAAGTGTTGATCATCTTCGGCTGTTGTCCGGCAATTGCCAGCCTTGGCGAAAGGGGTTTAATGCTTCATTCTTTAGCCTAAGGATTGTGGGCAGTCTAGGCCACGGAGTTGCATCATATCCGTACAGAAAAAGGTATTTGTATGGCGGACGAATGGAATGGCGGCATCTAGTGCTGGCTGCTGTAATATCGTACTCTATATATCGTACAAATATTCGACAGAATCAACAAGTCTCCCCAGTGCTAGAAGTGGTTTAAAGAGTACTGAGCCAATCCAGCAGTATTATTAAAGCTTAATTTGAAACCCTGCATAGTAGGCAGTACAATCGGTTTATTTGGCTTTTTCCAGCCCTGCGGCAGGAAGCTCATAAACGGCGGTCTTCGATGGGTATGAAGGGGGCTCAACCTCATATGACTCTGATGAAGATGACCTGCGAGACGTCGCGTCCGCCATCTCGAAAACCTGATTATATGTAGTGCCTTGCTCCATGGGGCTAATAACGTTTCTTTCCAGAGCATTTGCGACCATCTCAAACGCGAGGTCAGCCACATTGAATTCGAGAGTCTTCCCCACACATTCAAAGACGAATGAAGCGCAGATCCGGTAAGACCTGCAAATGTTGAACGTGCTGAAGGAAACATCTGAGTTTCTGAATATCAATGGTCCAAATGCTTCATTCAAATCTATTTGTCCCAACACAGGCATGCCAAGTGACGTCTTCGATAAAACTTCCATTCGCTCATCAACCTCAGCGTCCATTTGCCCCATCAGTGCCTTGTTAGCGCGAGCGGCCGTCTGGCACAATACTACCAACGATACGGATTGCAGCATAATGCCAGGATAGGGAAAGGATGAAGCGCCATCCATAAGTGGAGTAACATCCAACCAACATGGAACTGGCGACCCCTGAACTACCCGGTTACAATATATGAAGGATGCCCGGAAGTCAAAACGAGGAAGTTGCTTCGGTGCTAGCCACGACCGAAACTTCTCTTGGGTCTTCAAGCTTCGCCCACGGTTTTCTGGTAGCAGTAGTAAACTCTTAACAGTGAAAACCTCTTCCTGTTGGCGTTGGTACAGGTTTTCCCAGTTGTCAGTTTCCTCCATCTGCGCCGATAATGGCAAAAAATTCAGCCGAATCGCCTCGCTAAACAAAGGCGCTTTCTTTCCTAGAAGGCTCTTTTGCGGTTTGGAAATTTGAGCCTCGATGCGATAATCAATAGCACAGTGCACTTTGCGCTGCGAATCGTCCACTTCCACTGCAAAGGTTGGCGGCAGAGAATGGTCTCCGTCGCTACGGAACGGGTGCTTCGGGGGCCATTTCGCCGACGATTCAACATGCGACGGGAAAACAAACTCGAATGGCCACTCGTACGTACCGCGTTGGAGTTTACCGCCACTAACCGAGGAGAGGGTTTTTACCTGCTCGAAGAGAATACATTTGCTTCGGTAAGTTGCTGACGGAGCGGCGGCTTTCACCTTCTGCACTTTCGCCTTGACGCGGCCGGTGAAGATCACTCGGACATCCTGGGCTTCGATCGGATTGGGACAGTGGAAGACGACACGACCCCAGAGCTGTTCATGTCCTGAATAGCAGGCCAATTGGTTTTCTAAATTAACTATGAGGGGCATGGTCGTAACGTGTGATTTAGATATAGCTAATCAGCGATATGTGAGGTGGACAACAATGTCAGGAGACAAAGGCAGTATCTCAACTGGTAATACTTAGCCCCCAGGTCACGTGCTTACTCTAGACCCTATAAGCACTAGGGCTTAGCGTTAGATATTCTCACAGCCACGTCTGAATATCACGCAAATACTTGCCGTTTTCATGTGATATCTGGCGAAATAAAGGCTTGACAGCTGTTTAATAAATATGCACCTTGTGGATATCTTTGACTCATACGAATGCGCCTCAATTGCGACGTAGAGAATGTAGAAGTGGGTCTCATTCCAGAACTTTTTCATTGACATTGCCAAGATTGATAGACCAAACATTGATCTATGGCTCTCAGTCCAATGCTCCACCAGGATCTTCAGGTGTCTCCACTGCCTCGTGTCCAGTGTTTAATCCAACTTGGTGGTTGCTTTTATCATTGCTAAAGGATTCATAAATACATCACTGCTCAATCGCACGCAGATAAGTAGCGACCTCCTGGCTAAATATCTGATCCTTCACAAGTTGATCGACCTTTTGACTGATCTTCCTTTCCGAGATTGTCTAAAGCCCATGCGTTAGACTTGTAGTCAACTGAACCAAACGAGAGACCTTCTGAGGACTTACAGCATCATTCACAGTATTCAACGACTTCTCCGGTACCTTCACCTTATGTGCACTAGCCTCAAAGGTACAGACAGGGACATTGTCGAGCTTGAAGGTCCCATTATTCAACATCGCTTGTTCATCGAAATGCTTCCCATCGACCCACTGCAATGGTATTTTTGTAGAGGGGCACTCGCTGGTCTCATGGATGTCGTGGTTACGCTTGATCTGGAACTCAAAGCCGTTCCTCACATCACCTGTCGCGTGTAGCTCCACCCCGATATTAGGATCAGAGTGTGAGCGAACCCAGTATCCCCAGTGATCCTTAAATGGCCAACCGTTGAAGATTAGAAGCTCGACCAGGTAAGCTCCGGCGGGTCCCTCTGATGCTACATTTGGCGGCTTGGGCTCTTCCTTGCCGGTCGAAGGAGGCGGCGGTGGGGGAGGAGGGGCATTCGCTAGATTTGAACTCTGGGAAGTCGTTAAAAACATATCTGTGCTGCGACTTGCTTGATTTCTACTTCTAGTGGATATTGATTAAGTGAGGTCAAAGTTATTCCAACAAATAGGCGGGCAGGTTGTTGTTGACGTTGTTTGGAGGATCCAATTAACAGTCTGTTTAGGCAGATGAATTAATGTATCATTGCCAATGACGTGGACACATTCTTTGCACTTTTCGGATCCTAGAATTATAATTACGACAGCAGTGAATAAATATGTAGTGTGCCATTGATAGAAAATATAGAAAATAAATAAAAAATATACGTAATTAAAACATTCAATGAAATAAAACGCCTTTCTAGTAAACGCTAGCATCATACCAGGCAAGGCTGAGCCCCTGGCAGTGGTTTTAATTGGTTGGTTTCTGATTCACAATGAATATCACCAAACGACGGAATTTGGATTCACTTCAGATGGATGCATACTTCCAAGACTTTCCTCTGTTCACTCATACAAAGGTCAGGCGTACCCCTTAGAGGGTTACTCTAGCCAGGCATCAAGGCTCCCATCACACAACACAGTCGCCCTATGTAGAAGCTGTTAACCAACTCTAGGTACTCTAGCTAATATACATGGCATAACAATCGTAATACAGAGGACCCCTAACGTTCAGGGCAACACGCAACCAGACCCTAGATTAGTAGGTCTGTCTCCACTAATCTGTTATGTGCTGTGCTTCATTTATTAGTACTCTTAACAAGGTCCGAATATATATTTTGTATACATGATATACTGTAGACCGCTATGCAGTCCCTCCTGGTCGCGGAAACTGGCGTCAACGCTAGCTTCGATTCCCTTCTTTCGGCGGATAATGTGCAAATCGACTTTGTTAGTGGGAATAACATTTACGCTCGCGCGGGGAGCTATAATATTTGAGGTAGCATACTTCTCGAGGTTTATATTCGCAAGTTACCGGCGATTCTGATTTAAAATAGACTCCAGCGGACGAGGATTCTGTTCCATGCTTGGAACCTGCGTAGGTTTTACCTTCGTTTACGTTTAGAAAGTTTATGGGGCTTCTTTTCATTGTGAATTTAGTGCGGAAAGTACTGCTGCCACGGCCTAAGCAAATGCGTCGATCCGTCATAGGGGACCTGTTGTCGAACCGGAAATGCCAGATGTGGACAATCTGGTGGCTATAATACGAACGTGATATCTGCTGCGGGGAGAGCGGGTATCATTGTGTTGGGGGGGGAGGGGGGAATACGCAGTATCGTGGGACGAAGTGTTGTTTAGGTGGGTCGCATTGTAAGAATGGGAGGTGTGTTAAAGGAAACAGTGGGAATGCTCTGATAGTGAGAGGTAGAATGGTAAAGGCTTGAGCTGTTGTGATAGGATTGATATTATTGTCGGGGGCCTGATTTTTGAGGCTATGCCACGAGGTTTATGATGTCTAGTGACTAGTTTATGATTTCTGTCCATGGCATGGTGTGTCCTTCTTTCAATTCGTATCTTTGGCTGCAGTTGAATCGAGACCGGCCCCCAAATTTGTGTATGGTGCATCGAACAGAAAGAACTCTCTGAAGTGATGTGAGTCCATTGTTCCTTGAGACTAGAGCCTGTCAGTTGACCAGGAAGGTTGCGAACAGGAGCCCACCCTGTCACAAGGCTGATAAGTGGATCAATACGGATAATATAACCCAACTCAGCGCAGGTGTTCGGGGACCCGTATCGGTAAATGGTTAGAACCCAATGTGCGTACACAACAGGATCTGGTGGAAGATTGGATGTGCTTCGCCGGATATCTGCGCGCAGCGAAGTCCATAAGAATGGTTTGAGTTTGATAAACCATAGGATGTTTCGCGAAGTTGCGCTGCCCCTAAGCATTAGTCCCTCATATGAGCTGGCGATGAAGCAGCAAGAATTGTAAAGTCAAGTGATCACGTCAGTCGCTGTCAGCCGCCCCATCCTCGCTGGGAATCTGGCTACTAGATCCAACACCGCTTTGACGCTGTGCGTTCGTGCTTTGCCTTCTGCCCTGCATGTACTGCTCTGTCGAGGTTATCGCACGCTCTCCGACAAACTTATCGCCAGGCCATGGGGCCTTGCATACAGGGCACTGCTCAGCCTGTTGCATACGGAAGAAGTTGCGAATACAATGGTCGTGGAGTCGACCCGAGCAGTCACGATTACCACAACGTTGACCCTAAGCAGTCAGCGCATACTTTAAATCAGTCATTGAGGTATGGTTAAAACGTACCATAGTGATGATATCTCTGCAGGCGGCGCAGAATTTGATCTTGTCCATCCTACGACCATCCTCGTTCTCATCGTTGTACGTCGCAACCAACCATCCTCGTAGCTCCATCAGCCCTCGTGGACTTAGACTATAAAACCCCCTCCTACTTTTTTCCAGCCACCCCTCCTCCACGAGCTGCTTCAGTACTGTTTCCGCCTGGGACATACTAAGCGATTGCGCGGCCCCGCCTTGACTCTGCGTCGCGTTGTTTGGTTCCCGACGACTAGCATCTCTGGCAGAGGCCTTGGCCAACTGTATAGCCTGCATGCCGCTGATAACCATACCCTCGGAGCGTCTAGTATTATTCGTGTCGAACATAGCGTCAAGGAGTCGTTTGACGAAGGCGATCTCGTCCGCACTGTAAGTGGTTGCCAGCTGCGTCAAGGCATCACTGGTGGTGTTCACAAGGGCGTATACTCGCTCCGGCACCTGGTCCCCCGCGCCTTCAGGATCTATCTGCGACTGACGTAGCGTACTTCTGATTTCTAAATCGAAAGGAGAGATCGTGGTATTGGCGGCAGCAATGTAAGATGACAGATCGTCTTCAGTTACATCTTCCTCGGAGACAGGTTCACCTTCTGTTCGTGTTCTAGAGTGAGTTTCCTATCACATTAATAATTAGAGGAGATCGGTGTAATACCGTGGACAGAGAAAATCGCAGCCAGAACAGGCCTTGCTTCCGCAAAGGTCATGCTGGAGCGGGCCATGAAAGCTTGGAGGAATGCGCGATTGCTATCATTATAGCCACTCCCGTCAGAACGGCTCGCCATGTTCGCTTTACACACTCTATTAATTGAGAAAGAACGGTATTATAAGAGCGATATTGGCAATACTAGTTTTGCGAGGAGAAAGGAGAGGTTGCGACGCGATGAACGCGCCCCGCGTCGGTCGCCAAGACCAAGACCTTTTACTTCCGCTGACAGCTTTCACTACAATAGCTAAGGATTCAACCGAGGACAATTTGAATGCCATTAGATCTCGCAACCAAGGCTTGATATCATAACACTTTAGAGAGAGAAAAATTACAGTAGACAGAGGTCAATTCCCCAACGCCACATGCAAAACACACACAAAAAGCAAATCCACACCTAGTATCGCCGCCTCGTCGGCTCCGGGCTGGGACTGCGACTGACACTCCGGGCATCCCTACCGCGATCCTTCAACCATTTCTTCGTGCTGAGGCGCAGTTCACGGTCGAGCTCGTTGCTAGGGTCCTTCCGGTGAATGAAATTGCAGAATCCGCCACGCACGCAGCCCTCGCCACTATTTAATCGACAGCATGCTTCTCGAAAATCTGTAACCGGCGATAGTTCGCAATATATTGGTCGCGCCGCATACCAACGGGAATTCAAGGCGTCACAGGCCTTTTGCGCATCTTCTTCGTATTTGAATCGGGCGTAAACGTTGCCAATGAGGTCTAACGTCGTGACCAATTAGTAGCAGCTCGGAGAATCTAACTCTAGCCAGAACCAGGTCCGACTTACGATCATTGTTGTTGTCGCACACTACCAGTTCCTCCAGTTCTCCATACTTGCACATCTCACACCATACATCCTCGTAGAAAGCATCAAAATGGTTCTGAAGCTGGCTGGGGTTCATCTTATTCTTTGGGTCGTATGCCGGGTTCTGGTACATGTTGGGCATCAGGATCGTTTGTGAATACGAAGGCTTTACATGCTTTCGGGAACATCTGTCGCCATGTCTGCATGCGCCAATCTTATAATAGAACGAACAGTTGACCTTGTCCTGTTCCGTACCGAAGATGGAGGCGAGATAGTTGGCCATGATTACAACGTAAAACGCGCCGAACTTGGGTCTTTTAGGCGGTGTCGAGGATATGAAGATAGTAGAAGAGATATCAGCGAGGGTTAAGAATGTATTCAATGAAAGTCTGAACTGAATTATGAAAGCAGAGGTGAGGCGCGCGCCGTGCTGAGACGTCTGGAGAGAGCTCTTCCTTGAAGATTCTGGATAGCTCGATCACGTGCACCACCAGCTGACTAACGCCGGCCGAATGTTGGTCGCCTCAAAGCCCAGGTGGCAATAAGGCGGAACTGATAAGATCGCTCCCGATATGCTTTGTATAGACAGGATCTTCCATATCATAAGTTGAGTTGGATGGTAAGAGTCTATTCTATGTATATTATTGGGTTAAAGGCACTCTGTTAAAGAATCTACCAAATAGCTGGCGGCAATATTAAGGCAAGGTCCTCAACCTCCCGAGTGATACTTGGGGCTGAATTAGCACACCTAGCAACTTTTTTACGCAAATCATTTACTTTATGTATATGTTGTCTGTTGTAGAGAGCCAGTGCATGGATATAGCAGGTCAAGATCCTCAGCGTGGAATTGTGGATCCCATTCTCCGGGACATCAAATTAGCGCAAATCGCTGGCATGAGAACAGTCCCACTCCTGCTTTTGATCAAATCAGCTTCATTCTTTTCAGTATGTCTGCCAACTGTCTACCTGGCATTCCCAAACAGGAATATTGTCAGTGGTTGTGGAAAGATCCCAGGTCTAGGATGACTTTGCTATAACCCTGTTTTGGATGAACCGTTAATAATCAAGACTTTCGAATAATTACTTAGGAAGGACATTTATATAGAGACAACCAACTTCTTCGCACTGACTCCGTGGGCCAGCAGATCAACAGCCTCCTGTACCTGCTCTAACCCTTTCCCCACCACTTCCGACTGTGGCATATACTTAATCCTGTACCCCATAGCTGAAGAAAGCCATTGCCAAATGGCATTTCCAACCCCACTGTTAGCTATATCTGTCGCAAAATTTGTAACGCCTTTCACACTGTTGGTTGCCTTTTCTTCCGCACCTGGAATGACTGACGCCACCAATTTCCTCCCACCACTTCTATCGAGGATCTCACACGTTGCATTCAAAGCTGAATCACTAGTAATAGCCCCGTAAGCCCCGGCCACCTCTTTACCATCCAGGAATGCCACAATATCATCAACGAGAGTCGGATCTCTCTGATCGAAGCACGCACTCGCCCCCCAGACTTTTGACCATTTCATGGTTTCTTTTACTTGCAACACCGACAACGTCGTAGCCAGCTTGCGTAGCCATCTGTACGCCGCAAGCGCCAACGCTGCTACTGGCACCCCAAACCAAGAGCATCTTGCCTCGAGGGGGCTTTGTGCCATCAACAGAGGGCACATCAAGCCCAAGGGTCTCCTCCGCAAACAGAGAGCTGGCAGCAGTATTGATTCCTAGAGGCAGTACAGCGGCATCTTCATATGCCACCTCCTTCGGGATCTTAGCAATGAAAGGCAGATTCAGAACCACATACTGTTGGCATGCCGAGTAGCAATATTTGCCTTCCTTTCGGTTCAAACATCCAACCGCCAATGACACGATTCCCGACGGCATAGATACCGGCTAGGGAGGCATGAGCTTGGACAAACTCGCCGGCTACGTCGCAGCCCAGAATTGACGGGTAGTCTCCCAAGAGGATCCCAAGCTTCTGGACGCCAACGTCGGCTAGGTTTAGGGCTATAGCTTTAGTTTTGATGACGAGCTCGCCGGCTGAGGGAGATGTGTATGGTGCAGTATCCACGACGTTGACAGGCGACTGCTTAGCCATGAGCCATGAGGCGCAGTTGCTGCGAGGCATGATCGCTTTGTTGATATGGGTTGTATGATCCGATGGGGTTATATATGACTAACAAACGAGGACAATAATTATGAAGATGATACCGGAGATTAGGGCTTTGTTATCTAGAATAACCGTGATTCTTGTATGGTTCAACTAAGAATAGCCTAAGTCTGCTAATACCGATGCCCATCGCTATCACCGCTATCACCGATCTTATATCAAAGGCACACTATTTCATGAGCATTCATAACTTCTGCGCAGGGGATAATATGAGGAGGATTGCTGAGAAAGCTTGACACAACGACAATACAATCCCAAGTGGACTCTATACCGACTCGCACTATCATCTGACAATATCGGACTTTATGTTTTTATCGCCGCCTTTGATACAAATTGAATGTAAAATGTAAAAGGTCTCTCGGAACTGCTTTTGCCGTCTTCGATACCACCTATACGTACGGAGGGCTCGTCAACCATGATGCCGAGTTTTCAGTCCCCCCCAAGAGCAATATCAATACAAGACATGAAGGCATCTCGAACACAGGTCTTACAAGTATATGTCAGAAGCGGCAGCTGAGATCTCATATGCTACTCTTTCAGGTAACGTAATCACATAAAGCAATGCTTTGCTTATAACTGAACAACAATAATACATTGCAAAGCTAAGTTCATCTAATTGCTGTATATCTCGGAGTCCAGCAAATCAATAACATGTCACTTTCTAGGTAGACAAATAAAGATTGAGTCTTGGATGATTGCTCTTATCTAATAAAGTTTTTAATTTGGATATTTATAGCACTCTCCTCTAAATACCCCAGTCCCTGCTTAGGCTGGAAAGGTCTGTTCATAGTCGCCAGAAACTAAGAACTATAACCTCATACTATGAAAAGATTTTGTTAGTATCTATCTTCTTCTGGGTATCATTGCTCCGCGGTTTGCGACTGAGTTGTAACGAACTTTATTAAGCTAGGCGGCGAAGTCTCCGCAAAGCTGAGTTGTCGAGCAATATCACGACGTGCATTGTTGGCGGTATCAATTAGCCTCCCTATCCGCAACCAGATGATTTGAACCAGTTTAGCGGCGTCCACCAGGCATAACATGATTCCACGAGCATAGGTAGAGTCAAAGTAGCCTCTGGGATGAAAACCATCGCGCATTCGGGTCGCGATTGGACGTGTGTGAAAAGAGATCCGGAGGAATGATCGAGTTCAGGACAAAGACATCTTCGGGCGCTTAGGGTTCGGCATTCCGGAGGCTCCACGCATGCGCTTTCTCTCCATCGCCTCCATTTCCTGCTTCATGATCCTCTCCTGCTCACTCATCTTCTTGGGAGCTTCCATCACAGACCCCTTCTTCCCGGCCAGCGGGTTCTTCTTCGCCGCAGCAGCAAATACATTCTTCGGTTTCTTGTCACCAAACGACATAGACAGCTTTACTCCCGGCTTGGGTGCATCCTGAGTAGGAACCGGAGTCGAGTCCGTAGATGCAGCTCCAGCTGCAGGCTCCGGTGTCGCTGACGAAGCACCGTTGTCATTCTGCTCGGGCGACAGCGGCTTTGGCGATTCCGTCTTCGCCTCGCCGTTTGCCTTAGAACCAAACCCGATATTAAGCTTAACTTTCTCGCCCTCCTTTCGCTGCAGATTCCTCGCTTCAGGATCCACCTCCTCTTCCTTCTCCGCATTCTGCCTGGCCCTTTCAACCTGCTCCTGTATCTGCCGCTGCTCCCGCTCCTCATCACCCCGATCCTGACGCTCCTTCTTCAAAACAGCCTCCCGCCGTCTCATTGCCTCAGGACTCCGATCAATATACGAAATAAAAAGCCCTTTCTCCGTCTCCTCAACCCGACAAACGCCCTCGCGCCCAAGATAAGCCGCAAACTGCGAAAGACTCTTCCACTTCGTCGCATTCATATGAACATGCTACACACAATCAGCCTCTCACCCAAGTATAAACCCAGACCCAAAGAACAAGCAAAAAACTCACCGTCTTATCCGCGATAATTGTCTGATAAAACTGATTAATATGAACCTGTTTCTCACCATGCGACGTCTTCAACATATTAAGGAAGTTATTCAGGAACTCCTTGCTGTAATCTTCGATGTACTTTTTCGGGTCCTCGCCGACGAGTAAAGCCTGGCGAACGTGGCTCTCGCTTTGTACGTGACTTACGTGTCGAGATACAAATTAGTCGCGCACTCGGGGGAGTAGGGGAAAGCTTTTTGGTTTGGAATTCTAGCTCACCACTTGAAGCCGTTCTCATCTCGACACTGCTTCTCACATAGTTGGCAGAACCATCGGAGACGTTGGAGTCCTTTCTAGTTCCTGTTAGTTATGGGGGTTTTCTTTGGGGGATTTCTTGAGCTGGCGCGTACCGATTTGATCTTGTTGCTGAGGGCTTTGGCGCTTCCTGCTTCGGCACGCGGCATTTTTGGGAAGCTATATTAAGTGAATATGAGGTAAGGGTAGGCGTCGACTGGATATTTGTGCGGGTGTAATGTAAGTGTAGTGTGTTGAAGCAAGAATGTTGCGATGGCGGAGAGACGCTGTGGCGGAATGCGATAAGCACTCCGAATGGCTGGTGCTTTACTTATCCGGTCACGTGGTATCATCATTGTTCTAATTCGGTTAGTTGCAGGTCGATCGCCGTGATTGGTGGTGAATCGGAGTAAAGTAGTATGACTGGAGTTATGGTGGTGTTCTTCAAATTACAGCATAACGGCAGTTCTGTCCTGTCCTGTCAGACTTAGAAGTAAAAATTTGTTACATTGAGTACTATAGGTACCAGATAATTCAAGCCAGACTCCACCAATCCTACCGCATCCTGACAGAGTTGCTTTTCTAATAAAGGACGCCAGTATTAGAATACAAAAACCATATGTGAGACGACCAAGTGTCATGTTCAACAAAGCTTCAACGCATTAAATAACCCCCTGAGTAAGAAAAGAGAAGGAAAAAGGAAAAAAGATTTTCATGTTGAACTCAACCCAACTTGACGTAAGACAAAGCGTCAAATTCCATATAATTTTCTATTAAAGACGATCACATAGCATATTCATGGATTGCGGAGGGGCCGTTCTCGTTGTACTCCACACGGCTCATGAATCCCTTACTGACACCCTGATCATTAACGAAGATAACCTTAGAAGCAACCTGGGCTCCTAAGAATACCGCTTCCTCCATGCCATGGCCGCTACTTGGGGCACCTGGGCCTCCAGGTCCGACATTAGGGCCATTGCTCATTCCTGAGGCCCCGCTAGTGCCAGGAGCGTTGGAGTTGCTATGCTCCTTCCACTCCGGGAAGTACTCTGGAGGCTTCAGGGTCTTGACGGAGGTTGGGGTTTGAGAATGACCGGTGGAGCGGTAGTGGGAAGCCACACTGGGGTCCATCCCTGGGGTGCCTGGGGGTACGGGATTATTTGAATGCGTTGCAGCAACAAGAAGTGGGTTCACTCCATGGCCAGGAGTATTGTACATGGTTCCAGTCTGGCCAGGTGCCGGAGTGTTAGTTCCCCCCGTCGGCATGGGAGTGGAGAAATTGGACGGAAGCTCGGAAGTAAAGATGGTGGCAGATGGCGAGAGGACAAACTTTTGTGTGATGGTGTTAAGCAAAGCCTGCGTGAAACCTGTCTCCGTTGATAAGTGAATCTGTGTATACTGTGTTACGAACCAAGGAACATACCCTTAATCTTACTACCGTTACCAACAACCACCAACGAATCCCAAAGCTCGCTTCGCTTGCTCGAATCGGGCACAGCCAGGATAGTATGGTGGATTTGTGTTGCAATATCTTCCAGGATATTGTTGGTTAAGCGGTCGCCAGTGTGTTGCTTCTGAGTGGCAGAGAGGAAACGCTCAATGCCGACTTCAATCTCCCGTGTCTGGCGGATGTAACGTCTAGGGGCGTTGGCGGCATCTTTTTCCGGCTCCAATTGCACGTACTCTTCGAATTGGAACGAGGCCTTCTCTTTCTTAGAGTTGGGGAGACGAATGGGCTTCCCGCTTTGGTCGGTCGAGCCCTTTTTCGAACCCGACTTCTCCGCTTTTTCCTTTTCTCTGTTGGCTAGGAATTCGCTGGTGTTGCCACTGACAATAGCCGCAACATCTAACACACCCTCGTCTTCGTCTTCCCCATTAGCACCTTCTGGGCCTGTCTGGGTGCCCTCACCGGGACCCCGAGGAACAGCATCATTAGCCTTGCCTTCTTCTCCTCCTGTGGAAGCTGAAGCAGCAGGGTTGGTATTCTGCCGTGCGGTGGTGGCAGTACCCGGGAGAGGAGTGCCAGCGGGCAGGATCTCAGTAATATTACTCCTCTTCAACTGTTCACACATCTCTCTTGAAAAGCCCTTCGACTTCAGCAGCTCCTGGAGTCTGTCCGTCATGTAGTCACCACCGCACCCTTCCAGGGCAATTCCTCGTCCATGCTCGTTAACGAGGAAATCGGTGACAGCAGTAACATCCACCTTACCCTTACCGACATCGACAACGGTCGCAGTCGAAGTACCGTATCCGTAGCAGACAGCAAGGGCAGAGTCCATCATACAAAAAGCGGGCGTCTTGAACTTCTCGAACACAAACTGCGTAATCGCCTCTCGGTCGCGCGCTGACCAGGCCGGTTGGGAGATCAGCATGATCGGTGTATGAAACGGGGGACTCAGTGTATTATAAACATGCGTAAGAAGAGCAAAGAAACACGGCCAGTCGATAATGCGCCCATTTTCGATCGGGAAGGTAGCCCCCTCATCTGATGTAGCATCCTCCTCGTAGAAGATCTCCTGGACCTCCTGTTTCGGCTCTCCATTCGTTTCCTGGCCCTCGGCGGACTCTGCTTTGCCCTCTTGCTGGCCGTCCTCGGGCTTGGAGGCCTCCTCGTTGTTACCGGGAGCGGTGGGTTCCGCATCTTTCATCTCGACATCTTCCTTGGGCGCGTCCGTCCCATTGCTAGGTTTCACCTCCTGTCGTCGCTCGCGGATCTTATATGGTTCATATTCGCCTTTCTTTTCGGCAGGGAACATCCGCGTGGGAAATCGAAAGCGAGCGGGTGTGAATGACTCGGGGAGACCCAGTTGCGCCAGGGTCACTTGCGAGCCTGGCGCAATTATCTAAAGGGAGGAGATCAGTACGGCGTCGTCCCGGGCCGCGGGAGGGCAGTGAATGGCGGGTGACGTACCAAAATGTGCTCGTCTTTGAAAGGCGGCATGGTGGAGGATGAGGCTTGGGGAATCGTCGCAATGCTTCGGGCCTCAGAATGCTCCGCGGTGTTTGCAGGACACTTTGCGCGCGAGAGGTTGGAAGACTTCCCCTTTGGGCTAAGCGCGCCCGTCACGTCTGTGCTTCCATTTCTTACAGTAAAACTGAGGGCGGTTGTAGTAACTTATGGTACGGTACCTCCCTAGTTCTTTTTTACAAATTCACTATAATTCTCAAACGGTCGGCATGTTCAGCTCAAGTCATACAAGGGCGTGACTGAATCTATTCCTTTTATGATGTGGATTGTTCACTTTACACGGGGGAAGGTGGCTCTAGGCAACATGTACTAATATATGTCTTTGATGACCGAATAGTATCACCAGTAATCATGTGTGACATTATTCTTCTCAAACCATTAATTCACCCATATTACTCTTACTACTCAGACTATCCGTTGTCGCACAAAAAATATGCCATAGCATAGTTATGGTGACCTATTAATAGAAACCAGAGTAAATAACTCACTTTCAGTTCACCGCAGAAAATTAAGAAAGAAAATAAGTATCACTGATATCTCAAGATGACAACCCATACACAATTGCCATTGCGTTCGTAAAAGTATTCTGTATTTGAAAGAAAAATTCGAGTAATTCATGCAACGATACTGAAGAAAATAAGAAAATCATGAAACCAGCCGACCCTGTCAGAAACCATAGTTTCAATCCCAGACAACCTAAACTCCGAGATTTCGTCGTCCGAAAGGCAAAACTCCGAATCCGTTCCCTCTATGACCAGCAAGAGTCAAATCGCATTGCATTTTCGTATCTGCAACCTGGACCTTTACTCCGGGGCAGCATGGTACTTCTCAGTAGCCGAGCGAAACAGCTCCTGTTGCTGTCGTAACAACTCTTCCTCCGACAGTCCACTCTGTTCCATCTTACTTTGCTTCTTTTCTCGCGACTATGTCATGGGATACACGTGTCAGCAACGCCCGGGCCATCAGCGGTACATGCAAGGGCTCTACCCACCTTCAACTGCTCCTTGTGCTCCTCCGCCACAGCCAGTACCTCCGGGACATAATCTCCAAAGCCAAGATCACGTAGAGCCCGCTCTACATGTTCACAGGCGATTGTTTTCTTGGCCTCTTTCTCGCTGATGTCATTGGCTTCAGAGGAGATCAAAGTGATGAATTCGACGCAGCATTCCATGAGGAGATCGCGGGCATCTTTGGAAAATGTCTGGCCGGAAGAAGGGGGTAGAATCTCGGTGATAATTTTTTGGACCGTCGCTGGATCAGTCGCAATCAGTTAGAATGGAATGCGCTTGCAGCAAAATCTGTAGAGACAATATATTGCAGTCGGCAAGTGACAGGACAGGACGCGTAGTTTGAACACCTAGCGTATCGACGCTGGTCGAAGGGACTGGAGGCTGAGCGGCTTGGAGGCATACCTTTGGGAAGCGACAGGTCATCGTTCGCTGAAGTCGATCGTCAGTCAGCACTATTGATAGTTTGCGCCAAGACGAACAGAATACTTACCACTGAACTCTCGATCTGACATAGTGTATCTTATTAACGAGTAATGGTGGGGGACAGAGGAAAGAAACACGCCCTCGCGCACAAAAGCACTGTTGTCAACGTAAAGGATCACCTTTTTTTCCCAATGCGCGGGGACTATACTTTCAATAAATAGTAGCGTTGATCGAATGGCAGACGCGGACTGCATCGGGTCGGAACAACCAGTGGGTACTGTCGGCAGAATACTACCGCTTTTGGGACTATTTCTTGGCTGAAGTTTTTTTCCCATCGTCTTCTTCCACATACGCTTCACCCACAACAATGGAAGCGAGAATATCCTTTTATGCTGAGGATTTCGAAATTTTCCAATTCGCAAGTCTTGCGAGGCACTAATATCAAATGGTATGTTTACATTCTCGTATATTTTCATTTTACTACAATGATGAACAATGTTGTCGCCCCTATCATACCTTTCATGGTGACGTACACTGTCCAAGCCAAACGGACTACTGATATTTGTTTACACTTTTTGATTGTTTCGTCCAAAACTTGTGTGGGCTTCGCTAACGGTCATGAAGTATTCCAGGCAGTAATTATGTCCTCTGGACCAAGGTTCGGTTAGGTTGGATCTTTCGGACAATATTGCAACGAGCTTTGGAACACAAGGTAAGCTTCGGATTTTTTATAATATCTAGAATTTTTGTATGATGAACCAATACACATTCCATGCTAAGTATGAAGGTGCTTTGCATCTAATGCTTATGAAAATGTACTGCTTTTCATCTTTCGGCTGATTACACCACTGTTTCCTGTTCTATGTCTACATCTTCTCCGATATGATGGTATATACTAACTGTCTGTCAAGCTGATAGGTTGTAAATCACGCCTGGAAGGCATCGAGAGCTTTGTCATTCCACCTGCCGTGGGTCAGCTTTGTAGAATCAGAGGACGTAGAATAGAAACTTACGATAGAAACTTGCCCGATAATTCCTTAGGAGCATCAAGCACCAGCTTGGCCATAACGTGACCAGGCTGTTCAGGCTTGAGCAGTTTTCCCTCCTTGTGGACCGCAGTGAACTTGGAATGGACCTGTGGCTCTAGCGTCGTAGCATGGTCCTCTCTCAATTCGCGCTGCATCTCGGTGTCAACCATTCCTGGTCGCACCGAGACTGTTGTGACCTCGGGCTCTTCCTCGCCCAGACTAAGCGCAAGATGGTTCATTGCCGCCTTAGTCGCGCCGTACAGACCCCAACCTCGGTATGCCGACACGGAAGCACCAGAAGAGGTGAAGATGAGCTTGCCCTTCGTCTCACGAAGCGCCGGGAGACCAGCTTTGATCTACACAGCTGATTAATATTCAATCACCTTTACACTCTGAAAGGGAAGCCATGAACTCACAAAAGCAACAAAGCTGATAAAGTTCACGTCGAATCCATGCTTCCACTGCTCGGGATTGGCTTGGGCGATCTTGCCTACTTGTCCCAGCACACCATGGTTCAGAACCATTCCATCTAGACGGCCAAAGGACTTGAGAGCTAGGTTGACGGCCTTCTGGCCAATGGACAAATCGGCAAGATCGCCATTAAGCACTTCGACCTGCTTTGTATATTGCTCCTTGAGCTTCTGGAGAGGTTCGACACTGCGAGCGATCACGACAACATTGTGTGATTGAGGGGAGGTGAGGAGGTACTTTGCGATTGCGAGACCGATGCCTATAGTAGGTAGCTGTTAATCAAATGCGCGTTGTTAGTTTCAACTCGGTGCTGCTAACCTCTCGAGGCACCGGTGACAATAATAGTCTTAGCAGACATTTTATGTGACAAAATTTATGAGAACAGGATGAATAAATGAGAACCGAGGTTGAGAATTGACTTCCAAAGAGTGGGAGCGGAAAAGAAATCGAGCTCCCATTGGCGGTGATGTAATTTCTGCATTAAATTTGATTTAATGAGGGGCATAAATGTGTATACCTCAGGCATCAGCAGGGCTCACCCTGTCAGGTTGATAAGCCTGACAATTATTATACACTGAAATGCAAGCAGGCAGCCTACTCCCCACCAGCAGCCCACGCTTCTTCAATCGCAGATAGAAACCGATCGGCAATGAAAAACCCTTCTCCGTCAACTTGGGAACAAAATCGATTATGCGAGTCCTTTCAGACTTATACTTCATGGTCACACTGACAGTATACAAATAGGCGCATAGAAGATAGCCTCGAGATACGAATTCTGAAGACCGTTTTCTGCATGTTGGAGAGCACCTTTGGCTTGCTCGGAGCTCGTCTGGTGTGTCATCGCTGGCAATTCGCAATTCAGGGTGAGCCAAACCGGATCATAAAACATCTGCGAAATATCTACGTTAGCGCCATGGTAGAATGCTAGCATGACGTCCGTAAGGCTTCGGTCATTTTCGCTTGTGTACCAAAGAAGGGAGGCAATGATATCTTACTGGGACTGTGATGCAATGCAGGTCAGTTCAACCCCTCGACATTCATGTTCACTTAGGCTCTTTTCAGAGCGCGCGCGATTCGCGGTGTCCTGCTGTGAACCCAACTCAATACTTTGTCTTTTCCAATGCGCCGTCCTAGAATTTGCTGAGCTGAATCCTTAGTTATATATTGAAGAGTGAAGTGATACTTACAGCCACTGTATCTTAGCCCACATCTCAAGGTACTCGCAGAAGTAGTCTAAGAGTTGATCATCGGGTGATGTGGATTTATCTTGCTCGTGCGAGGGAAAATTGTACATCCTCGAAACCAGATGGCACGATCGAGAAGATAACTCCACATCGATGTCTTGCTCTAGACATAAGGCTCTCAAGGCATTCATGATACGGGTTAGCCTGCGCATAGACCGCAGCAGCGGGGTCTGTTCAGGAGAGTCACCATCTCGCTGGACAATAGCATGTATTTAGAAAACCCACATGCACCAAGTCTGCCCTGAAAGTTCCTCTAAGATCTAAAATGATGTAAGTTAGACTCTCCTGCGGTGTACGGCCAGGTTTACGTTACCTGGACTAAACTAAGCAGAAGAGCGCAGGCTAGAAGAACGTCCAGTTTGCTGCTCCTTGCCGCCTCTCCGATGCCCAACGAAACCGACTTCTGTAACTGATGTCATTGTGTAATGAGGTCTTTCTTCCCGTGCTTCGTCGAGTTCTGGGAAGCGTAGAAACCCGCAAAAGGCGAGACTGTGTCTTGCAGTATTTTGTTCTCGTGGATCATCGATTTCTTTCCGTTCACGGAAAAGATAGTCAGGAGTGTCGGCGAGAGCCTGAGGGCAAAGAAGAATGCATTATGATAGCGCTCAAGTCTGACTGTCAATAAAAGCTTGTGTGGCCTTAGGTCGAGCGACTAATAGCTTTGAATAATGGACAAGGTAGATCCCGATGCTCGTGGAGAGGCACACTCTACCCCTTTCCGCGTGCATGCCATACACGGTCGAGAGCCGTTACACTTAGTGGATCAGTATCTATAAGGAGCTCAGGAGTCTTTGATGTTCCTACATACTTTAATATGGTCTCTTCGGCAGCGTTCGCACCGGTGACCAAGTCGACGATATCACGAGCACCACAGGACATACTACCGAGGCCATCAACTATCAGCAGTCATTCAGTATTACTTAGCTCTTTGTGAGTGAGTTATTTGATTAAGGGAGGCAGGCAGTGGGATCAAAGATGAAGTTGATACAGAATCTAAATGCGCAAGAGTTCCTGGGTTAGGGTTTCCCCACTTTCGCGACGTTATTTCCCAAAGTAGAATAGCTGCTTTGGTGGGGTGTTGGGGTGTCACATACGTAACGAAGCCCTACCTCTACAAGGGGATGACGAATCCATCCGCATCAGCCATCATTTGATGCGTCTATACATTATGAAGATCATCCCGTCTTCTCGAAGAATACCTAGGCATGCTCCATTCTTCGTTCTCAGACTTTGCAATCAACCATGTTGGCTTTGGCTGTATTGCTCAGCCTCGCGGCGCCATCTCTGACAGCTGCAAGGGCTGCTGCGAACCTCGACGTCTCAACCGTAACCCACGAGGCCTACGGGCGTGGTGTTATATGCCAAGTAGTCCTTGACGCTGCCCAGACAGAGGATAGAGCACTGTTCGGTATGGACTTCGACTTTGATTTCTATATGCCACAACATCGAAGTTCTCCAAGTCGCAGCCAGGTGATCTGTTGAAATTTGAGGCCGTTGATCCAGATGGCCTTGATGTGATCACCGGAATGTCTGCCTATCGCTTCCAGTATACATCTCGGGATTTAAACGGCTCCCCTATCCCGGCTACCGGGTTCATCGGTATCCCATACACATCTTTCCGCAAAGACAGAAAATATCCAGTTATTGCGTACGCCCACGGTACTATCGGCGTCTTTGCCGGATGTCCACCTTCTACTACCCCCACCCTCTACGACTATACGGGCTGGAGCATTCTCATAGAGAAGGGATACGACATCGTCTCACCTGACTATGCTGGTCTCGGGAACAACTACACGCTGCATAAATATCTGAATTTTCCCGCACATGCCAATGACCTCTACTACAGCTTGATTGCCGCTCGGAAGGCCTTTCCTGGAGTATTCACGGACGTGTGGATGAGTGTCGGGCATTCCCAAGGAGGCGGCGCTGTCTGGAAGCTCTCCGAGAGCAATATGCTTCAAGCTGGAGCCGCCGGAAAGTACCTAGGCACCGTCGCCTTAGCACCTGCCTCCGAGATATATGACATGACTTTGCTAGGTATCAAAATACTAGCGCAGGCCTCCAACTATGCTTCATATGACATACTCTACGAATCAATCTGGCTCCCATTCGTCATCGAATGAGTCTTCCCTAACATGAGCCGCGCGCCATTTGCCGAACCACTTCAGAATAGAACGAAGATCGCCAACATTACACAAGCTTGCAATTATGCTGCCATGTCACTCGCGTATGGGCTGCAACCCTCGGGCCTGTTCACTCCTGCGATCCAGAACAACGCAGATTTCCAGAAGTGGCAGGACTTGGTCGCCCCCGCAAACGGTGCCAAAGCCAGAGAGCCTATGATGATCATCCAAGGGTTAAATGACACGGCCGTCCTGCACCAGACCACTTTTGCCTCTTTCATGGATACATGCCGCTACGGGAATGAGGCACACCTGAGGCTGTATCCTGGAATGGACCACTCTGATGTGCTGACCGCGAGTTCCCCTGAGTGGTTAGCCTTCATTAATGGTCGCTTCGCTGGGAGGAAGAGCACGGGTAATTACAGTATCATTACACACCGGCCGTTTGATGCTGCTCATGTGGTTACTGATCCCGAAGCTAAGGAAATCGCAAGCATATGAGATAGAGAGATGATATGGAGATGCGGCAGATACAAAGCATTGGATTTCCAGCACTGAACACAGGTTTTGGTTTGTGATATATGAATACATTACTTGCGTAGTACAGTGCTTTCTCAATTGTTAGTGTTGTTTAAACTTTGTTGTGTACATCAATTTGATCTCTCTTTCACACTGTTTACTATGAAGGCCATTCACACAAATACCGCATAGCCTGTATAACGTTTATCTACAACCCCTAGTCCTGATATATATGGTTAGGACCTTGCCGTAGCAGTCATACCTACACACCCCAATCACACAATCAATACATCGCAAATCCCCCAGCAGCAGCAATAGATTGCCCCGAAACCCACCGGCTCTCCTCCGACGCAAGCCACGCGACAATCTGCGCAACATCATCAATAGTCCCCAACCGATGCTCAACCGGGGTAGCAGACTTCTGCCTCTCCACCACCTCTCTCGGGATATTATCCAACATGGCCGTTTGCACCGGCCCAGGGTTAACAGCATTCACCGTATGCAGAGCATCACCTAGCTCCGCGGCCCAACACCGCGTCAAACCCTCCAAAGAAGCTTTAGACGAACAATAAAGCGACAAATTAGCGAACCCCTCCCGTGCAGCGACAGAACCTATATTGATGATCCGGCCGGGTGCACGGAGATGGGGCAGAACGGCCTGCGTTAGAAAGATGGCGGCGCGGACGTTTAGGTCGTAGACGAGGTTGTAATCTTCCACGGTGAGATCGTACAGGGACCTTACGACTTCGACGCCGGCATTGTTGACCAGGATATCAATATAAGGCCCGAACGCTTGAATCGAGGCTTCGACGATAGTTTGTGCAGCGGAGAGTTGGCGGAGATCGGTGCGGACTTTGGCTGCACTTGAACCGTTCTTGAAGCTTTTGATGTGCTCGATTAATTGATCAGCGATCGATTCGCTGCTCATCGATGTATACGTTATCAACACCTACTCCACAGTTAGTCAAAAACCAATATATTGGGCAATCAAGCAAACCCACTTTGGCTCCTCTACGGGCCAGTTCTTCAGCGAGACCGGCGCCGATTCCCCTCGTTGCGCCCGTGACAATGGCGACCTTGCCAGCCAATGTTTGGGGTCTGGGATCTGCGGCCATCTCGCATTGACTATAGTATCGAAAAACGAGTCTACACTTCCACACGGATCTTCTTCAGTGTCCATTCGAGCAGCTGGCCGGAAGACACTATGTCGCTATTTATCACTTTTCCTCCCGTGCCACTTCCCTGAAATATAGCCAATCACGGTGTTGTACAAGGATAAATATCTTTAATTGAATTGGTCTCCGACCCGATAAATGTCGTGTTGCCCGAAGAATATCGGGCCTTTTGTCACAGCCTGCCAAACAAGGCATTAATCTACCATGACTTCATGTAGTTGCCTTAGAAACACAATGTCCAGTGCATCTCCCAGTAAGAATCACGACGCTCAGTCCCATCCTGTAAGAACATTATCATTTAGTCCAACACCTGTCTCTCTTGGCGCAATGGGGGATCTAAAAACTCCAATCTAATCTCCGCTTCTACCCCGCGAGATAATCAATGTAACCCCCCATTGATTACATATCAATAAACCCAAACCATTAGAGCTATTTCAAGAGCACAACAAACCAAAGTACTATAAAATCAGACCATCAAACACCCCCCAGATAAATCTTTCAGAATGCCAACAGTAATACTAGGCGGAGGAATCATCGGCTCCGCAACCGCCTACTACTTATCCGAGACCCATTCGGCAGAGGATATTCATATTGTGGAGACCTCGTCGGAACTATTTAGCTCTGCGTCTGGCTACGCTGCTGGATTTCTAGCGAGTGATTGGTTTGCCCCGTCGGTTGCGTCTTTGGGAGAACTCTCTTTTGACTTGCACGAGGCTCTGGCCAGTGCAAATGGGGGGTGGGAGAAATGGGGGTATATGAAAGGGACGGCATTGAGCTTGAATACGACGATTATCCGGAGGGATGGTTCTCGGGGAGATGAATGGATGAAGGAGGGTGCTAGTCGAGCGGAGACTGCTTCTGGGTCGAGTATGTCGGGTATTGAACCGGCTCCGGCTTGGTTGACGGTTCGGCCGGGGGTAGAGGTGGAAAGGCTTAGTGATGTTGATACTGCTCAGGTGTTAGTACCGCTCTATATTCTGAGGTTAGATGCTGGTATTGACAGAGCTTAGTGATCCGCTAAGACTATGCACATTCCTGATGGAAACGGTAACATCTCGCGGTGTCAAGCTTCACCACCCAGCCAAGGCTACTTCACTTGTTACAAACGAGGCTGGCATTATCACCGCTGTCAAGATCGCGAATCTCATCTCAGACATAGAGTTCATGATTCCATGTACCCACCTGGTCATCTGTGCGGGTGCGTGGACTCCACAAGTTTTTGGGGGCCTCTTTCCTTCGGCTGGGGTATCCATCCCTATCTCGCCATTGGCTGGGTACTCCCTCGTGCTCCGTTCTCCGAGGCATACGTTTGAACATGAACAGAAGACTTACGGAGGACGAAGCCATGCTATCTTCACCTCGAACCCTTTTTCTTGTGGCTTCAGTCCGGAGATTTTCTCGCGACGGGGCAGCGAGATCTACGTTGCCGGTCTGAATGATCCACGGATGCCGCTCCCCTCTCGCGCGGAGGAGTCTCGCAACTTGATAAATCAAGATGAGATGGACAGATATAAGGGCGTGTCAGTTCAGCTCATGGGAAACCCCGCGGATAGTGATACTGGGTCTACGATACGCAACACGGATGACCTGGAGGTTATTCGAGAGGGACTATGTTTCCGCCCTGTTGCCGATCAGGGTACACCTATTATTTGCCGGGTGGATGATAAATTGCTGGGAGGCAGTGTGAAAACAGGTGGAAAAGGTGGTGTTTTTGTTGCATCTGGGCATGGCCCTTGGGGTATTGCATTGTCTTTGGGAACTGGTCGGGTCGTGGCGGATATGGTGGAGGGTGTGCTGCCGAGTGCCGATGTAAGTGATTTAGGGCTGTGAGCAACACTTTGCTGTCTGAGATATTCGGTCGCTGTAGGTTTACCATGGGGTATGATTTTGATTCTCATGTAAGGGTGGATAAGCGTTGTTCGCCGTATGGAATTGTTTCGATTAGGGCCCTAGTATTTGATGCCTTCGGATAAAATGCCAGGGGATGTATATATATATCTACAGGGTCTTAGACATACAAAAACTTACGTGGACAAAACTGCCCAAGTTACAGCCAGTCATATTAGATGTACTTTCAAGATGCACCTAACATTTCAAAGTATACATATATACACAAGAGTCTACCTAAAATAAGACAAGGAGTAACATACAGAATAAACATACAGAATAACCTCGACAATTTGGTGATCGTAAGAAAGTAGGTTGGGCTTGTGTGGAGCCTTTCATATATCAAACTCTTGAGCGCCAATCATACAGGTGCCCGGGTGGTCTAGTGGTATGATTCTCGCTTAGGGAAATAACCCAAGCATATATGCGAGAGGTCCCGCGTTCGATCCGCGGCTCGGGCCTTTACTTTTTCTTTTTCTTCCTTATATTGCCCTCTATTATACATATACACATATCTCTTTTCTTGACTGCCAACTGCCCATCGCTTTGGTCTTTTTCTTATCTTATCAGGCAAGCCCGTGATGATGCAATTTCCCTGCCCATATGCGGAGTCTGCTTCCTTAGTACCAAAATACTATGTCCGAGTATAGTTCGTAGTACTCGTTACGAACACGAAGTCAAACTTTCCTTTTACTCTAATACTTACTTACCCACATAATTGCACACAAGCTGATCGATTGTGTTAACAAGCTCTACACCCCCTTAGCCATATTCTATCGAAAATTTATGTCCATTGAAGTGCCCGGAGAAAAATCCGACGAACGTGCCGATGAACCCCATATCAGGGACTTAAGCTCGGAATCTCCGCCCGACACCTCCATCCATATATCTCTCTGCAACTATCAAAAACACCTTCCCCCTCCAACCAACAACCAACACATACCTAGTAAATAAGTCACCCACCAAAATGTCAACCCTCGCATTCATCGGCTGCGGTACGTCCTCCCCTTCCCCCCTCGCCCACCGTACCACTAACTAAAAAACCACACCAGGAAACATGGGCTCCGCAATCCTGAGCGGCCTCCTAGACGCCACCCGCTCGGAACCCCAAACCGCCAAAATCACCCACTTCAACATCAGCACCAAGAGCGCCGCCTCGGCCTCCAATCTGCGCACCACCTACTCAGCCGACGCATCGCGCCTGACCATCACGCACGGCGCAAACGTCCGCGCAATGCAAGAAGCCGACATCATCATGCTAGCATGCAAACCCTTCCTGGCGCAGGACATCCTCTCGCAACCAGGCGTGGCGGGCGCCCTCCTCGGCAAATTCGTAATCAGCATCATGGCAGGCAAATCCGCGGCTGAAATCAGCGAACTCATCTACGCAGGAAGCGGAAGCGGCGTAGCCGAGGACAAGAAGCCCGTGATCGTGACGGCGATGCCGAATGTTGCGGCGCGGCTGCGGCAGTCCATGACGATTGTGGAGGAGAATGCTGCGCTGTCGGCGGAGCGGGCGGAGATCCTGCAGTGGATTTTCGGGCAGATCGGGCGGGTCAAGTATGTGGCGCCGGAGATGGTGGATGCTGGGTCGATGGTTTCTGGGGCGGCGATGGCGCTGGTGAGTCTTGCTGTTGATGGGATTTTGGATGGGGCTGTTATGGAGGGTTTTCGGCGGGGGGAGGCGTTGGAGGTTTCAGCGCAGGTGTTGGAGGGGCTGGCTGGGTTGTTGAGGGAGGGGGTGCATCCGGCGGTTTTGAGGGAGAGTATTTCTTCGCCGAGGGGATGTACAATCCAGGGGCTTTATGCGCTGGAGAAGAATGGGGTGAGGGGGGCGTATGCTGAGGCGTTGGTGAGGGGGACGAAGCATTTGAGGGGGGAGAAGGAGTAGGGTAGATACGTAAGTATGGGTCTGTATGTATATGTGTAGTGGAGGGTTGGGGCTGGGGCTGGGGATTATCGGATTCAATCTTGATAGAGATAATAGACTTTCATGGCAAGACTCCGTGTCGGTGTGTGTCTTGTGGTGGCGGAGAGAGTATACGTGAACCAGAAACGCAAGGGGGAATACAATACGCATGTCACTTCCGCACGGAAACCCTAACCGAGCTAGATGCGGATTCCCCCTCCGACAGCCATCTGTTCAGTCTTCATTCGGCCCACGATCATACCTTGCTTCGCCCTATCACTTCAGATCAACGATGATCCTAGCTCAAAGACCAATCGGTCTGCAAGCCGCCTATCGAGTTCCCCGGAGGAAAACATAACTGGCAGGCATACCCCTCCCACGAGTGAGTAAATCGGAAGATAAATACTGTAGAAAAGGAGTAAGAGACGAATATCGGCCTCTGCTAGACACAGTTGTACTACCATGAAGTCGAAGGCATTCTGGCCGAAAAAGCCAGAAACGTTTTACACTGCATCTAAATCTCTAGCCGATGCAGCACCATCCACCCACCGTGCCGTCTTCCATGCCTCACCCGCACGGAAGAAAGCGCCTCTCGCGGACGTGCCCACGAAGGCTCTACTTCGCTCATTGTTTCTGACGTCAGCGATGGCGTCGCCTCTTCTGAAGCCGTCCATATCGGTGCTGAAATATGTCATCGACTCCAAATCGCCGTTTCTCAATCCCTCCAAGAACCCCATCATGAACTACATTCTCCGCACCACGATCTACAACCATTTCTGTGCCGGCGTCAACGAGAACGAAGTCCGTAACACGGTCCAGAATATGAAGTCTCTCGGCTTCAAGGGCGTGATCCTCGGATACGCCCGGGAATCCGTCGCAAAGATCGACGCCGCCGGTTCGCACGTGGAAGAATGGAAGAATGTACAGGCCATTGCAGACCGTGCGGTGGACGAATGGAAAGAGGGCAATTTACGGACCCTGAAAATGGTCGGAAAAGGAGACTATATCAACATCAAGTATGTGCCGACGCACATCAGATGAGACATGCAAGACATTCTGACGCAACTAGATTCACGGGCGCCGGCCCTGTCGCCGTGGAAGCACTCGCACGCGGTGACCCCGTCCCACCAGCACGTATCAAGCAAGCTATCACAGAGATCTGCGAAGCGACTGCCGCCCAGGGTTCACGGTTCTGGATTGATGCTGAGCAACAGGTGTTCCAACGGGCGATTGATGCCTGGACGATCGAACTTATGAGACAGTTCAACCGTGATGGCAAGGTAGTCGTGCTCAATACCATCCAGGCGTATTTGAAATCCTCCGCCGAGAACGTCCACCGCCATCTTGCTCTAGCGGGGAAGGAGGGCTGGGCTCTGGGAATCAAGCTGGTCCGGGGCGCTTACATCGCACATGATTATCGGGATCGTATTCATGATACCAAAGCGGACACGGATCGGAACTACAACCACATCGTGGAGAGTCTGCTTACGCACCAGTCTCCGTTCCGGAATTTAGAGACGAAGTTTCCGGACGCGCGGCTTTTCGTCGCAACTCATAATGCGGAAAGTGTGCGGAAGGCATACTCAATCTCTCGACATCGGATCCTGAACGGCTTACCCACAATACCCTTGGAGATGGGTCAGTTGCAAGGGATGGCGGATGAGGTGAGCTGTGGGCTATTGGCCGAGTATCAACCGGAGTTCGAAGAGCTACGGGGCGGAAAAAGTCCAGTGGAGGCATCTGTGTTCCCTAAGGTATTTAAGTGTTTGGCATGGGGGTCTATAGAGGAGTGTCTTCATTTCCTGTTACGCAGGGCGGTTGAGAACCAGTCGGCAGTGGTGAGAACACAGGACACGGCGGCGGCAATGAGAGAGGAAGCATGGCGACGACTTGGGTGGAGACGGTGAATTGTCTTTTTCTTTTTTTTTTATTTCCAATTTGACCGTACTCTATGCCTAATTGCATGGATTATGCTGAAATGATCGACAACCTGATACCTAGTTATGAACCCGACAAACCAACCAATGTAAATCTCATCGTGCCAAGCTCATGGGCACTATTGCACGACGAATAGTCAAGAAGGAAAAATTTTTTTTTTTTTTAAAAAAAAAAAGAAACCCCGATACCCATGCATGCTTAGTGAGATCCTGATATCGGACCCCAAAGCCGAGCTTGGAAATCAACTCCATAGAAGCACCAACCCAGCGATGAAACTCAGCTGAAACATCAAAATTCAAAGCAAGGGCCCTCGCGTAGATTTTAAGAACCTTACAACCTCCACATAATGCTCGTCATCCCTATCTAGCACTGCGTCCTCTTCACACGCTTCCAGGAGCTCCAGCACATATTCCTGACAGTCCCATTCGAGTGTCTCGTTGTCGACCCGCGCGGCGTCGACCACTGCTTTGACAGTGGGCACATCTGGGTCTCCGATTTCGCTGACAAGCAAGGACATGATTAAGTTCTCAGAGTCGGAAGGCTTGCCGTGAGATGTCATTTTCTGGAAGGAGGGGTGTTCGCCGTCGACTTCGAAGATAAGATCTTCGGTTGCGGTGTGCAAGTGAAGAGCCCAATGCTGGTAGTTACCATAGCGAGGACGGTAGATTGCGACAAAGAGGGAGGTCATAGTTAATATCTGTCCTGTAGATGGGAGACGGGCATGGGTGGTTGTGGTTTATGCACGGACTGATACTGGTCGGGACAATGGGTTCCGCACTGTCGGGGGTGGAGTTGGCGAAATTGTTATACTAATTATCATCCCAGATTGAAAAGGAGACAGGGAAGGTAGTGAATAGCCAGAATATTGAGACAAAGAGCTACAACTAGTCACTTCCAGATTCAGGTCATGAAATATTGTGAATGTTGCCTGATAGGCATACAATCTGCTGCCTCAGCCAACAGGAATGCACCGTCGTAGACATCTCCTGAATAAAACAGACTAATTTTATGCTAAATTAAGGTTGTTTTAAGTGCCTCAGGTAACATCCTTGTGGGTATCAGTATGCTGCTACCCCTTGCTAGTGCTGTGACCAGCAATACATAGACTCTACAACTGTTGATTGCAGAGCTCGAAATCATACTATTATTCTCTATGTACATGAGAGGATAATGAAGATATAAATCTATATGATTTGAAGAAGCTGTATGATCTTCTTTGTCGCTGGTGAGAAGTATAGCGTCTCTAAGTGTATCTGAGAATCCTCAACGCTAGGCCCTAACCTAGAAACCTACGGAGTACAGTGCTGTGAAACACTTGGCGATAGAAAAAGGAAGAAGAAATAAGAAAAATTAAAGAAACAAGGAGTTCCACCATTTATTGGAATTCCTCTATTCCTTTTAACCTTAATACTATTAATCTTAGTCACTGTTAAGGAGGGGCAATGGCGCCATAATCTGAATGCAACCATGGGATAAGATGGCCAAGACGTGAGGGAAGTCCAATGTAACCCGAGCGGACAAATATTAGCCACACTTAGGACTTGAACAACTCGGGATCGGTCCCTTTTCCCACCCCCCACGGCCCAATCCCGACTTTTCCAGGTGAGTCGGACTCGGTATAGCGGGATGTGGCTGGTTCAACCCCGCAAAAAAGACTTCTTTTAACCACTCTTGGCCAATACTACCCTTGGGTCACTACGTCGAGTCTGTGCGACGAGTGGAGGAAGCAATCCTTCATTGGGAAAAATTACCTCAACGTGGATCCGAGTACCGTGGAAGTGTCTAGTTTGAGTAGCACGCTTTTAAATCGAGCGCGTGGTAAACTCCGCACTGGTGCATTTGGGATCTGCGGCTAATTTCCCCGTCCAGGATACGAGTGTGGGGATGGACTATTTAAGTGCCATCCTGGTCCTTGATTTCACTCTACAACGTCTGCTCCATTCAACTTTTCACTACTGCCTAGGAGGGCACTGACAATGAAACTTAGGGTAAGCAGCGATTCTACTATCAAGATGATACGCAATAAGACTTCAAATGGAGAGCGACAGAGCTGACTAAAGCCAGAACCTGGCGCCCTGGGCGCTGCTCTTCGACCTCCCAGCAGCAGTTCACAGTTTCCCAAGCCAAGGTGCTCAAGGTAAACTTGACCCCCGTGTCGCAAAACTATTGAAGCGACACGAAGGCCCAGGACAGAAGGCCGCAGATTCGGACCACGTCTATCAGACCAAGTTCGATGGCGTGACATGGGATGAGGAGAATTGGGTTCTCGCGACAACCACACTCGACCAGGGCCATTACCAGTCGCGAGGCTCCGTAGCAAATGGCTATCTTGGTATCAGCGTCGCTAGTGTTGGCCCCTTCTTTGAGCTCGATCAAGAAGTGGACGGTGATGTAATCAATGGCTGGCCGCTCTTTTCCAGACGTCAGACATTTGCAACTATTGCGGGCTTTTTTGATTCTCAACCGACCACCAACGGAACCAACTTTCCATGGTTGTCTCAATACGGATGGGACACGGCTATCAGTGGTGTTCCCCACTGGAGTGGTCTCATCCTCGACTTGGGCGATGGTGTCTATCTGGACTCCACCGTAGATGCTGAAAGCATCACTGATTACCAGTCCACGTATGACTTCAAGGGTGGCGTTCTGTCCTGGTCATACACCTGGTCTCCTAGAGACAAAGGATCTTTCAAGATCACCTACCGCCTGTTCGCCAACAAGTTGAACATCAACCAAGCTGTGGTGGATATGGAGATCATCTCATCAGACGATGCTGAAGCGACTGTAGCAAACGTGTTGGACGGGTATTCAGCAGTTCGCACTGACTTCGTAGAGTCTGGTCAAGATGATGGTGCTCTCTTCTCGGCCGTGCGCCCCTGGGGCATCCCCGACGTCACCGCTTATATCTATGCCAACCTGACTGGGTCAGCCAACGTCGACCTGTCCTCCCGTACTATCGTGACCGAGAAACCCTATGTGAACACCAACGATTCGTCGGTCGCGCAGACAGTTAATGTTAAGTTCACCGCGAACGAACCTGTTCGCATTACAAAGTTCGTTGGTGGAGCCTCTACTGATGCGTTTACCGAGCCCAAACAAACAGCGAAGGCTGCAGCATCTGCCGCACTGGCAGCGGGTTATACCGGCTCTCTGGAGTCGCATGCCTCAGAGTGGGCGAACATTATGCATGAGAACTCGGTCGACCGCTTCACTGACCCGACTACCGGCAAGCTCCCGGATGACCAGCACGTCGTTGACTCAGCTGTCATCGCTGTCACAAACATTTATTACCTGCTGCAAAATACCGTGAGTAAGAACGCTATTGCAGCTGTCTCTAATGCCCCTATCAACGAGACTAGTTTCTCCGTTGGTGGGCTCACCTCCGATTCCTACGCCGGCCAAGTCTTCTGGGATGCTGATGTCTGGATGCAACCGGGTCTCGTCGCGTCGCATCCCGAAGCCGCACAGGGTGTGACCAACTACCGCGTCGCCAGATACCAACAGGCGAAGGACAATATCAAAACAGCATTTGCCAGCTCCAAGAACCAAACTCGGTTTGACCCTTCGGCAGCAATCTATCCGTGGACCAGCGGTCGTGTAGGAAACTGTACGGCGACGGGTGCTTGCTTCGACTACCAGTATCACTTGAACGGTGATATTGGGCTCTCGATGATCTATCAATGGGTCGCTAGCGGCGATACACAACATTTTCAGGACCATCATTTCCCCATCTACGACTCGGTGGCTACAATGTATTCCAATATTGTTGAGCGCAATGGATCTAGCTGGACCCTAACGAACATGACGGATCCGGTAGCTACCGCCATGCCTAATCCTTCTGTCGCATTACTAATTGATTGTAGGATGAATACGCAAATCATGTCGACGCAGGCGGCTTCACTATGCCTCTCATTGCGCAGACTCTGGAAAATGCCAACGCCTTCCGTGAGCAATTTAATCTCGAGCCCAACGACACCTGGGCCGAGATCTCCGAGAACGTCTTATTGCTGCGCCAGAACAACGTAACCCTCGAGTACACCTCAATGAACGGTACAGCTGTAGTCAAGCAGGCGGACGTCGTCCTAGTTACCTACCCACTTGCATATGAGAGCAACTACACAACTGAGATGTCCCTCACAGACCTGGACTACGTATGTTTCCCAATATATCCCCCTTTCGACACCTCTGCCATCCATTTAAACCCTAACAATACATTCTAACGCTAAACGACTCACATAGTACGCAAACAAACAATCTGCCGATGGCCCTGCAATGACCTGGGCCATCTTCTCTATCGTAGCAAGCGACGTCTCACCATCCGGATGCTCTGCCTATACCTACCACCAATATTCCTACGATCCTTACTCCAGAGGCCCCTTCTTCCAGCTCTCCGAACAAATGCTCGACAATGCAAGCATAAACGGCGGCACACACCCAGCCTTCCCATTCCTCACTGGACACGGCGGTGCCAACCAAGTCGTCCTCTTCGGATACCTGGGTCTCCGTCTCCTGCCCGACGAAGCCATCCACGTAACGCCCAATCTCCCACCGCAGATCCCCTACGTCAAATATCGAACCTTCTACTGGCGCGGATGGCCCATCGCTGCCGAATCAAACTATACCCACACCACCATCCGTCGCGATACAGAAACAGCCCCCCTCTCAACAGCCGACGAACGATTCCGCAACACCTCAATCGAAGTACACGTCGGCAGTGAAACAGACTCCAGCTCGGACGCAGAAATCTATAGTCTCTCACCCACCGGAAGCCCCCTAGTGGTCTCTAATAGAATGACCGGTACCATCCCCACAATGCCAGGAAACCAAATCCAATGCCAACCCATCACCTCCCGGGACCCGTACAAGGCCGGCCAATTCCCCATCTCCGCCAACGACGGCGCAACATCCACGAAATGGCAGCCGGCATCCTCCAACCTCTCCTCCATTACCGTCGCCCTTGCAGACACGCAGTTGGCCAACGCCGTCTCCGGGTTCCATTTTGACTGGGCTTCCGCGCCGCCTGTGAATGCGTCGGTGATTTTCCACGAGGAGGCTATCGAAAACCCGGCTGCCGTGTTCGCGTCCCAGTCCCAGCTCCAAGATCAGGGTCAGTATCGGGTTGTTCTCACGTTGACGGATATTGAGCCTTCCACGATTTATACGGCTGAGGAGGCTAATGAGGTGCGCATTCCGGTGGGGAATACCACGACTGCGCAGCTTAAGGATAGTGTGCAGCCGTCGCGGTATGCGACTTTGTTGATTTCCGGGAACCAGGCTCTTGGCACTGACCAAGAGGATACGGGGGCCACAGTGGCGGAGTGGGTGATATTGAGTCAGGGTAGTCAGTTTCCGTCGGCTGGTGCTAACTCGCAGAAGAGGAGTATCCGTGTCAGAGAGAAGAGCTTGTTGGAGAGACTTAAGAGGTGGATTTAATTGATTGATAGGATAGATTTATGAGAGAGGATTTTATGTGAAGTGATTGACTGATTGTACAATTATACCTTGGAATAGAGAGTCGTCAGCTATTCAAGAGATCTGATTATTAGGGCAATATATGAAGTTTTATCAATACGCAGAGAGTGGCCGATAACTTAGCCTTACACTAACGCCAGCCAATGTTGGGCCAACATTAAATCCGACGAACTATTTATTCATTTAATTAATTGTCTATGGTGTGATTGAAACCTCGTAAATACGATCCCCTGTTGAGAAACAGTCGCTTCTCCAGTGTCCAGGTGTGCGCGAAAGACCAGCCCTTCAGTTCTCCTTTCAACGCCTACTGCCATAGCGGGCATCCCGTTGATTAGGATCCTCTTGGAAATAAAATCCTTGATAGAGAGGTAATACCTAATCAAACCCCCACTGACGCCTTAGTCTTTCTGACATCTGTATAGGGCTATACATACATTAGTAGTCTACGCATATCGCATTGACTATATCCACGTGTCGACATCGACACGAACAAAGAATCTAAGTCTGGTGTCAGCACATTCAGATTCGCCATCGAAATATTTTTGTTGATGGGCGTCGTTTACCATGCTCGGCTTTTTATTGAAGGGAGTTCTACTGTAGCCGATGACTGTCATTTCCTGTATCCAACGGTGTGGTTCCTGTTGCATGGATGGATCATATTTCTATTCGTTCAGTATAGGTGAATGCAAGCATGTACGGTCTGGGATATCAATCTAGCTATGTATCGTAGTTGTTGTCCGCTCTCTTTTCTTCCTTGTTGACATATCACGGTTCTGTTTTAACGATGGACTGATGGAGTGTGCGAATAATGAAATAACATCAGATATAGTCATGAAGGCGCGAGAAACGCTTCCCGTAAAGTTCCCATCTGATCATAGCAGTATAGCCAACCGGTTGTCGTATTTACTATGTAAAGTCTACCCATATATCTCTTTCAGCGAACATGTAGTCGAATATATACCTTTCTGGATACTCACATCTATCGAAGATGGGTAGAAAACCTTACTCCCCACGGCGTCTTCCTGGAGCAACGACAGTTGAGCTCGAATATACCATCAAGAACCGGACCGAAGGTAATAAGAACATGAGTCACATCGACCGAGAGTAAGTCCGAATCCACCAGGTTTACTATTATTTATCATTACTGCTAGGGAAACAAACTATCATTCACAATAGTGATAGTTATTGTTAAGATATATACGTACAACTTTTCTGCCCTGAACGGAGGTTCTTCTACCTGAAATACGCATCCAAACTTAGACATGTATCTAGAAGCTGTGAAGTATGGTATAACTTACGATTGGCTACCCTGCAGAGCGTATCCAAGCGTATATTTTGTCCTTTAACGAAGATGCTGTTCGGAGTTACCATTCCGGGGACCAATACTTGAGATTTGTGGCACTTTCGATGTAACGTCTGTTCAGCCAGTTCAGCCTCATAAAACTGATAGATAGAAAGCAACGATCGTCAAAGCTCGATACATTTTGTTTTGGGGAAGGGGAAGATGAAAGCTGTAAAGAAGAAAATAGAGAAGATATAAAGGGTATTTATGATCTTTTGCCGATCATTTAGAAGACCTAGAAATATTTATATCTTGTAACTTCTCGTATCTCGGCTCTGTCAAATTGGGCTTAGGGCTTGGCGCCGATCAATAAATTCGGGCGAAACCCAATCCTTCCTTGTTAACACCATGCCAATCATCTACGCATTCAATACAAAATGTCGCCCAGTAATCGCAGCTATATTCTTAGTAATCTCTGCCCCGGGGACTCGACAGCAGAGAGGCAGGAAACCTTGAGCTGCGAGCGAGTGGGGACCATAGGAAGCCAGTTCCTGGAGGACAAGCGCACACAAGAATGGATCACCGGGACCGGGCTACAGATTCTCTGGGTACATGGACTGGGTATGTAAGATGTACTCCATGTCACTTGTCAACTTGCTTATACTCGACTAGCCGCAACGGGAAAGACATTCATCAGTTCGCTTGTGGTCGATCACATTCGCTCAACAGAGAATCGGTCAGGCATCGCAGTCTTTTATCTCAGCAATAGCCATCGCCAGCATAATGTTGCAGATTTTGGCGTTGCCTTTGGCTCTATAGCTAGACAGCTTCTGGCCCAAATCCCAGAGTGGTCTGCAGACGTCTTCAACCTGGTACAAAAGTACTCCAGTTTCCCCCCTCTGACCAGGGGGAAATCTGGTGGTCTGTGGAATCTGGTGTTGTCTGGCCTTGCCTCAGCATTTATTATATTTGATGGTGTCAATGCTTCTGAAGTGGCACTGCGGGATATGCTTGTTGAGCTGGCAGGCAGTGATGCTGCTCAACACGCCGACTTGCACATCCTGATAACGAGTCGCTACCCGCCACCCCGTTCGCTTCTTCGGGACTACGCACTGCCAACTATAGCGACAAGGCCAAGCGACGACGATCTCACGGAGTACATCCTGCATGAGCTCGCAGGTAAATCACCAGAAGAATACTTTCTTGGAGTGGAAGGGGATGTTCGTAATACAATGCCAGATGTTATAGCGATGATGGATGGCGTGTAAGTGTCCCAGTATTAGCTCCTTCTACCTTGGCGGCTGATAGCTCCGAAGATTCTTACCACTACCCCGACGTACATCATGTACGGTAGATGATCTAGCGTCTATTTTATCCATTGAGACCCCCTCCACAAAGCCCAAGGTGCTTAGCAAGTTAGCATTGGCCTGTTTCAAAAAGGAAGAACCCGGTCACCACATCCTCCAAGTACTCTATCTGGTCGCAAAACTGGAAAAATTGGGTTACAACCCTACACCTGGCCAGGTGGTTGACTTCCTTCCTTCGCTCGGCATACACAAGGAAAATGGCAATCGCTACGCCACTACCGATATGAAGAGGATATGTCCAGGTTACATCTCCTTTAGTACCCGAACCCAAGCAATGCGAATTCGGTCATCTCTTCTGCTAACTTATTTATGTGAGGGAGCCTCCAAAAATAATACCGAAGAGAGAATGCTCCAAGCCTCCATGTCCTACCTCTCGCAAGAAGAGTTCCAAAGTGGAGCCTGTTCCTCATCAACAAGCTTAAAACAGCGATTCCAAACTCGTCCTTTTCTTCCGCTGGCGGCACGTATAATCTCAGTCTACACATCCAGAAACCCCCGTCCACAGGGAATACTGGACAACTTCTTACGATTCGTATCTTGTCAGGGTTCTATTGAGTCCTACCTTCAAGCAGCAGATGCCTGGCCGTACCAAGATGATGCTACCTATGACGAGCTCGAACAGGCTGAAGAGCGGTGGGCGTATTTCCCGCAAGGATATGGACCGCTCCATGTCGCCGCTCATATTGTCGGCGGGCGAGTTTTCGTCGAGGCACTACTGCAGCGGGGGGAAGATGTCGCGGCGAGAACAGCGAACGATAAGACGGCGTTGCATATTGCCGCGGGGATTGAGGATGAGGTTGAAACTGCCAGAAGTCTACTTGAACATGGAGCTGATGTGGACGCGGTTGATGATAGTGGAGAAACCCCGTTGTCTATTGCTGTCGTTGAGGGTAACCTTGCTACTGTTAGGCTTCTTTTGGAGTATGGAGCTGACCTTGGAAGCCTTGATGAGGATATACTTAGAGAATGTTTTGAGGAGAGGCCAGACGTTGCTGGATACTTGGCTGGTCTGGGGGTTAGCTTTCCAAGTGATGAAGAGTCGGAGGAAGAGGAAGTTTAATACTTGAGTGAATATTACTAGGGCGTCTGGCCGTATGTTTGAAACTGTTACGACTATAGTATGATCTGGCCGTGTTATTTGGGTACATATATAGTCTCTATGGGCGTATTGAAGCAAGGGGCAGTAATGGCCCCTCAGAACAAGTTATATACACAGACTGTAGGGTATACTTAGTCGTGTTTCAAGCTATAACTATATGTCTTTTCTTTCTTTATCACGCTAGGCCTACCCAAAACTCAATTTAGACTGTGGTCTTTCTACATATTCCACGTAGACTAGCATTCCATATGGTTTGTAACTTGCAAACAGCGTCCGCCATATCAACCAATTATTCTAGCCTATATCAATGTAGCATTAGCTCCTCACTATCTTTCGAAAGTCACTTGGCTCTTATTACACTAATCTAATATAGAACGGGGGCGGTATCACTGGGAAGATCAACGTTCGTAAGTGGGTTGATATTAACGCCATCCAATGGAAATACTACGCTTCCTTCCAGGAGACCCTGTATTGAAATCTCCAACATAACTTACTGTTCTACATAATCCTCCGTCTTTAAGAAGCTGATACATACGACCATAGGGTGTGGAAAACAGGGCTTCCTGTCCGCTCAGCCGTACTTAAACCAGTATTATCAACGCAGTCAAAAGCTATAGGCACCCTGGAAGGCCTGCTGCTTTACGGGTGAGAGACGCTAAACCACAGGGTGAGTGCGGGTGAGTGAAGGTGGGCTGAGCGATACTATCCAACAGCATGGGTGAGAGTGGGTGATCAGTGGGTGAGAGAGCGAATCTGTGGTGACTGGACTCCCTGTAGCTCATTATTAGTACCTCCATCGCCAGCATAAATATGAGGGCTTCTTCTCTGTTCAACCATTGTTTCCTTTCCTATATACAAGCGGTGGATTTTGTGATTTATTTGTTTCCCTCACATCTTGCACAGTATGTCACGTGACGCATCTTCAAATGACCTTGATCTGAGGAGAAAAGTGGAGGAGCTACGCAAATTTTGCTGAGTTACGAGGATTCACAACGGAGTACCAGGAAAAACAAAAAAGCAGACCAAACGAAATCAGTCATAAGAAAAGGGCCCGGCTACCAATGATAGATATGGCCGTTCTGTGGAGTTTTGGAAATTGTACAAATAAATGCTCCTTTAAGCTTCTCCATTGTGAGACTTACGTTAGGTTCTCACATACTTCTCGAGTTGGGACTATGTTCCGAGAGAGGAAGGCCTCTTCAAGATACAACAAGCCGTCGAGATAATTGCGCAGGCGTATTTCGCTTACCTTCCACCACAAGAATCCATACTTGGATACCTATTTGCCGCGTTTGATTTGTTTCGTACATACCACAGGATATTGATCAGGTCCAGCGTATCCTTCGTGACTGAGAGCTGTTCAGTCAGTTTGTCCCATACCTGCCGACACCTGATGATCTCTCGAGAATGCGTGCTCATTTAGCATCATGAGAGCCTGAAAACTTTAAACCCGGGCCCTACAGGGTTGAAATCATTGAACGTGGACTCAGTAATTGTGCTGCGTTTGCCGATCGATCGTTTCCTTTCGAATCGAGCTCTTAGTTCTCGATTTGAGTCGTTGGATGTCCGCTGTAATTCGCTAGTTAATCCCAAGGGCGACGACACTGCATGCATTTGCCCCTCCAACCCCGACGTATTCGTTTCAGCCCTGCGTGTCATTATTTTCAATCTGCGAGACATTGATAGCCATTCAGGATGCGTTCGAGGCAATACATCGACAGCTCTTTGCATGCTGCAGATAGCCGCCTCCAGATTTCCAACACCTCCTGTCCGATCACACAGAGTTAATAGTCTTGTCTGCAAAGCTGCTCAACAACTTGGCAAAATTCGGATGGCCCGGAGCGGTGAGACTAATCGCTCTGCGGGTAATGTTGATGGTGTCTTCCATGTCGGTCGATAGATCCTGTACGGTTGTACCGACGTAATAGCATAATACCAAGATTGTTTAGCAGTCCTGTTAGATCTGGGTGGCCTTGAGGGGTGATTTTAATTGCTCTCCTGGCGCTGTCAATAGCTTCCTTAAGGTCTGTAATGTTGCCTGTTCGATTAAACCGAGCCGAGAGCCTGTTCCCAAGGTTGCTCGACCACGGTGTCATATCCGGATGGTCGGGAGGGGTGATATTAATTGCTCTGCGAATATTACTAATGGTGTCTTCCAGGTCCTTGAAATCTCCGGTCCGTTCAAACTGGTCTGAGAGTAATTTCCCAAGATTGTTTAGCCGTCCTGCTAGATTCGGGGTGGTCTTCAGGGGTGATGTCAATTGCTCTGCGAATAATGCTGATGGCGTCTTCCAGATCCTCAATGCTCCATGTCTGGGCGTACCCGTCTGAGAACATTCTTTCAATGCCATCAAGCTCTTGGATCTGGTCTGGATAATCTTTAGCGACAGCGCTCAATGGCATTTTACGGTTGCTGACAGCGTCCCCCAGGTCTTGTACGATGTCTGTCGGAAAATGCCCTTCGATTGCCACAGGTGCAATATTTGAATTCATTTCTGGTTTCGCTGGTGGGTCACTCGCCTCTATGCATTCTGCTCCATTCTGGACGGACTGAAGCCCCTGTCCCGCCATTCCTCCAGGGATTTTCATTTGATCAGTAAACAACGGCGTCTTGAATCGGAGTTGAATGCCTTTAAGCATATCTCAGAGCTCTGCTCGTCTTGTTTCTTTCCCTTCTGCGAACCTTTTGCGAGTCATCCCATCCCACTTCTCTCCAGCTAAATGTTGTCTTTCTTTTCTGTCTCGGATATCACTTCTGATAGATGCGTAATGATGCAGCAGGATATCGGCTTCCCAGCCACTGAGGGTTTTGTTCCTTGCAGCTGTTATGTTCGAAAGGATGGTCCCCTCAGTCTGCTCTGAAATGTTGCCAGGGTGACCAGTATGGTTTATATCCGCTAGTCCACTATTCAGTATATTTTCGAATTGCTCAAGACGCCCGTTTTCCGTCTGTGTGCACCTTCTGGCGTTTAAGAGAAGTCGCTTAACCTTACGTGTCCTCTCCATGTTTTCGAATGTCTCCACGTCTTCCAGGCTCGGTATTAGGCAAGACGATCCCTTTAAAACTTTGTGCGATCGGACGTTGAAAGGCATTCTCCAAAAGCTCCTATGCGTCACGGACATCTCCAAATCCAGCGAGAAATTGCTTGTGCAGCACACGACTAGCAGAAGATGGATGACTGGAGGAAGCCCGGTTGCGCTGGCTGAGTCTTCGAAAAGCCGCCATGTTGCTGAGTCGGATCCCTTGATGACTCCATGGATGACTCTAGCACCTTCATAGGACGTTTTAATTCCCTTGGAATGTTCAACGTTGACGCTCGCTTGTGCAGGGCCACCATTGCCTCCGCCTCCGACTGCAACTTTTTCGCCAGTAGTAACTTCCAAGTCTGACATATGAAGGGAGTTCGCCTCGGGTGCAATCCGTACGATACGTGGTTCATCGGCGAAAATCTTATGAATATGTGTTCATGCCGACCCCTACCTGGTTTAGTAATAATGAAATGAAAATGAAGAGTACTTTAAGATCTCTATCTTAGGCAAGATTGACAGACGTTGTCTGACATATAGCAGCACATTTTTGACTTAGGCCCGTTTCTATTACATTGCAGCGAAGGATCAAATTAGCAAGCCAAGCTTTATTGCGTTTAAATCATGTCCCAGCAGAGAGGGATTGTCTTTAACTGAAATAACGCAGCCGGCTTAGTCGGCTACTAAACAGACATGGAAATAAGGGCGAGACAGGCAGATAGAAGTCAGCAAAATTGTGTGGTCTTCACTCTCTAAATCTCACTGGATAAATTTCTGGTCCTGGATGAAGCAGTTGCTCCAAATCGGTCACGTTTCTGCCATCCACGCCGTCAAATTTTGGTTTAGTCTTCTCAAAAGCCTCTGAATCCATATATTTTCCAAAGAATTCCAGCATCTTTGTAATTTCCGCCGGGCTCATTTGCTTATAATCTACTACCTCGCCACTTGAGCTAAAACTGCGGTACACCCCATCGCTAGCAAGGTGGGTGAAGCCTTGGCATGATGGTGATTGTTTGAGGGGTGGAAAGGGCGATGGCTCATCGTCTTTCTATTGCGGTGTTAGTATCGTACAGATGCAAGCTGTCAGAAATACTCTTACTATGCAAGACATGATTCAAGTGATCTGTTTGTGTGATATGATGAAACTCTTGATTGTATTGTATAATAGAGTATAGTCAAAAGGAGGTGAAGGCGTCTCTGAGAGATGTGGTGAGGGAAAGTTGATACTAGAGCTAATGCAGAGAAGAAATGCTGACGTGATGACCAGTGGTCACATGCCCTGAGAAGGGGTATAAAAGAGCCTTTAAGCTACTCTATTAAGTAGTTTCCTAGTTATACATATGACCTCACCAGGCATATATATCATATGTGCGTACGATGACCTTCCTAACAGGTTCATTAGACATCCGCCACTCATCTTACCACTAAAACCTAGCCTATGTTTTTTTGTTAGAATTATCACTTCCAAATCCCTAGGATTCTGATACAATTTGTCCATCATTCTTAGGTGTATTGAGTAAAATTGTGGCACCTCGGTCGCGCACAATAAATGGCATTGGACCATTGGCAGGCAAGTCAACTAGAAAATAAAGCATGGGCAACAGGCAAATCTATTTACAGGTGGCTGATTGGATGAAGTGTGCACTTGCTTAGCAGTGGGTATGTACCTCTCTATCCAGTGAGCAAATAATATCTGCCCCAGGCACTAAGGTATCGCCACCAAGAAGTTTTATCGCGCATATAAGCCATTTTAAATCTTGACAATCTCCAGCGTACAACTTTTATAAAGGTCATTTGGGCAGTTTGCGCAGATCCGACGGCTCTGCTTTTGACTAAATCTAAAAGGAAGGCTTCGGCAAAGAGATGAGTGAAGAATGAAGATAGGATGGCACTAGGACGTGTGTAGGCTATCGTTCATGGAGGAATAAGACAAGGAAACAACTGTGGGAAGCACTAGCCTATCTAGGAAGATGGCAAGGTGCAAGGGCAACAGAAAGTATGCTTTCACTAAAAGCAAACACCTGCTTCTCCTGGTAAGACAGCATCCATCTCCGCACAACCTCGGCAGCCCATGAACCGGCAAGCATCACCAGTGATGCAAGGTTGGCCTACGCAGTACTAGTCGGCCTGCTGGAGAGGGTTGGTTTCGCGCTTAGACTGAGGTGCCTGACGATTCATGGGATTTCGAAGCTCAGCAGGAGGGTCAAGCAACTGTTTTTCATCTGTAACTTGACGTCCGTCAACGTTATCAAAAACAGCGTGTAAATGATCCGCTTCCTCCTTCCATGCTTCTGGAAGGTTCTTGAGCAGCTGCTTAAGCTGGTCATTGGTCAAGGGAACATAGTCAATGACAGATTCGTTCTCGTCGTACGCTCGTGCCACTCCGTCGTTCGCGATATGGACATATCCCAGAGGTACTGATTTCAACTTGGCCATGGCGTCGAAAGCACTGATGCCCTCCCGAGCGGCTAACCCGGGAGCCGTGAGTGATGATGTTGCCATCAGGCCCAGCACTGCAAGTAAAAATGAACACATGATTAAGAGACAGAAATTTGTTTGAGTTTATCTTTATATAAAAAGATTCTTAGATTGAGCTTATGAAGTCGGTGTTTGTTTTAGCTCTGGCAGGCCAATCAAAGTATTTATACCCATATTGGCCATAAGATATGCCTGGAGTCGCGCAGATGACTGAGACTCTCGGGAGTGTAAAATACTGAATCCGAAACTACGGAGAATAGGATCACCTTTGGAGGTAGCTGATCCCAAACCTGAATTGCTTTTAGTCCATGCTCAAGGCGTTGGAGGTGGAAGGTTGGGAAATACCGGTGAGGGGTATGATTCTTTGTGAACTAGCGCAATGCCAGCAGCCTCTTAACTACCCTGGAATACTACATTCCGTACCCGACAGTCTGGGTGAGGGTGTGATAGCTATGCATTAGTCTCTTGATGTGAAATCTTGGGCAGGCGCTTTCCGATTTCATAGGTAGGATTTCATCAGACACGGCTCGAAAAATAAGGTGAGCTGAATCCCAAGGCACGTAACAAACCAACAAACCAAATCCTGTCTGGACAGGGTTGGATGATAACTAAATTAATCAGAAATATACTAGGATACAAAGGGCAAGTCAGTCGTCAGTACAGTCAGACATTTTTTCCCCAACCTCCGGCTGATTTCTTCCTCTTTTGTCTTCTCTTCTTCCTGTGAAAATTATGGTAAGCGAAGATTGCTAGGAATAGTTGATGCTTCCTGATGATATTTCATTCTTAGCCGGAATTTAAATCCCTGCACTATGTATGGGATTTCGCAAGATATCCCTTAAATATAGTAAGGGAATTGGTATTCACAATTGGGGGCAAAGGAAGTACTATCTCTGGCCCTTAGATTCCTAGGACAAACTAAATAAGAGTATTATGATACAGGCAATGATCCTTGCCCTTTCGTATACGGCCACCTATCAGCCAACAATGGATCCTTGCTATTGTTGGTGGTGGCAGTGGAGGGTAACTGGTTTTCAATATGTGGAATACAGCAAGCGGAGTTTGAGTGATCCACAGGAGAGATAGTATACAGTTTGAAAATAATAATAGTTATGCATGATGGACATCGAACCCCTACAATGTTACCTAGTGCGCTGGGGCCAAAAAGCGGAACCTAGACAAGTGTCAAGCACTATACTAATCTAGGTAATTCATCGCCCCAATCACAACCTAGATAGGAGGTGCATTCTAGTCACAGGGTCCTAGAGCATACGTCAGAACAGGAGGAGAAGTGATGTTTCTTACCAGAACTAGTATAGTGAAAGCAACATATATGTATAATGATCATGCTACAGCCTTACTTCGGTATATACTCCTCCATAATTTCCACCAGGGTTATAGCATGGGTAGTCAGATGAGGCATTTTCACTTTCCTCTTCTTTCTCCCGGTAAGTGAGCTCTTTTATGGTTGCATTTATAATAGACATATTATTCTTTCAAGAAATATGATCATGCCACTCTGTTGTCAGTGATGTGAAATTATCCCTTAGGGTCCATTAGCTCCGTAACAGAGAAAGTACCTTGGGAACTATATGTGATGGTTTTAAGCTTAATCATGTGTAAAAAGCCTCTTAGATTATGCCTTGATGGAGCTGATGTAGCTCACGTGTGTGGGAATGATTGTCTTGAGGTCTAAATCTACTTTACAGAGATTCCTTGGTGTTGTGGTCAGGTCACGTGGTCGCTGCCTTAGGCTCCCATAGGCTCTGACATGCTTTATTAAGTCAGTGTTCATATATCAATCAAAGTATATATACGTATATTACCTACATGATTCAGCGCTTAGATAACGGCGATATGTTCACTATAAGACGGAATTAAGTACTAGAGCCCGTAGAAATCAGATTATCATTTTATTCTTCGATTTGTTATTCCTATGCCTGTAGCCTGACAACTTGGCAGGGGGTGTAAGCTCCGAAATCAAGCACTATGCAAAAGTACCCTGTGTCTCTTAGCCTAAGATTAGGTATCACAACCCCACCCCCGAATTGCTTTACGTCCACCCTATCACAGCGTGGAAGGCGGTAAAGAGGGCAATTACTGATAAAAAGTACAATTCCTTGCGAACCAGTGCAACGCCAGCGACACTCGCCAACTAGAATACTACAGTCTGGGACGCAACATTCTGCGCAAGGATGCGATAGCTCAACATTAGCCTGTTGCGTATATATGGTCAACTTCCGACTTCCACATGCTACATACGTATAATCTCAGGAGCCGAACATCTGCACTCTAAGGGCATAGTACACCGGGACCTCAAGCCTGCTAATATCTTTCTGTCGTGCCCTGAAAATCGAGACTCTGAAGGATGCTCTCCTTGTCAGTTAGATAACGAATATTCTTAATGGTACTCCCACGCTCGAATCAGTGACTTCGGTCTAGTTGCCGATATCTCCCACTCAATGAGAATCAGTCGGACAGCAGCTAAACGTCATAAACCTACTGCTAAGAATGCACCTCTGCAGCATAGTACAAAGCTGAATCGTGTTGTTGGGACAGAGTTTTATCGCCCACCTTTGATTCATCTCGCTGTAGATAACCTCGAGAACTTAGAAGAAACAGGCGGCTGCTACTAGGCTGACACGCCTCTGGACGCCTTTGGGCTTGGAGTGATCCTTTTTGAGCTTCTGTATCGCTTGAACACTAAGCTGGAATGCCAGTTCGTTCTAGGTAAACTGACGCGGCTGCCAACAGGATCCGCCTTGGGACGTGTGTCATTCTCTTGTGAATTTACAGAGAAGATTGATTTGGGGGAAGAGAAACTTGATGGGGAAGTGTATATCGCCGAGGAATTGATGACCATCCATCAGTGGGATACTGGAACCCTTGCCTAAGAAGCGTTGGAGCTTATCTGACGTCAAGCAACATCTGCAGACTACAGTGGCTTAGAGGGCACCATACTCCTAGTTGGGCGTGTCAAAACCCATAGTTATGCTAGGGTTAGCAGCATATTGTTCACATATTGCATCATTGTACATCTGTCTCGATCAAACACCGAGTACATGAATTATATCCGAGACTTGAAAAAGCAAGTCGAAGATTATTGTGGCGAATGGTACTGTGAAATAAGCATATATTACAATTTAACTCCCATCCCTCTCACTCGCAAGCCGTTAAATTTTATATCATTCCTGCATTTGTCCCTCCCCCTATTGTCCCAATGATCCACACTGCCGGATACTACTGAGTATTAAGCTAGTGGGTCGGAGTGATCAATTCTGAAGTAACCTCTGGGGTCCCGTGTACGGAGGACTAAATCGAGCTTCCGGACAACCCAGAAATTTTACGACGTTTACCAACAGCAACGCACTATTATATCAGGCAGGTAAATATATTTATTGGGTTCCACTTCATTATCTAGTAATTATAATAGTCTAGTTAAAGATTCGGATTATTAACTAGTCCTGGTCGATGATATTGAACTACTTCAATATCTTTAAGTGGCTTGAATAGCTCGAATAGTCTGAACTGCTTAAACTGTCTAAACGGCTTAAATGGCTTGAATGGCTTGAATTGCCTGAGCTGCCTGACTACTTAAAACTGCTTGAACTGTTTAAATTATTTAAGTTCTTTAAATTACCTGAATTTAATTAATTTTTTTTTATAGTATAGTAGATAGTATGTAATATCTATATTAAAGTATAAGTGCGCGGCAAGTCGTGGCTTGATGTAAAACGCCAAAGTTTTAAAGAGATTTAAACTTGATGTGATTCTGGATAAATTGATACTAGCCGATGCATCTGAAGATCGGGTGAGAGAGAAGTTCCGCTCTCTTATCTGACGACTAGAGCTCTACGATCCACCAGAGGAGCCCATTGGTCTTACAGGCCATGGAGAGTGTGATCTTATGGTGCTGCCTGCTCGCAATGTGGCTTGATTTATACTGGATGAGGCTGACATTTCTATGTTGGCTGAACTCGAGTTCTCATAGGATCTAACATAGGACTTTGGAGTATTTGGGAAGAAAAAGCTTCGATTAATAGATGGCATGAGGCGTAGACCTCAATTCAGCCACAAACAATATCGAGGCGTTCGGCATTGCCCTATCAACTCTCTGGGTCACATCTAGCAAAGAATCACGTTCGATCCGGATGCCTTGGAGGATGGTTTGAATGTTTGATGAGTTTACGTGCATGTATCTAGAGGAACAGCGAGGTTGGAACCTCTGAATATTTTATCCTGGATAAGATACAACTCATGGCAATCCGCCTTGTCGAATCAAAGAGACCTACTTTAAACTACATAGTAAAAGCTTCAAAATAAACATATTAGGTTCATTAGGTAACTATGTATATAGACGAATGAAAGACATCAATCAGCCTGGCGGCCTAGATCGCTGCAAGCAACTATATTCTCATACATAGAAATAAAGGATCCTTACGCAATCCTAGTAGTCTTGGGGTATATTGCCTCTGATATCTATCTAGCAGAGTTTCTACTGGGTACAGCGCTGCTTCCTTAATAAGCGATCTTGTTAGGGTAGTTTTAAGTATACCTATAATTAAGCGTGCCTGCTGATTAATTATAGATTAAAAATCTCTCGCCCGGTCTTATTGAACCGGCCACCAGAGCTCTATATAGAGCCACTACCTGCACGGTAGCTACCTGAATACATTGCACTAGGCCTGGTGATAGGCTATGCTATCGGTATAGCACTTGTACCAGCGCTTCGGCCCTGTGGACCTTGTGTAGGCATATATAATAGTACACTTTTAGGGCTAGAACTTTATTAAGCTATACCCCTAACTATTGTATAGTCTCAGAATTAAAACGAACCCTATATCTTTCTATCTGGATATTAGTCTATTAAATTTGATTCTTAAGTTCTTTGTTTTTCTTTCTTATAAAAAGAACTGCTTCCTATTTTTTCTGTGTTAATCTGGGTTGTTGCTTGTTGCCTGTCTTGCTCGATAGCTATACTGGCAGCTTGTTCTAATCCCTAGCAGGCTTGTTATAGTTACTGAGCTAGCTGATACCAGCAGATCTATACTGATCTA